GTGTTACTCTGTATTACTTCTTGGTGTCAATGTGACAGGAATGGTGGGCTGAAGTTGTAACAGCATCTGTATTGTGTGTACAGCAGTTGTTATTTATACATGCCCCTCACAGTATGAAGTGTTCTCTGACAGATAGAAAGGGGAGGGAGTCTCAGACAGACATAAAAAAAGACACTGCAAGAGTCACGGAGAGATGTTTGTAAGACATCCAAGATGGCAGGTGAAGCAGAGTCAGAGTCTGTGATGATAACAGTGTTTCCCACAGATGATGGTATACTTGTGGTGGTGTGGTGCTGGCCAGAAAGGTTAATTATTCAAGAAATACACAAGTACATGAAATTAGTGAACCACTGTTTTCTCACAATTTAGATGTATTTCAAGTATTTATTTGTACAATATTTCTTCAATCAGCAAGTCTCAGCTCAATTTTTGTTTTTCTGCGAAATTTTATTATATTTAAGTGTTGTTTTCTCTTGTGCCACTTTTTTTATATCTTAATTGTTCATCTGTGGCCTTTCACATCAGTAAAGAATGCATTCATTTGGATATTTTAACCAAATTGTAAACCTCTAACAGTGTCCACATTACCATGGTTACTCGCTGCACTCGCCATGTCCATAGTAGCTGACTGCGATGGCCTCTAATAGCCTGCAACGTCCCTATTATAAATATCAGCCAAGGTCAATCATCACCTCTCTTTCTTTCTGTCTACTCGTATTCCTCCCCTCCTCTGATTTTCTTCACCAACAGTACATTTTACAAAGTCGCCCAGAAAACACAACTCCTGTATCAGGAAGTTTAACTCATAATTCGATTATCTGGTGGGATTTGTGTAAGAGAGGCAGCAAGAGGTCGTGATACTCTTCATAATCCCCAAGGGGTCAGTTGTGCAGCACAATAAAATGAAAACACATCATTCCATACAAGACGATTAAAAAATCTGACAGTCATTCATTTAGGACACCAACAGCAAAAGTGACAGCAAGATTTTTATAATCTATTTGTCCTGTATTTTGGCAGGCTGGACCTGAGGGCGACTGGGGTTTGCAAGGGCTGATTCAGCCTTCTTTAAAATCCTCACCTTGTAAAGCTGAGAAAGCCAGAGACTAATGGAGTGTCGTATAACATCTGCAGCAATGAAAAACAGGTTCATATTGAGCATAAGATATTGCTTTGTAATTGATGTGTGTTAAATGAGACTTGACGGCAGAAAATACATACACTTCTTACACGCATGTGACCATGGTATAAAGCCAGTTGTGTTATAATTAAATGATGAAAAATAGAGTACTTAGGTGGATGTAAACATACTTAAGTGGGTGTTAATATACTTAAGAGGAAGTAAGCATACTTGGGTGGGTAAGTATCCTATATATGTTGGTAACTCTGGGCAGCTTTTGCACAAGAGATCCACCAAGCTGAGCACTGGCCACAAAGCATAATTGTCATTTTTGTTTCAGAGTGACTTTGCTGACTTTTAACTGTATGTTTTCATATCAACTCACCCTGACCTCTTGAGGAGATTTCCTATAGGGGCTGGCAGGATGAAGTCTGAGTAAAGTCAGGGTGGACAATTTGACCATTTATGAGATATTTGCAATTCATGATGTGATAAAATATGTAAGATCCTGCACTGTGACAGGGGTGGTGGTCTGTTTGGTTCACTGCCAAAGTATAAAAACACAGTAACTGCAGTTTTGCTTTAAGCTTACCAACATGTAAATAAGACCAGTGATTTTACAAGAACTTCCCTTTTTTGGGGTACCAAGTTCTCCTTATACTCATCAGGATTAACAGATTGAACAGGGTCAACCTGGACAGGACATCATGGCATGTGGACACACTGGACAGCAAATATTTCCCTTGAAAAAACCACACAGTCTTTAAGAGGAACACAGCTCCTGTGTTAACACCCACACACTTACTGATAGTCTTGATGTTAATGACAATGATATTGATGATGCTGCTACTGATGATGTTATTGATTTCAGTTAGGAGCTTCATGGTTATCATGTCTCAGTGACGTTGTTGCTGTTAGTGTGAATGATGAAGTAGAAGATGGTGGCCCCAGAAGATGGTGCTCGAAGAAACAGGTACCCCCCTTACTGCCAAACATGCTGGATAAGAAAAACAATTGGGCAGCAGCACTTTTTTAACAGCGCTTCTTCCTCATCAGATCACAATCATGACTTTTTAGAAATGATAGTACTTTGTACTTTTTCGTATATAAATCTTGTGGCAATCTATTGTGATTAGAAGTATTTATTTAAAAATGCCTACACAACTACCATTTAACGTCAAATAATACAATATTGATTCTGTTATTTCAATGCAGATGCACTAAGATCTGTCCCAAAAAATAGGTTTTCAGTTTAATTTTGTGTGCTATCAAGATATTTTGCACACCCTCTTCTCCCCAGTGACACCTCTATATGAAGCTAAATGGTCTAATGTCAAGCTTACATATGAATTACCTCACTACCCCTGTTACATGCACATTTACTAACCTCATACAACTAACTGACAGGTACTGATGGAGTTTTGCAACTGTTGACGACCTGAAAGTTCTAGCTTTAATTTCAGCTTCAAGCTCATACTGTAGGAAGAGTATAATGGAAAATATTTATGGATCTGAAATTGTGTCTTGGCATACCGTCAATACAGCTACTGGCCCATTATCATCAGGATCTGCAGTCAACTTACCTTCCAAAAGCAGTCACTCAACAAGAACCCTGCACCAGCAGTCAGTCCCAGTTCAGTCTTCTGCACACCTTTAATCCTTACATGATGATTTAGCTGCCTACCCTGTGACTGATGCCTATTTTTCTTGTCTTCTGGAGACCCTATTTTTCAGCCTGTCTTGCCCCCTACCAAGCCTGCCAACCAGTCAATCCCCCACTAAGCACTCTCTCACTTCACCAGCCATCCCCCTCAATATTCCCTTCAAGCTTTTGGAATAAAATACACATTTTCAATTTGCTATTTGTAACATAACCTAATTTATATTCAAGTGCATAACTTAACTGTTATATCCGTACATATTTTTTAGACTTCAAATTTTGACCCATGACTACATGAATTAGAGACAAACTGTGAAAAAAACATATGCAGAGGTGCAAAAACAGCCACACATAGTAAGGGCACACTTAGAAATAGGCAGTCTAAAAGCAGACACATCTGTCACGTTCAAGAGGAGAGCTATGGTGTGAAAGAGGATTTCTCACCTTTGCTGCATGAAACAGAGGTGAGTGTAAAGTTCGGATGAGTTCCAATTATATTTTACATTCACAAAAAAACCTCTGCCTCCTTGAATGTGTATTTAATCTTTTAAAAAGAATAACAGCAGATGCATGAAATCAAAATAAAGACATAATCAGAAATATCACAGGAGGATTGAAATCGGTGCAAAATCCTTATTCATTCACTGGCTAACAGCACAAAAAATATGTGTCTCTATCACAGAGTTGACTTTTTACTGAGACGGCTTGACCACACTGACCTCATCTTGTCAAACAGTCAAATATTTGGAGGGAAAAGTGTTAAGCCTAAGAACTAATATTAAATAAGAGAGCTTTGATTTTCAGCTCTGAGATGTGGGTAAAGAGATTATTCAGCCAAGTTTGTGAAGGAAATGTTTACTGCTAGTATAAAAAAGGAAGAATGTAAAGGCATAAGAACAAAGATGAGCCTTTGGACACAGTTATAGCAACATTTTTTATGGAGGGAGGTTTCCTTACAGATTCGAAGGAGAGACTTCAGAAAATGGGAAAAATGTGCCTCCCCCTTTAAACAATAAGGAGACCAAACCTCCCATTGACTTTACCAATATTCTGTCACAACAAAAGACTGTTTTAGCTGCCCACTCTCTCATCTCCATTGTCTTTTTTTTCAGAGTACATGAGTAAAAACTTTTAAACGATCAGTCTGATAACATCCAAACTTTTATGAATGGTTTTGGGTTGGCTTGATTAACAGTTTCATGTCAGCACATCATGGGGTTGATGATTTATTTGAACAATCATTCAGTCAGTTACAGGAAAAATAACACAAAGGGATTTGCTTTCAAAATAAAAGCATGACAAAAGTTTCCCTTAGGAGACATCTGCTTCACCCCTGAAGAAGCAGATTCAGGCTGGCTAGGAATGACAAAGGCCAACCTTGAAACCTAATTTAGTAAAAAGTGACTATATATTTATTCTCAACGTGTGCATTTACCAAACATATACAGTTAAAAAGTAATGTATAATTTATGGCTGAGGGATAATAACTTTGTTTTTTAAGCCTCCCATGAGGAGTTTTTAACTGGTCAACAAAATGATGCGTCGTCATGACCATAGATTGTATATACTATGGACAACTTGGTTCCACCTTCTGCCAGTATACGGCTTTGAAGCAAAATCATGACCTATACTGCAGCCTGTCACCAGAGGGTGCTGTTCTTGGAGTGGCTTCACCTATCAAGGAGGCAGATGGCGTCCATTCAGTCTATGCTCATGACCTTCAAAAGTAAAGGAGACCGTCAGTGTAGTTATTTTCAATGTCTTAAACTGCTGATGGGCGTGTTGGTGTCAGTCTCGATCAGACAACTATAGAGTCCAGAAAATTGATGAAGTTTGATTGATACATGGCATGGAAGAAGTCTCTAAACATTTGATTTATCAATATCTGTGACATTTCTATGTCATGGATACGCAAACCTGGTGAGAAATGGCTCTGCACCAACAAAGAACCAATCCAAAGGGAACACTAAATCTTTATTTTGAACTTTAAGTTACAGTGCAATAAACAAAAAAAAAGATCTGTAAATCAGCATAGTCATACAAAATGTGTTTAAACTCCAACAAATTAAAATATGAGTTTATTAAAATGTGGACCATTGATTCCCACCATGTAAATTAGTGACCATATACTGGATGTAGGTCAGACACAGTTTTATTTTGAAGGTGGAGTCGGAACTATAACGCGTATGATTCGTGCTGCTGACAGTGGTTCATTGACCCACTTTGATCAAACAGCAGTCTCGAGCTGGTTTGAATGAGCGGCGCGAGGAGCGCGCGGAGGAGAGCGTGTGGAGACATCCTTGTGTCCAGGACGCGCGCCTTTACTCCACGCGCAGAACACCATGCTGGAACCCAAGTTTTCACCCGCGCAATGAATCCCGTAAACGAGACCAGAGTCGGTAGAAGTGTAGACTTGCATCACCCCCTGTTTGCTGCTGAAACCTACAAACTTCTGGCTCTGACCATCGGCACCATCGGGGTGTTCGGCTTCTGTAACAACGTGGTGGTCATCATCCTCTACTGTAAATTCAAGAGGCTCCGCACACCTACCAATCTGCTCCTGGTCAACATCAGTGTGAGTGATTTACTGGTTTCTCTCATCGGAATAAACTTTACCTTTGCTGCCTGCGTTCAAGGCGGATGGACCTGGAGCCAGGCGACATGCGTGTGGGACGGCTTCAGCAACAGCCTGTTCGGTGAGGACCGTCAAAACTATATTTATCTTTAAACCAGCCTCTATGTATCAAGATGAATCCAGTATTATTCAATATAAACAGAAATGCCAAAATTTAATCAGCCTATTGTTATCCATTATACGTTTTAAATGTTTAAAGTGCAAGTAATTCTTATTGTTAGACGTTAAAAGTGCATATTTGACATTGAACTACTCTGTCTGTTTAATATAGTCAAGCTTACTTGTCTAAAACTTCTAAATAGTGTTATTGCATACACTATATATAAACCTATAGTCAACACTGTTTTCCAGTGTATGAAATGAATATCATATTTCTTCTCCCTGTCCTTACTTATCATATCAGATTTATTTACACTTCTGTAGTAATTACAATCTTTATTTATTAAACCATCATCTCTATCCCAATGATACTTCTTTATACTGTCCCATTGTGCTATAGTTGATTTATTTTTAATTATAAAGATGAAATCGGTTCTTTCATATCGAGTTTTATGTGTAAATGTATGAGACTCTTAAACACCACATTAGTTCTGAAACATTAGAACAATGTCATCCCAGAGTAACACCGGTACCAGTGTCTGCTGTAATAACGCAAAATGCTTATCCACAGCACAGATACTTGCCTTACAAGATGATACTGCACATAAAATAATCCAGCTCTCAGCTGAACATCACTTTGTGCACCCCGCTGCCCTCCTTTCTCTCTCACGAGGAGCTGCTGTTAAATGTAATGACCTTGAATCCTCTCCAGTCACACATCATTTTCTCTTTGTTTAAGTGTCTTTTTTGCAAAGTGAGTTCATTTTGCAGGTACTCACTTTATGCAGACAACAACTTTTCACATTTTACTGTAAGATAATTACCCTTTTTTTTGCTGTTCTAAGAGTGTAAAGCTGCAGCAATGTGTGAATTAACAGCTAGGGTCAGTCGTCAGGTCCCAACCAGCGGGAATTGTAGCTCGGGAGGATGGGGGTGTGATAATAAGCTCATTAGAGTAAAACCCTTGAGGCATTTGCTGCTTTATCAGCAAAGTAAACGCATTATCGTCCTGTGATTGTCTGTCCACATGATCTAAAGAACATGTTTGCCTGCATCACCGTGCCCGGCTTTGCTTCTCTGGTTTTCATTACAGAGACATAAACAGACGGCACAGCCTGAAGTTTCATTATCATTTACAGGATGTTCAAATTTAATTCCAAAGACATGGGAATGTCTGGTTTCTTCACTGACACTGAACAAATAGGATGCTGTTTCTTGGCCCCCTCTCTCTGATGTGCCTGGCAGATGATGGAGATTTCAATTACAGAGGCTGCACATCCTGAGGACTCTCCTACCCCTCCCTTATTACCTCCCTTATTACACAGGGTGCACTTATGGGCTTAGAAAAAGGCCGACTTCAGCTGTGTGGGATTTTCATCATGTCAAATCACACAATTTGGGGTGAATATAGCTGTGTGAATGTTTTTTTTTTACATAAGAAAGTGGTAAAAACTAAACTCAGGGAGACAGTAGATTTGACAGCGCATCATTCTGAAGATTGTAACAAGTTTGTTACGGCTGTGTGTTTGTTTTGCATGTGTTTTTCCCCTTTTGTCTCTCCATAGCTGCCCAGGTGAAATCACTTGAGTGACAATCAGACTCACCTGGTGCTGGGAGTCTAAAAGCCCAGAGCTGCCTGCAGTCTGGAGAGGCATTTGGTGGGGAACTGCTGCCCTGCTGCCTCTCATTTGTGTTGTGGGTGCTTTGTGTTTAGTTTGCAACTTTGTTGTTTTTTCACAATAAATCACGTGTTAAACTTTTGAAGGTGTTTTGGTTAATTTGATGGGTAAAAAGTTGAGGATAGTTGTTAGCCCCATAGGGCCGCCTTCAGGTGGGGCGTAACAAATGGGGGCTCGTCCGGGATCGATCATCCATGAGGTTCTTTGAAGTTGTTTTTTTTCCTTTCGTAACTAGTGATCATAGTTTGGGTTTGTTAGTCTTCTGTTTCTGTCACGATCATTAGTAGTTGCTTTTATTTGTAACTTCTGAGCACCCTGATTATTTAGTCGCCGGGCAGGGAAGAGCTTGCCACTTTTTTATTTTGCCTTTCTTATTTTTGGTGGTAATCCTGAGGAGGGGGCACACTTAGGTGATGCCTCGAGCTCGGCAAGCCACTGAAGACTAGTTAGGTAAGTCAGACATCTTAAGCAGGTAGGGGTTGGGGTGACTCATTTTGCTCTGAAATTGTTTTGTTCTATAGTACTGTTTTTGTTTTTGTGTGTTTCAGAAGACTACCCATTTTTGCTTGGTCACTCTGGGTGATAACAATTAGGATTTTGTGTGCAGTAACTTGTGTTGTGTGACCATTCGTTGGTGGTAACTGCTCTCCACATTTGGTGGGTCACGTGTGAGTTGCATCTTAGGTGTAAGGTGGCAACAGTTGTGTAGTAGTGACTACTGTGTGACCATTTTGTGTAGTGGTTTGCAGTCCACATTTGGTGGGTCACTTGTGTGTTACTGTTTCGTATACCTAATTGTATGTTCCGTTCGTTTGGCTTGTTGCCAGCCTTCTCACAGTAACTTGTGTGTCTTTTGAAGACTTGTGTCCATTTGTGTTGTGGTGGTGGCAGTCACCTTTTGTTGGATCTCTGTGTGCTGTTTGTGAATGACAGCAGTGTTGTAGTTTTACTACTTTTGTTGATCCGTTTGTGTGTGTGACTGTTCACTCCACTTTAGTGTTGGACATCTGTTACTGTGTGTGGTATTGGCAAATTTAGTGTTTTGCTCTTTGTGTTTGTGTTAACCTCATGGTAGTAGCCATTTTGCTTTGTGGGAGTGGCACCCACTTAATTGGCTGCTTTTGTGATGGATGCTCTTGAATTTGGTTGCAGCATCTTCCTTGGCCCTAATTTAAGATTGTATTCCTCACGACCCATTTAGCACCTTTTTGTCAGCAGTGGTTGTCTTCAGTTTTGGTGAACAGTTAAGGTTTTTTTTTAAGCTTGTGCAGTGGTGTGTGTTTTGTGACAAACAGCCTTGGTGAGTAACACCCATTTAGTTAGTTCTTGTGTTAACATAGTTGACGTAATGCACTTTAATTCAATGAATAAATGTTTGTATTATTTGGGATTTATGGTGTGCAATTGTGGTGTTTATTTTTGCAGTACAAATGATTTATTCATTGTTTTAAGGGTGGGGGTGTTACGGCTGTGTGTTTGTTTTGCATGTGTTTTTCCCCTTTTGTCTCTCCATAGCTGCCCAGGTGAAATCACTTGAGTGACAATCAGACTCACCTGGTGCTGGGAGTCTAAAAGCCCAGAGCTGCCTGCAGTCTGGAGAGGCATTTGGTGGGGAACTGCTGCCCTGCTGCCTCTCATTTGTGTTGTGGGTGCTTTGTGTTTACTTTGCAATTTTGTTATGTTGTCACATTAAATCACTTGTTAAACTTTTGAAGTTGTTTGTTAATTTGATGGGTAAAAAGTTGAGGATAGTTGTTAGCCCCATAGGGCCGCCTAAGGTCTTTAGTTTTTATTGCAAGATAGATTTTTTAACAATTGGATATCAAATATCTTCATAGGCTGCATATCTCTTATGAGATCTTAGTTGTTTTGAACTTCATCTTGTAAACAGAAGAAAGGTTTTAGTCCCTCTCAAGCCCTGCCAAAGAGCACCAGAGAAATATTGATTTGCTTTATGCAAAAATGTTTTGTTCAGGGTTAGAGTTAATGTTGTAATACAGATCCACTTTTCTTAGTCAAATAGAGGACACCATGACGAACGCTATAGGAATTCTGTCCTAGAGATGGATTATCATTGTCAGGGGCAGCTTATACTGCAGCCCCTCCTGAGTCTGATGAGGACCCGAGCTGAAAACTCCAGTGTTGAAAAATGAAGTCAGCGCTTGAGTGCAAAACACTGCAGTTCCACTAATGTCCACTTGAGGCAGCTTCCATGGAGGAGGCACCATGAACATCCACTTTAAAAGGGTTGTTTTTATGAAAGAGTTTTAAAAATGTACAGCCTGGAACAAAAACAGTTTTTGTGTTAAGTGGCTGAACTGTTCTTTTATAACTCATTTGTTTAAAAGACATTAGAGCTATGAGTTTTGCACAGAATTGCATGATCAGGGGCATGGTTGAGTGGACTGACAGGCAGAGTATTGCAGCTATTTGCCAGGTGGCTGAAAACCCGCCTCATTCCAACTCCGCCTTTTTTTAGGTTGACCAAACTTACAACCACTATCTTTGGGTTTTTTAACTTCTCTTTCGAAACCAATGGTTAAAGTCACTGAGATTGTGTGTTTTAGTCAGTCTATGAGAAGAACACTTGAGAGATGTTGCTATTGCCTTTTGTGTGCCTGCTGAGTTTTTTTCTTTATCGGATAACTTTAAGGCCATAAACTAAGAAAAGAAACATGCCAGATGTCTGTTTTTGACAGTTTTCTTATAGGTCCCCTGGAGAGAGTGAATAACAAGTTCACATAATATAGTTTTTTTTTTTCAATGTCTACTGGCTTTTTTCTGCACTTTTACTTGTTTTGATCATTTGGGGTGTTTAAGTTAAAGCAAAAAGCTTTGCTGTAGCTCGTGTCTTGGGCTGCAGCTCAGCTCCCAGCCCCTCTCAACATCCTTTGACTTCTTAAAAGCAGTGGAGAAACTCTGATTTTCATGGCCACTCTGCTATATTCAGTGTTTCACAAGTTTAAATCATTAGATTATTTTGTTTTGAAAGGAAGCCGCCTGAAGGTAATTTGGCTCCTGATGAAAACTGATGGCAGCTCAGCTAGCAGCCCCTCATTATGCTATTTTTACCTTTAAGATGACTCATTTAGTATTTTTCAGTGGTTTTTACGGTCTTTATTCTTAAAAAATCAATAAGGGAGAACTTTTATTTACAATAGAGAACTACAGATACTCTAACACACTAAATACAGTCAGGAATAAAGATAAAATAAATCTACTAGATGTTTTTTGGAAATGTCTTCTCTTAACTTAAGTCTGAATAGTTTGAATAGAAAAAGGGATCCAACAGCTCTTTCTGTGTCCTCTTGTTGTCTCTGCAGGGACATGTTGACATCTTGTTTTGTGTCTTACTAAGATGAGGTTGGTGTCAGTGTGTCCGACAAACGCTGGCCACGGGGACCGCAGCAATGAACTATGGCAGTTCTGTCAGCGCCTGTCCGTCCACCCTGAAACCCGAGCAGGGGAGCTGAAATGTGTCACTGCACTGTGTCTGTTCAGGGACACTTGTGTTGCTCCCTCTAATCAAGAGATTAATGAACGGAGGTTATTATATGATTGTCATTGGACTAATCGACAGTTTATGAGATGGAAAATTGATTTTAGATGGTTTACTGTGGCCCTGCCTTACAGATTGGCTCTTTTTTTAGCAAATGATATTCAGTTTTTGGGGTTAAATACATAATCCATTAGTTCAGAAACATTTTACTTTGTGTGCAGAAAGCAGGCAGGTACAGGTCTCTTAGGTTTGTTTGTGTGTGTGTGTCAGAGTAAAGAGTCTCTTTGAGGTTTCAAGGATTCATGACAAAAGCTTAAATGTGACGTGCAGAATGCATGATGAAACTGGTCAGGTCCAAATAGATGCCGAATAGCCACTGACCCAGATCCTGCTCTGATCACTCTGCATTACTCAGCATGTCTGTCTGCTCCCTCCCTCTCCTGCTGCCAGGCATCGTTTCCATCATGACTCTGGCGGCCCTGGCTTATGAGCGCTACATCCGGGTGGTCCATGCACAGGTGGTGGATTTCCCCTGGGCTTGGCGGGCCATTGCCCACATCTGGCTGTACTCTCTGGCTTGGACAGGGGCTCCCCTGCTGGGGTGGAATCGTTACACCCTGGAGATCCACAAATTGGGCTGCTCACTGGACTGGGCCTCTAAAGACCCAAATGATGCCTCCTTCATCCTCCTCTTCCTCCTAGCCTGCTTCTTTGTGCCTGTGGGCATCATGATCTACTGCTATGGGAATATCCTCTACACTGTGCAAATGGTAAGGCATGTTTCTTTTCTCCTCTGCATATTTCATTAATAATGAGTGAGTTAGGCGAATAAACAGAATGAAATACACAGACTTATAAATGAAGGGCTGCTGCTGATGCACGTTTGGGGAGAAGACATTGTAGATAAGTGGAAAGTAGATAAAAACAGTTGTTTATAACTGAACTGAATAAACTTTATCTGAGCAGCCATTCCTTTTTAAATGTTATTCTAAATTCAACATGATTGCTGTTTACAGCACACACACTACTTTACATTTAACTCATGAGCCTCCATTGTGTGCCCCATGAGTCCAGCATCAGTGATTGAATATGGATGACTTGCTTCTATCTCCAGCCACTGTAAAAAAAAGTGAAGCTAAAATGCCTCACTCAAGTTCATTGACATATTGCACTCATTACGTATTTTGAATCCAAAGTTGGCAAAAAGGAGGTTATCTGGTGGAGCTACAGTCTTGAAGATACACTCCTTATGCTAACCAAAACATGTTTTACTTAGTATAAAAATGGCAAAGATCCATCATCTCCTCAGCAGAAGAGATTTTATGTCATGACTTTATGTGCTGCTCTCAATGCGCGTCTGATACGATGCTGCAGCGGAGTTGATACGCGTCCTGTATGTTTTGGTGCATTGATTAGAATGGCAACCTATTTGCTGCGTGATACGCGATGCTGCTGCCACGTTCCGAATACACATCCTGTATGTTTTAGCCTTAAGACAACATAATCACTTGAATTAAAAAAATTCAGTGAAAGAAATAACTTTATAAACTTTGCTTATTAACAAAACTTACTCAATTCTCCTCTGCCATTTCTAATGATGGTAAAGTTTATGATTTATCCACATCACCAGCCCTGTGACTGAAACTTTTTAGAAGAGAAATCACTTCAAGGAAAGTGTTTTTGTCATGCTTTTATTTGGATTTGTTTTTCTGCATTTAGGTTGCTTTGTTTCTGCATTGTAAAACTAAGCTTTTATTTTGAAGTACCTGCGTCATCTGATCATAAGTCATGGAACTGACTGAGAAGAGTTAAAAGAACAATTAGAAAGCATTTATTCATTTGATTAGTAACCTGACAAAGCATGAGCTCTGATGTTGTTTTAAGGTTCACATTAAATACTTGAATATCAGCTCTTAGAAGTCAGCCAGCAGAGGGAGCTCTAAAAGTTTCAGCTTTACTTCTAAGGAGCTTTGCCATCCTTGTTTTTATACAGATTAAGGTCTATACTGAATCAGATTTACATTAACAAACCATGTTACAGTCAGCTGTGAGCTCAATATCAGATCAGAGATATAACTACAGGAGTTAAAGAGTTTGTCATCTTGTCATATTTGAACTGTTTTTTAAACTCCCAAGTGAAGCCGAGTGTTACTGTGTGTTTGGGTAAAGGGCTCTGAAATATTCTTTGTCATATGTTATTTGATCAAGATCAATCTTCGTTTCCTGGTTTCTCTAAAGGTTACCAAACAGCTTAAAGTGACTCTTCACACCTTTTCACCCTGACTTCCATCATCTCTTAGTTCAAATCAGCGTGAAGTAGCATCAAATTGCTTCCACTCCATCTACTTTCCACATTTATCTGTCACCTAAACTATGACTCACCTTTGAACTGCTTTCAGCACTTTTCCAAGACTACAGCACTGAGCTTATGTACATTTTCTCCACAGAGTTGAGTCAGATGTAAAATAAAGTATTTAAATTCTGAATATAATGAAGCTATTATTACTTTGGCCTTGTGTGGATACAGAGTCGGCAGAGTCCACCGGGGTTTTCATTTTAATGAAAAATCCTTGACCCTCTCTGGCCAAGTGCTGCCCTTCACTCCTTTTTCATTTCACCCTCATTATCATAAAACACTTTGGTACCTTTAGGGCTGGATCTGTACAGTTGGAATAATTGCAACGCTTATTGTTCTTTAGATCTGCGCTGAGCTTGGAAAGTACAGTGACATAAGCAGGCTCATGTTAATTATCCCTGCAGAAACACAGCTGAAAGTTAATCTGGAGCCAAAAATTCTCTAATCTGTTTGCAGCTGTATGGAGCAGATGGCCACTTGAATGTTTGAACAAAATTGAGTGTCAGCAAATGTGTGAATGAGAAAAAGATGCGATTCTAAACAAATGACCCAGATTTCTGTCTGCATCACAGTTTAGTGTTACAGCTTTGTTTTCTTGGTTTAGTAGTCACAACCTTGTGGGAAGTGTGAGCCATAACTTACTGGGCTTTTTGAATCACAACCTTCCTCAACACCTGTAATCTCTGCCAATGATGCTGAGAACTTCAGTTATGTTAGCTGGTGGGAAAAGATCTAAAAGCTTATCACACAGCAGAAAATGTCAACATATTTTTCAGCCTGTTGTGTGTAGGCAAGCTCTGAATTGATAAGACCAGCAAACCTTAAATTCCCTGATAAACATCAGTCAGAACCTGCCGCACTCATACTGCAGTTATGGTTGTCACTGTACCAGATTTTTGGACTTAAACTGTTCTATAAAATATCAAACAACATCCATTATCCTGTCCAATATTGGATAGGACAGAAAATGGAAACAAGATAATCAAAATGTAATGATTACTTTGCTGTCTGCTGTGCCACACTTGTTTTCCTTCAGTCTTATGTTGTGAATGGAGCGCACCTCACTTCCTCGCTTCACAGCAGGGGCTGTACTCTGCCCTTTTTCTCAGCTCTCACTCCTGCTTGTATTGAGAGGCTATAACAGGTCATTGTGAACAGGAGCTCCAATAGATACCCAACAAAGTCTGGAAGATGGATGTTTCAAATCATATCACTGCTGCACCATCAATTTCAACAGTACAAATCAAAATTACCAGACAGACACAGATAGAAAGAGAAGCGTTATGTTGTATCACAAGGGAAAGGAGCAGGAGGAGCAGGGAACCTCTTGGGTGGTACTTGGTACTTGTGCGGTAAAAAAAACAAAAAAAACACAACAGTTGATCAAATATGAAATCATTTTTCCCCCCAAAGTGTTTAGAAGAGTTTTCAGATTTATTTATACATGTTGTGTTAAATCCACATGTAATGGCGTTAAATAAATGTGATCTGAATATCAGTCAAAATGATGACGATTATGATTTTTGACACCATTGAGCAATCCTGGTCTGCCCTCTTCTGTAAACTGAAAGCATCATTTTTTTTTATTGCGTTGCTGTGTTTGGGATATTTCTCTGTGCCAGACTTTGTTTAGAAGTGTTGAGCCTACAGCACACAGTCCAGTGTTTCCCACAGGACGGGAATCTATTTGTGGCGGTGTGTGATCACGGTGTGTGGTGATCGACTCACAGAGCGGGGATGGGGGGGGTTAATTAATCAGCTGTGTGATTGCAGAGGACAACTCGCTAACTCACTAATACTAGGCGTTGCCCATTGGGCCGCATATACAGATACAGACACATACTGAGTCCAAGGAAGCGCCAAAAACCCTCTTTTGTAATGTGTGGCGGCTTTTATTTTGCAGTGGCGGTATGCCATGATTAATTACATGTAGGATAAACCAGAAGAAAACCTACAGGGGAACAGTTGACACCTCTGTCTTCCCTCTGCTCTCTGTCTGACTGAATTAGGTACAGATATAACTTTTTAATCTTTAGGGGAAGCCACAGAGATTTCACAGCGTATGTGTGAATGAGACCTGTTAGTGGTGTTACAGCTGCAGATAAAAGCTGCAGGTGTGACAGAAACCTGAGCAGAGAGGCACGTGTTGAGTGAAAGATTAATTCAGCTGCATTTGTACAGAGTCTAGCACTTTCCTACAAGTTTCTGTAGAGTTGTGGATGTGTTTATCAGTTCTTTATAGTTAAACTGTTGTAAAACAATCCCAAAATAACATCTCACTGCTCAAAACCACCACCATGCAGACACACCAAGAAGTCCACTCCTACCTCTTTTAATGAATTCCTCAGTCCCCTGCTCTTCACAGTGTTGACCCACGACTGCACACAACATTCACTACCAACCACATAGTGAGGTTTTGCAGAAGATACAACTGTGGTGGGTCTAACCTCCAACAAGGATGAGACAAACTACAGGAAGAAGGTCAGCCATCTGTCCATGTGGTACAGAAATAACAATCTCCTTTTAAATGTGGACGAGACCAAGGAGATTGTCCTGGACTTCGGAAGAGGCCATATCCAACACTGACCATCAGTTCTGCTGTGGAGACAATGTACAGCACCAAATTTCTGAGGATGCAAATCAGTGAGGACCTTTCCTGAGCAGCCAACTGCACATCACTGGCGAAGAAATCCCAGCGGGGCCTCTACTTCCTCCGCAGACTGAAGAGAGCAAGAGCCCCACCCATCCATCATGTGTTTACTGAGGAACCGTTGAGAGCCTCCTGACCAGCTTTGTCACTGTGTGGTTCAGGAGCTGCACAGAAAAGTACAGGAAAACATTGCAGCGCATAGTGCACATAGTGGGGCAGATCATTGGTGTCTCACTTCTCTTCCTCCTGGACGTTTACAAAACCCGCCTCACCCGCAAAGCAGTGGGCATTGCGAGGGACTCCAGCCACCCCCTGCACAGCCTGTTCAGCCTGTTCAGCCTTCTGGGAGAAAGTACTGGAGCCTCCAGGCCTGCTCTACCAGACTTATGAACGATGTCACCCACCCTGTCACCTCCCCCTCTCCCCTCCCTGTCACCTCCCCCTCTGTCCCCCCAAACATTAGACTCTGAACCCCCTCTCAACCCTTTCTGGGCACATAGTATTTGCACCATAAAAAACTTTGCTGCCACTGTCACAGAATCACCTGGTTCTGTATTTTGCACATCTTTGTTTTTTGCACTACAACTCCACTTTTTACATGAATGCTTACTGTTTACATGCTCTTTACATCAAAGAAATACTGCAGACTGAAACCACCACCGAAAGATATACAGAGTAGATCTGTATATCTTTAAAATCATTTCACTGCATTTCCACACTGTGGGTTGGAGAGAAATGTCTTTTTCGATTCCTGTGTGTGTCCTCACATACTGCAGTAACTTCAGATAAAAAGCTCAAATCTGGTTTGGGTAAATTTGTCACACTTGCTTGACCACAGCTTCTGTCTTCCATTCACTTGAGGCAGCTTTTGGTTAAAACATGACTAAAAATCTGTAGTTTTCTGTAGCTTGCATGAATGTTACCCACATTATACATGTTTGAAAATTATACGTCCTGTTTGAACAAGAACCAAAGTATTGAAAATGTTGACATTATAGCTGTGATAAGACCAATCCTGGTGTTAGACAACATCCCATTGGTCTCCACATGATTTGAGACTTTTGACAGTCCAAATAAGTTTTGGCATGTGTGAATAATCAGATCCTCATTCTTTTGAATTCAAATTATTATTCATACATCCATGCATACAAGGAAAATTCAATATTCTTTAAACATTAACACTGAAGCTCCAATTCAAATAGGTTGTTGTTGTTGTTGTTGTTGTTGTTGTTTTTTTTTAAAGTGTGAATAATTTTGACTTGAAAAGTGAAAATGCATTTAAAAAATGAAGTGCATGTGGATAAATTATATCCTGAAGTCTGACTAGTGAACACTTAAGTTCCCTAAAACTAATTTGATCAACAAATTATGTGTTGTTGAATAAACAAATATCAATTCTGCTCAGGATGGAACACATTATCAGGCTTTGCTATCCAGGCTGATGCTGACCTGCCTGAAAATTCCCCCAGTTTATATCTGAAAACAGCTGAGAAGGTATAAGGAAAGGGTGTTATGAAAACTGCAGCACATAGATAAAAAAAGAAGTGGTGAATTCATTAAAGCAGATGAAAACTTGGATTGATTCAGTCAACGGCTGTGCACCAACCTGAGGGAGTCTAGAAACAGTAATATGTTATTCACTGTCTCATCACTTCAGCTGGAGTATTACACTAACCTACAGAGTCTGCTGCTGAGGTATCACTGCACTGTTTCCATGAGCTGTGCCGGCCAAAGTTAAGAAATAATTAAATACATTTAAGATATTTACACACAGAGGTACTCTCAATGGCGAGAGTCTCTCTCCGTCACTTAAACTGCTTTTACTAACAATCTTAAGTTATAAAATATTTGTTGGCTAAAAACAAGTAGAAGCTGAATTGATTCCTCCTGGTGTGACTGTTTTTTGCACCTTAAAGAATCTACTGACTCACTTTATTGCAGAAACACAATCCTTTATGCTTTGTGTTTTTGTGTGATAGTATAGTCATCAAACACACCAAACACTCAAACTGCAAAGCAAACTGCTTCTTTATACTTTCATATTAAAAAAGCTGATGACAATAGTAACTTAATACATGAGCTTTATAACATAACAGCACAACAACCCAAGATGCACTATGGTAAATTACACCCAGGAGAGAGATTAAAAGTCCCTTATTTAAAGCCAAGATCATCATTCACAAAGCAATGCAGGAGCAACACCATGGCAGGCAATAAACCTCTAATCATCATTTATTGCTCATAAGGTTTTTAGAAGGCGCAGGATCATCTGAAAGGACTCCACCTCTGCAAAACAAACAAGTTATAGAAGATCATTGTAAACACGGAAACAGCTAAGGCTTGTTCTCAACAGTCCTCAGTTTAGCATGGGGGCTGTGAGCTGAGCTGTCATCAGTTTTAGCTTACTACTTCAACTTCAACTTTATTTCATTTATATGGCACTTTTCCTACAAGTTGTAACACAAAGTGCCTTACAAAGCATAAAAAGAAAATTAAACATTAAAATCCCCAAGAAAACCCCAAACCTCCCACCCGCACAATTATACCCATACACACACCCGTGAACATAGACATACATTTCCACACACACAACTTCACATACACACGCACCTACACAGTTCGCAGCTGATGGTGAGGAGACATGACTGGGCACTGAGATCTGAGGTGAGGAAGACGCTACCTTTGGGGGCCACGTCGACCGGGAGGCATCCTGGCCCATTGCTGCAGGGGGCGCCGTCACAGGGACCACCAGCCCGGGCAGACAGGAGGCTCCGCACTAAGGTGTAGAGCTCTCTGGTTCCACCCGGGCCAGAGCTGTCCCCAGAACGGCGCCCCCACCAACAGACCAGAACCCGCTCCCGGTGAAGCAGCCCCCAGGATGAAACACTGGAAAAACTGAGGGACTAAAAGAATAAAATAAGACATAAAAGTATAGAAACTAAAACTGAAGGAATAAAACTGTAATCGCTAAGACAGAACCAGTAAATAATGTAAGATAAAAAGATTCTGTGCACTGTAAAACACGCCAGACTAAAATTAATAATAAAATTGATAGATTGAAGTATAAAATAGAACGGTAATAAAAAGTGTTAGATAGTAAAACAATAAAAGTGAGCATAAAAGGGGTTAAAAGAGTTAAACTAGTCAATTAAAAGCCTGATTAAAAAGATTACTAACTCACTAATTTCTTCATTAGATCAGTTAGTGTCATTAAAAGCACCGGTGTCCTGATGTTTATTATAAGGGAAGTTGTGGGTTGGCAATGTTTATGTCATGTGTCAGAGTTATCCCAGAGTGAGACAGCCTTATGAGATCATATCATGAGAGGAACATACCGTCTGTTCAATTTGAAATGTCACTGCTTGGTGAATTTCCCTGAAAGATTATAAATGTAATGCAGCTTCCTGCTCTGTGCTTTGTTGCTGGGGATTTTCTTCTTGCTTTGCTAAACTTTCCATGCTAGTTTTAGATTTAAGACTGCTACTTGAAAATTAAATCTTTGCCTTGTTTCCTTATAAACAGAAGACCAGCTGTGGTTTAAAGCTGTGATATCCACCCAGAGACATCTGTCTTAAAGGTTCATGAAACTCCAAAGATACAATCTGAGGGATAATAAAGAGTTTCTTACAACCAAGAGAAACCAAGCTGGTTTATGTACCGAACTGTTGACAGGTTGTCAATATGAGAGAAAAAACAGATATTGCAATATTGCTTTTTCCTGTGCAGTAAACTGGATAATGTAATAAGAGTTTGGATGGATGAGTCTTTCCTTCCCTCACTGGAGTTGTGTGCCTCTCAGTCAGCCTGTCTTGTCATCAGGCCAGTGTCCTCCTCACAGTATCATGTTTCACTCTCCTGTTTCCTGTAGCTGCGCTCCATCCAAGACCTCCAGACGGTCCAGATCATCAAGATTCTGCGGTACGAGAAGAAGGTAGCTGTGATGTTCTTCCTGATGATCTCCTGCTTCTTGATGTGCTGGACGCCCTACGCTATCGTCTCTATGGTGGAGGCCTTCGGCAGTAAGAGCATGGTCTCCCCCACTCTGGCCATCATCCCCTCTTTCTTTGCCAAGTCCAGCACGGCCTACAACCCACTCATCTATGTGTTCATGAGCAGGAAGGTTTGTAGCTCTGCTTTTTACTTTGAAGTTTAAGAGGACTTTTTGTTGACTGTGAGTGCTGCATAAGTTAAAGCTGAGCTGAAGTTTTTACTGCCGTCTGAAATACAATGCTCTTCTCTGGGGAGTCGTGATCGCCCTCTTCCTGGGTGTTGGGTCGATTTTTTCCCCTCCAGTGACCAAAGCTGAACTCTCTGTGAACAAATAGGGCAAATCAATCGGCTCTCAATCAGGGGCTATGGTTTCATGCTGCTGCAGTTTGAGCAGAAAAGGAGCTTTTGTATTTGTCAAAAAGACAGCATTTCTGTGAGCATTTAGGGAGCATTTTCACACTGAATAAGGACAATCTTGCAAAAATGTGGGATATTACCTGATTCAATTTAAGATGGAAATTTGCATCTTAAGATTTACTTTATTTTTCAGCACCTTAATATGTGCAGCAAGCATGGACTGTGTGTAGGAGTGAGATGGTCGTTGGTCTCAGTGTGCTGGCACACTCCAAGGCTGCTACCTTTTTGAGTGTGAGATGGTAAAATGATTAAAGACGGGGTGTTATTTCACCTCTTTATCTCTTCTCCTGCACAGTTTCGACGCTGTTTGCTGCAGTTGCTCTGCTCACGACTCTCCTGGCTTCAGCGCAGCCTTAAAGAGCGCCCCCTCGCTCCGGTCGAGCGCCCCATCCGACCCATTGTGGTGTCAAGGCCGTACGGCAGCAAGGACCGACCCAAGAAGAGGGTGACCTTCAGCTCCTCTTCCATCGTCTTTATCATCACCAGCAATGACTTCCATCAACTGGATGTGACCTCAAAGGCTGCTGAATCAAGCGAGGTTAATGTCATCCAAGTGAGGCCATTATGATCCACAAAGACTGGACTTCTCTCCCTGCCACAACCCCCCCTACTCTGTTTGCCTTAGGACCTCACACGCAACTCCAAGCCAAAACGACCCTGTGTGACCTTCCCGGATACTGTTTGCATCTACACAGACTTGTTCTCGTGTGTTCAGACGAAAAGCGAAGTGAGTTTTTAAAGCAGGAATTGACATTAAAGTCAACAGTGATGCTGTTTGCTTCAGTTGTATTTTTGGGCTCCATTTCAGAAATTAAAATGTTGTGTTGCAAGGTCATATTATAAGAGCGACTGTTAGGAAGCTTTTTGCATTTTATATTTTGCTAACAGACCTAACAAAACCAGAATCTTTATAAATTGCCATGATATTTTTGATTTAGTATCTACTTGTTTACTGTGTTTTAACAACAGCAGCACCTGGGAAGATTCATGGACAGTATATAAGATGGACAGCATGTTTCTTTCTCCTCCTACTGTACAAAATTAAAGCCAAAATACCCCCTGGAAACATATTGCACTAGTGACATCCCACCACGATGAAAGCACATGTTTAACCTATCAGTAACATGTCAGATTCTGTACATCGGTAAGTCTACGTCTCTACAGATTCATGTGTTGGTTTGAAGCCAACATTTAGAGACATACAGAGAGTTTGTTGACTTACACTAAGAAAGGCTGGCTTGACTTTCATTCTGCCATCAATGGTTATTAAGAAGACCACTTTGACCCTCAGGTGCAATGAATCTGGCATGCATCTTATATCCATCTCATACTGAAAATCTGGAGAATTGAAGGCAGGCTTGTTTCTCTTTTATTGAGCTGCATAATTCTCTGAGAAAAATATGACAGTAGAGGGCTGTAGCGGCTTTGGGCCAGCCTGGTTTTGTCACAATGATGAAAAATGGAGTATAGCAACATTTCTGAAATACTTTTGAAACTGAAAGCCTCTTTTTTTGTTTGTTTTTTTGCCCCCTCCCTAAATCTGTGTCATTTGCAAAACTCTGTATTTGAGTATACGCTGAACTTCAGATTAAAAGAAGTTGTCAGTAAACGTAGATGCAGCAGGTCTGCTATTCTGGTTATCGCACAATATCAAGATATTGGTAATATTTTTTGTTGTCAAGCTCCCTCTCCATCCATTGCTCTGCTCAGCCTTCAGCTCGGTATTTTGACTTGTGTATGCAGATTAAGCCCCCATCTTCAATGCAAAGTCTGCTTAGGTCACTGTTTTTCCCCTTTAGTTGGTGTATTCCAGTTTGTACCAACAGAGTTGTCAGTCATGATGCTATATCTTATTTTTTTTATCATTGTCATTGACCAAAATACAGGTCAAATAAAATTGCCTTAAAGAAACGGTGTATTTGATCTGTATTTTGATTTTCAAGTTTGATCTTTATTCAACCTGTTAACATGGAGGAGGCAGACTTTCTTACCTTTACTGCATCCAGTCACCAGGGGGAGCCCCAGATGTCTTGGCTTCACTTTTTGGGGAGCTGTCATACTGTTCATCTCTTTATACAGTCTATGATTATGATTTCATTTGAAGGTCAAACATTTCTGGATATGAAAATAAGAAGTGGGTTGTGATTTATCAGCACAAATAAGAGAGTTTTACTCTTTATAATAAGAGAGTTTTTCACTTTAGAGAGTGAAATTTAACAATGCTTTGGTCTGAACACAGTGAAAAAAAAAACTGTAAATAATCAACCGTCAGCCCGAGATCTTAGCTGAACCTTTGTTCCTGAGAGTGTTTTGTGTAAGCAGGTAGTCTGACAGTGTGTCATACTCATCTTACATCAGCTGTGGTGATAGAAGTGCATAATGGTGTAGTAACAGTTAGTCATGTGTTTCCTTTAGAAGAAGAGTCACATTTATCTGTTCAATATGCCACACAGTACATCTGCAGAGCAGTGTCTTTAGGGGCCAGCTGTGATATGGACCAATATGTGATACTAGAGGATTTTGGTTGGTACCCAACTGTAAAATAAGCCTTAGCTCCTTAGCCATACACCATTCTGCACAAACTGACCTGATTGTGTATGGATTCAATAAAGAGATGCTATTTTGAGGTACTGTCTTGTGTATTTATCTCGCCTCCATCTTTATGTGTAGTGTAATGAGCAGTCAGTGTGAAATGACATTTGGTGGATTTATATGTATGAGGAGGACTGAAGTGTAATTAGATAAGAGGAGATGAGACTGAGACCTCAGAAAGCTCCAGTGAGACACTCCTCTCATAAGCTCAAGGGCTGTCAGCTATGAATAGATATGATGAATTGATTTCCATGCTGATAGAAGACTCATTCAGTGAGGGTGTGACCGGGCAGACCTTGTTTTAATAATGGTTTGGGGAAAGCAGAGTGTGGGGAAAACCTGTACTTGTGTTTACTTTGTGCATGGTTTTAAAATATGGCAGCAGAATCTGAAAACAAAGCCTAGAGACACAAACGCATGTAAATATATAGTATATCATCCTCTTCATCACTGTCTAAGGCTCATTAAATGTTAATAGAATAAAGGTAGATCAATGCGCTCCAACACTTATTTTTAATGAAACATACATGTGTCTTTGTTTTGAAAAATGAGTGTATGTAGCAGAGTCCAGCCTTTTGGACTTCATTTGTCAGGGAGGGTCCAAAGTAACCATATTTTATCAGGAAGGTCAAAGAGGCGAAGGATATATCACCACAGATCATTTAACACGGTGGAGCATGGGTGACCTCACTGCCCAGTTTCTGATGGGGGCTTGGGAAACCCAATGAGGGCAGTTTCAATAATTTAAATGTTGATTTCACACTTTTGTGATAAATCTAGACACAGGCAAGGAGGTGGTGCATGGAGGGGTCTTGAGCCTTAACTTGATTCTCAGCAACAGTAACAGGGGCTGAACTGTTTCAAACCACAGACAGTCAAAGCTGCTGCAGGGCTTGGTTTGATTCATGATGCTGACGTGCTTGGCTATAGATGTTGTGTCCCCGTCTTTGCAAAAAAAATATATATATATATTTAGTGCAACATTTACCACATTTTAATTTACATTTAGGATTTGGAAAATGAAGCTACACTTTGGATCTCATTTCATATTCAGCCATCATTACAACAACTGACCACCAGGACTTTTTAATAAGTAGTTTTATACTTGTTCAATAGAAAATTTTATTGTCCAGTGATTTAATGAGCACAATTTGATTTAATTAACATGGTACAACATTACTCAAAATGTATCCTCACTTCAAGGGACCCTTGAGACTCAAATATCATTGATTTTTGGGGTTTGAAAAATGCTTAATTTGGTATTTAATGGACTCGGTTAATGAAATCCATCTCTACTTATATCTTCTGTAAAACTGACATTTTAATATAAGATCTGAAATGGACTCCTTGGCTTTTGGGGCCAGCCTCAAGTGGAGCTGAACATTTATTTCACCCTTCGCTTCAAAACCAGAAGGTACAGCTCAGGTATCACCTACCCCAGTCACTTGATCTGCATGATGTATCTACAGATGTCCATGATGGGAGCAGAAATGTTCAATTTTGGTCATTTTTGGTTTATATTTTTAGATGAACAGCCCATACCTTGTAAAATATTTCAGTACAGCCTAATTATGACAAAAACATCAAGCTGAACATTTTCAGGTCACCCATGTACGAGCTTTTCAATGACTAGATAGTCACAAGATAGCCCCCACCCAAACGCATGCTCTGTTTTATCTTCTCTCATCCTCTAAACAAGACCGTAACTACGAAATAGACATAATAATTTAATTAGAAAGACCTCAGATGGAGACAAAGACCACACACTCATTAGGAAAATCTTCATAGTGAAAACTAAATCAAGTGAGTATAGTCTAATTTTCTCATTGACTCTTATTCAGTCACCCCTGCTGATGAAGTGAAAGACATCTGGTTTAAGGTGCAGAGGAGTAGCCCCACTTTGAATAACGAACATTTCTTATACAGTCTGGGCACAAACTTCAAGTTTGAAATTGAGTTGATCAATTCATCTTCCAAAGCCTCTTTCATCAAATGTTAAAAGAAAAACTATGATACTCTGAAAGGGGTCACCTTTAGCAGTGGACCTCCTCTGAATAAAAAGCTGTAAAACTTCAGCTCCTCTTGTCTTTTCTAAGCTCAAGGAGTTTCAGACAAGCGGCAACCTCCAGACTTTTCAAGAAAAATGTGCCCCGGTTTCTGAATAATGAAATTCTGGTATTTATTTGTCTGCTGCACTTAGAGAGATTAAAGCCAAGTAATCTTTTGACTGAAAATTCCTGATATACAAATGAAATTATGGAGGAGCTCCCTATTTGTTCCCCTGTGAATGTAAATGTGTTTTCTGTAAAAAGAAAAGAAAAGGGTGGTTTTATTTTTTTTGAAAACTCTGGGCAACAGGTATGACCTTAACATACTGTGGCTGAAAAGGCAGTTTACAGCCAAGCACCTACAGCTGTCATTTTATCATATTTTTGAGACAAGGCTGTATATCACTGGAGTTAGTTTTTCCAGTATAAGAACCACTACCTATTGGCCTCTTGACACCTCTACAGAAACCACTGGTCGACATCCCTGAGACTACATCCATGTTTTATTCAGTCTGCAGCTGAAACCACCAAAACAACTACAAAAAGACTTGATTCTGGTCTCCAAAAGTACAGCAGTGCTTGATTTTCTCATGAGCAATTGATGCCTTACAAGCTTAAAAATTTAAAGGGTGATGATAACTTGCTCTGCAGTCAATAGTTGCTTCAAAAACAGTTTTTTGCAGGTAAAACTTCAGCCTGAGACAGAATAATCTGGCAGTAACTGTGAATTGAGAGAATAATATCTCCAAACCATCTTTAATTGTCTCCACAAGCTCATTCAGCACGTACTAGAGTTGCTGGCAGTGAGTTTAATATTGACGTTTTTGTTTTCACAGCAAAATTGTGCAAATGATGTAGGGGAGCCTGAAAACAATCAGATAGAAGGGCTGAACATTTTCAGTGTTGAAGCTTATTTTGTCAAACCATTATCATTCAAAACTTATTATCAATCATAATGACTGGGGTTAGTTATGATCACAGTACATTAATCGTCCTGGCTGAGCCTTCATCGTGCTCATTAAGGACTGAATTAATCTCTAATTAAAGTTTGGACTCTTTTTTTTTCCTCTGGTGTTTGAAGCTCCAGTTTTTGTCTGTCAGATCAGAGAGGGTGCCCGTGCTCAGGCGGTCCTGAGGGCCAGAAGCCTGTTCCACATTTTCTCAGCAGGGATGATTAGCTTGTTGATGTCTGGGGGGTTTTTAATGAGCAGATAGGAGCCTCCCAGAGCAGCTCCCGTAGCACTCAACATCAGGCTGCGGTTTATCACCTGTGAAAATACATTTAAAAGAAAGTAATTAACTTCAATTCAGATTTTTCCATGTAAAATCGTATTAGTTCCTCAAACATTACAGTCATAATGATAAATTCATAATTAAACAATACAGCGCATAATTCAACCAAAGTGGAAAACAAAGTCTAAAACATTTTTTTAAGGTTTCAGAAAGTTGAAAAATAAACATGTCAACAATGAACCTTATAGAAATCAAGTATTATCTAATTATTGTTTTTCAGATAATGATTTAAGCACTAACACTGCCAGATGTACAGAAAGCGAGAATGGCCATGTTTTTTTTTTGTTTTTTTTTATGCACTGTTATCTCAGGATAGTGGCTTACTATCTTGTTATCTCAATAATACAAAGTTTGTTTGCTCTAATTTTTTTTCATTATCTCGCCATAACAGAGATCATTTGCTCATGATAACGGAAATAGCGTTTTAGCTGACCTCAACGGTGACTTCCTAAAAACGCCCACCAGATTAGGATATCTCTGAAACACCGCAGTCACTGTTGTCAACAGGAAGTCTGTGAAAATGCTGGCACTTTCAACGATTTGCACGCGGTAGTTCAATTCCCATATTGGAAGTGTGATGAGCCTAAATTGGCCAAAACTCAACTTAAAAACAGTGAGTATCCTATTCTGTGCAAGCATGAGTATGTTGACTCTAGGGATGTTTTTAAGTGATTGATTGTCTAGTCATTTAAATAGAAATGACCGCTCCAAAGGTGGAAAAAGACTTGGGAGACAGTCAAACCTAGACACCACTAAACACAAGAGTCTGCAGGTAAATTATGTTAAAATAGTTTTCTAAGTGCAGCTTAGTCAAACAGAGATAGCACCACCAGCCTTCAGTCCTTCTTACAGGTTGATGTCCACATGCCTGAGCTGGTTGTTCAAGTCAAGTGGTTTTCTGCTAATCTAATAAAACACAGCTGTAATAAAACTTCATTTCCATCAGTTGGATCAAAATACTTCCAAACTGTGCTGTGCAATGCTATACATGCTATAGCCTACATGCCATTTACCAGAAGCTTCCTGCTGGGGCTTTAGACAAAGCTACAGCCCCAGCTAGAAGGCTTCACTATTGTTTAAAAAACTCCTGATTAAAACTTTGAATCTATGATGAGTAAAATACATATATTTTTAAACTTACCCGCAGCTGCTGACTAGCGAGGGTGATGCATTTGCAAATATAAATCCCTAACTTTTACCCTCAGTTACAAAGCTAACAGGCTGAGGGGTTGTGGGCTTAATTTATCATCTCTCAGTTTAGCTTGATACACTGACATTGAAGTCAACATCTGTTACTTTGATTAGTAGAAGCTCTCTGCTAACAGATAACTTTGCATCTGTTAACACCTTTCTTTTACAACTCCTCTCTCTCTTTTTAGACTTATGGCTCCAAATGCCTGATGGTGACATTCAATATGCCAAAGGCAGTTCACAAACCAATGGGGGATGTCATTGCGGCTCCATCAGCTTTTATCATTGGTCTAGGACGTCCTCACTCACTGCAGATGCTTTAATTGTCCATGTCAGTATGTCAGTGCTTTATTTAGAACGACCATGTTACACTACTGTACACTCTGCTTCATTCAGCAGTTTTTCTGCCGCTCACAGAGGTCATTTTGCCCACACACCCTTTGGGGTTTTTCACAGAGCACAGGAAGCTGTGAAATCCCAGTCGTCCCTCTGACTGTAGGCCATTAGCAAAGGGGAAATTGCACAGTTCGTCATAGTGCCAAGGACAAACCTGCTCATCTGCAGCCAACCTGGTGAAATCCTCAACACGTCATTGTGCTGCAGTGCTTTGTGTTTGTGTTGGGATAAATCAAATGTTTCTAAAAATGGAAGTATTTACCCAAGTGAGAGTCATATCCACCCTTTCATGCTGGCTGATGATAATACTGTGACTTCAAAAGAGACTGAATTACACTATTAAAATCTTCGAGGTGTGAAATGTGCCTGAAAATGTAAAAAGTCTGAACAGAAACTGGGTAAAGAGAGAGTCTCACTTTGTCTTGCCAGTGCCAGCGCTCGACAGCTTTGTGGTACCTTGTCCTGGTGAAGGTGACCTGTAGACAGTGGAGAGCAACATATAATGAAGATTTACATGAAATTAAGTGATTGCTTTGCTTTAAATAACACTTACCATTGTGTACAGAGGGATTATTTTCTTTGGCATGAGGAGGTGGAGGAAGTTATCCACATATTTTCTGAAGAGGAACCACTTGGAGTTGACATGGGCTCGCATCTACAGAACAAAAAAAGAACAGATGATTTGATAAGTTTAGGAATAACAAAATACTGCAGTGAAATTGTATTTCTGTGATTATTGCAGCAGCACTGAAATCAATCTCTGGCTTTCAGAGTGCAGTCCATCAGTCAGTTGTAATGAGAAGAGTCCATTCGTAGAAATAACTTGTTTGCTCAACTAGTTGACTTAATCATGATGATGTGAACAAGGTTTCATATGTCAAAGTAAATAGCCATAGCGCCCCGTTCTGCCAACAGGAAGTCTGACTTTTCATCCTCTTCCTCCATTGAACATTTTCACTTCATCTGTGTTCAGCAAAGCCTTCTGATCACGATAAAGCCATAGTGTTCAGACTGTGAGTATTGGTTGAAGGATGTCTCCCTGACAACCCATCAAACCCATCTCACAGAAAGTTATTTTAACTCCTTCATACACAACTCAAGTGGTCTTAAATTTCATATACATGATCAACATCCACAACAACACTTCTATATGCTGATTTCTCATCCATAGCTACAGCACCAAACTTCTACATGCTATGTCTAATTTCATTCAAATTTGCAGGTGTCATGCTTTCCCCAGCTTCATTTCATCTTCATAGACATTATAATTATAATATTAGCCACATTTGTTCAAAATAAGTTATATGTATTTCTAGTTATAGTTTTAAATAGGCTTTCAATCTTAGATGTATGACTAAAGCACTGTCACAAACATTCCTATAGACCATAAGTTTGCCAAAGTCACTGCCCCACCTACGAATAAAAGACAGGACTACACTGTACAATGTGCTTTAAAGTACAAAATGTACGCTCACAGTCTCTGCCTGAACACTGCCAGACACTCATTTAGTTCATAATGAGACCCCAAACCCCTCTCCACCTATGTAGCTCTTTTCTTAACCAACAGCTTCTGCACACCTTGTAGATGCAACACAATCCCAATACGAGGACTCTTTAATTGCCAGTTGCAGCTTTAATTTCTCTGAGGAGCTGTCTGTCGATCTTTTTTTCATAAGAAAGCACTATAGACTCCACCTTTGAAGCTCACCTTTAAACATCCAGGATACAGTAGTTATGAAGATCAGTATGTTTCTCTAATGCGTCTTTAGCAAAAGCAGAACAATACAGCTGGCTATGGACTGTCGACGTTTTATTGTGCACTTGTTTGTCACTCACTTGTTTGTATGTAAGATGTGTTTCACTCTTTGTCTCCCCCTTTTGATATAGTGATTTGTTGGTGTAATAGAGTGAGGCAAACTAAGTCTGCAATTATGCTGCAATGTAATTATCCATCAAGTACCATTTTATGCATCTATGCCTTTATATTTTAAAGAAAGTTTTGCAATCTGTACCGCATCGCACTTATTTCACAGCTAGAGTTAGGATTCACACCAGAGCACCAGCGTCTCTGTCAACGACAAATCTGTTTGACCCCAGCTCCCTCTATAACCACCGGACTCCATTTACAACAACACAAAATCTGCCATTTCTCTTTTCAAACACTGTGTGGGAGGTTGCCCACTTTGTTTCTTTAGAAAAACAAGGTTAGCCAGTTTATTCAAAAGTGGAGCCTCATGGTATTCACATGTTTCAACATTCACAAAGAGTCAAACTGGCAACCAAAACACTTGATGTTCACCGGCTTGCCTCTAGCTTTGTCTGTCTGCAGCTGAGTGTCAGGCAGGTAATGCAAGGTGGATTTCTAAAGCTTGTTAATAAAAAAAAGCTGAAGGCTGCAGCCAAAACCAACACAAATTAAAAAAGAAAACAGAGAGCTGACTAAGCTTTAAAACTTTGTAGTTAGTGATAATTCTCTAAAAGTGAAGGACTTCAAGCAACACCTTTATATATATATATTTAAATGCAGGTTCTACTACTTGAGGCATGAGCCTTCCTTTTTGTGCTGAAGTCACTTATCTCCTCTTTAATAGCTTTAATGGTGGACAAGGATATGACAGTCAAATTGAGGCAGAGTGAACAAATGTATTACTTCAATGTAGTTGTACATGGCGAGGTCTGCAATAGCGTGGTCGTCTGGCACTCGCACTCTGGTGTACTCAGGCAGCACAGCACCTAGGCAGACGCACAAAGAGGAGAAGACAGATTTGCAAATGAAGTGTCAGGTCATTGTCTGCTGCTGCTGTTTTAATCTTCTCAGTTTTAAAGTACTTACTGAAATCATCATTGAACTTGTCCATTATTTCGTCAAGGACAATGCAGTCCTCAAAGCCCTGCAAGGCACAAACGTGTGAATGAGTCTCCTTTTAAATCTTTTCTACCTTTCTTCCCCTTCATTGAGCGTTACTTACTGCGTTCATTCCCTGACCGTAAAAAGGCACCACTGCGTGGGCTGCATCGCCCATTAGGACACATTTGTTCCCGATGTGATATGGGGAGCACTTGACAGACACCATGGCCTGCCCAGGCAGCCGGAAATAATCCTTCTTGAGAGCATCGCTGCGAGAACGAAACAGGAATAAAACTATTAGAAACTCATTCTGAGGATTCATTTTCATAGTCACATGCCTGTAAACAACAGATTTTGGTTGTAGCTTCGTACAAAAATACGTGACAAATATTAGGAGTTAAAATCGCCATATTCAGTGTATCTCACTGGGAAGTTAAACAGCCAAACAGGGGATTAAAAACATGCCTGAGTGCTCAAACTAAAGTCATCCCAGAGCAGGAACAGCAGAACGAAATCCCCTGCTATCTCTCTGTCACCCACAACATACGGCTCACCTCAAATTAAAACCTCGCTGCACAAACTCATGTCAGACTGAGTCTGCAATTTCACACATCACAGATCCTAGTTGTGCCTGTCCTGGAGTCGACAGGGCGATGGGAAATGAAAATGTGTTGCTGAGAATGGGTCGGCAGGTCGGAAGAAGAGATAGAGGGAGGGGAGAAAAGAAAAGATGGACGTTAGAGATCGACTTACACTCCTATTAGTGGGATGGCATCAGGGAAGTACTTCTGGAAAAACTCAATGACTTCATCTCCTGTGGTGATCTTCTCAAACTCTTCAAAGGGCATGAAGAGAGTGCAGGTGAACGTCTTGTCCTGAAATAGAGAATAAACTCAGGGTGTTTGCCTTTTAACCTGGCAGAAAATCGTGTTGAATCAAGTTAGCTTTGTGTGGACACCTGTGGGACTAAGATTCGTTACAACATTATTTTTGTTTTCTCGTCTTTTAGTTTCACGGTCAAACATCAAATGATGAGTCAGATAGTTCCTCTCTATCAATTTGCCCTGAACAACCATCAGTGGCTGTGACGAAATAGGTTTTTTTGTTACAAATTTCCAGAAAATTCCAGTAGCCCTGCCCCTCAAATTTTCCAAACTCTTTGTTCACATACTTGCCTAACAACATCAAGTTTTCCCTGGTAGACAGGTGAGGGGCAGTACGTAGAAGAGTCTTTGTCTCAGGAAGCAGGACATGGCATCAAAACTACGTTGTGAAAGCAACAGTATAGCGTTTACAGCGTGGTAAAATATGAACAACAGAGATGAGTGATTTGATGGCAGCGTTAGCAGCTTAGTTACTACCACATGCAAAGTCACAAATATGCAGACATCTTCACTGCTCATTATTCCCCTCCTTCTACTCAAAGTTGATGACTGAACATTTTTCAAAAGGGACTGACATCAGAGAGGTGGATATCAAAGTTATGGATGCCCTTCACTTGAGTTACTCTCTTGTATTACCTCCATAACACTCCCTTTAAGTACCGTCAGGGCTGCAGCTGAAATATAAAGTATAAAACTGTCACACACACCATTGAAGCAACAAATCAGCGTCAGGTAATGAACCAGAGTTACTAACATCAGATTTTTTATGCAATGATAATGGGATGGTGATAAAGCCTTCAGCGGTGGACGTTTTTTTCTCGTCTCATATTTTTTGCTTCCTTTTGCAGATGGAGCTTTTTTCATATTAGCATGGATTATTTAAATCTGTCATATTTTACTAATTCCATAGTTTACTCTGTGTTTGAAAGTATGGCAATCTGTTGATGACAAACTTGTTTATGTTTGTGATGGGTTAGCTGTTGCCTACACCACCCAGTTCACTGGCACACTGAACACCTCTCCCACTTTTTCCACCATCTTTCTGTCTGTGTCACTAGCTCTGAAAAAAATCCCATTAGAGTCACTAATACAGATTTTTTCTGGAAAACCCTGATCTTCCTCTGTCCATCTCTGTCTTTCTGCATCTCCTTCTATCTCCCCTCTTAACTGTCTAACATAAGTCTGGTCCTGTTCAAGGTTTCTGCCTGTTAAAGGAAGTTTTTCCTTTCCACTGTAACTTGTTAGTGTTGCAAAGTGTTACACTCGTTTGGTTGAAGGTGATATGGAAGTGGGTATGACCTTACGTGATGGGGATCAATCTTCTCCCATCTTTACATTGGGTCCTTGTAAATAGAGTACGGTCAGCTTTTATTGTCGGATAACACTTGTTGTGAATTGGCACTATATGAATCAAGATTGATTGATTCAGATTAAATCAAACTTCACTGTGTCTTCATTCATGCAAGAAGAAGGAGTCATTCTTTTTTAATTATGCATTGATGATTTTCATTTTTTCTTTCACATCATTTAATTTCTATCATAAATTGTTTTAAAAACATTCGCCAGAATCAAGGGAATTACTTAATTCTCTAAAATACCTGAAGGAGGACCCCCAGACCTTCTGTCTTCTTACTTTTAAGTGAACCCCCTGAGTACTTGGGGGTTTACAAACTTTTTCAGCAATCCACTCTCTGGAGAGAACCTCAGTCTCACAGCCTACAGCCTAAAGCCTACAGCGGCAGATGCTTTTGTTGGTAACAATGAAAAGTATCCTCTGTGGACAGCTATTTGAAAAGGTGCCGAAATGATCATGTAAATGAGTCTTACTTAAAGATAATTTACTCTGTCTGGGTCCTTGCAATCGCACATTAAGTTACATCCTCCTATCATTCACTGCACACACAAAAGGTCAGACATATATTTTTGTCATTTATAAACTTTTATGAAAAATAAATCCACTTTCATGGGCCTTAAAAAACCTCTGGCCTCAATGAAAATGTCACAGCCAGACTCCGTCCTGTTCAGATGATGGATGAAAGAGCGCCGGGGTTATAGGTGTGCCATTTTCTGCCCGTCTGAGCAGGTGCTATCCATCAACAGTACACACATTCTCCCTGTGGACCTTTTAGCACTCTCTCTGTTACCATGGCACCCACCACAGCAAGGATGGTCTTGTTTTGTTTATTGTTTTTTTTTTTTTCTCAGCTCTGATGTTTTCCTGGGAACTAGGGCAGTCAGTCACAGAGCGAATAAGCTCCAAAGTCTGCAGCTTTAACCAGGTCTCGCTGAGGGGGGGCACCAAGTGCTGCTGAGTCAGCCATGAAGAAAAATCATTGCAGGATTAAGGAGGACGGGAGAGAGACAGCGCAGCCTGACTCAAACACACAGAGACACAGTGCAGTGTGAAAAGAAGGGCAGGCTTCTGAAGCTTGTGTGAATGAGGCTAATTAACTCTTAGAGGACATCCCAGAGGTCAATTGTGCTGCACATTTTCTGAAGTGATTATGCCTTTGTGGAAAGCGGTGGCCTAAAACCGTGTGGCAATAACCCTGCTGCTGCTGTAGAGCACAGAAATGTACATTCACACTCACCAGGTTGGGCAGGGCGATCATCATAAATGTGTTCCTCGGCCAGATGTGCAGATAATTAGGCTTCATGGCAAACTGGGGAGGATGATCAAAGTGGGAAATCAAATTATGAGAAACATCCACTGTGGACTTTTAAAGAAGGAGTTTACTGCGCACTGACCTCTCCATTGATGGGGGGCATGGTGAGCTCCATGTAGCCGTGGGGGATGTAGGTCTGGCTGTAGTTGAAGCGGCTTCGGCGGAGGAATTGTTTGCGGATGGCAGAGAAAGCTCCATCACAGCCGACAATGAGGTCGGCCTCGATCTGCTGCTTGGACCCATCACACCTAAAGAAAGCACACACATGCATAATTATCTACACCCAATACTTCAAGGTGCAAAAGGACAATAATAACTTTGAAAACAAAAAAGTGCTTTGACAGACATAGCACAATAAATAGATCTTAACAGCAATAGGGGAAATTATTCATAAATCATAGCAAGAAAAGGATCAAAATATTATAATAAAATCATTATATGGTCATTTAAAGACTTTAAAAAAAAAAGGAAAAATAAAAAGATTAAAAAAAACACCACATCAGAATGAATAAATTAAAAAAATAAGAAAATAAGAATTAAAAGAACAATAAAATAATGAAAACAGAAAAAAGATGTGGGGTTATGAGGTAAATAAAACAAAAAATCAAACCAATTAAATAAATCATAAATCTGAATTACAATATGGGGCTGTGGCACAAAGACAACAGAGAAAACAACAATAAAATTAAAAAGAACAATAGAGATGTAGAGACAGCTGACTCTACTAACTGAGCTACGGCTGACCCAGATGGATCGGAGGAGGACTTGGGAACCAAAGTTTTTAAAGAGCTGTGAGATGGCTTAAATGGTGTCAGTATGAGAACACAAGATTAGATATTAGTTTGAATATGATAATATTCTTATTTAAAATTGAGTTTCTTACACCTTGGATTCCTCTTAATCCTACTATAACCGAACCCAACCTTAGCAACTCACATTATCGTTCATTTGAAAGGCCACGTCCTTGGTTGAGTTTCAACCTGCACAACTTTGAGGACATTTGTGTGTCAGATTATAGGTACACAAACAAGGTGAGCTGCTTTTATGTAAGTTTATAAAAGAGTGAAGTTTTCTTCATGTGGGGCCTTGAGACAAGGTGTTGCAGGTTTAATTAAGTCTGTGTGCTTCAGGTTAAATGAAATATTCCACCCTGCAAACTTCAATCAAACCTCTCCTCTACAAGAGTCTCTGAAGTGGCTCACTTTGCTTTTGTACACTCACAGATAACAGAAAAGGAAAAAATTAAGAGGACATTTTTCCTATTTTTGTAAATGTTGAATTGAATTTCAGCAAGAGATGGCCCTCAAAGTAATTTTAGCAGGGTTTGTGTTGATTTCAGCACCGTATGTGGATAAAACCATTTCTTGTCTGACACCATCTTCATTTACTGGTTGGGGTAGGGGGTCCAGGCTCGGCTCCTAATGTTCTCAAGTGCAAGAAATGCTATGGCACCAATGGGCTGGACGCACACTCAGTTCACTGCGCCGTTATGTGCAATCTTATCATCAAGAATTTATAGTTTTTCGTTACAACATGAAGTCCTGCTGAATATCCTCTCTAACTTACCTTCAAATCAGGCTAAATGAGGTTTGGACACAGAGCTGAAACAGTACAAGCACCAAAAACAGCAAAACTTTAGAAACTGAACTTGCATCGCCCTAAAAGCTGGTTGTGTCTGTGTTACTGACATGCATCAGGAAATGTTTATGATTGACATCATAGAGCATAGAGATGTACATCAACAGGAGGCTTTCTGAAGCCAAGTCACACAATTAACACAGCGCTCTTCATCTTACCCAGCCTGTTACAGGAATGTATCGGTTGTATTTCAGGTGATGGACTAGATGCGCAGTGGGAAAAATGCAATGAAGAGTAAATGTCAGATAAAACAATCTTGTCTTATCATTGTCTCATTAGTGAAAAAGGAACCTATACTCAACAGTATTTAAGTTATTAGAAATGATGTATTGTATCTCGTCTCTTCTCATCATTGAAAAAGGTCAGTGATGAACATCTAACATCTTAACATTCAATAACAAAATGAACACCGTATGTACCACATCATGTCAAATCCAGGAAACCTTTGTATGAACGATGCATCAAGAACTGCAGTCTCAGTATGTGGCCGCACCTGTTCTAACCGCTGAGCCAAACTGATGTCTAAATATACTAGTCAGACTTCTTCGTGATGGTCCTGTTTAAATATACATATAAAATAATGAAGTTATAATGAGACACAATTTGGACTTGGACACTGGCAATTAGGACTAAACTTGGATGCCCCCGGAAATCACTTTCTATTGATTCGACTCAGACTCAAGGTCTGGTGACTTAACTACAGCTCTGTGTGTAGGTATCAGTTTCTGCCAAAAAGTCCTATTCTGATCTCCTGTAAAAGTCTACTGTTACACTCATTTGAAGTTTTTGTTGTGGAAAATGTGAAAGAGGAGTTTCTTCACATGCTGTAAATCGTTCTCTGTGAGACGTCCACCAAGCCAGCGAGTCCAGGTCTTAAATTCACCAAATAAAAACAGCCAGTCTTATTGCTGATGGTGCTTTTTGCTTTGGTATCTCATAAACAGTCGTCAATATTAATCTCAATGTGTTTTATAACCGGCTTAAACTCCTTACAAGGGCTTTAAATCTGCACCAGGCTCAATAGTGAAAAGACAGTTTCAGAGACACAAACTTTCTTTGAACTACAGATTTGAAGTTTTTAAAACTCAAACTCAGTAGATCTCAAACAGTGATCAAATCCTTTGTAATATGCATGCCCTGCACAGCTGTATGTCATTTTGGCAGATCAGACCAGAATCTTAAGCAGAGTTTAGACACATTCATGGACATGTTATCAGATTTAAAGCAGTAAAGTAGATTCTTGAAGAGTCATTAGAAAAAAAGCAGATCAAGTGTGTGTATTCAATGCTGGTTTCTTGGCTGCTGTGGGAGGATGGTAATACTATCACAGCTGCATCAGGCTCTCTGCGTACCTTTAATTACACAAGCAGGAGAGCAAACACAAGCTGCTCCGCTACAGCGCAGAGGCAGGGATGTGTCCTGGATGTGTAAGGTGCACTCTAGGGAGACTTTCAGATTCCAGGCACATCCACAGTTGTCATGTTAAACTTGATTTAATTAAAAGTTTATAGCCACAGAGACTCATTTTAATCTGCATTTTGAACCCGGTACATGTTGAACCTAGAGGAATGAAATTCCTGGAAAGGACAGCACACTCATCGGAATGGTTTTTGTACATTTTTAGATAAGGAAGACTTCAATTTGAAAACTCAGCCGTACTTGTCAATAATTTTCAAAGTTGAAAACACCTGCAGGTGTTTGACTGTTAATTGGGCTGTAAATGTGTCACATTTACCTGAAGGACGACCAATTTCACAGCTACAAAACAACCACACACGCACACACACACACACACACACACACGCACGCACGCTTCAAAGGCAGCATGTTTATCACCCTCTCAGACCTCGGGATGTCCGCATGTGTTTACATGAGGGACCACTGAGGCAACAGGATCAATAAAACCATTGTTAAAACAGAGAATCCTCCTACGAGATAACCTTACATATATTACCCGCGTGAGTGTGTGCTGCTTGTTCAGGAGTGCGCGTGTGTACCATCAGTAACTATTTACCTGACAAAGGTCATCAGCCCCGTTTCAGCATTCCAGTCCTGCAGTTTGTGGTCAAAGTTCAGCTTTGTGTTTGAATACGTCTCTGCCTCTGTGAGTGAGACATAACATGTTACAAAAGAGCTTATATCAGAGATTTCACATAAAAAGCATGACATAACAGCAGCACTTAAATAACACTGTTAAAAAAGACATGAAACCTTTAACTTTTCTGATAAAAAGCAGTCAGACAACAGTTTGACTTCATCCTCACTGCAGGGAGCTGACCTCCTATCGAGCAGCTACAGCAGTCACTGTATCTCGATGTGAAAAAGTCATGTTTACGTTGTCACACTATGGGAAATCTCTTTATCTTAACCTTAATTTCAGGAGTCTGGATTAGCCCTGATAAGATAAGAGCCCCAGCTTTACAATCAGCCTCTGTTTTAACTAATTAATTAAACACAGACCCACGCTGTCACAAATTATCTCCAAGCACACACTGAGGCGCTTCATTAAATATTAGGTAAAATCCCTTTAATGCAGAAAGACTGACACATCCCCTGCCTGCTGTACTTACGCAGTCTTAAAAAAAACCTTGCATGAAGCAAACGCACAGGGAATATCTGCTCTGCATGCTAGATAACAGCCTCATTTGGTTAGTGTGTGTGTTTTAACTTGGGGCTCCTCGCTGCAAAGGTCATGAATTAAGAATGCATTGAGGATACAGACATGATTAAGAAACCTTTATGAACATACAATCTAAAATGCTGTTTGTAGAAGTGGACTGGAACTTATAGAGGGGGGTCTATAATGAGTCTCCCTACCACATGAGGGTTAACATTTGAACAGCTTGACAATCAAAGGCATGTGGCTCCATTCAATACTGAGTCACAGCAATACCTAACAGTACCTGGGATCTCACTGTGGTTAATACACACTGATATAAACAATTTTTGTAAAGATACAGTGTATTACAGATTTCACTAATGTGTCTAAACAACCACATCATAACCTCCTGTAAAACATACTCAAAGTACTGGACCCTGGAGGAGTTGCTCTTTTACTAATATTGTGATTTAAAATGCCTTGAATGTAGTGGATGTAGTTTAAAGCTACTGTGATGAGTTTTTTGCATTTATGAAAAAGAAACCGTTAGTGACAAGACAGAAGATTTTTATATCATCAGTTTTTATGCCTGAAACTGGTGTGAGAGGGTAGGTGTCATCCTTGCAGCTGTAGAGACGGTCTTGGTTTTGCAATTTTTCTTATGAAATAAACAAAATAAATGATACACCTGACTGTCAGAAATCAGCAGGAGGATTTTGTCCCAAATTAGTTTGCTTCAAAATTGACACAAACTGAAGGGCATACGCTCCAAACTATCAGAACATGTACTGTATATGCACAGTTAAGTTCAGCTACAGCTAAAGCGCAATTAAGGGAATAACTGCAATACTATGTTTACAGGTAACGAGGGAGAATCAAATGACTGACATCAACTTGCTGGTCTTCAGGTTGACCTGTTGACAGAACGCACTAGCAAATGTCTAACAGCGTGTACAACAACATTGTTGACACCATCGCTGTTTCTGCTCTGTAATATTTGTTTGTACAATATGAACGTTTTGTCTTTTTACATCTTTTCTTCGTCTGTCGAGATTTTGTTTGTTACCCGTCTTCCTGGCAACACATTTACGCTGTACAGCCTCTGGCTGTGTGAACACGCAGGTCTATTTCAGCTCCACTGAGGAGTGTCTTGCATTATCCAGGAATGTTAGTCTGGCTACAAGAAGATTTTATGTGATTTCTAACATGTTAACATGTTTTTTTAAAGTCCTGTTTTACTTGGACAAGTGAAATAAATGGATTTTATTGAGAAACATGTAAATGTATTGATTGTGTCGCTCAAAGAAGGCAGGAAAATGTCAACAATCTATGTTTTTAGAAACACAGCTCTACTCTTGCACAACTCAAATTTATGATGAAAAGCCATGAAACTCATATTAAAGCAGTTCTATGTCTACATGTGAGTGGCTTCTGTAACCCACTTTCTTTTTTTTTTGATAAAAGCAGGACATCAGGAGGTGTGCAAAATCATGCAGGTGCCACTCTCAGCCCAGCTTTTTGTAGTTCATGATTTCATTATGCACACTGAGCAAAGCCATTAGACACGAAAGCAATCACACTAAAGCTATTCACAGTATTCACAGTGGGAGTGTTCAGCTGATAATAAATGTTAATGGTATGTAACATTGGTCTTGCTCTGGTACTGAATATTAGCCAACTATATCATAGTTATGATGTCAAGGAAAAATGGTACCCAGTTTTATTTTGACTCCTCAAAGAATTAGGCTACCTTATGTAGCCCTTATCCTTTAGCAGTGAGCATGGTATCCTACCTGTTAGCAGCTCTTTGTTCAAATTGGCTCGGTCCACTGATAGGATGAACTGAAAGAAGAACAATCTGTATGACTGTGTGATCTGCAGCTTCACACACACAAACACACACACACAGCCAACAGTGTTAATTGAAATGGGAACAGAGAGTCTCCAGGGTTTCTCCTGTACTCTTGTATATTAACAACTCAACATGCTTTCATTTCCTTTCTTGTTTATTTTTATTCAATTCCACCATGAGATTCCCCCCAGAGGCCACTGTAATTAAAAACAAATAACAAACACACATAATCATAACCTCATTCTTTGTTGCACTTGTGTTATTGTAATGCATCACTATCTCAGCCTGATATCTCATCATACAGAGCATTTTTAGCCTGGTCACGTAACACACGTCTGTGTTAACATGAACATTATAGTTTTCTTTACACATTAGCATGTGGGGCCTGAAGGGCTGCAGAGTTTATACTCCATCTGCAGTCTGACCCAGCACATGTGAAGGAATTCTCACAGTATGCTTGGTAAGACTGCAACAGACAGCCTGTGCATTTATATAATTTAAAGCTCTGAAAGGTTCAGTGAGTATAAATGGGAGCATTTAGCGATATCCAGTGGCAATGGTGACCTTTAAGTTACTTTGTACACAACAAAAAACATTTGTTTCTGTCTTTCATCTGCTGTTTTTTTTGCACAGCCAGTCACTAAATACTAAACTGTGTGTGTTACCAGTTTGATCTTTATATTAAAGTGATAGTACACCACCTATATAATTATTTTGTCTAATAAAGGAGTATCTTATCTTACCAAGTCTAATCAGCAGAATGCTATTAAATAATACACACAGTACCTTTACAAAGGCACTATATGCGGGGGGAGATGGGTGATCTAAGCCTGTGGGGCAGCTGAACCACCCCTTGCTTCTTGGTGACCATAAAAAAAAGTTGGTTATGTGATCACACGTTTTCGAAGAGTCAGTCATTTTAATCACCCTGTGATGTACAGAGGCCCGTGGATTAAATGGTAGGCATTTTTGGTTTTAAAAAAGCTATAAATTTCCAATTCAAAGTGACTTTTTAACTTTTATAGAGTCATGGTTCTTGTACCTGAACAATCAGAGTCAAGTCTGAGGAAATTTCAGTCATGTTTAAGTGTTTAAGAATGCTACCTAATGAGACTATACCATTAGCTTGATGCCAACTTTTCACCGACATGGATTTGTGAAAATGGCAAAGAGGAGTCAGGAAAGTTGAGCCAATCAGTACATTTACAAGCACAGTTAAGTAAGCAACGGTCATAGTTTTATTAGGTGATTTAACTGGACTAATGTCCTTGTCCCAGTTTACAAGAACCAGGCAAGAATCTAATTATTGACAGAAGATGTCTGCCACTGTTACAGCTGGTGGCAAACTGCCCCCTTATAGCTCAGTACTATGGGTTATCTCCTGGAAGACCAGAACCAAAACAATCGATAGATGCATTACCAAGAGGCTAACAGGGTGATTGAAGAACAACGTAAACATCATCACTTTCATAGCTCTGTGTTGTTTGTGTGTATGATAGGAAAAATTCATCTTTTGTAACGTCCTTTTTTTTCCACCTGTCAAGTTTTTGTATGCAACCCGGCTTCCTACCAATGCCTTTCTGCTACTCAACCTCCAGCTCAAGGCCCGGCATGTGAACAATAAAGCATGCACAGAACTCTTCAGCCAGTTTTAGTCTTACACAAAGAAGAGAAAGTCAATTTGTAACTTCATTATCTCAGTATGTTAGCCCGACTACGAGAAGCTCGATTTAGTTTGATTTCAGTTGGACTAATGTGTTTACATGTTTTTTTTTAAGTCAAGTTTCAGTCAAACTGGGGCAATAAATCTGTTTTTTTAACCACATGTAAAGGTACTGAATGGCTCAGCCTAGAGGAGCAATGTACATTTTCTTCCTATCAAATCACTGCCAAATGTGAGCAGTTATTATGACAGCCTGTGGCTAAAGTCAGTAAATCCAATCAGATTTTCTTTTTCCTTTATTTGCAGTTTATGTAAATGCCATTTTTACCTTGAATTTGATTTGGTTCAGGTCTGGTAATGGACCTCCTTGGTAAAGAAAACCAGCCTTTTAAGTCGTAAACTTTTACCTTTAGATAATAGCTTTCAGAATTTGTCTTACTTTAATAAAGCGGTACATAAAGTTCAAATATTCAATTTTTACTTCAACATAAAGAGTGGAGCAATTTATCCACTTGTGGCTCATCCTACCCTCTCGTAAGTCTCAACCTATCCTCACAAGCGGCAAGTTGATACAAGAGACAACTTTATTTTCCGAGTCTTGAAAGATTGAGCCGTATGAATTTTTAAAGTTAACAAATGCACCACGGTTTAACAGTTTTGGGTGATATACATGTTGGATGTTAACGTAGATATAATCAGTAAAGCCATGAAAGGTAAATATATCCTACTTATGAAAATGTATTTTCACCTTCTTCCTACATACTACATATGTATGCCACTCCAGCAGAAGTCAGCGCTCAAGTTCAGCTATTCCAATCAAAGAATAATGAACCTCTTTCTCCTGTTTTTGGAGGAAAATGTTATCCTTTAGTCGTCTGAAATACAACATGCTAGTGCTCATGTCCTAGCTCTTTTTGAGCTGTGCACGATTAAATATATGACCGGCTTACCTGACCTTTCTTGCCATAAGGGATCGGGGACTGTTTCCCAGACAGAGAGTGGATCATTCTTGCATGCATGGGGATCCCTTTGGAGACAATCTGAAATCAAAGTTAATGAAAGGGGTTATATTTTTAGATTAACCCTCATTAAAATCTAGAAAAAAATCACTGTATAATTTAACATCATAAAGGAGAATATGTGTTTTAACTTTCACTTCTGTAAATGGACTTTGTGGATATATAGTTGGTGTTTCATCCCCTTTAAACTGTCATGTTTAACCATGAAACAACTGCAGAGGGAGATATATGTATTTAATATGAAAAGCTTTGATTGCTTTGCTGTGAAATCCCAGAATGAACCCAGGTGCCACCAGTCACCTCCAGTTCAATTACTTTGTATCCAACAGATGCTTTCTGGACTGCTTGTATTTGTTTATCAGGCTGCAAAAAGCAAATGTAAACTCCAGAGTATATCATTATGAAAAGAGTAAAAGCCCAAAGGGGGTAAATACCCAGGCAAAAAACGTTGTCGTGCCACAGCCCGTCCAGCACGCTCACATGACCACCCACTATCTGCCTTTGAAAGTGTTTGTGAAAACCTTGTCTCCTCATGCATGTGTAAAATATCAGTGTCTGATGCACACTTCTCGGGCCTGCATGATGCGGTCAGAACAGCAAACGTGGACAATGAAGAAAAAAGACTGCCGACCTCAGATGCCAGAGTGTCCTGAGTGGACAGAATCCCTGAGGCTTGGCCACAAAGTTAATATTTCATTACTACAAATCCAGCTCAACGAAAAGTGAAGGCTTTCCACCCACTTGACTCCACTTGAGCCTGTGATGTCTGGCCCAGGAGGACTGGTAGAGCAAATAGGAGAGGAGTGTAGATGACCTCAGAGGCTTAATGGTGATGCAATGGCTCTAAGCTGTCTTACTCTACTGGCATCAGCATTATCTTATTATCAGCCTTATTCGTACTGTATACAGCGGAGGACAGTAGAGAGAAAATATATTTGAGCGCTGTATTAAAGTACAATTTTTGGGGGTCTTAAATTTATAATGTTTTTGAAAATACTACAATATTGATATTATGCTAAAAACAAGCATCAGAAAGAAACTGTGAGAGTAGAAAATGATGGACTTGTAATATTTATGAACACATGTTGTATTGCTTCACCTTTGTCTTAGCTTTCCTCAGTTTTACTTCCTGTCTTGTTTGATTTTTACATTTGTTCATGAGATGTTTGAGGGCCACAATAATCATGACATCTGTAATGATTCTTCTGATGTCCATGTTAAGCACTTTGAACTGCCTTGAAATTTGCTTTAGAAATAAATTTGCCTTGCCTTGCCTTGTCTATGTATTTTTTAAAAGCAAGTACTCCAGGACTTAAGCTCAACAAATAAGTTGACTTAGCAACTTTCACTTGGGTTGGAATAATATTTGACCAGGAGTGAGCCTATCTTCTTTGTTCCAGTAATGGAGCAGTGTACTTTGTCCACCACTGGTTATATCAATATCATTATCAGCCTTACTAATGTTATATCAAGCCATAACCTCCTGACTAAATCAACAGTAAAGCAAGTTATAGAGTCATTAGTTCCCTCACACATTGATGACTGACCATTAATATGGTTACACTCACCACACACACACACACACACACACACACACACACACACACACACACACACACACACACACACACACACAGACACACACACACACACACACACACACACACACATGGTCATTTGCTTTGTATATCAGAAAAGTCTTTGAATTTCAGTCTATTTCGCTGATGTCAAACAACTCCTTTAATGAGCTTAAAAGAAACAAGATGGGATGTAAATTTGCTTAAAGCTTCTGTGAGGAGTTTTTGATGTTCGTGAGAAAAAAAAAACAGAAATCACTGAAAATATTTAAAAACATACAAGACCGATGATTTTTATATGCTAATTTTTAAAACTGGTGGGAGGTGGTAAGTGTCAGCCAAGCAGATGGACAAAGAAAAACTGTTTACACAATTTTCACAGAAATATTCACACAATACTACTACTACTACTACTACTACTACTACTACTACTACTACTACTACTACTACTAATAATAATAATAATAATTTAATAAATAAAGATATCTGACTACATATGATAAGACAGTTTTGTTAGATCACACTGTTTGTGCATGTAGAGAGCAAGTTGAGCAAAGACTGCTTAGTTAACAGGGGCTGTCAAATGTGTACGAAGTGAAAGTTCCTCACAGGAGCTTTAATATTAATATGATCTGCTGTGATGTTGTTTGTTTGAATGAAAAATCTTTTTCTGTTTTTTTTTCTTCTTTTTTCCTTTTTAAATTTTTTTTTATACTGATAATGTCAATTGTCCTTTTTATTGTTTCATTTTCTTGTCCTGTGAACCATTTATTTCAACATAAAATTTTCTATTGGTCAATTTTGATTATCATGCAATTTTTTGCAATCATTATTTAAATTCTTGGCATTTTAGCTATAGGTCAGTGTACTCTGTTGTTGCTGCTGTAGTTGCCTATATTCTAATCTTTAGCTGTAGCAGAGTGTCACCTGGAGCCTTTTAAGGAATGATTTTTCTCTTTTTCCAAATATTGTCAAAGGGTTGCTGATGTTGGACCTGTACTGAGTCTTGATAAATAATTAAGAGTACATTCTGGGCCTGCTCTTTTAGTGGGGTGTCTTGAGATACCTTTTGGTTTTATCTGATGCAGTACAATTGAATATTGAACGATTGAAAATAAAACAGTGAATATAACAGTCCTGCGTACCTTCTCCTCCATTCCAACATGCTTCAGTGCTTGTCGGCCTCGGTGAGATAGAGCCAAGTTGATGCTTCTCCCCTTCACAACTTTGGCTTGCCGGATATCTGAACAGGACCAGACACACTGTTTTAATCTCATACATTCAGTTGTAATTCCTCTTTGCTTTGGGGGATGTGACAGTGTTATTTCCTCAGAAAGTGGAGCTTTCAACACTACCTTCCCTAGATTCAAAGACTTCCACATCAAAGCCTCTTTTGGCAAAGAAACACGCATTCAGAGCTCCCACCTGAAGAAGAAAGAAAAATTAGGACAGTACTTTTACAGTTACTTTTGCGGGTATGATAACAAGTTCTTATCATTTACAATTACAATAAACATGTTGTATAGCTGAACACTTTTTAATCTGGCTTTCTTTGTGCAACACTTACAAATACCAATTCACATTCAACACCAATGTAATCAAGTCCCTGTCATTCAAACATTTCAGTGCTTTTTTTAGAGGTTTTCCCTTTAAAAAAGAGACACCTCTCTAAAGGCCAGTGTTCAGTTGAAGCTCAGGAGTCCAGAAGTTCTTTGCAATAAATTGATAATTCACTTTCATTTTCTTTTTCTTACCAAACCTCCGCCCACCACTGCTACAACTTTTCTCTTGCTTGATCTGTCACTCTGTTCCTCCATGGTGTTGACAGCTTTCCTCAGGTCTGAACCTCTCACCGTCCACTCGTGGGTAATTTTCACAAGTGGAGAGTTGAGATTTAAAAAGAGGAGGAGCTGAGGCAGTCCCATGAAGGTCGCTGGTAAAATCAGTCCCCCTTTCAAAGCAAACACAGGTCACTGATAACTGAGGACAGTCTGACAACTCATTGTGGTGTTAAAAGGGATAAATCAAATCTACTTATACCTCAATACTGAACAGCGTAAGAAGACTACAGGTGTATGCCTCAGGAATTTACAACTTTTACAGATATGTTTAAAGCACAAAGGTGCAAAGATACATTTAGAAGTTTGTGGAACAAGCTGCTTTGACTTTTCAAACAGGCTTTACGCAGTATAACAGTGTCTGGTCAGAAAAAGGAGAGAAGAAAATCCTGCTATAGTTTTTTCTCTCTTTTTTTTGCAAAGATACATATTCAAAGCCAAGATAAACAGTCAGTGTTACGGATTGAGTAAGACATCAGACTTGGATCATATGTTTAAGTGAAGAAATCTATTGCCCTCTAGTGGCTCACTGGCAGCACATGTTTCTAGAGCAGAACTGAATTTACATCGTGCTTATTGCTCTGGGTTAATACCCATATCCTCATCTATCAGATCATGTGATTGAGAAATAATAGCCCCCTCATTTGTGGTGTGTTATTCAGGAAACTGATCAAATAAGTCCTGACCAAAGTAAGAGTTTCAGTTTCCTGAATGCAAACCCCCCCTTACATTAGCGTTTTGTTTTATTCTCAAAAATGAAGAGAAGGAAGGGCTTTTTAGTCGTCCTTTGGTAAGTCTTATCTTTCCTCATCTTTATAAAACACTTCGGCCGCCACATGAATGCAATAATGAAACAAAAACAGCAACAATAGCCTGCATGCATTTAACAGGAAGTAGCTATAAATCCCCTATCCCGTTCCCGTAGCTCACGCTAATCTCGGACAAAAACTAATCACGTTCACTTAATTGAATGTAGTTTAGTGGCTTTCGTAGTAGTACTTGTACTTCTTTGAGTAATTCTCAGACTTGCACTTAAGTAGCCGACTTTTTAAACAAGTATTTAACTTAAAATACATTTTACTCTGCATCGTTCATGTATTCAAAAGGGAAACAAAAAAGGATGCAAGTTTTCCATCAATAGTGGGGCTGACTGGCTGACATAAAGAGAGGAAGAGTAGGCTTAAAGTTTCCAGTATTTGGCTCAGGTCTTAATTTCATACAAAGTGACTTTCTGCCTTTACTTGAGTAGAGTTGCAGACTGGTAAGTTTACCCCCAATTAAGTGACAAAACATTTACGGGGGAAGAATATTTAGGGTGCACTTTCCAACTTTTATTTCCGCCTGTGGCCCCAATAGCAGTGTCATGATGATGATCTGATAAATAAAATAAGACCGTAGCAGAGTTAAACATCACTGACTTTTCCTTCTATCAGTTAGTATGCGTGATTAATTCCTTGAAGCCTGTTTTCATATTTATTTTATTGTACTATTTTGCATTTTTATAATTGGACAAATTCCCCCTACGTAACGGTTCATCCACACTGGATGCAGTATTTGAGAGCAGAGCTTGAAACACGATTTGATACGCTACTCAATCGGAATGCCCAGTCCAGGCTGTCTCATCGATGTCAGAACCAATGACACCACATATTTTTCAGAAAAACTTTAGACGTGTCCTTATGCGCCACGTATTTTAACAGGCGTATGCATAAACAAAGTAAGAGATGGATGTCTTAGTTTTTTATTTTTTAAAGAATTGGTCACATAACGCGAGGATATTGCTATGTTCTGTGCTCGACTACTTCAGCCTATTTAAAGATGGCGCTGTAAAAGCCAAGGTTTGTTTTCCATGGGTGCAAAGTATGTTTAAGTGCATTAAGCGAACGGCCCAGTTCACGAGATATCTACAGTCAGCAGGCAACACTTTCTCTTGAAACCAGAACTTCAGGTAAGTACTGTCACACATTTGTTAACTGTTTGCTTTAAATAATAAAGTTAAAATGACCACAAACGGCATACTATCTATCGAACCAATGTTAGCAGCTTTGGCCGTTGGAGCCAGTGTTTCGATAAAACGAGTGACCGTGTTAACTGGAGACTCAGCCAAACGCGTTTGTGATTGTCGTACTTAGACCAGCTGTTGAGGCAGAACCTCTTAGCTCCCTTTGTGACAATAACATCAAATATTTCCAACAGATACGTCTTTGCTGTCATCCAAAACACAGAGAGATCTAAGGATACGTATTCAACAGCTGTGCGGCTTGGGACAATCTCATGCGCATTTTTTCGAAAGTCTCCAGGTAACAGGGTCACTTTTTACACCGAAACACCGGCATGTTGACCCAGCTAAACCAAGCTATATAGCTAGGCTAGCACATTACGCATTGGTACTAATTTAAATGGTGGCTGAATACAGATGTGTCTGTACACAGACACCGTACAGCATCGGGATATTTTACTGGACAAACGCACCCGACTGCCTCAAGCAACCCCGCGTACTCTTATCAACCGCTGTTTGTTAGCTTAGCATGCTAAACCTTCTGCCAGTGAGATTATTGAATGCCCTCTATAAAGTCACGGCAGTCCGCTACTGTTTTACTTGCGGTCAGAACATTGAAATCATATCTTCATATAATCATTTACAGAAATGGGATGGATAAAGGCCTTTTGTTTTATGACAAGCCTATTTTATGATCAGAAACCAAGCTTATTTTATGATTTGGAAGCAGTGAGATACCAGTTTAGCATGGTTTCAATACAAAGTCAGTATCATGGACCCCGAAGAGTAGTTAAAAAAGTAATAGCTAAACAAAATGTTTGTTTGCACTGTTTGCAAAAATATATCATTTATTTTGCATTGTCAACATTAGTAAAGAAGATTTTATCAGTATGCCCTGATGTAAATATGCCAGAATTGGCACAAAAGCTAAATGTCACCTGTTGTCCTCAGGCAGGTGCTTATCTAATACAGAAAACTAATGGTACTATTGCAAAACATATTAAGAGTGTTCACTGAACCACACCCACAATAACCAAGAATCAATTTTACATTCAAAATAGATATATTGTTTCCAGTACAAATGACAGATCTGCTAAACTGGTTAAAACCTGCATTACTGTAACAACCACATCTTTTATGAGTATGCCAACTGCTTTAGCTCTCACAGTATTATCAGGTTTCTCAATGGTGTGTTTCAAGGTTATTTAGGCTTGACATTTTCATTAGTTGTTGTTTTTTCTTTTTTGGTTTATTTTTTCTTCTTAAGGATCATATCACACAGCTTATGACTGCTTGTTTGTGTAGTGTAGTTTTATATTCTGAAATGCTTTGTTAAATTTTGGATTTTATTCACTTTGGTGTTGGATTTTTGCACAGAATACTTGTCAGGGAGGAAAGCTAGAAAAATACTGTAAAATAAAAACTCAAAACATTTCTTTCTTTTTTTTTTTGTTTTCAAATACTAAAAAAAATCAACCTCAGCCATCCACAAATACAAACCATAAAGAATATGTGTCAATCAGTGTGCTACTGCTGTGGAATGAGATAAATTGATCAAAACAAAGTCCAAGTTATTTTGTTTCTTTTGATTTTACTTTACTTATTTTCATGAACACACAACACAGTTGCAATTGTTGTTTGTTCATCAAGTAAAGTCTTCATTTGTAGTTATATTTGAATCAGTTCAAATCTTTTTGACAACCTGGTTTTTTATCTAAAAGATGGTAACCTTGCTGGCTGTTAAGATCAACATACGTACCTCATACCAGACTTTAACATGAACAGGTTTTTCATCATTCAAACTGTTTGTGACTGGATGAGATTGTTAAATTGATGGTACTTTTGTGGAAACACGAACAACATTATTTTTATAGAACTTTCCTTTTCCTTGCAAAAAGAGTGATTTCTATAGTATACCGTTAAACCAGAGCCTGTCTGGGCTGTAATGTCTGTTTGAATTAGAATATGAACAGAGCAGGCCTGGGTCTTTGGCTAACTACATTTGTCTTTCCCTCCACTGCAGGCTTGTGTCAACCTTGCCTCTCAAAATGATCGACCCAGCTGTGCAGAGGGTGGTCAGCGACATAATCCGCTCCCCTGAGGACAAACGGGTGTACAGGGGGCTTGAGTTTACCAATGGCTTGAAGGCCATTCTCATAAGTGACCCAACAACAGATAAATCTTCTGCTGCTTTGGATGTCGAAATAGGTACAAGTCTCTCACCATCATTTTAATGTAGCAAGGAGGAAACTTTTATTTAGTTGTATTAAAATGCATGAGAAAAAATATGTTAAAAGTATCTATAATTTCTGTGTCCTGTGTGAAATATTAACATAATTTTATGCACAAGACAAAACTGTGTTTGTTGTCCTCTTCTCTTGCTGATATAAAAACAACTTTAGGCATAAAAACAGAGGAGGGAAACAGTAAGATTCTCAACACTTACGACTCATGAAATTACATTGACAGTTGTCATCATTAGGTCTCTCCAACTGGAAGTTTCTCCTAAAAGTCTGAATTGTGTATCCTCTTGGTAGTTTTTCTGGTGTAGTACTACAGAGTTCTCTGTTTGTTGCCACTGTCCATTATTTTTCTGTCTTATCTGCATAACCAATCTGACAGACATTGAAAGTTTGCATATCACTCAAAGCAAAGAGCCACAGCTTCATCCACTCATTTTCTGCTTCGTCTTGATTTCACAGGTTCATTATCAGACCCAGAAAACATCTCTGGCCTGGCACACTTTTGCGAACACATGCTGTTCCTGGGAACAAAGAAGTATCCCAAGGAGAACGAGTACAGCCAGTTTCTCAGCGAGCATGCGGGCAGCTCCAATGCTTTCACCAGTGGAGAGCACACAAACTATTACTTTGACGTGTCCCATGAGCACTTGCAAGGAGCGCTAGACAGGTACTTGTTGATGGGATTGAATTTTCTTTGTGTCTAAAACTGTACTAATTTTAATGCCAATTCACCAGCGTTTACATTTTTTCCTGCTGCATACACTTTTATTAGAAATAGATATTTACAAGTCTCTTTAAGGCTGCAGTTCACCAGTGAAGACAGATGTCATGGCTCTCCTTGGTACTTGTTTAGTGATCAGTACACAATGTGCCCCCTGAGAGTCCAGGTGTTAATCCAAATGAGCCGCCAGGTCCTTGTCTGGCAGTATTTGGTTACCAGACCTTGTGTCCTCCATTGTCCTTTTTCTAATGATCAGTATAATTTGCACTCCCCCTATGGCAGGGTGAGACTGATGTCTCCAGCTCTGCAGGGGGGCTTGACTCACGTGTCGGATGCGCTGCTTGAGGGCAGGGTCAGGTAGTGTCGGCTTACCTCCTTATAAATGAATGATGGTCCAGCAGGCACCTGTTTGTATATCGCGAGCTGATTGCTCCCCTGTGCCGGTGAGCTGTGAAGGCCATCTGGACTGGAGTGGTGGGAAAGGACAGTGTGTAGTGTGAAATATTAATGATGTTGCCTTTTTAGAAAAGAAAACAAGGACACTGTGTCCAAAAGGATCATTTGTGTCCTTAGCAGACCCTATGATCTTTATAACAGACCTCTTGCTGTAGATGACTATAGGACAAGAAGAGCTTACAATCCTGGAAAATTACAATCAGGGAAAAAAATATTCTTTACAAGCTGTCCTGGTTGTGACTATAAACTAATCAGTGCAAGGGCCATGGTCTGGTTGTGTTGCCAGATTCAGCCAGAGACACTTTTAGCCCACTCCATCAGGGGCTGTATAAATCAGCTGCATAAAGCTTCAGCAGCAACTGAGCTGGGGAGTCGCTTGAAGAGCAACCAATTGTTGCGTTGTCCTCATTTGCATGGCAGTTGCTGCTACTTTGCACCCATGCAAATTGATTCTCATCAAGTTCTAGCTCATGCTCTCAGTGTGCCCCAGAAACAAACACCCTACATTCATCTTAGAACAGCAAAGACGCGAATATTTAAATGTTGTTATGTATCCAAACAAGACTTGTTATTACTCATCCAAACAAGAATTCCTTGATACTCAACTGTACTCTTGAATGTTTGCCTCACTGTAGGTTTGCCCAGTTCTTTCTGTGCCCTCTGTTTGATGAGAGCTGTAAAGACCGGGAGGTGAACGCAGTGGACTCTGAACATGAGAAGAACCTGATGAATGACGCCTGGAGGCTGTTTCAGCTTGAGAAGGCGACCGGCAATCCTGACCATCCTTTCAGCAAATTTGGAACAGGTACAAAGTCTGCAGAAGTTGTAAAAATACACGTCCATATGATACAGTTAGACAAACTGCAGTCTTTAGCTTATCAATCTTTTACTAAGGAGACAATAAAGACAACTTCAGTACTCTTAACTTCACCGGATAACCACACAAAAGTATCCTGTACATGGTTGTTTGTTTCATTGTCTATATTATGGACCAGTCTGCATAAATATGACTTATTAGCATGTGGAAAATAGACATAATCGTTTCTCATAATTGTGTCCAAATAAGTAGAAGATGAAAGCTTACATGGCTCGGCATTGATGGGTTATGCTGATAAAGGCTACAGCTTTCAAAAAGACTGTGGTGTTTTAAAGCCTTAACCCATTAAAACCACCACATATTTTCAACTATTGCGGCTTTGATCGGTGACGTTAACAGCTATTAAACATATCCATCAACATCGACTGCTGTGACATTTCCTCATTGCGAGTGAAAGCATCTTAATGCCTGTAAGTAGTTTACTCTCTGTGAATTCCCAGATCAGATTGACAGACTTGGAGCAGCTCCCAGCTCAGAATAGCCACCTGATGGCAGTCTTGAATTTTCTAATCTTGATTCCAGTTAAGAGTAGAAGAGGATCAGCCAGGCCTGAAAGTCGTGAACTCTTAGTGAACCAACATAATCTTTTTTAATCTGTTGAGATTGTTGTAGCGTTTGTTGCCTTGTTTTCAGTGTCTCAACCACCAGTCCTTGACTTACTCCAGAAGTTTTTAACATAGCCTGCGGTAGTTTGTGAAATATGACTGACAGACAGCTTGTTAATACATCTTACACACTCTTGTCACTTAGCCATCATACACTGATTGAAGAACACTCTCTTGTGTTGCAGTGCTGTGAATATTTATGACCATGCTGAGGTTTACGTTGCAACTGCAGCCGAAAGAGAGAGTCATTGTTCTAGGTAGTGCAGTGCTTATTATTGCTCTATTGATATATCGATACACTCTTAAGCTTATAGTTGTGGATTTGTTGATTCTAACTGCTGTTGTAATAGTATTTTGCGACTGTGGAGGACAATTTCCCTTCATGTAAACTTCTTTTTTCTGTCTGGTACGTGGTGTAAATGTTTAACCTCTCTTGTTTAATGCAGGTCTTCTGATGCCTTCTTTTGTTTAAGGGTTAAAAGGTCTAAAAATTGCTCAATCCAAATCTAGTCTTTTATTTAGGAGTTTCAGAAGGACTTTAGGGAGATTATATTGAAGAATTCTGTGTTATTCTTTTGTAGGTAATAAACTGACCCTTGAGACCAGACCCTCTAAAGAAGGCATCGACATCCGCCAGGAGCTCCTGAAATTTCACTCTACGTACTACTCCTCTAACCTGATGGGGCTGTGTGTGTTAGGAAGAGGTAACGTGATGCTTTGAATGTCAAAACAACTCGAACAGGTTAAGGCCTTAGACAGTATGGATGGAGGAACTTCATTATGGCTACTGAAATGCAATGTGAGGGAGACTGACAATAACTTTAGTGACTAATTTGTGACTGAATTCTTTCTGATATTTGATACAACAGATCCTCAGTTTCAAACAGAGGTTAAAAGAGTCAGCCCTCTTATCTCTATCCCTCAAAAATCATCAGTACTCAGTGAAATGACAGCTGTTTGCCTCAGAAGTTGTAGATTGTAATGTTGGCCAGCCTGCTTATTAAATCAGGAGTTTGATTAGTGCCCTGTCTTTATTACTTTGTGGTAATAATAACCTGGTTTTGTTGTTTCTGATAGACGAAGGAAGGAGATACCACCCTCAAGAATCTTGAAATGACGAATCTCTCTTATGGCTTCATAGAAAGAATAGAAAACTTTACTGACCTGCTCAACAGTTTTCAAGACTCTGATTGGACAATCACTGTTTAGTGAAAGGTCAATTGTAGAGGAGCAGTTTGACAGTACAGACGAGAATACCCAGACCTGATTTATGGCTCCTAGCAGGTCTGAACTGTTTTTTAAATGCTGAATTTGACACCTTTTTTTGGTTGAGATTTGACAGGAATAAAACGTGGGGGCAGTATTTAATCCAAGCCTTGCAAATTCTCAGAACAGGCTACAGAGAATGTGGTCAACACATTCAGGGATTATTCTAACATCTGTGCATCTCGTGTTTTGATTCTTTACCAGGGTTTAGAGTAGACAGTCAACGTTGTAACGTCATATATATGTATGAAAATACAGATCAACATGATAGGTCTCCTTTAACTTTGATGTAACTTAGCCTTTTTTTACTGTCAGTAAAATCTTATAAATATTTTGAATTCGTTTAACTCAACTTTTTCTCTTTTTGCCCACAGAATCATTAGACGAGCTGACCTCGATGGTGGTGAAGCTGTTCGGAGAAGTAGAGAACAAGAATGTGCCTGTCCCAGAGTTCCCTGAGCATCCCTTCCAGGAAGAACACCTCAGAGTTAGCCACTTACTTATCTCACAAACGTTTCCCACCCTGCATCCTTAAACAGAAATATACGAGCAGTGACTTTAATTAAATGAACTTTTTGGTGGCAGTCTTCAGGAACAAGCTAAAGAAACTTTTTTTTCACACTCCTTATCTATAAAAAAAGAATTTCTCTTTGACTTTTCTTAACCAGCAAGCAGCACTAAAGTTTTTCTGTGTGTCGTTTTGTGTGTCGTGTTGCAGCAATTCTACAAAGTGGTGCCCATCAAAGACATCAGGAACCTGTATGTGACTTTCCCCATCCCTGACCTACAGAAGTACTACAAATCTAACCCAGGACATTATCTAGGACATCTGATTGGTCATGAAGGGCCAGGAAGTTTGCTATCAGAGCTCAAATCTAAAGGTAGCACAGCCGTAATCAAACACATCCACACACAGGTGTCTATTATTTGACCTTGATATTACAAGACAGCTGCATTTCAAACTCAGTGAAATTGATGATGGTTGTTTCCTAGGCTGGGTGAACACACTTGTGGGAGGGCAAAAAGAAGGAGCTCGAGGATTCATGTTCTTCATCATCAATGTGGATTTGACTGAGGAGGGCTTATGTAAGTAGTTTAAAACGATTACACTCATTTGTTTGCCGTTGACTGATATGCTTTTGTGTGTGCGAGGAAATGAACAATAAAGCACGCTCACTAAGGCTCTTATCACTGCAGTGCACGTAGAGGACATCATCTTCCACATGTTTCAGTATATCCAGAAGCTGCGCACTGAAGGGCCTCAGGAGTGGGTGTTTGAGGAGTGCAAGGTAATTAATGTTGTCTGTTCAGACAGAGGGGAAAGATAAACCTGACCCACTTATGTCTGCCCGGTAGAGAAACTAATAGAGAAACATAGGCATTGACAGCAGAGGCGGATGGGTTCAAACCTGTCAGCTATTTTCATCAATTTTGTCTGCTGTGCTGAATGTATGCGTGACAACTAAGGCTGGACCGCAGAAGATAGACTTTTACAGAGTAGCACAGCATCTCTATCTGTACTGAAACATTCAATCCCAGGCAGATGAATGTGCAGATTAATTTTGTGCTCTTTTCCTCTCTATCATCCGTGTGACTGTTACGTGTCTCTGCCTGTCTCCATAGGATTTGAACAAAGTGGCCTTCCGATTCAAGGACAAGGAACGACCCCGCGGCTACACATCCAAAGTGGCTGGTTTACTACACGTAAGTCCCCCCCTTTCCATCCGCAAAGGTTGTTACCAGGGAGACCCGATGCAGCTCATTGCGTCCGTACCTGCTGTCGTCATCGGGCTGTCTGCTGCTCCCGTTGGCTCTGGATTTAGAGTGTGGAGAATCTGCAGAGGGACAATCAAAAATAGGCTAGACTTTTATTTTTATCACAGCTCCTCGGTGACTATCAGCACAGCTCACAAACAGAAAAACCTCACAAGAACTTATGGTCACTGCTGCACCAATTACAGGATTCTTTTAGACGTGCTTTGGATTGTACATAATTGTCCTTTCATCGTGTCATGCTATCCTCTCGAGGAGGAGCAGCCTTTGGTATTTTCTTTATACACATATTTACAGTTGGCTTGTAAAAATAAAGTAGTTTATAAGAGATCAGTGCTCTACCTATGTGTGTCATACTGTCAGGGGCAGTTAGAGACATATTTCAACCTTGAAAGTAAATGAACGGATGAAGTAATTAGACGCAAAGTCTGTGCCACATGTGTTTTATATCATATATATATATATCAGTAAGTAGAATACTGACAGCCTCCTTTTTTGTGTGTTTCAGTACTACCCCATTGAAGAGGTTCTAGCTGCAGAGTACCTTCTAGAAGACTTCAGGCCAGACCTGATAGAGATGGTGCTGGACAAGCTGAGACCAGAACATGTCAGGTCAGTATGAGAACTTCAGTCTGCATTGTGTTTAGAAATATTCATCAAACTTTTATATACTTGGTTGCATCCTTCTTTTCCCCTTGATATAAGGTCAAGTATATGATCTTACAAACTCTGAAAAGTATGTTTAGTTTTGTTCATTCCTCTTGGGTTGATCAGGACTAAACTTAAAACGGTTCACAATGATTTAAAACTGTGTTTCTGATACTAACACTAGGATAAAAGCAAATCATTTCCCAGGTGGGAATTTCTGTAATTATGATGCTACTCATTTGTGTGATCTATAAATAGGTGAATGCTCAGCCTCATATACGCATAAGAATGTTTGTGTTCGTGCTGATGAAAAACAAAAATCATGATATTTAATCGACTTAATCTGCTCGACATTCATACCGGGTATATTTTCCAGATAATCGTGTGGAGGACAGTGTGTCCTGATGATCCATGCTCCTTTTGCGTGTTAGCTGTGACAGTGTGATGAGACATCATTTCAAGGAGGAAAGCCAGACGCTTTCTCAAACATGATTACCTCTGCAGCCTCTGAGCTTCAGTTTATGTGATCAGGAATACATTATAAAGTTTTGCAGCTTGAATTGGAGATGCCGGTTCCCTCAACGGATATTTGCATAATAAAATCAGCCGACATAAACTGCTTTTGAAACTGACTTATGTTTGCTCTATGCTGTGAGAAGATATTGGCTGTGGGCATGAAGCACTTTGACACCTCAGTGGTGATTTTACTTTGTGTGGTAACTGGGAACCTTTTAAGGACTTGTGAAAGTTCCACTGCTGGGATCAGGGTCTGAATGGAGTTTGTAGGATGTAGTTTTTGTTCCTGCTCTAGAGGTGGTACTTTCTTAAGGTGCAGCATATTAAGATGCAGGTACCAAGGGCAAGTTTTCTGGGAGTCTTAGCTGTGAACAGTTTGTGTGGGTAGAGTCCTTTTGTGATTTTTGTGTTATAATTAGACATAAGGCATCATTGTTGCGTTGCAAACAAGTAAAACAGCTGTGTCATGTAAGTGGATAATCAGCTTGATCTTCACAGAGCTTCAAACAATGACACAACTACAGTCATCTTGACTAAGCGGACCTTTAAATCCCTTCAGACAGTTTGCTACTTGAAGTAGAATTCAAAGTTCTTAGTTGTAGGTGGGTGAAAACTTGATTTTTAATTGTTTTTTGGCAGCTGTTATAACATCAAATGACGACTTTAGAAAAGTCATGTCTATCCATTTACGCACATCAAGCTTTTAAAAGTTTTTCATTGATGGATAACCTCTTGTGTGACTTAATAAACTCCTAAAAGAGAGCGAAATCTTGGCGCTCCACTCCGAGCCTTAGTTTTGCCTTGTGTAGCTCTAACACAGCTTTTATTTGAAACTACATATGTCAAGAAAGGTGCAGATTTGTAACTGGTCTGTTCCTTAATGCCTACCATAGAGGAGATTGCATGCACTCATTGGCTGACCCTGACTGTTTCAGTGCCAGTGTCCTCCTCTGCTGAAGTGGGTGTTTAACCTTGAAGCCTCTGCCAACGCTGCTTTGAATTCATGACGGTGTTTCAGTGCGTGTCGGTCTCTTTTCAGCTGCCGTGAATGAAGTTACTGAGAGTGAGGTTGCATCATGACAGTGCCAGTGTGTGTTATTTGTGTTACTTTTGTATTATTTTTATTTTGCGTAAAAGATACGTCACCGCTCCTTCATAGCACTCCTCTTCCTTTATTTGTCATCTTTCTTTTTACGTCCACAATAGATGGTTACATGTTGTCATTTCTAGGAGGGATAATTGACGTAGTCTGTATATGTAACACTTAATGCATGGAGGTGTAATGGCAGAGCAAAGCCATTCAGCCTCTGATCCTTCCTCAGAGGTAGCAACAAAGGTGGAATGGGCAGAAAAACGGCAGATGAGTCGTGACAGTGCCTGGGTCTGCAGTGACATAATGCAGTGTTTAATTACACACTGGGACACCGATGTGATGCCATTAAGTACAAAGGTGTGGTGATGGTGGAGCTGTGTCACAGTGTCCCAGTATGTAAGAGCCTCCTGTTTTTTACTTCAGACTTTGTTTCATATTTGTCTGTTTTCTCTTCTATTTATATCCTCTCGAGTTTACTGCTCCTGCTCCTATTACTGGGCTTAATTTATTTGTGCAGCAAAAAAACTCCCAAATACCATCCATCTGCTAAATGAATAATTGTTCTCCAGGTAACAGGAGGTACTGTTTTTTTTTTTTTTTTTGCAACTATCTCACAGTAAGAAATACTTTCATTATAATCCCACATATTATCTGTGCGTCCAAAATAACGTATTACTTTTTCCTCAGTTTTCTAAAACTATTTCTATTGAACTGAAGCAGCCTGAGCTCCCCCCATAGCCTGACCGCAGTATAGGTCAAGACCCCAAAATTCTAATACACACCAAATATTAATATTTATCATAATACCAAATCAGGATTTCTGTCATTTGTTAACTCAAGAGCTCATTTTCTGAGAATGTTTGTTTAATAAGATATTTTAATGTGAAAAGAGAAAATGGATTGGCAGCTGTGATGACAAATTTCGGCTCTTTCACTGCAGTATTCTCTAATGTGTGAAACAGAGTAGAGTAAGAACAAAACTACACTCTTAACTGTTCTATTACCAGCACAAGAATTTGTTCTGTTGTTGGACTGTAGTAACCTAAAGGTTTTTGAGATTTCATTGGGGAGTTTAATGAGTGTTTTAGTTCGTGGAAAGGGAAACATCAGTAAACATGTTGGCACCTATTGAGTCAGCCCATTGTCTGTCCTACATCCAGTCAGTGATGTTGACCAAGATAAATGACTCCAAAGGAAATTGGGGGTTTGGCTTTTTGCCGTAAAAAATGAAAAAGCTACTATTACTCATTTGTGAAGTGTGGAGGTACCAGTTCAGTGTTCTCTAAATGCAGCTCCCTGATAGTGTTCGGCTCATCAAACATGTCAGTGGATTTCCTTTTCCTTAAATATGATCCTGATGCTGCACTAATAAAAAGGCATGCACATATCATAGAGTATCTTGTTCATTCTGACGTGTAATCTGACCCTGCTTTTTTTCCCCTATTTCCAGAGTTGCAGTGGTGTCAAAATCATTTGAAGGGCAAACGGACAAGACAGAGGAGTGGTACGGCACGCAGTACAAACAGGAGGCCATCTCCGAAGAGACCCTTCAGGTGAGTCACTGCTGTCACAGTGCTCCTGTCATTTCAACAAAAATATAGTCTGAGTTTCTTCTGCTTCTTCGAAGAGATTGTGCGACCACTTCTTTCTGTTGTCTGTGTTTTAGAAATGGGCAAGTGCGGACCTCAACGGGAAGTTCAAATTACCCATGAGAAATGAGTTCATCCCCACTAACTTTGAGATCTACCCTCTTGAGAAAGACTCTCCATCAGTCCCCGCTTTAATCAAGGCAAGTGTTGGTGCTGAAGAGCTCTGTGATCAGCATACCGTGTCCTTCATAACCTCACTGCTTAACTGCATATCGTTAAAAAATCTCAGTCCTGCTTTCATATGTTAATAAGGTAATTGTGACTGAAACATAAAGGTTTCGGTTTTGTTTTTGCCATCATGTTAGGATCAGAGAATAGAAGCTTTTAATAACAGCACATATATCTCGTTCCCTGAAGGAAGGACTGAATAGACGACACTGTGCTTTTTTTGTTTTTAATTAGAGACCTAATCCAAAGAAACAAAAGCCTCTGCTTTGGCTTAGATTTCCAGGGACTGCAGACGATTATCTTTAAACAGAATGGACTCTTATAATTATGAAAATGAAATCCCCCTCTCTGTGTGTGTGTGTGTGTGTTTTTCTAGGACACTGCAATGAGTAAGGTGTGGTTCAAACAGGACGACAAGTTTTTCCTGCCAAAGGCATGCCTGAACTTTGAGTTCTTCAGGTGAGTCACTCAGATTTGAGCGTTTGGACACTCATTGTAACCTTGTCAGTTTACCCCCAGCTGAGTGCTCAGAGCTCATTAGCTCTCAGATTTTCTTTAATTCAAAACGCTACCTAGAGGTAATATTACTGGTAAAGTTTTTAAGCTTTTGGTAATTGTTTGAGGCCATGTCAATAATCCCCCTGGCTGTTTTACATAAACAAAACAATTAAAAGTTTCACAGTAGCTGGAGGAAATATTAACTGCAGCTTAACTTTACAACACTGAAAGCAATTAAGACCTAGTCAGAAAAGATTATGGTTCTCCCCTCGCTGCTCTGCCTCTAAGGAGAAAAATAAAGGTTTGTTTAATATTTTGTTGTTTTCATATCTTTAACCAGAATGGAAAATAGGCGTGGAAGTGTGTAATTGCTGGCTTAGCTGTCAGTGCTTTTTAATTTTGTTTTAAATCAAATAAATGGATATTGCAGCCTAATGTGAAAAGACAACTTAGTGGTAGGTGTCAGCATGTATATCAAGCAGCCTTTCACTGCAAATCCTCACTTTATATTAGACACTTGACTTTTTAAAGGAAGTAGAGTGAACTTACTGTCAGGAAACACGACGAGCACGTTCAGGTTAAGATAAGAGACATCACTAGGTCTAAAGTGGATCTGAAATCAACACAAACTGTTCTGGACAATAGTCTCAGGGTTCCCACACAGTTGGAATTTCCATACTTTTCCATATCTGAATTTTTAGAATTATTTTTGGAAAACCTATTTTTCTATTTTAGAAAACTTTGATAATAGTCTGGAAACATAAATATTCCTCCAAAATTTATTTTTTATTTTCCATACTTTTTAAGAACCCTGTAGTCTATCATGGTAAATGGCAGTAATAATCTCATGTTTGAGATCCTGAATTTGGGTTTTCATGAGTTTTGTAAGTTACATTCATCAAAATGAAAAGAAATAAATCAACTTTATAAGTTGCACCTGTAATTTCACTCACAATCAAAAATTGTTTTCCTGACAGAGGCCTCAAATAAAGTGAGATGTTCTGGTTCTGTTTGTTTTGCCTGTAGTCAACAGTTGTCTCACTGAGATGGTATTTAGACAGTATTCTGTCAATTAAAACTGTAGTTGTTTGATGGTAACAAGTAAAACAAACCTGCTTGGCCATGCTCCTAACATAATAAGTTGTAGATTAACTTTGTTGTATTACTTTTGTCTCTGTGAGAAAGTATAGAGACCGACGTCTCTGTGATGTTTGACCACTGCCATTTTCTCTGCAGCCCTTTTGCTTATGTGGACCCATTGCATTGTAACATGGCATATTTATACCTGGAGCTCCTCAAGGACTCCCTCAACGAGTATGCATATGCAGCCGAGCTAGCTGGCTTGAACTATGACCTCCAAAATACCGTCTATGGGATGTATGTAAGTATCCAAAATCCCTCCCCTGTTGCCCTCATGCTGCATCCCAGTCAGACCTTATAGTGCCAACCTTTATCATCCTCAGACAGGACTGCTGAGACTAAGCCAGGCCTGGGCTGACAAGTGACTATGAGCCATCTGTAGTACCAGACTTAAAGACGCAGCTGTAGTCTTTTGCTCATGTTCAGAAAATGCAAAGTGGATTGTTCTAGATTTATTTTTTTATGTTTATGAACAAAACAAAACAAAAAAAAAACATAAAGAAGAAACTCTGACCCAGACCTGGCCTGTCCAGCCTCTGTTCTGTCTGAATCTTCCTCCTCATTTTTCATCAACCTTTTTTCTGTTTCGCTCACCCACCGCCCTGCAAAACCTTTCCTGCCACTCAGGAGGTGTTTTATTTTTTTCACATTCTCAAGCAGACCAAACCATTGCCATGTCTGTCTTGCCCACCTGTAGCTATCAAAGGTGAGGTGACTTGGAGTTAACAATTTAAAGGGTCATCTAGCTGTGTTGACCGTGTTTACGTGAAAGAAAGCTGGTCAGGAGGCTGCATATACATACTCTTCTTAACGTTCTTCTTATTCCTGTGTTGTCTGTTTATTTTTCTTCCATTTTTCCCAACAAACATGTATTTTTGTTTTTGTTCTTTTTTTTTTCCTCCCATCAGTCGCTACCTATACGCAGACCCCCTGCACTGCAACATGACCTACTTGTTGCTCAGATTACTGAAGGATGATTTAAAAGAGTATACATATGCAGCCCGCCTGGCCGGGCTGGTGTATGGCGTAGCCTCGGGGATGAATGCCATCCTCGTAAGTAAGCCGTGTGGAGTGTGAGGGGAAGCGGGCCTGCTGATACAGGGTAGACTTTGAAGCTGTGACAGTGTGTGAAAATGGCAAAGTTTTTCCTCTGTGCCCTTACTGATAATGTAAAGTGCTGCGTTTCAGCAGTTAGTCTTATGTATAGGAATTTCTGCTTGCTTGTTTTTCTAGCAAACATTTTGATAATGTGTTTTTGGACCTATGGTTTAAACAGTGGTTCTCAAGTCCGGCTCCAACACACCTGATTCAAATGATCAGCTCGTTATCAAGCTCTGTAATGGCTTACTAACGAACTAATCATTTGAACCAGGTGTGTTAGCCATTCCAGAGCTTGATAACGAGCTGATCATTTGAATCAGGTGTGTTGGAGCAGGGAAACATCCAAAACGTGCAGGACAGTGGGCCTCGAGGACTGGACTTGAGAACCACTGGTTTAAAAGATTTACCATAAGGAACACCCAGTTAGGCTTCACTTAGCTCATGAATACATTATTGTCAATCACTTGAATGCATGTGTGTCTGCACAGTTAAGCTACCTGAAAGTGAAACTGCTTTGCGGTGGTGGTGGTGGTGTTTTTTTTCTTTCCTCTGACCTTTCAAGCTTCCTAACTTCTGCACTAAAACTCTGCATCCTTTGTGATATGATCCAGTAACCTGCCTTCATTAGCTGCTCCTTCACGGTGTCTTCATGATTAAAAAAGATATTCATCACGCTGTCTGTGTAGCCGCCTGCTGCGCTGTATGTAATGGACACGAGTCAGCATTGTGTGTACGTCAAGGTTAATCATGTTAGGAGAGTTTTTAGCACAGGGAGTGGGGAGGACCGGGATGTGTGCGGGGCTGTTGCCATGTTAGCTGGAGGTTCTGCTGAATCATGAAGGGCGTATAGTGTGGATGACTCTGCAAAATGGAGGCTTTAAATAACCTTGGCTGTTCTTTTCCACTTTGAAAAACAGTCATTTGCATCACCCTTATCATCATCAGATACTCAGAACTGCTGTGACTCTCAGGGAGACTACATTGAAATCTGTTTTCACTACAGGAAATGAGTGATGTGTCCTCTTATGGATTAGCTATTTTCACCCTGTAGTCAATTCTTCATTTTTACTCCTTTTTATATGTTGAAGGAAAAACCTCATCTTTTAAAAGTTTGTTTGCTTTTTCATGGAAGCAAGAAATGTGGTACACTTATACTATTAGGGTCTAAACATTTTTAAAAATAGATTTATTCCAGCTGTGTCTTTGGTGGCCATTTAGTTTTTGTCACACAACCAAATTATGTGTTTTACTCATAGTGCTTAAACCTTCTTTTAAACATTAGCTGGTAAGCAAGTTCTGTCAGTCACAACCATATACTCTTGGCAGTTATAGGGTTAATAAAAAGGATTTAGCTTTTGCAGCACGGGCTCAACATGTTTGCAACAGGATTGATACAATGAAATCTGAGCTCATGATACCGTGATGTCCCTGCAATGTCACAAAGTCCATCTCTGCCTGGAAAAGAAGAGACAAACAGACAATACTAAAGCTCAAAAGTTTGAATTGTGCTCGAGTGAGCTGCAGTGCTTCACATTAGAGTGTTGAAGTTTCTGTTAAAAGTGAAATGTAGTGTAACTGATAATTTTTGAAGTTCCCAGCTCTAAAAACCCCGTAGATCATTAAAAGTGAGAAAGTCAGTAGTAGTATCCAGCCACTAAATGTGTCTGCTGATGCTCTGTTTGTGCAGATGAAAGAAATAAATACCAGAGATTTCAGAAACTTGCACAGAAGTATAAATATTTAATGCAGCACATCTGAACAAGAGAAGCTTGATTTCACAACACAAGAGCTTCTCTGGTTTTTATTTCAATAATTCTAGACTTAAACTATGAATGGCAGGGAGGTGGTGCTCCAGATCATTGCTGAAAGAGCTACCTTAAGTTTTTCATGCCACCAGATGTCACTGTACTTGATGAGTTCAAAGCTTCAAAACTTGAAATCTTCTTGGTACAAATGGAAAAGAAATCCCTGAGCCTTATAAGGCTTCTCCACGTTTCACTATTTCACAGTTTACTAACTTATTTATGCTATCATTTTGATTGATATCAACATTTTTATTATATATTTAGTTAGTAATAATGAGAGTGCTTATGGCCATAAACACTCTGAAAAAACACAGACATTTGCTTCTCAGAGCCCCGTTTTAATATAGAGTAAATGATCTGTAAACATCTTACTGTTGTGATGCCTTCAATTAAACAAGTGTCTATTTTATATTAGACTAAAAAGCCCTTCATAGACCTGAATTTAGTTATTCTTGTGTTTTATTTTCATGCACACACACAAATGCTTTAAAGAAAAAAAGATGGTCACTTGAATTAGCTTTAAAAAACATAGAAAAAAACATAAGAATTTATTGGCAGAAATGTTTAAGCACCCTGGGAGAAGGTAAAAGGACTGACTATATTTTCAACATTTAAAAAATAAATTGCATTTATATTTGCTCTATTTTAAAACATTGTCAGTGCCCCAAATGTTCCATGTGTACCACTTTTCCTCTTCTCTGAAAAGGTGAGGATTTTGCCATACATTTGGTATATATCACCTGTCAGACAGACATGTCTTAGCTTTCATTTGGTCATACTTGGAAACATTATAAAAAATGTCCTAACCTTTAAATGAGCAAATGAAACTGTAGTGTGAGATATGAACCGCTGATCCCCGTCTGATCTGTCTGTCTGTTTGTTTGTTTGTTGGTGACGTTCCTCCTGTCCTCTGTCGCTGTCTGCTGCAGCTGTCTGTTAAAGGTTACAATGACAAACAGCACATCCTGCTGAAGAAGATCATCGAGAAGATGGCCACCTTTGAGATCGATGAGAAGCGCTTTGACATCATCAAAGAGGCGGTAAGCCCTGACCGCGACTCCATCATCGCCTATAAAGTCATAATGAGTCACGAATCCATCAAGGGATGACTTTTAAGTTTATTGAACAGCTAACCTTTACACCTGGGTGTTCATATCTTATTTTACTTTGCCACACAACAAACAAGAAAGTGAAGAGCAGTAGATGTAGCATCACACTGGACAGTTTTCCTTGACATTCAGGTCATTAAGTGCTGATCTCCTCCTTTTCTCTGCAGTACATGAGGTCTTTGAATAACTTCAGAGCCGAGCAGCCTCACCAGCACGCCATGTACTACCTCCGCCTACTGATGACAGAGGTTGCTTGGACCAAAGATGAGCTCAGAGAGGCTCTGGATGGTGAGATGCAGCCTTTAGATCACCCTTTTTCCTTTTTTGTTTTAACCGCTGTCTCAAAGTCCCAGCTCCGGTGCTCAGTTGGCCCTTCACTACTGGGGGCCAAACCGAGCTTCCTGAAACAAAGACATGCAAGAGCTTCATCAGGGAATGAACGGAGCATGTGAACTTGAGCTTTATAGTGTAGTGGTAGGCACAGAGTCAGGTGATATCAGATGATCGAGGTTATGGTTATTCATGCCAGGGCTGTCAACGAATATTCTAAATTCGAATATATATTCCAATATAAAAAAAAAACAACAACATTCAAATGTGAAAATTACTAATCGAATATTAAATAAAAAGCAGGAAAAAAAACTGGGAGTGAGAAAAATGAAGAAAAATAAACAGCAGCTGCTTTGCGAGTGAGCGCACTGTAACGATGAGTCAGGGACAGGTCACAGGAGCTGCAGTGAGACTCAACTCAACTCAACTTTATTTGTAAAGCACTTTAAAACAACCACAGCTGAACAAAGTGCTGTACATAAATAGACAAAACAACGCAGACATAAAAAGCAATGATAACAATGGATAAAATAAAAGCAGATATTAAAAAGTAAAATATAGTTTCAATGTTTTAAAAAACTAATTTAAAAACAATAGAAACAAATAACTAAAAACAAAACATAAAACACTAAAACAGGAGCCGAGTCTCATGCAGGGTTGAAAGCCAATGGATAAAATAACAGTTAAGAACCGTCCTAGGCACATGCAGAGAGAGATGGAGGGATGTTCAGAGCCAAACTCGGAGAGAGTGGTCTGGACTCCAACGAATTTTAGAAGCTGTGTTTGGAAATTTTTCAGATTTTGGGCAGACATGGTATACAGAATGCTGAGCGAGATAAAGTTAAGCTGTGTTAGCTAGAATTAGCTCATCATCCACTGAATGAAGCCTGTCTATACGGACAAGAGTTGGGGGGCTTTAATGGCTTGCACAAGTTAGAGGTGTGCAAACCTATGTGTTATTTTTAGAGCGAATATTCAAACATCATTTTGGAGCAATTTTGACAGCCCTAATTCATGCTGTGTTGATTAAATTTAGTTCTATCATAATAAATATTAAAAAAGAAGCAGATAAAGATTCTTTTCGTTTTTATTCTTTCCAAAATTTAAAATGAAGACGAATCATCTGCAGAGATATCTATCCTCCCTTCCAGAACAAATGTACAGTTATAAAAACTTCAGATTAATGTTCTCTCATTACACTTTGGCAGATACACAATGTCATGTAAGGAGGCTAATAGTCAGGCTGTCTCCATGATGAATATAATTTAACTCATGTTACCGTTTTTCAGATTCACCTTTTGACATGAGTTCAGTATAGTTGACGTTTGGACCCTTGGGTTTCTCCTAAAAAAGAAATCTACTTTCTCTTCGTGTAGCCTGTACCATACTGTGCAGAGGAGAATGAAGCCTCAGTTGGTTTTTAGCCGACTTAACAAGCTGATTGGTTCCACGGACTGCTCTGTCCACCCAGATCAAGAAAAATGTCTGAGGTTTATCACTGTGATCAACATTGTTATCAGCTGCTGTGTTGGCAGTATTGGCTGTGATCAAGACAAACTCTTCCTCAGACTTTGATTGAGTGAGTTAAACTTTGGCTCTGTGTTGAGCTGTGAAATGTTGCGATATTTTTTATCTGAAGGAAGAAACATAACAAGGATGACAGTATTTTACAGTTCCAAACCCAACTTTTAGAAGTTTTTTCGGAGTTTGGCTGACACAGTTGATAGATGGCTGATCTTTTCTTCACTTGTGTTTTTCTCCTTATTTGAATGCTGAGGCCGTTCTCCCCCTCTGGCTGCAGTCTTTCCTCTCACCGCAGTGCCAGTCTGGAACCTGAAGGGCAGATAGTTGTATTTTTACCGCAGCGCTTACACCGACTATCCTCAGGTTCACATGAGACTCAATTAACCTGAAGAGTAAAAGCCTTTAGCCAGGTCACCAGGGCCTCCAATTACCACGGCTGCTCCCTTATCGGTGTCCTCACCCCCCTGCTGTCCCCTGTCTGGGCTCCACCGCACAATTTTGTCTCAGAGTGTGTATGTGTGTGTGGTGTGTGTTGTTGGCACTGTGGACAAACAATCATTTATATAAAGTGAGTGTGTGTCCCTGTAGTAGCTCATCCTTGAATCTGGGTCAGACGTTGCTTGAATTCAGATTGGCCAGCCCACGTTAAGACAGACTGGATTTTTGTGTTACTGAATGTGAGAGTGTGTGTTTGACCAGGCTGGTGTTAGTGCTGGGTAATAAAATGTCCTGAAAAAGGGACTAAAATAGGTAGGTGTAACAAAGTAAAAGCCCTCTGCAGAAGAAAATTATGAAGTGGGAAGTACAAAGAAGGTAAAATTCAACTTTTGTTGTCCTTTTAAAGAAGGGGAGATTGTTGATGATCCACAATAAGTAACATGAAGTTCAGTATATATTGTTATGAGCTGCAGCTTCAGTGGTCTGTGTTCAACAGACGGCATAAGAGAAACAGGATTTCATCACCAGGATCATTTTTTTGTAGAAGATCTCTCTGTATAATTCAGTTACACTCAAAACAAATACTTTTGTTTTTTTATGTGGGGTTGCATGAGCTGCTTCTCAATAGTTTATGAAGGTCATTCATCTGTTCATTTCTTCTTATTTTGACGTAATGAACAAATGGATCACTCTCTCTTTACTATGAATCTGTGGATCAGTCATCCCTGTGCTGTTTCAAACTAAAAATGACAGAGCTTTTATGGTGGATGCTGTGAAACAGTCCACTCTGGCTTTGGCCTGACTTAAAATACCTGATTAGCATATCCTGACATTTTTGTTCCCTTGTATACTGTGTTAGCTTGTGTTATTTATGGTATTATTAATATTTCTTTCTTAAAACTGGTTGCCTTGAGTTTAAAGTAAATCAAGCAAAGTCCAAACAATGCTGGTGTGGAAAATTGTCTCTGCTGCAGGATGGAATTAGCAGTATTCACCATAGCAACAGATGTGCTGATGTGCTCCTTCCTTAGGCTCTGTGAGCTTCCGAAGACACACAAAAACAGACCACTGAAAGAGCTATTTCAGTTGCGACATTGTGCTGGTGTTTTGGATGGACTTTATAAAAATTTAAACATTGGTACAAGTGGTCCTTCTGCAACTGTGTGTACCTCCGCATTTCCTGTGGGTGATCCACTTACTGTTGACAAGAACGTCATATTGCCCCACTGAAAAAAATATCTCGTTAAAAAACTTGTGCACAATGAAAACCAAATGGAAATCTTCCTGAAAAAGGTGAAGTTTTGGCAGCTCAGTTCGCAGCCCCTGAGGACATGCTGTGTCTGCAGCAGAGCTGCAGGGAGAGCTTGGCCTGATAAAAAGACATCATTTCCTTTCTTTCTCTGTCATCTCTGGGATACTCTTCAAGCTGGCAGCTTTATCAGATTATATAAACTTTGATGAATACAGGTGTTGATCAATGTAGTCAAAGTATAGAAACCATGTGTTTTTCCATACGGACGAGCGTAGGATTGCTTCTCCATGTCAAATGTGTGGCCGCTGAAGAACTGTACAATAAAACATACTGACACGGAAACGCACACAGCAGATATTTGTCTTTCTCCTGATTAAGTCGTCAGCTCGGGAAGATTGCAGTTTGACTGATTGCTGTTTTGTGTGCAATCTATTTTCCAGATGTAACTCTCCCACGCCTGAAAGCCTTCATACCTCAGCTGTTGTCACGGTTACATATTGAAGCCCTTCTCCATGGCAACATCCCCAAAGAGGTACGTCAAAGTTTTTTTTTTTCTTTTCTGTGGGAACTCTGTAATCCTCTGCATCTTTGCCTCACCCAACATAACTACTTTACATACATGTAAAGTACCTTCTATACACACAACAACAATACAGCAGAAAATACAGCAGGTTCAACAACACTACAACCACATAAGGAATAAAGAATGGGAAGAGTCAACAGCATCTCAAAGCACTACAGCAATAAATGATATTTTACATGTATATGTGTAAGTATTGAATATTAGGGCCCGACCGATATGGATTTTGTGGGGCAGATGCAGATACTCATTTCCAGTCAGGTCTCATCTGGAGACATGCAGCTGCCTCAGTAAGAGAAGTAGCTCGATCACATAATGTGTACGGTTGTTTATTCTGCCGTTACTGGCACGGCTAACAGTGTAGCAAGGCTAATAGCAGGTGGTGCTTGACCGTTAACTCGGTATGACCGAGACCAGCACAGCGGGGAACATCGTGAAGTGAGTTAAACTGAAACTTGTTGACTTATTGTGTATTTTTCAAATGGATTTATTTACCGTTGAGGCGGACCACTCTTCTCCGTGCGTCCCTGCTGCTGCCTGTTTCATATCCGTCACTCTGCTGTGCTGTGAGGTAGTTAGTAGATGAAGATTGCCATGAGGTCGCTGCGCCATCTACTGGATAAGTTGGGGAACTTTTCAAATGGTGGAACATTTTCCAAGTGAAACTGAATCTTATTCTCTGCAAAATGTCAGCGACAATCGGCGAGTTTTGGCCGATTACAAATTAGTCTGTAAAATTGGCCGATTGAATTGTCTCGCCGATAAATCAGTCGGGCCCTAATACATATACATACTTTTCAATCGATGTCCTCACATCGTAACTTGTTTTTGAAACTAAAATGATTACTATGTCGAGCAGTATAATCTTAACAGCATCTGTCCAAGGCTGGTTGGTTGTGTTTGTTTATTAGTCTATACACACGGATATGCTACCTGGGCTTCTTGTAATGTGTAAATGTTTTTTTCAGTGCACATGTGCAGAACTCTGTCCTAATCGGCTTGATCCCATTCAGTAAATGTGTGTGGGCTCACAGGATGTGTTTTGACTACCTTTTGCAAAATGAATGATATTCTCATTATTGTCATTTCACACGCTGAAACAAGTCATCCTAAATTGTCTTGCGCACCCTTAAGTATGAGCGTTTAGATCATTCTGAACACTTGCACAATGTACAGCTGCCTATAACAGAGCTCAGTATGACTCTATAATGAGCACCAGTCATCTCCACTCTTGCTGCAGACATACCTTTCTGACTTACAGGACACTTGTAATGTCTTTTTAAACTGAGGCAGGCAGATGAAGAGAGTGCTAAGGCTGACACCTGCGTACTTTTGAACTCCGAGTTTTTTTATGTGCCCTGTTTAAGCCCCTTTCTCACTGATTATTGAACTCACTTTTACTCTCAAACCTTTGAATCACCTTCAGCATTTTATCTGGCCTTCCAGTGGTATCACAGAGGATTAGTTTCAAACCTCCTATAAAGTCACAGTTTGCGTGAGGTTGGCGTCACAGTCTGGTGGAGAGAGAGAATAAGGCTTTGTGCAGACTGCAGGCAAATGGGATTTATTTTCCAAATCAGATCTCTATGATAGACTGTCCTCACTTTCATATTGAAGTGATCTGATCGGATTTGTGTGTCCTGACATCAACCTATCTGTGTCGATAGCAGGCATCTGTTACTGTGTAGGCTGACACTGTTTCATAGGACTACTAATACTGTTGGATTAACCGTATGCTGTGTTTGTTTTCAAGGAACACTTTTTAATTTTCAGTCAAGTTGTCGTGTTGATTTAAATCATATTACAGTTGACCCGCTGTGATTGAATTCACAGCAGGTAGTAAGGTAAAAAGTTAGGAGTGTTACATACTGTGTCCTACTTTGGTTGTATTCAAAAGGTGTTAAGAGAGAGTGAGAGGTAAGTTCATATAGAGAAAGGCCAGATGATCTGCAGCCTTCCACACAGGACTCTCTTAAAGTAAAGTGACCATACCTGCAAAAAGCAGAAATATAAGATTCTGACATCTACTGAAATTTTGCCAGGATTGTAAATCTAAATCTGTAAAGCTATTTTAGTGCAGAAGTGAGATTTTCAAGGATAGTTTCACGAAACTTCATCACTGAATCATTTAGTCAGACTTTAAGACCACACTCTGACACAAAGCAAGAAAAAAAATCCTTTTTAAAGTCGTCATCTCATTCTCATTCCCCATTTGAAGTACACTTGTGTCTCCATTTCAGTCACACCGTGTTTTCTGCCTCGTCCAAGTCTTCTGCTCTTTCCTGCCCAGTTGCTCTGATGCAAGTCTGTCACCGAGGAACAATGTCGTCCTTGTGTGTCCCGATCTGAGTGACGCAAAGTACACCTCAAAATGTGAGGCTCGGTTATGCCTAGAAGATAGATTTAGTTTGAAAGTCAGAAAAAGCCTGGGGCTGACCGGTGGGAACAACGCTTCACTTTATCAATGTCAAACCGGAGTGTGGTCCAGCTCCTGTAATGTCGGGGAAACAACTTACTGACCATCTGGTGTTTAAGAAAAGGCTTTGCAGGTTTTAGTTTTTGCCAAGGATGAGGAAATCTTTGAGCCACGGTTATACAAGTTACTGATGAGATCTTGATAATTTGCACCAGGTAGTTTAACCCACAGTGCCAAGTGTTTTTCCCCACACAGGCAGCAGAAAGCACCCTTCAGGGGTCACTCACCAAACCATTGAGAAGATTACTTTTTCTTCCATTTGCTTTTGTTTACTTTGCACTGGAAGCCAAACTTCACCTGCTGCACCGTTACTTTTAATTTATATTCAATTCCCTACTCACTCAGTGTGTCTCTCGGTATCTTGCCACTAACAGAATATCACTCAATCAGTACGTGTTATCTCTTAATTGGCCATGTTGTGCTGGATAGTACTCATGCAGATGCTCCAACCTCTTAGCAGCAGGTTTGCAGATGGGTGTTCTGGCCTCTTGAATAACTCCTTGATCAGGACCTCCAGTCAGGACAACATTAATTCTTGTCACGTAGAGCTCATAGATCAGTGCTGCTTGTCTGGAGAGGTCTTAGAAATCACCAGCTCAGTAAAGAACAGCCAGAGAGGAAGTGTGAAAACAGATTTTTATGTAAGCTGGAAACCAAACCCAAAAAAGTGCATCATCTCACTGTGAGCAAAATCGATCTTTTAAAATCGGGTTTGTTTGTGGATTAAAATGGTCTTCTCTCCTTCAGTCTGCTCTTGGTATGATGCAAATGGTGGAGGACACGCTCATTGAGCACGCTCACACGAAGCCCCTCCTCCCGAGCCAGCTGATTCGCTACAGGGAGGTGCAGATTCCAGACGGTAAGTGTACTCGTCCCACACGGCTGAAACAAACACACACACCCACGCAGAAACACACACTGATCAAGCACACATTGTATGCCAGTCATGCCTGTCTCTCCTGTGACCACGCTGAAGAGTCCTTCCCCCCCCCCCCACGCTCCTCGTCATCAGTGATGCTGCATTGCGTCTGTGAAGACTTGATTAAATTGAGCACCCCTCATTTCCCTGAGAGGAACATCACAGTCACTGAGCCGAGATGGACGTCATCGGGCTCATTACACACACACACTCTCTAAACTCAGACATGGTGACACACACGCCAAGTAAAGCACCTGTGCCACGTCTCCTGATTTGATTAGGTGAGTGAAGTGGAAAGGCAAAGCAGAGCTACGCAGGGACACCGGGAGACTTCCTGAGTCTCTCACTCAGGGGTTTTTCCAGGCCGAGCTCCAGACGGCCAGTCAGACACAGAGCAGGAACACAGGAGGACAGAGAGGATGTAAACACAAAGACTGCTCTTGGAGTGACTGACTTACGGAAAGAAGTCATTAATCTTGCAGCATCATGTTCACATTATTCTTTGTGAAGGCCATGCTGTGATCCAAAAGCAGTCAAAAAGATCACTGGCTCACTTTAAGCTTAAAAATGCAGAGGTTTATTTAGCAAAGCCCAGATCAAATTAATCTATAATAGTCGAGCCTTTGTTCTCTGAGCAGAAAAAGATATCTTTTCTGTCATCTGGATGTAGATTTACTCATGATGTATATAAAGATATGTGTGTGTAGTATAAAATGTGGAAAATCTTGCAGCTGGTTGCATAATCTTGAATAAATTGATCCTAGTCTGGTAGTCAAAATCAAACTTCCTTAAAACAGCTGAAGAAGATGGTTGTTCATTGCATTGACTATGTTGCCTAATAGTGTGTGTGTGTCACAGAAACTAAATTACGTTTTTTTCCAGCTCTTTCAAGTGCGCAAAGCAAAATTCAGTAATTCCAGTCATGTTGTACAATCCAGTTCATGAACTAAGTCTGTGTAGACTTGTTGTTATATAGCCTATCTTTTCTGCAGAAAATGGTGCCATAGGTACGGTTTTGGTTTCTATGCTTCTTCTTGGTTTTCAGTTCTAAACTTTTCCTGATCAGTGTTGATAACAACGGCACAACCAGCTACTAGGCAGTGCCAGTCTGAACTGGGAAATCCAACTATTCTACTCATTTTCAGTGACAGATTACAGATTAAAGCACTGGTACTATCTTGGTACTAATCTCTGATTAGTTAATTGAATCAGTTTGAAGACAGAAAATGTTTCGACTGAGAGTAATGGTTAAAACATAATGTAATGACTTTTTGTTTCAATCAACTTCAATCAACGAAAGCTAAAATACAACTTTTTAGAACAAAAATGAATAAATGTGACTGATACTTAAAGACATTTTAGTCCCATGACTAAATATGAAACAGCTGCCAAATTTAACACTGATTTAGTTTTCAGATAAATATGTTAATTAAAGCAAAATGTAAGCTTGGTTATCCTTCACTGACACACTGGTGTCAAACACAAAATACACACAGTAAGGCTCAGTGTCTTCAGTTTGCCCACTTCACTTTTTAACCGCTCTGCTTAACCAAAGACTGAGCTGTCCCCAAAGTTTTTCACTGAACTTGAGTCTAACTTTGGACACGTGAAGGGAAACGTTGAAAACTGTGGACATTATTCCCCGAGCTCAGCATGGGCATCCTCCATCATTGTGTGCTTGATCACACAAAGTGTTGCTGAGAGCAGAAGGAGGCAGCTTCCTCTGTGCCACCATGGACAACCTTCTCTCCTCTCTGCCTGAAAGAAAATGTAAAATGTTGAGCCCGGATGAAAGGCGAGAGGAGAGATGCGTAGCAAAATCAGGGCCATGTTAGCATTCAGTGTCACAGCTGTCCTCTGTGTGACCCTTCCTGTTTTAATACTACGCTTCTCCTCGCCTCAAGCAAAACACTCGGATATCTACAACAGAGACAGCTCAGCAGGTTTTTGCAGCTGTACATTTGAGAAAACTAGTGGAGCAGAGCCGGTCATGGTTTCCAAAGACAGTTTAGCCAGTAGAGATTCGGATCTGCTATGGTCTTCAACTTAACACTGTTTCACCTAGATAATCGTGGACCAGCAGGATGTGCATGTGCTTGCTCTGTCAACCTCTATTATAATCCAAGCAATGTCATTTTTTTCATTCAATCAGTTGTGCCTCTTAGGAAACCAAAGTCAGTAAGCAAACTACTCATATTATTTGTATATTACCTTTACTTTCATAATCAGTGGCTTTTTCAGTGCAGTGAATTTCTATCTGCCTTCTTGCTGGATGAGTTAACATTAAAGCAAACATTTAAATTCACAGTCGTGTTAAAATGTAAGCCTGCTGATTTAATGAACTACACAAAACTGAAGATTTCCATTAGAGGTGAAGTTGGTCAAGGTTTGCAGGAATTTTTTTGACTTCCATCTTTATTCGTCTTTAACTGTAATGTTAAAACTTAAAACACCATTGCATCAATCACCACCTCCTCAGCAATCAGCAAATTAAACCCCCCTATCAGGCATGCTGAAAGTTCCCCATAATTTTCCATAATCATCCAGGTGAGCTGCCTGTGTGAAGAGAAGAGATGCACTTACCCCGCTGTTGAATGTTGGAGTGATTGAATCTCCTGGTGGTCCCACTGAGAGCTGCAGTGTAGCTAATCCAATGAAAGTGGTCCTTAAGCATTAACTGATAATTTGTGCTGGTAAACCAGCCTGGTACTGCTGGTGTAGCTGAATTACTACTACAAATCATGACAATGTTACACTGGAAACTAGTGCTTGAAGTACATGATCCTTGAAGCTTTAACTTTCTTATGTTGCTGTTCAATACAAACAACACAGTTTCTATTATATCTGTCAGACTTAAAGGGATATTCCAGCGTATGTTTAAGCCATGGTCAAACACACTGTAACACCGAGTTAGACACCTCCTCGAGAGGTGAATTTGCAGACCGCTTGCTTCTCTAGTTCCACCGACTTCCGCGAAGACCGCACGATAGCAATACACACAGGTCTATTTCCCCCCGCAAAAAACGCAACCAAAAAGCCACTCTATAGCCACAAATAATTCTCAGAACAGCACCTAACTTCATCAACAGTACATATAGGGTCCCAGCATGTAGTACTAGCCATCACATATCTTTTTAGCTTGGCCTGGTTTCTTTGGCAAAGACACCAAACACAACTCAACCACTGTCATCCAGCAGCCGCTTGTTTGTGGGGGGAGCCCTGACGAGTCACAGAGTGGAGTTCCGCAGCTCAAGGAAGAGCATTTATGATTATTACTTTATGGAAATGCAATCAGACTGAGACGCTAAGATGTGTATTTCTGCTCATTATGTGTCACTAATGCAACACATCAGAGTCACTGTGTTTATTGTTAAATAGGTACAGTAGTAAAGTGATACGAATATGTTATATCTTTTCTGACAGGTGGATGGTATGTCTACCAGCAAAGAAATGAGGTGCACAACAACTGTGGCATTGAGATCTACTATCAAACAGACATGCAGAGCACCCACGACAACATGCTGCTGGAGCTGTTCTGTCAGATCATCTCTGAGCCCTGCTTCAACACCCTGAGAACCAAAGAACAGCTGGGTGAGTCCCCGAAAGACAAACTGTTTCATGGGGAGCTTCTTTAAGAACGCTTCTTCTTCAAAACAGCATGTTAGAGACGTGACGAGATTGTGCTCTTTGTTTTCTTTGAGAAAATACAGCCTCAGTCTCCATGTAGCAATTAGATACAACTCCATTAAGACCAGCGAGTGTGTAAGTGAAGTTTCTGAAGTGCTGTACACCATGTTTTTTTTTTAATAACTAGGGAAATGAATACACTGAATCACTGAACCGGATTTAATCATGATCTGCTTTAAATGTTGTTTATGAAACCACTTTACTGTAAAAGAACTCATGATGGAGATGTTTGTTTTCTCACACGGGAGTAACCATCTTGTCCGTCCATTTTTAGGCTACATCGTGTTCAGCGGGCCCCGGCGGGCAAACGGTGTGCAAGGCCTGCGTTTTATCATCCAGTCTGAGAAGGCACCGCACTACCTGGAGAGCCGCGTGGAGGCTTTCCTCTGCACCATGGAGAAGTATGTGGAGGAGATGAGCGACGAAGCTTTCCAGAAACACATCCAGGCCCTGGCCATCCGCCGCCTGGACAAGCCCAAGAAGCTGTCCGCTGAGTGTGCTAAGTACTGGGGAGAGATCATCTCTCAGCAGTATAACTTTGACAGAGGTAACACTGCTCTTCACTCCTCTTCACTCCTCACTCTTCATTGTGATTATCTCTTATCAGAGCTGTGCCAGAGTAAGCAGGATGACTCTGAAAGTTTGATTTGGCTGTTGAACACAAAGCTTTTTGAGTCTTTCTTTTTTTGAAATTGTTTTATTTTCGTTTTGAGACAAGCTTTCAACTATCAGAGTTCTCCAGCTTTTGTGTTACCGGTCAGGTTTCAGTGGTTTTGAGACGTATAATTTAGCATGACCTTTACTCTGATGACTGTTTTTGCAAGAATTTCAGACAAGTTTAAAGTGTCAGCTCCCTGTGCCATACAGACAGATTCCTCATGCAATAACTTACTCAGTTCTCCGTAGCTTATTTCAGCAACCTCTCTAACACAGACCTGCTTTAAACAAGTTTGAGTTGTGATCATAATAATATTAATATTATTGATAATAAATCAATTTCCAGGTCTTAAAAAGTATGGAAAAGGAAAAATAAAGTATGAAAAAATATTTATGTTTCCAGACTATTACCACAGTTCTAAAATACCGTTTTCTAAAAGAGAAAAGTTGGTATTTCCAAAAATAATTCTAAAAAGTAGGGTATGGAAATTCCAACTGTGTAGGAGCCCTTAATGTCTTTTTTTTAATATAGCACTTACCAGGACAGACACTACAAGAAGCTTTTCTAACAAAAGCTCAGGAAAAAAGGAATAAAACATGGAAAAATACAAATACAAAGACGACACATAATCAAAGAGAACCTAGAAGTGGCAGCTGAAAAAGTCAAAGTTGCTATGAGGCCTTTGTTTTCCTTCCTTTATTTAGCATTTTATCCATTGATCTCATGATTATTTTTACTATGTACTGATGACGCTGCTGTTTATTAAATTAATCAGTTATTATTATTTATTATTTTTTTCATCTCCCCTGTAATCGCCCCAAGGGGTGTAGATAGATGAAAATGTACTGAAATAATAATACATAAAAACTTGATTGCAAAAAAAGAATAGATAAATAAAGGCTTTGAGTAAAATACACAAAGTACCCCGTTAAAAACAAGGGGCAGCTCAGCTCGCTGCCCCTACTGATATCCTGTGCTGAATCTCCTTTCTTTTACGGTGCTTTAGATACTATTTTATTTGATACGCTTTCTTAAAAGTTCACCCAAGTGTGAAGTGAGGCATTGAAGTGGTATGTGGGTAGTTAGGGTTAGTGATAATGTTTATATCACGTCATTGGTGCAAATCCTAAAGAGTGGTGCTCAATACAACAAACAGCTTGCAAACAGTAAAAGCTGAAGGGCCATTTTGATACTGGCCTGGTAGAGTTCATAGCCTGCCATGTTGTTTCTCCTTCACTGCTTTATATTCACTGATGAAACTCAAAACAACAAAGTTCATTGATTTGGCTGACATGGTGTGAGGTGATTCAGGTTGTTCTTATCAGATGGAAAGAATCATCGACTTTTAGAGGTCAGACACGGCTCACAGGCCGAGCTTGTGTTACGTAAAAGTCAAGAACAAGTTTGAAGGAGTTATCAATATTTTGGTCAGTCCCAGAGGTGAGCAAGATGTTGCTTAGAGCAGCACAAATTAGAATCGATTAAAGGCTAAAATAATCTGCAGCTATAGCACACCTCTCTCTGGCAGCACTCTCCCGAGTGCCGTAATGGATTGTAATGGGCCTGATTCACTGGTAATCTGCCTAAAGCTCTGAGCGATGGCAACACTGAACTGCAGCCAAGGGAGTGGTGCTGATTACTGATACGAGCAGCACTAGAGGGAGGGAGGAGAGTCAGCAGTGTGAGGGTGGCTAACATGCTAAACACCAAGGACACAGAAGAAAACAGCACATGCTCTGGCAGACGGTCAACAGCAGCTAGCTGGTCACCTTCTTGCATAGATGCTGATTCAATATGATACAGATTGTCAATACATGATCGCTGTGGAGAATATTTCCACCAGTCACTATGGTTTGTTTTCCACAAAAAACACAAGCTCGTGTTGTTTTGATTCATAGCACCAGTATAACTGAATTTGACAAATCGAACCAATTTCACAATGATCACAAGAGTAGAGATGCACCAATCCAATTTTTTTCTGATCCAGTCGGATACCGATACCTGGGCTGAGGGTATCGGCCGATATTCGATACTGATCCAATATTAGTGTTGAATGAATGAACTGTATACCTTGCCCTCTGAGTGAAGGCATCAGGCTTGACATTAACCTTGTTAGAAAAAAAGGTAACAAATGAACAGCAAAGAGAAGTAAGACTTCCATGTATTAAAATAAAAAATAATTAAAAGAATAAAAAGACTGGATCTGCGTCATTCATCAGATATCCAATCCAGTTAATTTGTCAATATCTGAGCTGATATCTGATCCAAACATCGGATTGGTGCATCCCTACTCAAGTGTTAGGGTCTGTCATCCAGTCTGTCAGAGGTATTTAACTCTTTGCCCTCTCTGAAGCTCTTTCTATGCTCTTCTTCACTGGTGTGACGCTGATGTTTAAGTTCTTGTGTTTGCTTGTTGTCTTTCAGATAACATTGAAGTGGCCTATCTGAAGACTCTGACTAAAGAAAACGTAATGCACTTCTACAGGGTAAGTCATACATGAATAAGTAACACCTCATTGAGCACTTTTGGTCTAAATGTAGCCTGACGACTGATCTAAAATTAGGCTATGACAGGTCTAAAAATGAAAGTTTTTTAGATGTCAAAATTTAGACCAAGTTTAGACCAAGTCTAAGCCTGGCCTATATATATATATATATATACTACACTGTATATTGCTTAATACCATCATAATTATCATAATTATTTTGGTTAAGTACTTGGAGATCAGTTATGCAACTCACAGTTGCTTTTTGAAATAAATAGTTAAAGTGCAACATCTATATTCTGTCTAAAAATATACAGAATCTAGACGATTGGTCTAAAAAAATACACCTGGTAACCTGTGAGTTGAACCAATATGACGGTTTTCCAGCTTTTGTAGGCAACTTTCCATTACTACAAGCTAGGTCACAGTATTAACCTTTGTAGTGTTTTAATGTAGTTTTACATTAAAACAAGGAGAGTAGCCACTGACAAATGAGTAGCCACTTCAAATGTGAGCTGGGTATTGTTAGGAGAGCACTGTGGTTAAAACAATAGACTGTATAATTAATGAAGCTAGCGTTGGAGGCCCCCCCATCATATTTGACATCACTCTTAAATATTCAGCTGCTAGAAAGAGCCAGGATAGAGCAGACTGTGATTGCTCAGAGATGAAACTCAGCCCCGCCTTGCTGCGTTTTCAGAATACAACAATCAAATAGCAGCAAGTTTCCACTCCTCTGAGCAGAAGCTTCTGTCGAAGCTGGACTTGATGATTGAGAGTTTCAGAGTCTTATTTAATGAACTGAATATTAGGGCTGAAAAAAGATTTAAAATATCGTCATTTTCTGAGTTTTAAGGTCTGTGTGACAATGACATTAACGATTTAAGAGCAGCATCACCTCCAGCGAGGAAATGAGCACACACCTCCTCTGAATCCAGTCAAAGCATGTGTGTCAATAGATTCAGAGTGCAAGCTTTCATCTCTCTGCTGCTTCTATTCATAGCCGTGGAGGTGACACTGACACAGGACGTTCACAGCATATCAGCCGCTATAATGACACACAGCCGCTATCTGAGCCCAGCAGAAACCATTACTGGCCCCATGCACAATAACCCTCATGCATTTCTAATGTCCTATCAGCCACACTTGCTTTTTCTTTTCTTTCTCTCTCCCTTTTCTGTTTTTTTTTAAATTTCATTTCTGGTAGCCTGAGTTGACACCGTCTGACTGCAGACGGGCTAATTCTTCAGTCTTATTATAATCCCCCACACAGAGATGGTGACAAGGCCTGGCTGTGGAGCTAAATCTCCAAAGGGCTGTCTGGACACAGATCCCAGACTAACTGTGACAAACAGAGGCAGTGAGGCCGCGCTGAGCCGCAGCTTCATCTTCAATTTGTAAAGAAATCACGAGTGATTACATTTCTTTAGCCTGAAGTTTAACATGACTTTGCATAAAATTTGGCAACAATCCTCCGAACAGATTGAATTAAAAATCCTCCTGACTAACAACAGCCTGACGGTTTGCATTTTAGACTAATTAAGTGTTAATGCCCAGAGCAAGAATTACCACGGTGAGGGTTTGTCAACAACCTTTTTCCCCACGATGAAGACAAAAGGATGGAGAGCTAAAAATACAAGTTTATGATATGACTTTCCCTTAATAGAGCAGCATGGACAGTATAGCAGCATTGCATTATGGGAGAGTCTAAGCTGAAATATCTCATGAAGGAAAGGAAACATACAACGGAGTATTAGGACCACATTAAGAAATAAAAATTAAGACTTTGAGATTAAAGTTGTTAATTTGCTAGAATCAAGTAATTAATAATGGGAATAAAGTGGTAATAAAGTAATCACTTACGAGAATAAAGTCGTAGTAAAGTCATTATGAGAATAAAGTCGTAATAAAATCATTATGATACTTATTATAATGTGGTGCTGATGTGCCACAAGATTATGTATCTCCTTGTTTGACAAACATACATTAAAGTACATTTTCTTGAAATGCTCCATGGCTCTCATTTCAACAACTGTCATCTTAAACAACAGGTTAGAATATAAGGACTTTGTTCTGACTTTATTCTTGTTAGAAATTACTTTATTACAACTTTATTCTTGTAAGTAATGATTTTATTGTGACTTTTTTCTCCTAAGTAATGATTTTGGTACGACTTTCTTCTCGTAAGTAATTACTTTATTACTTTATGACTTTATTCTCGTAAGTAATGATTTTATTATGACTTTATTCTCATTATAAATGACTGAGATTTAAGTTGTTAATTTATGAGACAAAGTCTTTATTTGTTTTTTCTTAATGTGGCCCTAATATTCTGTGGTAAAAACAGATATTTCTCTGTGAAGAGAGGGAAATTAGCAGGTTAAAACACTTGGTACAGCCTCACTACCAATGTCTGATTCTGCTTATTGAAAAAGGTTTAAGGGAGAAAATGTTTTGATTTAATGTAAAGGCCAAAACACAATAACTTTTACTAAAAGAGAGCAAAAAGACTTGATGTGGCTAAAACTAAAGGGCATTTCCATCTGAAGACTAAATCTAAAACAGCTGTCAGAATGAACACTGCTCCTTGACAGTTCGAAGCCATTTAAATGTCACTTTCTACGTCTATTTATCTACTTTCATCAACTTTGGGCATTTGGCTCCAGGAAACAGAGAAACAAGCCAAACTAAACTCAGCAGCTCAGCTGGCAGCCTCTAAAGCACTGCCAAATGACATCAATTAACACTGATTGTAAAGATGTAGCTGCTTAACTCTGTCCTTCCTAGTTTTGATCAATATTCTCATTGGTTTAAAAAGAGGCATCGTTTAGCATTGAATTTAAATTCATGGAAATAGTGATGTTGCTTTTCCTCTCATGCCGTTCGTCCTTCCAGCACTGTCTCACCTGTCTGTCTGTGTTTCTGTCCGTCTCTGTGTGTCCCTGCAGGATCGTCTGACAGTCGAAGCCCCCAAGAGACACAAGGTGTCTGTACATGTTCTGTCCAGAGAGATGGACTCTTGTGAGTATCTGTGCCCGCTCGGTGTAAGACTCAGTGTGTTTATGCAGCATCAGGTCTAACTGAAGGTCTCTCTGCGTGTTCATCAGGTCCCATAGTGGGAGAGTTCCCCGCTCAGAATGATGTCAACCTGGCCCCGGCTCCCTCTCTGCCACAGGTACTCATCACTGCAGTAGATTTCTGCTCCGGCACACAGTTAACCTCCTGCTCTTCAAGCTACTAAAGAGACACTAAAACACGTCACATGACATCCGTAAACCGCACAAGATGTCAGATAATTTCACTGAGTGCTTCATCCTAATGAGGCTGAACCATTTCATGTCTTTTAAGCACGGTCTGTGGGTGATTCAGTTCAGTGAGTCTCCATAAAAGACACTTTAAAGGCCAAGAGTGAAGCAAGTTTTTCTTGTAAAGCACAATTTTATGAAAAGCCAAAGAAAAAAAAATCAAATTCAGCACAAAAGACAAGATTTCAGACACAGGAGTATAAGAAAAAAATATCAAATTTAGACAAAAAGGAGAATACTCCAAAGTTCGAAAGAAACCTCTACCTCACTGGAGATTGAGATCTTACTTGAGCTGTAATATTTTGTTTTGTTCAAATGGATGTTATATTTTCTGGTGTCCTGGTGTGAATACTCCTCATCAAATCCCATTTTAGACCGTATATGTAGCAGCAGGTGTGGGTGATGAGGTCCAGTTTACATGCCGCAGCTGTTTTTGTCTTGCGTTGTATGTGTTCAGACATCGGCGCCCGCTCTCCACCCCCTCCTAACCTGCAGCCTCTCTTTGTCTCCGTAGCCCATGCAGGTTCAGGACATGACCGAGTTCAAGAGGAGCTTGCCTCTCTTCCCGCTGGTCCGGCCTCACATCAACTTCATGGCTGCCAAACTGTGAGCGAGGCCGCCATATCCACACGCTGCTGACAGAGGAGGGAAAGGGCGACCTCAAGGGAACCTGCCGTGCTTCCTCACCTTCAACCCTGTCCTCCTCCTCCTCCTCCCGTCAGGAAGACTTTCATCTGACTGAGCCTGCATGAGCGTGTGTGCGTGCGTGTGTGTGTGTTTGAGAGGGTGCATGTGTGTGCGTGGGCACGTGTGGCAGGCTGCAGCCACTAGAAGAGAAGCTTGGAAACAGCCGTGTGTGTGTTTGAATCACAGTTAGCCGCAGTCGTCTGCTTAGCTGTGATGACGGAGTCGCTGCAGACTCATCTTATGTTAAAGAAGAAACACGCACTCATCACAGCTGGTAGGCGGGCGTAGACAACGTAGAAACAACCAGGGACACGTCCCCTTAAATACCGCAGAGCGTTTTATTTGGCTTGTTCAGAGACATGCTGGTTTTATCGTGACGAGCTGTAGAGGTCACACACGCAGTAGCTCCATGAAGGTCTTTTATTGTTTCGGACTCGAATGTTTAACATGTAACCCTCCTGAAACACAGAGGACACACACTTGACAGTCAGACACATTATTTTATTCAGATTTATGCATTTCTGGACAATCTCCACCTTTATAATTTTTAATTTTGATCATCCAAACAGGTTTTGAAATGTTTGTCCCTTAAAGTGGTAAAATGTTGGGAGCTTTTGAGGAGCGGTTTGATCAGAGAACAAAAGCCCGGGAACATTTTAATCTTTGGGTTTTACTGCATTTTTACATTGGAAGTGTGTAATTCAGACATCTCAGGGGAACTTCCATGCTGTTTTTTTTTTTTTTACTTTAAATTTTACTAGTGATGGATTAAAAATAAACACTTTTATCATCATTTTGTTTTTCACTTTAACTTGTTTTTTAAAGGCTGAAAGGAAGTTTTTAAGAGTTTCTCCATTACACTTCTACTCTGTGTCTGAGACTTGCAGAGACTTTTCTGCAGCCTGTGCCTTTTCAGAGGGGGGCATCACTTCGTTTGCATCAGGCACAGTCAGACCCCCACCTCCCACTAATGCTCTCACAGCATAGATGTCAACATTAAAGCAGCTAGCCTTTAACTGAAGAATCAGTTCCTATAAAATACGACAGGGGGACAAGGAGAGAACTACTCCAGGTTTGTTTTCTGACTATATATGCACTTTTTTCACTGAGCAATAATCCAACAACAGTGAGAGGCAGATGAGATGTAGCAGCACGGTCCAAACTGACCCCCAGGCTCAGGGTAGGCCTGATATCGCCTGGGGGATCATGATATCAGCCCTATTCTGGGGTCAAGGGTATCCTTTTCTTTCACACCATCAAGGATAAACTTTAGACATCTATACTTCAAATCTGTAGACATGAAAGCTATGAAGTTAGTCAGTTGATAACGTGTTAGACTGCAGTTTTAGGTCTCGTGTTAAATAAGGAGTTATAGTACAAATTCATTTGGATGTGCTGTGGAAATCTGAGTGAAGCCAGCAGCAGCTCAGCTCATAGGCCCCCCAGAGGAGCGTTGATCAAACAATTATTCAAGCATAAATAGTTATCTTTTGTTTTATGTGAGTTTTAATCACTCAATCTGTTTCCTTCTGTGTCATTATTAAGGTTTCTCAAAGAAAGAGTAGACAAAGAAAAACATTATGAGCCAACAGAGGGACCCTGGCAGCTCAGGCCACAGCCCCCAGATCTCAAAAGACATGACTAAATGAAGGTCTTTGACGCTCCTATAGGATTTAAGACAAAACGCATATTGGAGGTCAGGTGGTAAAAACTGAGCTTAAGTTTTCAGCAGCTCAGCTGTTAGCCCATGAAACCCTGTGAAAGAGCTGCAGACTATAAAACATGGATTCAGTCCCAGTGATGTCACTGTATGGTCTCTAAAGCAGAGTTTTTGAAGTCCAGTGATGGAGGTTGTCAAAGTGCTGATTCAATCCAACTTTCAATTTGACTCAGTGAAGAGGCCGAGGCCTGCCCGTCTCAAACACATCCTCTTTGCCTCATGCTAAGAGAAGTGAGCTATTCAAACCAAAATTGTTTCCAACCCTGGCTGTGTGTTTTATGTCATGATGGGTTTTAGAATTGATGTGTTTGTGGCATTTTTGACTTTCAGAACCAGTCTGAAGTGGACACGCAGTCAATCACTGCTGTTTTTTTTTTTAGCACTTCAGCATCAGTTTCATTCACCGCTTGATTTTTGATTTACAAAGTCTGTTTTGAATATGAGCAGGGCTAATCACAGAAAACTGGAAAGCTCCTTATCTTCAAACTGAGCCAATGTCGTTTTTAGCAGCTCAGCTCCCAGCCCCTCCAGAAAAGAGTTGGTTTGGCAGGGTGTAATAAAGCCTAAAAAGGTTCAGATGCACTCTAGTTTTTTTAATCCACACATTCACATCTTGATAATCCTGATATCTATAACGCCAAACTGAAAAGGTGCATTCTATATTTTCATCATACAGCTCAGCCGTAGCTACAAGACAAGCAAATTGGTATAAGAACGGTGATGTTAGTGCTATAGAAGTGAAACCTGCTCTCTCAGGTGCTGACTAGGTTTGCTTTGACAAATCATGCTGCTAAAGCTGCCAAAAAAAAAAATGCTGTTCACGGAGTAGAAATCTAAGTTAGGGTTAATTTTCCCTCCTTCCCTAGTAACACCTGCTCTCAGGCCAAGGTCATTTCTTATTCATGATGCTGCAGTTTAAGAAAGACTTGAGATGTGAAAGGCCACATGACCCAACAGTTCTCAATTTATACGCATAAAAAAATCATGTGGAGTCTTAAGAAGTGAGTCTGAAGGGTCCTGATGTCAAAGTGAAGAGTTCGAACTCAGAATAAGATCTGGATTATAGTCCAGAGCCTGGATCCTAAGACTATATTTGAATCATGAGCTTTACTGTCTGAATTTTGAAAATAAGGAATGAACTCTGAGTTTAAAGTCGGAGTATAAATGAATGTCTCTCCTGTGGCCCCCACCCTCCTCTATGAACTGGAGTATCCGTCTGATTGTGCTCTTTCAAAAGCTTCATCAACCGTTTTCAGCATTTTACTACGACCCAACCAGTTCAAAACCTTTGGTGTGTTAAACGGCACTGTTCATTTCTGTGATCAAACCCAAAGACAACCAGCAGCAGCAGCAGCAGCAGCAACAGCCTTAGACAGACCCTCACACATGCAGACAGTAGCTGACAGCCACTTCAATTCAGAGGAAACTAGCAACATAACATATCAGGGTGGGTGGGTGGGTGGGCCGTGCACTGTTGACCGTGTGAAATACATAGTGATTGGTTTACATTTAGAAAATCTGGAGCTGTTTTTTTTTTTTTTTTTTTTAATTATTGTTTCTGGATGTCTTTGTGGGTCACATGAGACTGGATGGTTGTTTTTATGGGCTGGTTTTCAGTTTGTCTCTGTTGTGTGTTTGTAATTAATAAACTACTGAATGAGCCTGGCTTTGTTTTTCTCTTTTTTTTTTAAACTCCCTCCTTCATCACCTCCGATCTAAAATCATGGACTTCAAACGTGGAAAAATACATTTATTCACAGATGACTGATACCACAAGAACTCTAAAACCAGAAGCAACGACACGGTTCAGTTTGGAGTCTCTTTCTGTGGACTGGGAAGTGAACATACTGAGGGAAGCTGTCCGAGAAATCACTACACATCATGCCTCCTCACACACTTGATGTCGCCCTGCTTTTAGCTCAGCTGTTAGCCACATCATGTTATCAATCAACTGAATAAATCACATTAGAGTCAGCTCAATAAGATCACATGAAGCCTTGTTTACACACACACAGTTCTCTTAGATAAAGTACATCAACTGTTTTCTCAGGGTTCGAGATTTCCACTGCTGCGTTAATACACATGCCTCTACAGCATTTGATCACAACAATACAGCAAAGTGTCAGTCATGAAATAGTCTCCCTTTTTACTGTGGATGTCTGAAAATAACAATGAACCACTTCAGATATGGACCTACATTACACCATAGTTCATAGTAAGCAGAACTCATAAACCTGAATTAATTCAAGAACGATTTTCACGATGTTCACATGGTGGAAACTTCGGTGACACTTTGACGCCTATCTCTATAACGCATTATAAATATATGTATAATACATTATGATCACGTTATAGCGCTGTATAAGGATAGTTATCAACACTCATAGATGATCATAATATCTTAGAACCGCAATTTAAATCGAATTGGCATCCATCCAATAAAATGTTTCATAATGTGTTATGATTATTGCTATAAAGCATTATGATCATCTATGAGTGTTTATAACTATAGTCATACAGTGCTATAACGTGATTATAACGCATCATACATATATTTATAATGCGTTATAGAGAGAGGCGTCAAATAGTGTTACCAAAACTTCTAATTCACATGCTCAGAGTGGACAACTCAGACCTCTGAAGTTTCAAAAAGAGAAAAGTTTAAATCATGTGTACACATAATGATATTGTGGACACAAGCCACCATAGTAACTTCTGCACACAAGATCAACACAGTGTACTACGCTGGAAAGATGGTAAGACACCAGAAGATAATGACATTGTGCATGTAAGATAAGTGGTTCCTAAAAGATAGTTACTCACTAGTAGGAGATAAAAACATTTCCCCATGATATTTATATCACATGCACAAAATAATCCAACTTGCCTCCACGAGACAGTTACATTAAGTGCACATGATGAAATAATCCAAAAAGACAAGTAGATTGTGTACACAATCAAATCTTGTGTAAAATGTATCAGGAGTGCACAGTATCTCAACTTGTGACAAGACAGGATGATTAAATTGTACCGCCAGGATACCGTGTTACTTACTGTAAAAAGCGACTTATCTTGTGCACACAGAATTAGAGCTTTTTCTCACATTATAATTATCTTGTTTGCACAACATAGTACCTCTGGCAGATAGTATTTTCTTTGGCAACATGATGTATCCTCACCAGGTCCTGAAAAGACCAATCTGGTGCACCCGGTCATGTTAAAAGCTCCTTTAAGTTTTTTTGTCTTTACACGTCTTAAAAGGGACAAACACGTCCATCCACATGCAGAGCTGTGGTGAATGAAACTCCAGGCAGATGTCAGTACAAGCTGTGAGCTGCCTGCTGCAGAAACAGCCTTTCAGTGAGTCACACATTTGAGTGTTAGAACAAATTAGGATGAGATTTTTGGGTTAAAACAAACATGTTCCCAAGGTTAAGAACTGCAAAGATTCAAGTGGGAGCACTTTGTCCACAGGGGGCGCCAGAATCAACACAATCTAAAAGTCACTCACAGGAGCTTAAAGAGAACTTAAAAGGCGTAAATGGTAACATTCAACTACTCCAAGACTGAAGCCAACAACATATTTAGGAGCATCTCCTGCTTACAGAAGAGGATCAGGACCACTGAGAAAAGTTTTCAGAGATTGTTTTATGTTAAAGTCAGAATTCTGATTATAAATGTGGAATTTAAAGTGAAAAATTTGGCTTTAATCGTAGAAATTATGTGATAAATTAGTTTTAGCAAAAAAAAAAGGGGGGTCAGAAGCTCTTATCCATTTCTGTACCTCCTAATAAATCTATTTAAGTTACACTCTCAAACAGAGATTTGACTTCAGGAATGAAAAAGTTATAAATTTGAACAAATAACCCTTTGATTTTAAATTTTTGTAAATTAAAAGAAGTGATTTACACGCATTACTACCTTGTATTTACACGTACCCTCTACACTGTGTTGTGGTACATCACTGTAACAGGATTTGAACCTCGAACCAAGAGCACAGAGCCAGAGAACGGCCACCATGTGAATAAGGTGAATTTGCACGCCTACAGCAGTAAGTCAGTGATACAGGGATTATTTGGTTGAACTGGCCCTTTAATTTCCAGAACACACTTCATCCAGTGAGTCTCTTTCTATACTCATAGTGTCCAAGTTTCACCGCAGTCTGAATCATGATACAGACTTGAGGCTGCGCACCGGTACCATCAGACTGAAATGTTCATCAATTCTTCTGAGAAAGTGCTGAAGTCAACGTTAGGTGTGAGTCAAGTGTTACAGAAAAAAGAAAAAAAAATTAAGCCTCCGTGTTGATCATCATCCACCTGGTCTGTCAGAACCAGGTTCCTCTTGTAACTGTGAACGAGGTCTGAACATCCAACGAGAGTTTTTTTTAAAACGGGGTTAAAGCTGCAGACGATCAACAAGAACACTGCAAGTACATCTGAATCAAGAGTTCACACACAGCTGTGTTTTCACTCCTTCCATGTGTGTGTGTGTGTGTGTGTGTTTCTGATCTGTTAAACACATTTTATCATTTTATCTTTAATACATTCCACACGCTGAACACAGCGCTCCTCGCTCAATATTAACCCAAACACTGGCAAAGGCAGGGCTTCAAATCTGCAAAATAAACTTTATAAAACAGTTATTTATTATCGTTCATATTATAAAACCTAATTACACATGCCCCACACGCCTCCTTTAAAATACAGTAAGTTTACAACAAGGGTTAGTCATGTGATTGTAGAAGCACACCCATCCAAGACGTGAGTGTTAATGTGTGTTTGTGTGCTAACATGCTTCGGTCAGTCTGCAGCTCATCGAAGTTTCAAATGTGTCGGTGAGGGGAGAGTCACTCCAGAAGGGGGTGAGAGGGGTGAGGTGTTAGGAGATAAGGGCAGACACTGATGGTAAGTGGTTCACCAGCACTTCCTGTCCACAGTCTGACAGTTTACATCCTCCTTCCCCCTCCAGCGGGGGGCACGCTGTTCATCCGGCTGTCCTCCCTCTGGATTCAGATCTTCCTCAGAGCCTCCTCAGGCCTCCTCCTGCTCGGGGAAGTTGAGGATCCTGCGGTGGGCTTGTCTCAGGTACTGCTGCTGTTTGAAGTAGACCTTAAACGCTCCTTTGATGGCCACGAAAGCGATTCCTCCCTGAAAGAGAAGAAAGGATGAATTCAGCCATCATTACATCATCCTTAGTGCTCGGCTTTTACTGCAGCTAGTGGAGCCGCCATGGTTACAAGATTATCGACTACTGCTTTTTAAAAATAACCATCATGTGAACAAAATAATACAGCATACATCAGAAAAATGTTAGATATCTAGATTGTGCAAATCTACACACTCTATGCTGCAGTTCCTATTATGTCCACTTGAGGCTGGCTCTGAACAGACAGGCTTCTGCCCAACTGCAGCAAACAGCCTAAATTCAACCCCTTTTTCACCTGAAACAATTAAAAGCATATTTTAACTTTGCTGATCTGAGGTTTTCAGCAGCTCTGCAATGACAGGTCATCTTGATGATAGGGCGTCTTCTTTTCTCCGCCTCACAGACTCTCCCAGTCAGCAGCCCATCTTTCTGCCTGCCTCTGTACCTGTCTGCAGTCACGGAGTTCACAGGCGGAGGACACCGTGTTCAGTCGAGTCGGCGCGGCTCAGATCTCAAAGAGCCACTCTGGTTACGTTTCTCTGCTCGCCACCAGCTGAGAGCTCTTTTGTTCTCTAATCAGTGGTTATTATTATTCGATCCTCCAGTGGCGCTGCGCTGCCTTTAAATCAGAGGGGGTAAAATAAGGACACGGCACCTGCACAGGCACTTTTAATGAGTCATCCACACCTCAGAGCTCTGAGCTCCCCCTCCATTAAAATATTGCTCATTGTTGAGGTTGTTTCATGGAGCATTTTTTAATACTTTATAATCCCAAAATCTCTCAGCACAAAGCTCATCTTAGCCAGCTTTCTAGTCAAAGATCATTGTTATTATATGAGCAAAGGTTGACTGGTTGTCTTATCTCTAATAGATATACGTGTGTTGCTTACACTTGTGCTTTTTGCCTATTATGATACGATTTCTCAGGGTATCTTTAAATACTTCAGGGTTCCTACACAGTTGGAATTTCCAGACTTTTCCATACCCTGATTTTTGGAAAAAAAAACTACTTCTCCATTTTAGAAAACAGTATTTTAGAACCGTAGTAATAGTCTGGAAACATTTTTCTTTTTCCATACTTTTTAAGACCTGGAAATTGATTCAAATTATTCCATACTTGCGTAGGAACCCTGCAAGCTAAAATAGGTACAACTAAAAGGTGATATTGTTTCTGTGAATTATGTTCTGTCTATTATTGACGGGTTTTTCTGCAACGTCATTGCAGGTATGCGTGCGCAGCCAGAGGGCAGAAAGCGGGACATTTCTTAGCTGTTTACTAGCGGAGTCAACGGAGAAAGGAAATGACAAGAAGCTGTTGTGCTGTAAACTGCACGTATTGGCAAAAGGATGGATGGAAACTGTTTGACATCCTGAGGGGATCTCATCCTTTTGCCAAGAGGAGAAGAAGATTGTGGCTCCAGGCCATTAAAAGAGCAGATTGGGGTCCTGAAGGTGCAGGCATCATAAGGTTTTGCCTTTACTCCCTGTCTCTGGTTGGGCAGGACACCTGCTCTCAAAGCGCAAAACCCTGAACTCCTGTCATAACATTTGAAGTTTTGGACGTGGCCACAAAGTACATAATTATACGCGTCCAAAGATTCGTACGCACGCAAACTGTCTTTTGTGTACACACTATGCTTCTCCATGAGATAATTTTATATGTCAGGTCATATTACAGCTGGCCATTTGGACATATCTTCAGTCCATTCCTCACCCGGAATATTATATGAGTCTGGTAATTTCTCACCAGTGCTGAGGGCAAGTTTGTTCAGGTGCAGTCTGAGCTGCTGAGGCTGTTGATATCATTTGTCTAAGCCAGTGGTTCTCACACCTGATTCAAATGAGCAGCTCGTTATAAGAGCCTGATAACGAGCTGATCATTTGAATCAGGTGTGTTGGAGCAGGAAAACATCTAAAACATGCAGGACAGTGGGCCTCGAGGACTGGACTTGAGAACCACTGGTCTAAGCCATCTCCATAAAGACCTAGCTAATTAGCTGTCAGACCTATACTTACAGTGATATTGGCGGGTTCTTTAAAAAGTTGGTAGGCTGTAAAGTAGCCTCATCATAAACAGTTTTACTTTGACTTTGTTAGCATTCACTAACATTACGACCCTGCTCCTGATATTAGAAACATCCAAAACAACGTAACAACCTGGTACATTGAGTGAAATTCATGGATATTTCAGAAAGTGTTTTTCTGATTTGTGATGCAATGAAAGACAAAGTGTTTTTTCAATGAAATGGCATTTTATTATAACACCATCTTAACTGACAACAGTTCACTCCAGACTTTTGCCCCCTGGTTGCGCGTGCAGCTCGTATTGTTTGTACACAAGAAACCCGTCAATAGTTTCTATTTTGGATCACTTTAAACAGGATTATGTAATCTAAGATATCCAGTAGCTAATCTGCTACTGCCCCCAATACAGGTTTCATCATGTTGTAAAGTACACGCACTCAAACATGTACTGAAATGAAAGAAAGAGAAAAATAAATCCTTGTTTGTCATTACTATTACATGTTTTTGGTTTCCTTTTTCACCCGACAGGATTATGCAGATTCTTTCTGGAGCCTCTCTGTACCTTTAAGGGTTTGTTGTATACTGTGTGTACTCACCAGGATGGTCCTCTGCAGGTTCGAGTTCACACTGCTGAACATTAGCTTCCCCACGATGGTGGCAATAGTTGGGAAAACCAGGGCGCCACACAGGATCCGTGTGGCAGAAACGTGGTCTGCCAGGGGGCTGGCCTCTGCCGGGATACGAGGAACTGGGCAGCCGATCCCTGCAGAGACCAGGGAGGAGAAAAACAGAAACAAATTCAAACACGACTGCGATGGTCATTCTGTGTTTTATTACTAGCATAACAAGAGGCAGAGGGAAGATATGAGCTTATGTGTGTGAGTGTGTCCTGACCGGGGAAGATGCTGTTGAGGATCTGCAGCTTGTTGGAGTATTTCCTCCACAGACGCAGCACGTAGTCCTCCCAACGGATCATCTTTCCAAGGATCAGCATGACGGGGATGGTGGGCAGGCCGATGAGCAGAAACAGAGGGTCAGCCCGCTCCATGACGTCCAGACCTTCCTTATGACCGACCACCTGGAGAGCAGAAGAGATGTCAAAGTGGAAAAAATCCAGGTGCAAAGGAGGGAAAGTAGCCGACTCTCATTCAACTCTAAAAGGACCGATAATAAACAGGAACTGGCTGTACCTGCATTACAGTCACGGCTCCGTAGGTGACAGCGGTCCAGTAGATGGAGCCCACCATGATGCCTGCAGCAGCGAAGGGGCCAGCCTTGGAGATGAGCCGATCGGCCAAATCCAGCACGTAGACCACAGGACCTGATGGAATAGGAAAGCTAAAGGTTAGACTGCTGCTCAGCTAACTCTTCACTAACAGAGGTATTGCAGAAGATAACACAAAGAAGAGCATTTAATTGTACAGCAGGGGTCATGAGAAAGCTACTGCTGCTCTAAGACAACCGTAAACCTTTCATTCATCTCCAGGAAGAGATGCAGCAGCTTGAAATGTACAAGTGTTGACATCCAGGAAAGAGTTTAAGAGCTGGAGGAGTTAAACCAGCAAGGTGACTTTTGAGCAGAAAGTTTTTAAGTGAAGTAAAAGTATTAAAGACACAAGGACACTCAGACCGAACACCACGAGGTCGAGCAGGAAGAAAAAAATGACAACAATGCAGTCATGTGAGTCAGAGGAAAGCAGGTCAGGTATGGAGCACACCTTGTGCGGCGGTGGCGGTGTTATTGACAGATAGGGAGGAGGCTCGTGATAGGTTCCACCTTGGTCAAAAATAACCAAGCTGGTTCTCATGTAAGCACGTAGTAAGGATTAATCTAAAGTCCGAACGCGCTTTCCGAGCACCACCCAGTCTGAAATCATCTCTGCTGCATCCTCCTCCTCCTCTTCTTGAGCCGACCTCAGGGAAATCATGCAATATTTACAGGAAGAAAACCTGACAGACCATCCACATCCTATTAATAACCGGGCCCAGGAGTCAGAGGGAGGAGAGCACACAGCACCCAGCCTCTGTGTGCTGCAGTGGAGCTCTGTAAACTGACTGCAAGATCTGATCCAAAACATAAAAAAACAGCCCTGTGCAGCTACTACCTCCAACTTCGACATCAAACTTTACTGTTCGCTTAAATGACTCACAGCAGGGGTCATTTCAAAGACACTGATACCTTTGTAGACAGAACAAGCAATCAGTATTTGTGTTATGTTAAATCAATCAGAAACAACTGATAGTAGACTGTAAATATCCCCATCTCCTATTTTCGTAACAAAGCTCAATTATGATACATAATAAAGTCAGAAACTAAAAGACAAAACTACATAAGTGCTGTACTACTGCCCTCTCTTTGCACCTTTATTTTGGAAACCATTACCACAATAAAAGCTCTTTTTTAATTCTAATTACTTCTGTGATATTTCTGATGTAGTGATTAATGCAGTCTGCGTGTTTTTGTTTTATTAAAAGACTCACGCTGTCAGAGTCCGTTTATTCTGTCGCTCTTGAACTCCTCTCTGCAGTGTCACTGATAAAAAATAATTCAAACTAGAGATTGTCCTGTTATGGTTATTAACTCACAGAGACATCGTTGGGATCAGTTTAAAGCACTTCTTACTGTATCTCAAGCAGCAGTTTTGGAAGCGACTAATGTTAATCATCGGTCATTGTCTGAGAACTTTTCAGATCAGACGCCAACTTCACTGGAACTTCAGAGTAGTCAGCAGTTACATTAAACTTCCAGCTTAGACTTACAGTTTTTTTTTTCACCACAGTAACTGTCGAATTAGCAGTTCCTCAGCCTTCTTCAATTCATCAGCAAAATAAACGCCATTTTATTGGTTAGTTTTAACGCCCAGAGTAATGGCCATCCGTCTGGCTGATTTATCTGTCTCTGGAGGGTTTTAGTTTCACTGTAAACACTAACTTATACTGAGGTGTCTTTCTGTTCCACGGTAGTTGTAGAGCTTAAAGAAGAAACCATGTTTACTGGTGATGTACTTGTAACTATTACCCTGCTTTCCTGCTAAACACCAGCAAACTTTAAACACCCCTCAATGATTCTCATTGTCTCCTCTGCTGTTCACTGGTCAGCCATTAACCACCGACCTCAACATGCAACAAGCTGAGAGAAAGAGACATCAAGCAAACTGAAGAAAACAGGTACAAAGCATCGACAAACCACAGTAAAATGCGGGTTTTTGTGTTACAGGACAGGTTTAGTGAGAAGAACATACCAACAAAAACATTGGCAGCATTGTTTACATGCACATTTGTTTTATAGCAATTAAAGGGATATTCTGACGTAAAATTAATTTAGGGTCAAACACACAGTAACACTGAGTTAGACACCCCCTCGAGAGATGAATGTTGCCGCTTGCTTCTCTAGTTATACCAACTTTAGTAACGACCACACGATAGCAATACAAAGCAGTCTCAGGAGCCATAAACAAACCTCAACCAAAACGCCACAAACAACACTCAGAACAGCACCTAACTTCATCAACAGTACATATAGGGTCCCAGACACAACACTAGCCACCAAACACCTTTTCAACTTTGCCTGGTTTGACTAAATACAACTCACCAACTCTCTTCAAGCAGCCGCTTGTTTGTAGCAAGACCTTGGGCCAGTCCATTGCGGACTGCTGCGGGGTGACACAGCTCAAGGAAAAACATTTATGATCATTTCTTTATCATTTCCTTGAAGTAATAATCACTGTATTAATCATTTTGCACTGCAGGCGCGGTAGTTCTTCTGCCTTGGCCTCTCGGTCTGATTGCATTTCCATGAAGAAATGATCATAAATAATAATCACGAGTGTTGGGCTATTCAAACATTTTCCCTTCAGAAATGTTAGATGTTGAATCACTATTCAGAAATGGGACACAAGCACACATCTTCATAAAATGGCTGAAGGTCATTTCAACGGGGTCGTGTCTCAGTAAGACTGACATTTACCACCTTATTTTAAAAACAGTGATTTTGACACGTGTCTTGTCTTGTTGGGAAATAAAGATATGAAGTGGCGTTGAAACGTTGCTGAGTCATTGGTCATTGTGAAAGCAGGGCTGAGTTCAAGAACGCATTCCCCTCTGGCGTGTCAGCTGCAAACTGATATTTATGTGATTCTTTTCATTTATTCTAAGCGGCTGACGTGCAGCAAAGAAACAAGCTGACCTTGTGGCACACTGAGCTGCCATCATTTCACATTCATGACAACTGTGCTGGGGTTTGTTTCAGGCCGCTGGCAGAGCTGCAGATACATCAAATTCATGTTAAAGATCAGTCTCTCTGCCATTCTCTGAACAGAAATGGCGTCAAAGTTCATTTGAAAGGGGCTGCGAGCTGAGCTGTCACCAGTATTGGCTCAGCCTCTTGTATTTATGTCAGGATACCATAAGTAAGGATACCACACCCTAAGTTTTCATCGTTTGTAACATCTGAGAAGAAGGCTGGTTGTCTTGAAAACTGGTCATTTTACTAGGTTAAAACACTGTATAAATCAGTTTTTTTTTTCTCCACTTCCTAAAACCAACACTGTGCAGTCGCGTTGTACGCATTCGGAGAGTCGCCAAGAGTCGCTGTGACTGATCTGACCCTCGACTCAAACAGTGTATCCCCAAGGTGATCTATGCAGTCTTTGTTTGCCCATAGGCTGTGTCAGGTGTCAATCATAGAAAACATGAACCCCCTAATAACTTTTAAAAATGGAGCTGTACAGAATAAAGAGGACTTGAGCACAAACCAGTCTGAGGGTGCTGTTCTTGGGGTGGCTTCACCCAGCGAGGAGGCAGACGTTGTCTATTCTATATGTAGTCAATGTTCCAACACTATTTGGTGGCCCACAGGTGTCCAAAAGAGAGGAGGCTTCCTGAGCGCCCCCTAACTTCCTGATAACTGACACTCCAGCACCTTCTTCTAACTCTAGAGAGTAACGGGTGTCGACACAGAAACACTGTGAACTGACTGGCTGTTCGCACCTTTATTTCTGATGCGTAAAAGGACACTGAGTGAGAAATCATTCTGGTTATCCGTGTCACTGACATAGATGTCTTTCACTGTCCCATATTGACCCCGGGTTTACACTTCCTAACCTTAGGTATATATATAATGTAGTAATGTTTTTATGGACCAAACTGTGACATCTCTAATGGCAGTCCTTCCAGTTTCCGAAGCCTACACATCATGTGTAAAAGTGGCAGCAGCTCTCAGAAGTCATTTTTAGGTTCACTCAGTTATTTTAAGTTTATTGCTTTTTACAGTAAGGACATAAGTCAGATTTTATTAGACTGTTTGTACAGCCAGCCCAGAAGTACTTTCCACAACTTGTGTACAATTCAGCCCCTGTTAGCTGTACACCTATTTCTGAATCAGGCTCTATAAAAGCCACGAGTCGAGAGTACAGGTCAATCCATGCTAAAGGTCTTTTCTCTGAACCACTTCTGGAGAAAGGAGGCTAAAGAAAGTAAGAGGGATTAGAAACTCAGCATCATTCTTTTATTTCTAAAGTAGATGTGAACACGGAAGCTCTCTACCTACTTTTACAGCACCTGTGTGTGTGCAGACCAGATCGATCTTGCGCGGCTTGAGTGCATTTATTTGGCATATTTTGATGACAGGGTTGGAACCTCTTCCGCTTTCTCCCTGCCTAAGCATTACGCCATCACAGCCGGAGGGAACTGGGTTGCCCTTAATGGCCGCTGGCAGGGCAGAGAGCTGAGCAATCCATTTCAGCTGCTGGCAGCAGATTCCATAATTAAGATAATTAAAAAGAGGGGAGGGGGGGATGTGAAGGAGAGAGGGGAAAAGTGCAATTTGTCAGTAGTGGGCATGCATACTGGCACACACTTCCAGCTGGCTTGTTTACTCTGCAGGCAGAACGTCAGTAAAGAAGGAGCTGCAAGGACACGGCGTCCTCATAGTTATACCGCTGGCCAAATTAGCATGTCAGGGCGTCTGCAGCAGGTGCTGCTGGGAATACAGCCAGTGTACAGATATCCTCATATCTGCATGCTCACTGTTGCTCTCCTCCTTACAGATTTTGCCTCAGATCAATTGAAAGCAACACAACCTGATTCAATAAACGACCCATAACCAGACTCATGCTGGATCGTGTTGTTTTTTTAGATCAGCTGATAATAAAAAAATCACCAGGAAAGAGTTGTTCATCAGATCAATCTTTGCCTCTAACTTTAAATATTTTAATATGAGACTTTAAATATTTACAGGTCAAAGTTTCATATATATTTGTGTAATTTAGGCTCCTATAGCTGCACTGCTGGTGCGACTGCATCTATGGCATCACTGTTTTTGAAAACTTCTGCCTGACTGATGTTCGATTTCCAAAGCAGCCGTCCAAACATGACACTAGAAAATGATACAAAATGACACTTGACACTCATATGCACAGGATTTTATATCTGCTGGGGTTGTTTTGATTTTAGTATGGTGAGCTTGATCTCTTTTAGAGCTTACAAAACTGCAACCAGAGTAAGGTCAAGGAAATACGAGACGAAATATTGCTTGTGTTTTGGTGTTACATGGGACACAGCCATCTCCTGGGCGAAAGAGAAACAACTTTGCAGCTACGCTCACAGATCTCAGCAAAAAGCATCACCACTTTGGCCAAACTACACCCATACTGTTGGAGAAGTGTCAGGATGATCCAACTGCAACTATCATGTGGTTGAAAAAGCTCCATGAACTCTTGATCTGTTCTCTTCCTCCACCCAAAACAGCCATGGTAATCCCACCTAAACTCTGTAGCAGCTCCCAAAAATTTAAATAGTGATTAAATATTGCAAACTGTATTAAAATTGGCTTTAAAAAAGACTTGTCAGCTAACTAAACTAGGCGATATAAGTATACACTGTGATGTTTTTGAGGTAGAGTTGGGCTGAGCAAAAACTAAAAGATATCACATGTGGAAGTATGACCTGTTCAACCTCCTAACATGAGCTCTTATCAGCTTGAAACGCAACACCAATTTTTAAAGCCAAGAATACATCCTATTCCCTCAACACTAAAACCACCAGTCTTGTCTTTCTACCGTCTAATGGAAAAGTATTGATAGCAGACTAAATAAAGACACAGATTCTTAAAGGGTCTCCATTATATCAAGACAGAACGGAAAAACTGTGCAAAACCTGCAATGTGTATCTCGCTACATCGCAAATGCACACAAGCGCAGACTCAGGTGAGTAAAGATGAAGACATAGAAGCAGGTTAAAGCCGTCAAAGCCTAATAAAAACACAGCAGAGCACTTTTATAGACACCTTTGAGACTGTCGCACCATGTAACAAAACCTCACCAGAAAGAAATCACAGCCTGAATAATGAGACACTTCAGAAAATACTGTGTAAGCTTTATTTATTTCTAGTTTTAATATTGAAAATGAATTTATTTCATATTTCTATTTTTTTTAATTGAGAAATACACATTTCAGTACTATCAATAATCCCTTTGAGAATCAAGCAGATAGACTCATGACACTTTCATGAAATGGCAAACCACTATTTTGTCCACTTTGGCTGCAGCTGCAAAATTTCAGTGAATCATGCAGCAGCGAAATGAGGCACTGTGGTCAACTCTTCACCATGTCTAACTTTCTGCAGCTGCCCTAACTTGTCACCGAGCCGCTACTATTCAAATCTGACAGCTAATTAAAGCTGCAGGGGTTCTTTAAATTGAGAGGTCTGTGTGTGTGAGCTTTGAGGTTTTAAGCTCAACTTCATTCACATCATAGACCTAACTGTCTGTACAACCAGCAGGACAAAACGACACTTTTTCTTTGTTACAATGATGATAATAATAAAGTCGAGGCAACAGCAAAGCGGCACTGCAGTAATGATGCAGCAGAACAGAAAGTGCTTCCCTCCACCTGTGTACTTGAAAGTGGACTAAAACCCTGCAGCCTGAGGTCTGAACTCCTCGTCCAGAGCTTATAAACTGAGGGGTTAAAAGGAATTATTATATTATACATCCAAGAATGACAAAAAAGAGGGGAAAAAAACACTGTCTGTGTAGCTGTTAGAGATGTGGGGTGACACTTTTGATTCTATAAAGTCACAGTCACACTTTCCAAACACCACAGAGCACCACACATGCAGAGGACGAGCAAATCAGCCTCATCTTATGCATGTAGTTCTCTTTACAATCCAGTCTGAGGCACATCCTGTTCCCCACAGAGTCCCCACCCCAGACCCGAGCTCTGTCCAGGTGTGATTGCAATGACTGAGTCTCCGAGAAACACTTTTGGGGGGGGGGGGGGGCTGTGATTTCATGGGCTCATCAGCAGAGAGGTAGTGCCACTCCACTCATGCCTTTGATGAGCTACTCTGAAGTGACCCACTTTCGCTGCCACTCCTCTCTCTCCTCTGGCAGACACATCCAGCCTCTCTGCTCTGCTCCCTCATCACCTCTGTCTCACACTTGACGATGGGATTAGGGAAAGACCGGTTTCTCTGAAGATGAAGAGTCTCTCAGCTACGGTCCTGAGGCTCTCTGAGGAGACTGACCACGGTTTCACCCCATGTCTGCGCGGGTTCAGCTGCCACTGAGGAGGACTTTCTTTTCTTTTTTGGTTCGGACATGGTGGCGAGAAATCTCTGGACATCAGAAATATACAATAAAATATCTTTATATGTTTGGGGTTTCAACAAGAAATTATCAAAGCAAAGAAACAGTCATAAATAGCTGTTTTTGATTGTGAAGTTTGGAAGTAGAGATCAGGGGACTAAGTCTAACACAGATCACCTAAAGTTAGGGGCAAATCCCTCTCCACCACGAGGGTCCACAGTTGTATTTCTCATTAGTGTTGTTAATTCTTTTTCACTGAAAGGGTACCCCTAAGCCCCTTATTTCCAATTCAATTACAAAGAGGCTTAAATAATGATGAGATGACCAGCCTAAAGATGTAAAACCCTCCAAAATCAAAGTTGAGCCACATCCACAAATGTACAAAAGCTAATGTTATGTGGACATTTAATGGCTTTTAAAAAACGTTCATTATCCCCATAAAGAATGACTACTTGGCATCAAATAAACTTCATGATAAACAGTTAATATTGATATGTTGCCCTTGACATGTGTGGTCCTTGGCTTCATGTGCAACAAACAAACAAAGCAGATCCTTTCAATAAACATGTTCAATAAACATGACAGGGATTTCCTCAATACAAGTCAACACTGTACAACGGTATTACTGGTGAGTGATAGATTGTACTTATCTATCAGAGCTTACAGGATAACAATAGGTTCACTCTTGTGTATTTTGCACTGGTTCAGAGGATGATAATAATGACTGTTATCTGCAATCTGGACATGTATAGAAAGTATTCAGAGAGGAGGAAGATTTTACACAATAAATCTTCAAAGTCAACTAAAAAGTAGCATTGAGGATGTAAAAAGCAGCAGTAGTTGCATCTAACACCAACAATCCAGTCAGTTCCTTTTGTGTTACTCAACCTTCCTTCTGTTTTAGCTTTTACTACCCACCCACTATGTTAACAGGTTGTTTTCAACCTGCGTCCTAGATCATCTGAAAATCACACTAAAAACAATTCTCTATCATCCAGTTTGGTTCTCCTCTCTAGGTTACCTTGTTAGGCGTCATTATCCATGGAAATATTGCTGATAATATTTTGTTGTGGTTGTGTGGGCCTTCTTTTGTCAGTATACCCCTCATACAGACATCTAGACTGAATTGATCTCACATGTCTGGACATGCCCAAGATTGTTTTTGTGCAGGGAAATACCTGGCAAAATGAGAGTTTCCTAAATCTCACATGATTGAAAGAGGATCTGACTGTCAGTGTGGTGCCTGACGGTGCACATTAATCTAACAACAGCGACCCTAACACAACAAGTCCATAATTTTTTTAATAAGAGCATTTTATAATTTAGTCAATTTAATCTTTTTATTTTTATTCATTGAAATAGACAAAAAGTCTTGATGATAAAAAAGCTAATTAAAGTGGTTCTTTTAAGCATTTAAAAACAAAAACAGGTCGGTGCTGGCCCTAACACAGGAGGAGGGTTAATAGATGTTTTGGACAGCAGAAAAAAATTACCAGAGAAAACCTGAAGCTAAAGCATTTAAAAATGGAATCACTGGACGTAACAGCAGTTGATAAATCCCTTTTTTCTGAGATATAAGACCAAGGACTTGACCGGCTAATGGCTTATTTGGACCGGTAGAGTCACCACTACTTTGCAGTCATATCTTCAAGTGGTTTACAGTAAAAAAAGGAAAAAAAAAAGAAAAAAACTATACTACTAAATGAAAATGATTCTAGTTTGAAATGGTGATCATGGAGTATTAAGTGTCTGATCTTTGCTCACTAAATCTTTGCATTTCCTTCCCACAAGTGTGCATCAACTTCTTGTGATGGTATTGTCAATTTTGTGGTGTCATGGGTACTGAAGTGTCTTGATACTGTCCTGGGTGAGTAACAGTAGGAAACAGAGGGTCTTGTGGGGCAAAGTGTAGCTGTGATTCAGCGGAGCAGTGGACTGGGGGGTGTGCTGTCCTTTATGCTCAACTTGCTGCTTCATGGCCAACACCCACAGCGAGAGACAGAAGGGTAATTCTGAAGTTATGGATGCCCCAGTGATTTTTAATCTGATATGTGGAAGCATTTCGGTTCTGCCAGATTGAGGAATGAGAAATAGATGACAGAATAATGAAACGCACTATGTCAGACTGTGGTGGCCTATACGTCAGAGAACAGTGCTAATGCTAGAAAGCTTGGTTATGATTTAATATTATTGTAACAGAACATTCAGGCAGCAACTTGTTTTTTTGTCCACTCATTTGCTCTGTCGGTTCAACTGTTCTTTTTTAAAACAAAGTGGTAGAAATTAAATGTGTTTTTGTATCCGATTCATTGATTAATCGAAAAAATAATCGACCCATTAGTTGATTATTAAAATAATCGTTAGTAGCAGCCCTAGTTACCAGAAGTGTCAAAAACATGATCTTCATGGATGCCTCTGTGTTAAGTCATTGATTAATTACAGAGCTGATATGTAAATAGTCATATGTAAATGACTATTATATGTAAACAGTCATTTAAATAAAAAGAAATCCTCGGATTATCAACAGATGATAATTCTTTCTAATTCTTCATTTTAATTATTACCTACAACAACCACAACCCTGTAAAACTCAAGTTCCCCACTGTGGGCACTGTAGGCCAACATTAATAAAATTAGCAGCTTAACTGAGGAATAAGTCTGTTATCAACTAAGATGCTAATGTTTCTATTAAATGAGCAGGCTTACTCCATGTCATTCAAAAACAGCCTACTGACTCTGAGTGTGTTTACGCTGTCATACTTCTCATCTATCTCAGCAAAATTAAAAGAGAAAAGCTAGTTTTTGTTGAAGTTAAAAAACTGTCTGTGGTTTGCTATTTTAAAATCCGTCATAGTCTGAAAAATCTCATGCATGTTAAGCGAGAGAATAAATCCTTTTAGACTGTATTCCAAGAAGATCATTACCAGTTTTCACGGTGAAAATACAAGAAACTCTTCTGTTCATCTGTTCTTAGAACCACAAAGAAGTTCCTCCCGTCTGAAAATGCCTAATCACCGTGGGCACCATGCCTCAGCAGATCTGCCACCAAGAGGAAGTTCCCTTTCAAAATAAACCCTCGGTTCATCCATCACAATGCCCCACAAGGCTGATTGCCGACCCGCTTCAACATTTAAACACAAGACAAAGTAACACAAAGTTTAAAGTAGGCGTCAAGCTGGAGGTTAAACATTTCACTCCTCATCTGTATCTATAAACAGAGCTGGCTGAGAAGAACCGACCACAGAGCACAGCGAGGTGTGACTGTGAGAAAAACACTGATGTTACGAGTTAAAAGCAAGACTTTGAGAGCTACTGAACCCAGCAAAGACTCCGATATGTTGTGATTGAGAGCAGTAAGAAGAGATAACAAATGTGTGCTGAAAATAAAAACAGACAATTCCACTTATTTGTATAATGAACATCAGAAATAAACATCAGGTTTACAAGCAGTAGGAGAACAGGATTCACAGACATCAGGACCGTGTGCCTCTGATACCTCCACAGTGGTATAACACTGACTTAAGTGCAGACAGGATTTGAACACGTTCCTTGCTAAACTCTTAAGTTATGGATTTACCCCTGTTTTTCCTAACAGGTTCGTTCTTTGCTGTATATTGATGAAATTCTGGTTATTTTTTAACACTGTAAACGGACACCCAGAGTTGTCCAAACCACTGACCTAGGGACAGAAAACTCTGTGACGTCTTCTCCTCTCTGTCTGGAAGTCAAAGAAACTAAGTATTAAAGTTATGAAGCATCTTGACGTAGCTTGGTGCTGAAACATCTTGGTACCTTTTTTTGATTTTTTAGATATACAAAAATATACAAATTTACAAAAAGATACAAAAATCTTTAACATTTAACATTAATCATGACAACTTTAACCACACTGTCACAAATCTCTTTTTTTAAAGCTGCATCCATTTACAAAAGCATGTCCAAGTACGGTTTATTGCCAGGTTGCCTAGGCGTTGGACAGCTTGTTGTTTACACCTCACTTTCAACTTTCATTGTGTCAAGACATCAATATTAGTACAGCTCCTATTCTCAATAAAGTTGAGATGCTGTGTAAAATGTCAAAAATGACAGATTTTGATGGTTGGTTAATCTTTTAAATTTAAAATTCATCTCAAAATAGTACAAAGACAACACTTTAAATGTTAAAACTAAAAAATGTAACTGTTTCATGAAAATATGTGCCTATTTTAAACTTAATAAGGGTCGGAACCAATTGGTTTCATCACCTACTATACCACAAAAAAATCTGAAAATCTGTACAAAAATCTTCTAATCAGCTCTGCATTGTAAACAGATATGACTCTATGGTGGAAATCACAGCATGGGCTCTGCAGTACCCTTAACTCATGAGGATGCCTAAGTGCTAATGGCTGTAGTAGCTTCCACATATGGGAGGCACCATTAATGCTGATCCATCCAAACTGTGTCTTTTTAAGGGAAGGGAACAGTGTCTTTTTGCATATGTCAGCGAGGCACTGCCAACAACTTCCAGTATTACATTAGCATAGCTATGTAGTAGAGGAGTCCAGGTGATCACCTGGCCTGTCTGGCTTATCATCTATCAAAAACACTTGGCACATCATGAAACGAACTATACAACAAAGACCCTGAACTTCTGAGCTGCTAAAATCCTGTACCAGGCAAGAACAGAAAACATTTCACTCTCTAGATTCCAGAGACCGATCTCCTGAGTTTTGCTAATGGAAGATACGATTTAACCTAGTGTTAAACATGCTCCTGTCCTTACTTTGTCCTTTACTTTAACATCAGAAATACTTTCTTTGCATGATCTCATTTGTATGATTTGCAAGAAGTTAGTAATGTACCTGCTGAATATCAATGCTTCAACTCAACATCTTTTTTTTAAATGACTGCTCAGAATTACATTGTATTGAAACCTTAGCAGCAACTCCATATTAGATACACATTGTTAGTACTGAAGGGTTGAAGGTAAACTATGGCCCACAAAAAGCCCCTCTCCTGCCTCTCAACATTATATCAAAGTGCCCCCGTGAGCTGGCACTAACACATTGGTGCTGGTGCAAATACATTATGTTCCTTCAAGCTACTGTTAGCAGAAGCCAATGTCCCAGCAGTGCAGGAGGTTGAGCAGGTGTATAAGACACACATTTGTACGGCACCTGGACATTGTGTCCTTTTGTCCTGTTGCTATTTTGGTAACTTGTGAATCTGAGCCTCAAAAACTTGAACATTCCCTCTCACTCTGCACCATTTGTTACCTTCTGCCACAGCCGACCCCACCCTGAAGCCTTTTCACACAATGAAATGACGCTGAATTGAAAATATAATGTTCACGAGAGGCTGCCTGTTAACATGCTTCCTAAAAAATTGTGTTTTAATTGAAATTTTCACTCCTATACTGTTAACAGGAGTGTAAAAGCAAGGAAAGGTTAAGTTACAGAAGTCAAATTGCCTTTTGTTGATTAATTTTCCAAAACTGTAAATCTTATCCACCAAGTGTTCACTGTGGCCAACACATTAAGGGGGTTTCTTGGCTTGTTGACTTATAGGGCCAGTAGCTACAAATATCAGCAATATTAAAGGAGGGGTATCATGTTTTTCCACATTTACAACAAAAACTGCAAAGTAATTAAGTTTGGTGTTCATACTACATGTAGGCAAAATAAACGTGTTTTGTTATAATCTTAGAAAATGGATGTAAACTGTTCAAAACAGGAGCCTGCGCAAAGATGCGAGACTCACCAAACTGCCTACAACAGCGTTATAGTCTCTCCTTACTGGTCAATCTGCGCTTCCAGCAAAGAAGACTGGCCTGCCTCCAATAGCGTGTGAGGTGACACCCACGGAGGAGAGGGGTAACACTAATTGAACACAATCGAGAGGCGGGGCCAAAACTTCGAGCTCTGCCCTGGCCAGAAAGCTTTTCCAGAGGTGGCCAATCAGAAGAAAGTAGGCGTTGACGTAGTATGATGTTTTAATACACCACTCTGAGAAATTAGTCTTTTTTAATCTGAAAATTATGTAAAACTATCAAAGAGGAAACAGAGAGGAAGTACAGAGTCTAAAAAATAATGCATTATAACCCTCTCTTTAAAGACAACCTGTACTGTTAATTATCTCTGCATGTGTTAAACAAAAGTCAAAAGTTAAAAGTGTGTCTTGGACTGCTGAAAGGATGCTTCTTCATTCCACATGTGAGAGTTGTTAGGGCTCTAATGAACAGTTCTTGAGGGACCTCTGAGCTAATTAACACAGCCTGAAAAGCAGAGGGAGAGAGTCCGGCAGACAGGAAACACAGCCAGCTACCAGCGCAGTGCCAATGTTCAGCCCTCGGAGAGTGATAAACACATATACAGGGTTATCTACTGATGAGTAGGAGGAAGTGTTTAAAAACTCTGAGCTCAACCTTTCGCTTAAAGCACCACAATGACTGACAGCACAGCCCTGGTTGCTATAAATACACCTGAACCTGTTTACCAGCTGGGCCAGGCTTCATGCACACTGACATTGTCTTAAGGCCAGCTTCTGTCTCAAATTCCAACTTCTCTCTCTCTCTGAGAAGTCAAACAGCAGTAGCCCAGAGGCTGATGGGCAACCCACACAGAACTGTGGACAAGTATTTACTTTACATCCTCCAGGTTTGGAAATGTAGACGTAATCAGTCTGACACTGAAACTTTGGCATGGATAGGGTCTAACCACACAAGCACAGCCATGTATGATGTATGTTAGTTAGATGAGTCACAGCCGGTGTTTGGGAACAACCGGCGCTTCCGTCACTCTGACGTGTGGGCATAATTGGAGTACTGGCTTCTCTGAGCTGCCACTGGTTAATCAGCCTGTAGTCGGGGTCTATAACGAGTGATCTTCTGTTCTTCGTCAGGCTGAGAGGAAATATTGACCAAGATCACCACAGAACCTGCACTGCTCTGCAGTAAACAAACACGAGCACTCAGGCAAGACTAACTCAATAGCTCTCAGAGCTGTGGATACTGTTACAGGGAGCAGCTGTAAGAGAGTCTTCAAGAGCTTCAAGAAGCTTTGTATATGATAACATGCTCCATAATGCTGCTTATATTTTTACGAACAAAAGAAAATGAAAAATTCAAAGACGAATTGAGGGTGGAGATATCAAATTTGGATTTAAAGTCTGGAAACACCTGTCCCTTTTTTGTGTCCTTGATTTATATTTTTATCAAATAAGCAAGAAAATATACTAAGTCGAATCAAATAAACGCTCAAATTTTCCCTCGGGGTTAAAAAAAGTACTTCATATCTTATCTGAAGAGCAGGCCCGGGCATAGCTCATCCCAAAATTTTACCTGACAAAATAAATTACTTGCAAGTTTTGTTCAAGAGTCAACACTGGTCCACAGAAAAGAGAGATAGGCACTTTGCTGCTGCTAATTATGTATACTCCGATTACCAAGTATGCAAGTAAAAAATATGATTACTATATGTCACTGCATCACATATGGTCACTGCCTTTATAACCGAAGCACACCAAAACACCCCGTCCCCATCTAAATATCCTTATATTTATTAAGGACTCATATCCTAGCCTGTATCTGCCTACTAATGGATACTTACCATGTCGTGTTACTTTTGGAGTATGTTCACAGCACAGCAAACAAACAGTTAATAAGGCACACCCCTTTCCCTTTCAAATCAGCAGGTGAAGGTGGAACTGGAAACATAGACGTGGTCTATTCAAAGTCTCAATAGACTGAATGAAATCCGGATAAATCCAGAAGAATCACATCCTTAAAAGTAAACCAGGGTCAAATTCCCCTTTCACTCTTTGAGTCACATCAACCTTAAACTAATCCAGACCATCCATCTCCACCTCCTCAGGCTGAACAGAGATGAAGCCAAAACACCCCTGCAGCAGAAACTGACATCTAAAGCCAAAGTATGCACAGAAGAGACCAGCTCTCACCCTGCACTTCCTACTGACCAAAACATAAAAAATACAAAGTTTTCCTCAGGTATGGAGTTCAGTACACCAGAACAGTTCTTGAGTTGGTTTGAAGCAGACGCCCTCAGTTATTACCAGCCTATGACTCTTGTGTAAGTGTTTATTAGGTCTTCCTATTACACTCTTTTTATGTGGTGAGCGCACTGCAGCATAAGCTGTAATTTGTCAACAAAGCTGTCAGTGATGGAAGTTCAAACTTAATGCATCAAACATTGCAATAGTCTTTTTGGTTGAATGCATTATCTGATAGTTAAAATTTGACACCCACAGCAGACCTTAGAGTGACTGTCCCACTGGCTGATACCCTGATTCACATTTTAAGATATTTTTGTGTAAAATAGTACCTAGAGAAGAATTACTTTCATTTTTGACTTTCAGGTCTGAACAGATCGGAAAATAAGCCATTTTCCCATCGATGGGAGTGTGTCAAAGTGTAAAGACAGGAGAAGATTGATGCCTAAAAGTGATCTGCTCCTCAGTGAAACTGTCACCTACATGAAACAGAAGCTCTCCAGCTGAAACTGAGCAGTGTTTCACAAGCAAATGAAGTATGTTTTGAAACCGAATCCCCTTCTAGCACAGTCATCCTTCAATGATCAACATCTCAGCTCTTAAAGGGAACTCAAAGCTGAGCAACTAACTGTGTCGATTTAACCCCTGGGCCTCTAGCTTTGCCTTCACTAAGATGAAACCCACCTAGTTTGGGGAAGACGATGAGGTATTCTGCGTTGCACTGTGGGCAGGCCACACGTGCTGTGCTGTTGCCCCGCTGCTTCTCATCCACCCAGCGCTGCAGACAGGCCTGGTGGACCCACTTTGTAGAGCCACGGCAGCGGCACGGACGCACCCACTCTGCAGTGCGGTCATCCTCATCTGTGGCAAAGCACACCCAGCAACTCCTGGAACAAATGCACACAAGGTCAGAGGAGAAAAAAGTAGCACATGCATCCTAACAATCAGGAAAGAAGATCCTTTTAGTCTGAATGAATCTGATTTTTACATGACAGCACCTCTACATTCCTTAAAGAGAAGAAACCCTGCTAATAACCCCTAAAAACTCAAGAACTAGGACAACTTTGATGATGTTTTTAATCTCAATTCTGTTCTTGCACAGCCTGTTCAGGCATTGCATTACATTACGTTAATGACCTATGAAACAGTAGTTCCTTTTCACATACAATAAAATAAATACAGGGCCCCCCACCCCTTTAAAAACCAGTTAAAATGGACATCTCTGCAGTCAGAATGAACAGATTCTCTCCTTAAATTAACTAGACATGAATTTAAGACAAGCTCTGATTACAAAGAGTTGAGTTTTTATTTTTCTGTGTGAAGTTTGATCAAAATGGTGTCAGTAATGTGTATGTAGATCCGTTTAAACGGGTGGAAGTCACCGGTGGCCCCACAATATGATATTATCATGATACTTGGGCCACAAAATGATATTATCATGATACTTGGGCCACGATACGATATTATCATGATACTTGGGCCACAATATGATATTATCACGATACTTGGGCCACAAAGCGATATTATCATGATACTTGAGCCACGATACCATATTATCACGATACTTGGGCCACAATGCGATATTATCATGATACTTGGGCCACGATACCATATTATCACAATACCTGGGCCACGATACCATATTATCACCATACTTGGGCCACGATAAGATATTATCACGATACTTCAGCCACAATATGATATTATCATGATACTTGGGCCACGATACAATATTATTGCCATTTTTAACATTTTGCAATAATATCGTAGCACTGCAATATATTGCAATTCACAAAATCTTTTAAACTGTTCAGCTAATATTGCATTTGTCTGTCCTTTATGTCTGTCTTATTTTCACAGTATTTTATTTTCATGTTGCGCATCTTGCAAACCTTATACATATATTTGTTGTACTAACTTTCTCCTGCTCTATGATGTCACCGCTGCCAACCTCACTGGACAAACAGTTGATTTTATTTTTCCATTATCATAGATTTGACTTCATATTCGCAGTTAATTTGAAAAATAGATATTTGGTTAAATGAGACGATACGATGTATCACTAGACAAAATATTGCGATACGATGCTGTATTGATTTTCTCTCCCACCCCTATCGGTTTGTGTGTCTTTTATACATCAAGGCATATGAGTGCATGCTGGGGACTTTCTGTTTGTCATTGTGGGAGACCGAAGGACAGAGCAAGACTAAAGTTATTTCATTTCCCCTTTAAGGGAAAATCGGGCACTAAGCAACACAAAGTCACTCCAAATTTGAGTCAAAGGTTGAAGCTTAGATCAGGTTTTTCTGGAGCTCTATGAGAGGAAAGTGTTGGCGAGCACATTTAGAGAGCTCTGAAAGAGGTAGTGATCAAAGTCTCTTAAATACCTCCAGACTGGAACACACACACACACACACACACACACACACACACACACACACACACACACACACACACACACACACACACACACACACACACACACACACACACACACACACACAGCACGAATCTGGGCCAATGACTTTGCATGATATAAGCTAGGATCAAAACATAGAGCCTACAGGTAAACAAGCTGTTTTGCTGACAGCATGACAGCAAATGTTCACACTCATTCATACAAACCCATCCTTTGTTCAGCTATCTGCACCCAGGGCAAATAATCTATAAAGGATTATATTTCATATCTCATGACAGTGACGGATACAATTTCACACCAAAATCAATAATGATCTCACAAACCCTCCAAAGAGGAACTTTTACCTGATTCTGCACCATTTCTCTTTTTCTCTTGCTTCTACTTTGAAGCTACCTTCTTTTGACGTTGCCTGTAGGATTTATCACACTGTGACTCAAACCTAAATCCAGCAGGGTATCCCTGTGCAAGTGAACACAATGTTCTGATAGACCACAGCTAGGATGTGTAGAGGCTGGGCTGCAGAGGAGACACTGTCTCCCTTGTGTGTAACACCCAGACAAATGCTCAGCTCTGGCCTTGGGCCAAACCATATTTTAACATCCTCCATCCTGCACAGAAGTACCTCAGCACATCCTCTTTCCTCTCCTCCTACACAGATAAAGTCATTCTGACTAAATTCTTCTCACCCTTAAAAAAGGTCAAAGTAGGAGGCAGAGAGAATTTGGGATGAGCTATAAAACAATCCAGTAAGTGGATCACGATTGAATGTGTTGATATATTTTTACCAGCCAGGGTCTTGCTGCTTAATGTCACCTTGGCTTAACTTTTTTCTGTTGTTTCTAAAGTCTAAAATTAAACCAGATAACAAAGTTTGGTGATTTTGAGGGAAAAGCAGAAAGTTAGAGGCAGCTCTGCTCACAGCCCGAGCCAGCTAAGACTGTCAGAACCTTGAGTTTCAAATACTTCACAGCTTTACTGAGTGTTTTAAATAGTTCAAATACAGGGTCTATTTGACTCAACATTAGGAAACCTCGAGGTGTAGACCCTTTGAGTGATGGATCTTGGTAAGCGTGATGAAACAAAAGCAACAGGCTCTACAGTCACTACTGAGAGATGCAGGAGTTCTGTGTGACAACTTTCAGAACCTGGCAGCAGTGAACGCCTGTGGGTGCTGCCAGGGCAAGTAAACAGCATTTGTAAACAAAGCCCTGAAGAGGGTTCATAATGAACATGCATCAACAGGAGGGTCAGACTTGAGGACACTCTTCTCTCTCTGTCTGTCTGTCTGTCTCTCTCTGTCTGTCTCTTTCACATGCAAACCATGAGTCTGAAGCTGCTCCTAAGCACATAAGCAGTCCTTGGAAAACTTAACTGGTTCTTAGATGGTACAGGACTTGAACTAGCCTTCACCAAGCACTAGTACCAGCCCAGCACAAGCACCAGGGCCACTCTGGACATTGTGGATTGAGGACAAAACCATGATTCACAGTGTGCCCACGTTTCTCGCAGTAAAAGCAAAACAGCCCCGTCTGTATAACCAACACCTTCCTCACTTTTGAGCTCCTTCCAAACCTGTGAGTTTAATTTTACCTGCTGAGCAAAGAGTTCAGCCACCAGAGGGTAAGAGGGGCTCCTCAAAACTTTCCACGTGTGTAAGGACATACTCATCTGTAAGAACTGCGGCATCTGACATGGCGAAGATGTTAAGCTTATCAATGCTAGTAATTATCAAGGATGGTGCTCTTACAGAGAATGAAATGCTAAAAGGGTCTGCCAACACTGTGCCAGTGAGGGTCAGAAAAAATGAACAGAACAGCTGAACACATACTTGTGGTGAGATGGCCAAATGAGGGGGCTTCACTGGGATGAGCAATCTGGAGCAGTTGGGATTCAATGCCTTGCTCATCTTTCTGAAGTTCCCAGGAGGTAAATTAGCACCACCTGCAACAGCCCAATATCTAAACTTGATCAGTCTTGACTGGACCAGACAGAGAAAACTGCCACCCCATCTGATCTTGTCTTTTGAGTAGGTGCTTCCCTTATTGTTTCTACTCGTTAGAATCAGCTTTTAAGAAAAAGTTCAACTGAATCGGTTCATTTAGAAGACGATCTCAAAGAAATAAAGACTGGACTCATAAACTTTGAGGTCATCACCCTCAACCCAACGCACCTGCTCCACGACACCAACACAGAGTCAATGCCCTTTGGAGAAAACGGTTTCTCCTTCTGAAAAAGAACGAGGGTTGGTGGTAACAGGCAGTTTGTTCACTTCATTAAACCTGTGCCTCTTCACTTCAAGGAGAAAGTCTTGAGTGTGTTTGATACTCCTGCTGTACTGTGTCCTCAGTAAATGGACTCCTTGTGTGAACAGTACACCATCATTCTCTTTCTGCTCAGTATCTGTCCAACATCTGGGAGTTCATTTGAAACCCAAGTTCCCTGGTCCTATCACAAGACATCTCCAACTGTGATATTATATCACTTTTCTATCATTTATCATCAGCATGTAACTGACTGGATGGTTCCATGACTGAATGTCTCCTGAATTCAACAACGCAGACCAGCAACATTTTAGTTTTGGCTTCAGAGTTTCAATTAAAACAGTCATATGTGAGAGCTGAATAACTGAAATTGAAAAATCAAAAACCAGGGCAGGACTGTGTCCGGGCTCCGAAACTTTAACTAGGTAGCATGGGGAGAAATTTCATTTCAAATCAGCGAGATATTTGTTCAAATGAAGAAAAATAACCAGCTGTACAGAAAGAGTTCCTTATAACCACGTTCACCTCCGCCTCTGAACTTGCCTGTTGCTAGGAGACCGACTGGTTCAGGGACCCATTTACAGTTATGATAATCCGATTGTGACATTTATGCTGTCATTTTCATAATTACACTGAGCCTTGAACAGGTGGCATTTCAAAGGATGAATGAAACAATAATTTGTCTTCACACACACCTCCACCATCACCACCACACACTCCTCTGGCACAGATTCAGTGAGGAAGGACTAACTCTAATAGAGACTGTGTTTAAAAAAGAAAAAAAAAAAACACTTTTTCTTGATTATTTGGAAACTAAACACTGACAGGTTTATTCAAAGCTATTCAAGGAACAGCACAGATATTTTATTAACTCTACTAAATCATATTACAGACTCCACTGCACTGGAATGAGGTCCAGGTCTGTCTACTTCTGACAACCCTGCAATCAGACGTCGGTCCAAAGCTACCAGACAGGGCAGTGTCTCCTCTCAAGATGACTGGCTGCATGTGTGTGACCTGATAAGACGTATCGAGACTTCACTGTTTCATTTCCTGTCTTTAACAACAGGTATGCCTGGAATGGAGGAAGCCTGTTTGCTCTCACTCAAAAGTAGGAAATGTTTCTGACCTCACCAGGGACATTAGAAACACTCCACAGAGGGTTAAATCAAATATGGGATTGTTCAACGTGTTTCCAGACAGCAGGAAGTCACATAATCCTTCACTGCGTTCGTTAGGATGGAAAAAAAAAGGTCTGGTGGGTTTACGGACAATCATTGTGAGCTCCATCAGCTCCCACAATTACCCACTGCCGGCGGCTGTAAACAACATCCTGTCAGTTCTTTCCATATCGCCCATATTCCATTATGTATAGGAGCAGATTTTGATGTGCCTTGGAATCTGTAGAAACGACTTGATACCTGAGATGAAACCTCAAAGTTTCTTAAGCTGTGCTCAGAAGGAAAGCTAAGAAAAACCTGAAGCTTTGGCCAGTGATCACGGGATCATCAGGATTATTGAAAGTGATTAAAGCCACAATGAGGAACTTTCAGTCAGGCCATATCACTTCCTGTTTGTGCGTGTTTTTCATCTATTTAGATGACACTTTTCTTGGTTAACAGTGGTGCTTGTTACTGAAATCACTTCCTGTTTGTGTGTGATTTCTAAATCTACTCCTGTCGATTTTTTGTGCAGGTAAAAAATTGGACCTAGTGATGACACTAATTTTGCTATGAGTTTTATTACCGCTCAGCTTTCTGACTGGAACTTTACGGCTCATCTAAAACACAGACACAGCCTCTTGGTGGTCAACAGACCAAGACAAAGATGGCAGTCTCTTTGACACAGTCAGCTGTTGAATTATCCTATGTGCAGTCAAGTATGTAACTCTAAGAGAAAATGTGGTGAACCGTTACAAATTTCCTCATTTGACAATGGCTTGATAGCAGATGTCACAGATATTCCAAATTTCACTTTAAGATGCTTGAGCTTGTTGGAATTTCAATTTCCTGTATGAAAAAATAAAAAGGAAAAAAGGGTTGCATTACGATTTAGATTAATTCTAGTAAAATTATACTTTCAGTCTTAGGGCTGGGCAATAAACCGAAAATTTACTGATACTGAAATTTATGACGATAACCAACGTCATTTTGCCCTTATCAGTATATTCGGTGTCAATAAATAAAAGTTGGTTTTAGATGTGTGTAAGTAGGCTATGGTATGATGTCCCTTTAAGATGCTGTCCTACATCAGAGACGTGACTCCCTCCAGTCTGTACCAAAGAGGGAAACACAGGTGAGGAGATGGAGGGCGGTTCAAAAGTTGTAGCAGCTGGAGCGGCGGCTGAAGTAGACAAAGTTAATATGGGAGGGGGTGAGCAGCTTGTGGAGTAGATTTGGTCCATTTATTGTTATCGAGGTGAACTGCTCAATATATTGTGATATTGATTTGAGGCCACATCGCCCAGCCCTATTCAGTCTGTCTGCAAGACAAGAGAAATTTCAGTTGTGCAATTTACACAAAATCAAGTATCTGTGCAACTTGGATTGGTAAAAGGTTCAGGATTTTTATCACACATGATAATTCCCCTGTCTCACTGTGACGACAGTGTTTGTGTGATGTTTTCTGTCTGACCAGCAGCTGCTAGGAAGAGTGAACCAACAAAGTGCAACAACTTCTTGAGAAAATTTTGCTATTATAAATAAATTCAAAGTTTACCTCTGAACTGCAAACTTGCCCTGACCTCAAATATAACTAGGATTGTTCATTGGGACAGGTTGGTCAGAAATCTAGTCATATATGCTTCAACATTTAACAAGCTATAGTACACTGTGGGTCTTTCAACCCTGTGGCTCCCACTGATAAATAATGGACGCCAAATCTGTGGTGTTCTGTCACCCTCACTCTGAGGTCCGTGTGCGCTCTATTACTGTGACCTAGAGGAGACTCACTGGTGTCAGACTGCAGGGGACCCACTTGGATTATTTGTTTGGGTTGCTGTCCACCTGCAAGGACTGATTTTACAGTGCACCCCTGGTGCTGAATAAAACATAACACTGCAGGAGAGCAGCATCAGGGTCGAGGTGCTCAGGTGACATGGACAGGACTGGCCCACATGGAAATTCTGACAGAAACATCAACACTTCATTTACATCCATGATCTACCATCTGTCCACTATCCTAACTTAGCTTATATTTTGACTGCTCCAAATAAATATGACAGTTCCTTTACAAAGTAGGAGAAGACCCAGTAAGTGCATCGTGTGGCCATTTATTTAAGAGCACAGTGACAGAACCACAGACAGCGATAACAGATTAGAATCAGAAATGGAGTCCATCAGCGGACAGATGTCTCAACATGTGCAGGACAGTGGAGAACAAAACCCAACCCATTCCTGTAATCCTGCCCCACAGAATGACAGGACCTGATACAACTGTGGGGAAATGATATCCCCTGTACGAAACCTTAATCTCTGCCTCGCTGTCTCCTCTGTCCTGTCTAATAGATAAGCTTGCACTGCACGTGAACAAAATCGTCCCCTGCCTACAGAAAACGTAACACGAAAGACATGAAAGCAAGGAGACAGTGCTCGACGCAGTCAAATTTAGACTAAAGGCTAAACTAAATTTGCACCAATGATGAAAAAGTTTCAACATTTTTACTCTGTTGAAAGATCAAACAAGGGCAAAAAGTAAAAGAAAGCACAATGTGAGACCAAGATCCAGCAGACTATCACACAGAGGAAATAATCACACCGACCAGTCAGTCGGCAGTTTTTGACTGGCATGCGAGAGGAACTTCCTACGGCACGACAGTGTTTGAGCTGCAGGTGAGTATAGTGGTTAAGTTCTGTAAGAGAGGGGAAAAAACTATCTGTACTGAACAACAGCAGATGACAATCTTCTGTTGACCTTCAAAGGTTGGGACATTTTTGACAAATGGAAACAGGGCGTCAGGAAGATGATTTTAAGAAGTTCAAATCGCTGACTTCAAAACAGGAATAAAACCCTCTACTGTTAAAGAGTAAGACGTCAAACATACGAGACAGAGGATCAGAGCCATGTTATGAATGGAAAATAATGAGCTTTTCGGAATCACGTTTTTACATCACAACCTGCAGTTTTATGAGAATAGATGAATTTATAAGAATAATGTACTACATTTACCAGAAAAGGGTCATAAATGAACCACAAAGTACTACTTCATTTCAGAGAAAGTCACAGATTTAAGAGGAAAAGGTTTTCTTGGAACACCCGAGTGAATCCTTGTAAATCTTTTAGTCTTGTAAATTTATGACCTCATGATGAAAATATTAATTTCTTTCTTCTATAACACGGCCAAACTGAACTCATGAGTCAAATTATTGATCCCTGTGATCTCTGCAGGCTTCACATTAGAATCACTGAATCTGACGTTGTGATGACTTTCGACATTTATCACGACAGGCTAGTTTACTGTGCTGAAATGTGCTTATTTGAAGTTTAACTATTTGTTTACAGAATTACACATGATAAAAAGTAATCCCAAACCCACAACACTGTTATTCCTCAACAAAGTCTGATGGGAGGTGACCGTGCCAAAGGCGAGTGTGACAAACATCATCTCACAACTCAGGTTTAAAGTGTGAGAAACACAGAAGGCCCCCCAACCACAAAGCACCCTTTCACCACGGTCACATGACAGTGGGAAAACTGGAGGTTCCCAACACAAAGACAGGGCGTGACCACCAAACTGTGACACACAAAGATTTCCAAGGAATCTTCAGGTCAACTGACGACTTCTACTTTTCAGTTACATGACGAGCCCCAGCCTGTCAGCCTAACAAAAATGTATTGTCCTACTACCAAGAGCAGAATCAAGGTGCTCTTTACTGAGTGTCCCCTATGAGTTTTTTCAGCTTAACAGTCAGAGAGACAAGACTTCGACTTCTGCAGTTACCAGCTGTGAATGTGATGGTATGTTTTTTTGTGTCTTTGAAGTGTTATTTATTTTCAAGAAGTGGATGGGTAAACAGAAGTCAGGGAGGTTTGTTTCTGTTGTTTATCTGGAAGTCCAGTTTGTCTACTGAGTCAACTCACTCAGGGGCCTCTCAACACCATTCCTGCCTCAAGCCGCTCCACAACAAACATGTGTACTTTCACTCCCTGCAGTACCAGGCGCTGTGACCTTTGGACGGCATTAACACACGCACAGGAGTCCGGCAAAAGGCTTTGTTTATGTTTTCAGCTGAGGTAGGTAAGACTTAGAGATAAATGATAGTGATAATAACAGTGCTTAATGATTCCAAGTCTTATCAAAAACTGAATCAAATCAAAGACTGCAGTTGGATAAACTGCATCTTGAAAATGATTTATCGTAAGTCTTTTTAATGGCAGAATAACTAGGTGTTTCAGCCCTAGTGTAAATCAAGCACCCGTATTAAACCAAGACTCTTCGCTGATAAGATCAACCCTACAGTATTACCTACTGTGAATTAATAATATTAAAAAAACAAGTTCTGATTCATTATGGTAAAAACAATTTGGCTGAATTTGATTGGTTCTAAGTTAAGATAGAGGACAAAAATTCTGGCATTGAAGAGGTTAAAAGAGTTCCAGCAACACTTGGGAGTTCAGGAAAACACCTTCTTTCAACTGACGCGTTTTGGCTTGTGGCCTTCATCAGGGTCATCAGGGATGTGTTAAAAACAACACTTAAATAGGGTTGGTTTGAAATTGGAGGCGATTGAACAGTTACAAAATTCGCTCAGTCATGTGCGGTTACATCAGAGTCAGCCAATGGAAAGTCTGCGAGCTAAAACATAGAGGTCCAGGACGTGTTATTTGGAGCTGAAACAGGTTGTTTCTGCATGCCAGAGATAGAGGTAAGCTGTTGATTTCCAAACAGAAGTTATTTTTAGGCTATTGTACTGCAATTGAATAGGTTTGAAGAAGGATTTGACAGGCACTGGAAAATTAAAACTTTGACAAAGGGTGTGGTAAAAAATGAAAATAAAATACCATGAAATCGTGGCTACAAGCTCATTGTCAGCCTCTATGTAAACACACCCATTTATGCACCAATTCATACAGAGAGCAACAGGGTCAAAAGCAGACTATAAGAGTAAAACAGGGAGGTTTTGTGTGAGCCAATCAAAAGGTCAGTCTGGATTGAAATGTGTCCCCTACATCTTTCTGTGAAACACTGCATTGCAGGGGCAGCTGGCTGCGGGTGGCAGGCCCAGATAAGAGCCTGTGGAGCCTTATGTTTGTCAGTGATAGAGGCTGGGTACACAACTGTCTGGAAGCAAGGGGACATGACATACATCTTCCTGCTATCAGCTTCTCAAACACACTCAGGGTTATTGCCTCTGCCACACACTGCTGAGGCACAGTCACCAAGTTCACTTGCCTTTCTTTTTTGATTCCTGCCACTGTACCATGGGCTTGGGAAATGGTCTGTAAAGTCTAAAGTTCAATATTGACAGAAAGTGCTGCATATAATGTCTGCAAATGTCTTTAAGTACTGCACAGGATATCAGATACCAGTGGCTATTTTGAGGGGAAGGATAGATCTTATGTTGCAGCATCTGCTAACCACAAAAAAACGGGCCATTCTTCCCATACATGCAGTGTTACGTAAAGCAACACTAAGATACATATCCGTGACCACTTTGCCCGCTACTACATACAGGATAAAAACACTGACATGATCAGTTTGAACAAATGTTGTTGTTTTTGTTTGTTTGTTTTCCAATATTCACAATCTAACCCCTCTAGTTTATGTCCAACAGAAACACGTTCAGTGACAACATGGATGGAGCTAACTCTGAACAGTTTCGGCCCATAAACACACACCGGACGTACAACAAGTAGTAGACGGAGTGGAAAGCTACTGTAAATGTTGTTTGGGGTTCACCGAACTTCAGCCATAGCTTTCACTCACTTTGTTAAATGAAGTAACTCTCCAGGGACATACCAAACACAGGACAGTCTATCGCACTTTGCATTTGCGTTGGATATCTCTTAAGATATGGCGCCCACACAGTTCTTCCAGCGAAAGCCTGGGTTTATTAACATGCTGAAAACTACTGACCCCGGGTTTGTGCTTTCCAGAGTAAAGTATCTTACTGGACTTGTTACAACTGTAACTGTGAAAGGATCGCAACAAACCTGGAGGGGATGTCATTTTAATTCACTTCAACAGACATTTAGTCCAGTGACACCATGAAGGGACCTTACAATCCGTTATTTTTTTTCTCAGATTTAATTTAATTTAGACCAAATTCTGTTTCCCATCCTACATTCTGTGTTTTATAATGTGATCAAATTTGTAACCTGATGAAATAAAGTCTCAACAATTTACAAGAAAAATATCCTTAATCTAATGCAGTGGTTCTCAAGTCCAAGTCCACACCTGATTCAAATGATCAGCTCGTTATTAAGCCATTACAGAGCTTGATAACGAGCTGATCATTTGAATCAGGTGTGTTGGAGCAGGGAGACATCCAAAACATGTAGGACAGTGGTCCTCTGGGACTGGACTTGAGAACCACTGATCTATATGAATATTGATTCATTTTTAATTTAAATATTTAAAAATAATATAAACAAACTATTGAGTGTACATGAGTGCTGTGGATGACAAAGGCAATGTTTGACAGAGCAGTATGACAAGGTTCAAGTGTAAGATGAGACGTCACTCATATCAGTGCATCAACAGGTGGGATGTACCGAAGGACTGTCTCTCTCACACAGGGCATGTGAGGTAGCCATTGGTCAACCCACGGGGCACGGAGAGATAGGAGATCCTCTAGATATACATATAAATATACAGTTAATTTCCTTTTATTTCTGTCAAATTCGTGATTCCATCTGTGTTTTGTGTGCTATCCACATTGAGGTCCTGACCATCCAGCCTTCCATGAGTTTAACTGTGCATTTTGTCAATGACGATTGGGTTCTGCAAATGTGTGCCTCAAGCTAACTTGTGTTTCTGTTAAACCCAAAAAGTGACCTAATCACCCATGGGCCTCAAACTTGTTTTGAGTCTATTATGTATTTGTGGGAGGAGGAGGGAGAGACAAATGAGTTAAAATCAAATTTGGTGTGACTAAATTAGAGATTTTTTTTTTTGCCAAGCTCGCCCAGCTCTCATAAATTGATTAAGCCTTAATCAAGCAAATTAAGCATTTATGAAGACAGATTAGAGTGACGACAGATAACTGAAGAGCTATCATTACACCACAGGCGAGCAGTGTTAGCACATGCAGTTGTGATGTAGTGTGTGCAGGTCAAGCTCACTCAGAAAATCACGACCAGTGATACACTGTTTTCACACTGTTAAGAGAGTCACACCCAAATCACTGGTTGAACACAAACTCCCATCATCACGACCACTAATGCAACTTTGGATCAAGAAACTAACCACATCTTGTGATTAATCTGAATAGCACACACCGGGTGTGTTTCTAACTTCAACTGATTCCACACCTGTCATCATGGATGTGCTCTCCTCATCACCATAAAACTACTCCTCTGGACTGCTTCATTCTGCAGAGTCAAAATGGCGCTGTCAGACAGTTCAATGTCAAAAGACAAGCTTCAACATGTGGTGTCAGCTCGAAAACTTGCAACTGCAACACTTTCCTGGCCTTAAAACTGGGTCTACTAACTTAGGTCAAAAGCGCTGGATGGGTATCACGGTTAGCCAGAACGATACAAAGGTTACGCAAATAAATGGCCAAATTTTAAATTGTCATCCTAATGAAACAGAGCTATTTTCAGTCTTGATGTCGTTGTTTTAAAACATGCCCTTAAATCTGAATGTCACTGCTGCATGCTCATCCTTCCTGGTACCTGCACTTGGCCCAGATCTATTTTTAGACAGATTTTTTGGGGGTTCAAGTTTTCCATGCTGCTTTTGGCTGCAATCACAGCCTACATTTAGATTTTCCTTTTTAAGGTTCAACATCTCCACTCACTCAGGTAGTGACACCTGCTCATGCTTCTTCTTTTAAACGTCTTTTCTCAACATCTTCACCACCATTTGGTCTTACTACTCAGTCTATGCTAAGAATCTATTGGATCTCACATGCTGCCATTTCAAGGTGAGACTGTATGCCCGTTACTCTTCATCTGTAATGTGTAACTTACAGAGAGAAAACAGTAGTGCAAAGTCATTTTACCTCATTTATTTCAATCCAACTACCATTTTTTCCCCTTTGATTTCAACCTCATCAGAACTCTCAGAGGATACAGTCCTCTAACAGTAACCAGGTAAGATAGTTGGTTAAAAGCTGCAGATGGCACAACACTACTATATAATTTAAGGAGGTCAGGATGATTCAGAAATGTAATTGTCATAAAACTACAAAGATGTGTATGCATAAAGTAGGATTGGGCGATTATATGATCGTGATCGATGATCGTGATAAATTTCAGTTCGATCACGGTGATCAGCTGTGAGCATATTTACTTGATCAAACATAGCACAAGTGTGCGTCACAACAGCCAATCAGAGTCAAGCTTTTCCTGCTCACTTCTGTAAGTTGCCGGTGAAGTAAACAGGAGATATCTTATTCAGTTTGCTTTATTATTTACTTTGTATGTTAATAAAATGTTGAACTAATCTCTAGTTTCTTTAGTTTTTAGAACAAATGCTTTAATACAGGCCGTTAAAAAAAAATCGTGATAATAATCGAGATCAGACAATATGACAAAATATATTGTGATCTTTTTTTTTTGCCAAATTGCCCAGGCCTCGCTGAAAGTGGTCTGCATATATAAACTATGACGTGGTATCTTCCTCCTGGCTTTGGAAGCAAGTTGTATCCAGCAAAGACGAGATGAAAAAGTTACAAAACAGGTAAGCAAGACATTGGATGATAACTGAATATTCGTGATTGATTTATGTAAGTTAAAGTTAATGTGAAACTACTACTGGAGTAACAATGGCATGTGTGACATGTGTTGTAATGTCTTAGTATTTTATTATTTGAGTGTGCTATTACTCTTGACAGTTTTGTTTGGTAGTGTTTTACAGATTCTTGGCACCTTTTTAGTGTATGACAGGCAGAAAAAAAAACTTAACTATGAACTTAGTTTGACGCATCATCAAAGTCACAACATTAAAGAAGACATCCTGCAAATGACATGAAATAATTAACTTCCAATAACGAAGTTGTCCGAAAACTTTTTTATAAGCCCATAACTGACTTGTTTCTGCACAACAAAGTTGACATGCCCCCTTTTCTGTCAAGCGTAGTTACCTAATGTGAAGCTACGTAGCTGCTATTAGCGTGTTAGCCAGAGTTGAACTCACCTGTCCAAATTCTGCTGCATGACCACTGCACCTGGTTCCGCCATAATCTCGGAGAAGAAACAAACACTCAGACGCTAATTTGTTGGTAGAGTAGTCAAACTGACTCACAAATAAACCATTAAAACTACAGGCCTTTAAATGTGCTGCAGCTGATGTTCGCAGCTAACGCTAACTAGCTACCTACATAGGCCTTTGTGTTGACACGGAGCCTCAGCTGCATAGAAGCTACTTACTGAGCACAGAATTATTCCTTTTAGTTGGAAAAGCATCTATCTGCACCCGAAGCACTATCTTGACTTAAAATCTCCTTTGCATCGGCCACGGCCTCGTTTGTCAATAATATTATCGCATTGGCGTGACCGCTTGACTCCATTGACTGGCCGTCTCTGAGGTAACGCCGAACGGCACGCCAAGGCTGTGCGTAATTGCGTCATCAAAACAAAGACGGCTCTCAATGTAGATATCCTAACGGGAAATGTAGTTCCAAAATACAGTATTTCTATATGAAGACAATTAAATTAATCAGGGCCTATCAATTTTGTGTATTAAATGAATTTCAAAAAGATTTTCCAGAAAGATGGCACGGCCTAATACTGACTCATACCCTCTTGAAAATACACACTTTAATGAAAAATACATTAAAAAGTATACAATTTATGCCATGCAGACAATTATAATGTAGGATATCTATGTTTTTTTATCGGGGGGATTACATTAAAACAATCAGATTTTATCTGGAAAGCCATTTGCTGAACTGTAAAGAAATATTACTATTAGAGCTATAACAATTCATCACAAAAATCTGACAACATATGATCATTAAATTGATAATCAGATAGGCTTATGATAGGCATGGGCATGTCCAGAGGTGTGTACAAGGGTTTTACATGCACCATCCCTTTAAACTCTGCTTATTCCCATCAGATTGTATTGTAAGCTGTAAAAAAATATGTCCCACATCTATTCCATAAGGCACTCACATAGGAATCTATGACTGCAAGACACTCTTTCGGAGCATTCATTTTTTAAAAGGTTGCGAAAAATAAATTCATTTCTGATATTCTGAGTGTAAGGGAATTTACTTTCAAATTTTCAAGAATGTCTACTGAAAATGGTAACTTCTGTGAATACTTTCTCTCTTACAATTAACAGAATTTACCTAGGAAGATGAGAATCTTTTTGACTTGTTGGATTAGTTTGTTATTTAGTTAGTGTTTCAGAAATTATTGACAAGAAAATAACATCTGAATGACACTTGAATGTTCAGTGTAAAGTAGATATGATAGGTAGAGACGAGTAAATAAATATCATTGACTTTTGACCCCAGCGTAAGCAATTCTTGCACAAGTCTGTGCTATGGACAGGTTCAGCCCAGAGGTCAAAAAGGTCTGGTCATGCTGGTACTACGGCTAATGTTGCTAACAGTAAGTTTTGAGATTTACTATCAAATGAGTTGTCACAATATGGCTTGTATGGCTTTTATCTTCACCCTGACAGAGAGCCTACATCTTGTATTGTTTTTTTCAGTGATCACAGACTGTTTTTCATCACTGTGCACGTGAAATTAAATTTTTTTATAAAGGATTAGCTCAAAAGACATGGTTAATTTTTCAAAGTAGAATCAATACTTTTTAGAGGATTAAATTAGGAAACTTATTTTTAGCACACCAAGTGTTTCTACAAAACATCAAGTTATTTCCCCACAGTTATTTTACTAATATTTACAAATGTTTTCGATAAGCAGCTTAACTACAGTTGTTGGCCAGCTTTAAAGCTGGTTGTTATTTTCGGAGCAGCGTGAAAGAGAGAGAGAGGGAAAAACTTCCTCCTTTTCTTGACGTACAACCGCAATGCATGGAAACTACAACTCCCAACATGCCCTTCAGCATCATCCATGCGCCGCAGTCAATCAGCTGTTGAGGCAACTGCTGACTATCTCGGCACAAGGGTAGCTCGTTTGTCATATCTAAAGTCAGACGAGGCAAAGAGAAAAATCTTTATCCACAGAGCCCCAAAAGGTGAACGATAAAGGTAATTCAGAGTGGACGTGAGGCAGAGGAGCGACTCTGCTCTGTGTGTGCATTTGTGCGTGCATGCTGTTTGTGTGCAGGGACACATATGGATTAAAGGGGGGGTTGAAGGCTTCATTAAAAGTATCGGATGCCTCGGTGTTCGCGATAAACTGGCACGTGAGTGGTCAGGTTTTGGCTGAGTTTGTGGTGGTGAGATGCCGAGGAGGTGAGCTGCTGGTTGTGCTTCTTTGATGACCTTGGAGGCGCAGCTCCTGGAGGAGGAAACACGGATTAACTGGTACTGTGTATGTGTGTGTGTATGTATGTATGTGTGTGCGTGTAATGCAGACTATTGCGACTACCTTCAAAGTCTAATTTAGAGGCTCTCAGTGGCATCATGCTGCTGAAATGATCCAGCATATGTCATCTTCAGGGTTATTTTCAAACTCTTTGCTGCCATATTATTGACAGGCCTGAGTGTGGCTGCACGTTAGCTCCCCTGCAGTTAAGAGGAGCTTCATTTACAAGATCATTTATTGTCTTATGTCGCACAATTTTACCCCTGCCTGATCTGACAAACTGTCACATTTGGTGTGGTTTTGCTGCATGTGCGTCAGTGTAGCCTTGTAGTGATAGGGATATTTGGTGTATTCACAATAAAGAGTGACCTGATTACTGTAAAGTTCATTGTGTGGGAACTTAATGGTTTACTGAGTGTGAAACTGCCTGTGTAATTGTTATTTCCAAGGGTGTGATTGGGCTTTTGCAAGGCGTTGTCGCTGAAATGCAGAGTGAAGGTGAATTCTGCATGAATGTGTCAGATCTGCACCCTCGAGTATAATGCAGGGCAAGTGAGATAGCCTACAAGTAAAATTTCAGCCAAAACTTAATTATATGTCGCACATTGTTATTCTTTAAGCAAGTAACTTCTTGTATTGTACCGACCCGGGGCGCTGTCAATGCGCAACTCGACCAGAGTCTCTTTTTACGCTTTAGGAAATCATAATTATTGTTGTCCAGTCATCTTTCTGGTGCTCAGAACATTATTTTCTAATCATCTGATATATGAAAATGCTTATTGGCAAAGTAAGGCAAACGTCTGAGTCTTTGCAGCGTCATAAAGTGCTTCAAGTGCATCACTTTCTAAATGCGTAAAAAGGGGCGCAGTGAACCTTTTGGTGAAGTCCACTTGAAAATGAGGGTTTCGGTCTTGAGTGAGTCTCTGTACCTGACTCAAGGTAGATCTGTCTTTAACCTTGCTGAAGGACAGCTGTATTTACTGACGTATGTAAATGAACATAGGGGAGGTCCTTGGGCGCAAAACACACACTGAATCAGTTTCACATTGCAGCTCCGGAGTTCCTGCGTGGAAGGAAAAAACGAGACGTGGCGAAATCTGGTGAATATCTGCAGCCTTTCTGCTCCCCCGTGTGTAATTTGTGGGATTTATGAATCATTCTCGTAGTCTTTGGAAGTGTGTTTTCCTCTTCTACTGCTCGACTAAATGGGTGATCACGCATTCGCTTTGCAGCTGCCTGGTCCCTCTAACATCCTCTCCCTGTCGGAGTTGTCCCAGTTCATCAGATACTACAGCAGCCCCGCGAGCCCGGCGCGTGATCTCCTGCATTATAGCGGTAATAATAATAATAACAACTGTTCGTCTCTGTTTCCCTTCGTTGCAGCTCAGCAAACCATGCAGGATGATTTACTGATGGACAAAAACAAAGCCCAGCCTCACCATCAGCAAGATCCAACGCAAGTAGACCCTCCTCCCTCCACCCCGACCCCGTCATCGGAGCCCACTTCTTCCTCATCGGAGTCGGAGAGCCCGTCAGCCGGGAGCAACCAAGCGGCGTCAACGCTGAGCAACAGCAGCAAGGACAAAGTGCCGATGGAGTCGCCAATCCTGCCCGGGTTGAGCTTTCACCAGGAGACCGGCGGCCCCCTGTCCTCCCCTTCCTCTTCGTTTGGGAGCACTTGGTCCACGGGAACCACGAACACCGTGGACGATAGCTTTTTCCAGGGAATACCCTCCGTGAACGGGACGATGCTTTTCCAGAACTTCCCCCACCCCGTCAACCCGGTGTTCGGAGGGAATTTCACCCCGCAGATCGGCCTGGCCCCGCAGACCCAGCAGCATCAACAGCAAGCCCCGCAACAGCAGCAGCAGCCCCAGCAGAGGAGATCCCCTGTCAGCCCCAGCCAAGGCCCCTTCCCCCAGAGAAACGCTTATCAAACCATCATGAATAACAGTAAAGGCTCTTCGTCCTCTTCTGCTCCCTCGTCCGCTTGGAATAATCACCAAAACGCCGCTTGGAGCACAGCCTCCAACCCCTGGAGCGGGCTGCAGGCGGGCAGGGACCCGCGCAGACCGGTGGGTGTAGGAGTAGGGGTCGGGGTAGGAGTCGGTGTCGGAGTGCCGTCACCCTTGAACCCCATCTCCCCAATGAAAAAACCCTATACCAGCAATGTTATAGCACCCCCTAAATTCCCAAGACCTGGTCCTCTCACCCCGAAATCCTGGATGGACGAGAGCGCCTTCAGGACTGACAACAGCAACAACATACTGCCTTTCCAGGTAATTACTCTCTGATCAGGCTCCAGCCAACAGATCTACAGTTTCACACATTTATTTTATTACGCTCTGACATGCTGTTACTTTAAGCTGCTAGTCCACTTAACAGAAATCTGACCCTGTATTACTGATTTATGGGTGATCCATGAATGAAAGGGGAGGCATGAGAATAAAGATCAGGATAAGTTCAACCTTAACCCAGTTATAGACCTACACAATTAAAGAGTCATATATAATAGTAGTTATGTAGCTTGTATTTGATAAATGTGAAATTACGATTATTTTAATGCCAATTATAACACTAATCGTCTTAAACTGATTAAAATGACTGACCATAAATGTCTGTTATGTTATTGTACCATTAATGGGAGCTGTCCTTTTAAACTGACAAATGACCACAAGGTTTTGCCGGTAGCAGTGACTCAGTTTTATGGCATGTACGCAGCAGGTTGTGTCAGGGAGGTCAAAATAATCGATCGAGACAGCGAGTCCTTGAAGTATAAACCATTGATCATCGCTATTTTTGCGCATCTAGACAGACAACCTAGAAACAGTGGCTGCACAGAGTTCATTACACTAAATAGTTAAATCCTCTCTGCCAGCTCACTCTGTGAGGTTTAAAGGGCACATGACTCATTCAGGTACCCCTCATAACCTTCTGGATTCAGATCAGCAAAGAACTGTATCACATAATAAGTCTAGAAAACCAGCTCAAGGATCAAGATTATCCCACTGTTGCTATTGCGATTTTTCTTTTAATCCAAAATCACAGTGAGCTGCAGTAAAAGCATGCTGCACAATGAAAAGGAGAAATCATGCAACAGCCATGAATCCGAAAATAAACGTGAAAGGTCTAGTTTAATCTTTAAAAGAATACCTGGTAGCTAATACTGGGATTTGATGGTACAATTATTGTCATCATTTGAAAAAGGATAATGGTAAAAAGTTCTAAAAAAAATAAAGGTCAGGTAAGAATCTGTGTAAACTACAACACGTTAATAATATTTAAAATCTTCGATAGTATTAGAAGGTAGCTTCCGCACTTGTATTTGATTGGCTGAACTACTGATGGGCGGGGTTTAAAGGTTTGATGACTAACAGGAGGATAGTGTTGCACATATTTATGTCACACTTATGGCAAAGCAAACCAATGTATACTTTTTAGTAGGTTTTAAATCAATATATTACACACTCAAGGTGCTAAACTGATATCCATCTGGGTTTGTGCCTTTTGAACACTCTTCACTGGGCGTAAACATGCTATCGTTTTTATGGTAAAACTACCAAACTGACAGCCCACAAGCAAAGACGCCATAATGGATATTAACAAGAGTTTGAGATTGGATTAACATAAACTAAACTACCGCATTTCATCTCAAATCCAACATTTGTTAGGTGATACCATGGCCTAGCCCCTGTGAGGAGATTTTAGCGGACTATTACGTAGACTTAATTAAATTCATTCTGATAGGCTACCTCTACATATGAAAGCTAGCTCAGCAACTGGATATGAGACTGATGATATTTGTATATAGTGCTTAAGAAACCTGGTCTGCATCAGACAAAGTGGATTAAAGCATGCTATAAAAAACAGTTTACCTTTTTAATGTGAAAGAGTCACAGAGATTAAGATGTTGGACAGCTGAAAGACAGCATTATGTTAGATAATCCCACTAATTTCTACACAGGACAATATAGGCAAAGATAAGGTCTAATGAAGCTCAGGGGCAGTTTTTCAAATTGTGCTGAAAAATATTCAGCTTTTCTGGCAGATTTTTCCACAAACATTGGTCTCTTGTTGAAATTTATCAATATATCTATAGGCCAGCTCATACTTTGATGTAGGCTGCTTTAGTGCGAGTTTGTGACAAACAATTTTCATGTATTTGCAGTTGTAAAACATATGGTAACATGTTTGGTAGCTGAATGAGTAGACTACTTTCTTACAATATTTGACTAATTGTGCAGTTTTAATGAATCACTCTGATACCTAAGAGTGTATCTCTAGTTTATTCACCAAACAGTGATATGTGACATGGTAAAGCTGGGCAATATTCAGAAATAATCTCTCATTCATCCTTAAATTGCATCAAGTTACCAGATGGATTTTTTTTTCTGATAATGAATGAAGCCTGAACAAATCAGATGGCTTTTTATATGCACTGTCATTATGCAAGACTGAGCGTCTGTCCAATATTTTTTTTATGTGTTCTTCAGTTTTTTAAGACATAAATTAAAGGGAATAGATTTATACTTGAAAACTGGTTATCTATGTGCCTTTAAGCAAACACATGACTTTTAAAGAAAGGCTGCAAGCTGAGCTAATGTGTTAACATAAGCTAAGAATCCCTTAATTTTCAAAGTCCACCACAATCAAACTGTCACCCACCTTCCAAGATAAAGCCTAAAATGGAAATTAACTCAGTTAACCACTAAATGAAAGAGTTCCTGGAACAGCTGATCAAGGTGTAATGGAGGATTTTTGTTCCTGTTTAGTAGGCCAGTGTCCACCAAGTCCAAAGTGTGAGCTAAATAAAATATTGTTTCCTTGATGCCATTCGTCTGACAGAATTTCAGGAACTGCTGTAAGCTTAACAACAGCTATCTTTTACTTATCTGGTGATAAATAGCTTCATATTGTAAAAACATACAGTTTAAATCAACCAAGATTGAAAGGTTCAAAAGTAAGTGACTAGAAACAGGCACAGAGTCAGGCTGAGACATTTAAAACTCTGACTCTGTTGTTATTTTGATCTCATCTGCTATCTAGAGCATTATATCTGTCCATTTTGAGTGGCAAAATGTCTACAATTAATTACATCCCATCATAATCGAGTCTTAAACAGTGTGATAAAGTGTTTCTCCCCGTCTTCTGGTCCATACAAGTCTACAGTGGAATTCAGTTTCATTTCGGTTTGAATGTATTTTAACATGCCTTGATTGGCATGTGTGATTGGATGAACAATTCTGATACTGTATGGGTTTGTCACATGGTTAGTCATGCGTTATTCCTGTGTTTATTTACACTGCCAAACAGACCAACATAAAACGTAAGCCACTTTAACACTCCCCCTTAAAGTCACAGACTTCCTTAAGCAGCAGTAATCATTACAACTGATCCGAGACAGAGAGAGCACCAGCCAAAACTTGAACCTGCTGCTGCAGCAGAGAGGACTTCATGTACAGATGAAGTGCGGCCTGGCATGGGGTGAATTCCATCTAGCTTTACAGCTTTTTTTGTTTCAGGAGACGATGGGTGTGTGTGTCAGTCAGGCCTCCTCTCAGTTTTCCTCTGCTGGGTGCCTCTTTTACTCCACTTATCACTGGGACACAAGGTCAATATGCCACATGTCAAGCTGTACAAAGTGATGACTGTTGACTGAAAAACCGACATGTACTCTCATGTGCTCAACTGATGCCAGATGAAACACCAGGGTTACAGTGACATATTACAGCAGTCCACTTAAGAAACAATCACCAGTTAAAGATTAAATAAAGAGCGAAAACTCATCTTAAATGATTGTGTCAGTCTTTTACATCTAAGTCAAACTAAATTTGTAAAGTGACAAAGATTATATAAGGTAGTAGCAGTTCTGTTTGCAAATATTTTTGTCTAATGGCAAGCTGCCATCCTAATCATAAATTATAATTTTACAGATACAAGAGAGAGAATCTCTATGAAAAAGAAACAGACTCAAAGTCCACTTTCCATGTCTTTAAAATCAAGCCAATGCATGAGGAATAAAAGCTAGAGGGATAGATTCTTGAGTGTCCTCTCCACTCTGGCTCAATACCACCCTATTAAAAAGCTTTATAACGAGGGCTGTCAAACCATTGATTTTTGAATCACATTTAGTTGCTGACATTTGGTGGTTAATTGTAATCCATAGATCTGTCGCAATTCACACGCATTACAGAAGTCCTTGTGAGCTCTTTTTATATGGCGGCCTTTAACATCAGTCTCAAGAGCTGCACCTGTATGCTTAGCTTGTATCTGGATCGAATGCAAAGTATATAGTGTTTTAATTCAGTTTGACATCAAGTGCATACCTTTTTGACTTTTCAACTGTGCTGTCTGGAAGTTTTGAATAGTCAAATGTGCCGTAACTGAATTTTTATCATTTTTCTTTGAGGCAGCAACAAGAGTGACAGCACAACTATAGAGTGTAGTCAGGGACACTTTAATTTTGACTCCATCCCCGATAGCTGTATTCTTTTAACATAACCAAACATCTCTACAGCTAAATACAAAACTTAAGTTTGGCCATTGTCGCTATTTTCTTTATTCAGCTAATCAGTTTCAAGAAGAGTTAAAGTGCAAGCAGAGACAAAGTCACTAAGCCAAACTCTCTTGTGCAAATTTTAGACTTGTGGAGTTTGTTTGGCAACAGTGGGAAGGAAAAACTTCCAGAGACCTTGAGCAAAACCAGACTTATGTTGAACAGACATCTGTGTGTTTGTGATTTTAAGTGGATGATCATTATTTTCAGTGACTAAGTTTGGTCTGCCACCACCACGAACAGAACTCGGTTCAGGAGAAACACTGCTGTTGACAAGCTAATTAGCCAGCTAATGACTTAGCCTTGGACATGACGTGGGACCAGCTGGCTTACTTCTCTGTAACTTCTCCATCCAAATTGGCTCATTTAAGCATAAAAAAGCAAGCTATTGTTACTATTGCCAAACTAAAGCCAAAAAACTAAACAATAGATGATAAATAATACAGCTTAACAATCGCCAAGAGCAAAACAGTTGAGATTAGAGGTCGACGGATACTATCATAATAGAACTGATTATTCTGTGCAAATTACAGTCAAATATACATGGTTATTTAAGCCAGTGACATGTTTAAAATGGTGTCAAATTGATTCCTAAAATTAAAAATACATTGGGTTATGCCCTAGATTTAAAAAAAGGCCGATATATCTGCCAAAAGTAGCACTAAACTTCATTATTCTGTAAACCATAACATAATTGATGTTAAACACTTGCCAGTAATTGATCCAGATTTGATTTTTCATCATTTAGGATAGGGACAATGTGCTATCATCTAAAAAGATGTTGATATTGCTCGACGGTAGCCTAACTGAAAAGGCTGCCTGCAGTGTCTGCAGACATTTTCTGTTTACTTTTTCAGTCAGTCTTGTATGAAGGTTTTGACCAATGACCACTTTAAAATGGCACCAATCAGCCCGACAGATAAATCAGTCTATCTCAGCTGGAGACATTACTCTGGCTTTCCAGTTTCCTGTACGTTTTATGTCTGGAACACCATTATTTTCTACAGGTTGTGTAAGTAATCAAAGTATAAAATACACACAGCTGATGCCAACACTTGCAACAGTAATTGTTCTGGTTATACTCGGGCATTTTCTGCTTTTGAATGACTTCGTTTGACTGAGAGAGCATGTTTCTAAGGGCTTGTCTGCGTCTCAGTGGTGCAATCCTGGCTACAGCTCGCACTTAGCTGTTTAGCAATTACAGCCATAATTGGAGAGGAGTTATCACCAGGATGCAAGGTCAGGCTGCCACATGTCAAGTGTGCTGTTTACTGAAGTGAAACTCAGGCAAACTGCTGATCCGAGCAACGGGCCGGGTTACACACAGCGGCCCCGCACCGTCATGTGGACAGCTGGTGACAGGTGTACATGTTGTCATCCTGTCGATCTGCCTCAGTAGTATTGTGGGAGAAAATGTGCAGTCCCATGTGCTGTGCTATGTGCTCATACTCGCCTGCTGCCGCCTGACGCTCAAAGACCGAGGAATGTGCGGAATTCAACTTAACATGTCAGCGTGAGGCTTAAGTCAAAAAATCACATGATCGTCTCAGGAGATACTCTGATTTAAAGTGATGTAAGTCGCCATTATTGTGAGTCCCTCTGTGATCGCCATCACAACATATCAGATCAAAGTGCTGGAAGTTTTTCAGCAGACTGACAGGTGGAGTCTCGCAGTCAAAAACTGTCTGAGGGAACTGAGGAAAAACAGAGGTGTCATTTACATCACTGCTCTGTTGCTTTTTTCTTCTTCTGCTTCATTCCTCTCAGAAACGTTCTCTTTTTCATCTCAAAGTGGCGTCAGATGATACAGCTTTGACCCCAGATCCATTTAATTAAGCTGTTTTTGTAGGTCGGGGATTGAAAAGACACAGGCCGTGTTGGTAAATACCCTTTAGAAATGCCAACATATGGACGTTAAGTTTCTCTAAAAGAATCTAATTTGGCAACAATTTCAGTATTATTTAATTAAGTTGTTTAATATATGCATTTTTCTTACTATTATCATTTTCAAATGACTTTTATTGCTTATCATATCAGCCTCTTCATTATTGGTTGCAGATAGTACAGATCTAAAGTGACATCCACTTTAGTCTCTTTGCACTCTGGCTCCAGTATGTTCTGAAACTGATTTTGAGACCTTGCTGCTGACCTTTAAGGCTACCCATGGCCCCTCTCTCTGTCTGACCTCGGGGCCACCTATGAGTCACTGTGCAGCCTGAGATCCTTGGGTAGAGGCCTTTTATGTACTCTTGAGGCTTGGCTGAAGACCCGGAGTGACAGTATTTACAGTCAAAGCCCTGAAGCTCTGAGACAAGCTGCCTGAGAAATCAGGTCAGCACACTCAGGGACCACTTTTTAAACCTCTAATTAAAAAATTTTCATAAGTTATTTTTTTGGCCAATCAGACTTTATGAGATGGGATAGCTGAAGATAGGCAGGAAATGTGGGGACTGTAGCCTCTGTATATGGATCACACCTTTTAACCATTGAGCTATCATGACACACCCTCACATCACGTTTTATTGGATAGCTGTTGTTGACATCTCTGGGATTTATTGACAGCACTGTTGTTGATGACTCAATGGTTTTATGGTTTTATGGTTTTAGGGATTCGGTCTAATTCTACTATAATCATCATTTTTGTATTTTTTGTACTGTCAGACTTGTCTCACAATTCAAAGACATCATAAAGAGCTCATAAAACAAAAAAGAAAAAACAGTGAATATAATAATTAAATGAAATCATCATGCATCCAGTGCATGAGAAAACTTACCACAACTGAAACCACCTTTCCAGCAACATTCTGCTGAATTCTAAAGAGTTAGTGCCGCCTGTGTCCTAACAACTTTAAGGGCCTGTGTCCACTACCCCCAATCAACCAAATCTGGCTAGTTTCACCTCAGCCATTGCTGTTAACAAAGTTGACATCAGTCGCCTCGGCTCTATTTGATTTTGATTATTGGTGGCAAAGAAGTGACATTGACAAGTGTGGCATTGTCTCAAAAGTGGAGCTTATGGCAACTGAGGGTGCTGTTAGTGTTAGACTCTGAGGTTATTTTTGCATTTAAATGATAAACTGCATTGTTAAGGAGGCACCAGGGATGCAAATTCAAAGTATTCCTTCTGATCGATCTTTGGGGATGGTAAAAATAATGATTACCTGTCAATTTCTATGTGATTGCACAGCTACAAGACTTGAAAAGGTGTACATCAATGTTGAATATCAGCATGCAAAGCAGGCTCATAAAAATAATCTTTGTGGACATACTGTCAAATGGAGCACGGCTCAAATGGCTAAATAAGGAACAGAAAATTGTTTCAGGCACTCACCATCCAATTTTCTGTCTCCTTGTTCTTATTGACAGAATAAGCATATCCACGCTGTCATGTTTTGGTTGACAGTGCAACTAGGTCACAACCCAGCTGGCTGCAGAAAGCACACAATCAAAGGGTGCTGTTTTTGCTGGTATGCAATGTGCCACATTAGCCAGACTGGAAACCTCTCTGCATCGTTTACTCAATACTTGCACGGTCGTTAACATTCCTAAGGAGAAACCAGTAAGCATTGCTGGTGCAAAAAATGCTGGTGGTGGACATAGGCCCTGAAATAATGTTTTAAAATAAGAGGAGACATATATATTTTTTAAATTAAATTAAGTCAAACGGTTATTATTTATGTCAGGAAAAGAGAAACTTAATATTGATGTTAAGACTGTGTTTAGTTGTATTGGGATGTAAAAGAAATGTAAACAAGACAAGAAATCCTTATTTTAAGTCGTACTTGAATTAAAAAAAAAAGTATTTTGGGGAAAAAATTGTTAGAATTTTTTTTTTATCTTACATGTTATTAAATAAAAAAAACACCCCTCCACTCAATTCTCTTTGAATTCTAAGGTTTCCATAAAATCTTAATGCTTCACCCTCCACCCTTAGATTCCCCCCTTACGTCCTTATCCTAATAATCAATGGAAAGATTTATAGATTAGCCATGTGTGAGTTAAGCTGCCCTTTACATGGGATACAAGGATACAACCATGCATAATATCTCTCCTTAAAATCAATTAAGTACAAAATAAGACAAATTCAGCATTTGGCCGTATCTTAGCTGCTCGGTCTGTTTCTGATCATGACACAAGGAAAGATGAGCTGCAGTGTAGTCAACAGGTTGACATGAACCTGCGCTCCACATGCTGGGTTTCTTATCTGGAAGTCTCTTTGGACTTGTGTATATATGATATCTCTAGGTCATTTGACTACACTGAGCTCTGTAACCCTCCCTTTACTGTGCTCATCCACATGTGTCAGAGGGGAGGAGGGGGAGGAAACCCATAGCTCAGCATTTTAAGTGTTTACCGTTTGTACCAAGTGGGCAGATTTTTATCAACGTGGCGCTGTCGGGTCCAGAGGGGGGAAATAACACTTTTGAATGCTCAGCCGAATGAGCAACAAAAGCTGTGGTGTTCAAACAAAGAGACCCCGACCCAGGCAGCCGACACAGGACACAGCTGCCAGGACCGCTGCCTCCAGCTCCTGTCAGCTTCAGGCTGCACCTCTGGCTCGTATGTTGGTCCTAAACCCAAACACCGTGAACACGTACACTTCATCAGTTGTAATCAATACACTGTTGAGAGTCCTAATGTGGATCTCCTATCAGGAGATCAGTCTGAGGTTGTTTTGTGGGTCACCTACCAGAGGGAAAAGATGCCCAGCTCATGTTACTGACAAATTTTAATGCATGATGTTGAATTTTTGCGAATATCGAACATATCAATGTTTCATAATTCATTTTGGCAAATGCCATTATATGCAGAAAGCAATACTAGTAATATTGTGCATCTGTACTTCATATTAAACCTGAAGCATTGCCATTAGGGCTGCATAATAAAATGCTAATTTATTAATTGCATTAAGAGCATTTGCAAAAGAAATATATCCCACAAATTATCGCCTTAAAATTGGGAATTACTGCACGCATACAGTCACTCAGCAGGAATACTTGACCTGTTCAGAGGGGCCCAGGAATTATGATCGTGCTTTCACGCCCTTTGATGCAGTCAAATGAAACTGTAGCTGTGACCTTACCAGCTGTGACCTCTCATTGTTTGGCAATAATTCAGTAATAGATTAACTGCGTTTTGGATTTAATGCAGGCCTAGTGTCAGATAGCTCAGTGGATGAAACAAATTAAGTAAACAAAGAAAAACGGATATTTGTGAAGGAAAGCCACAGAAATTAAGTCCTCATTGTATATTTTGATTAAAGATGACTGTAAAGAACTGGGTTTGATAGCTGACAATATATTATGTCTCACGAAGACTCTTGCACATTTTTAGACAAATGGCATGGTGGTTGTTGTCACTTCATTCTAAGATCTCTAAGAGTTCTTTAAAGTGTCTGTGTGTTTGCTTGAATTCCCAGTCAGCTTAGTCATATTTTTTCTCACACTTTTTGTTGCTAGAACACGTAAAGCAGAAGAAAAACAAGACTAAGTAAAAGAAAAAATCTGGGAACAAAAACAGAATTGACCCAGCCTTCCTAGCGGGACACTATTGAAGCCTTCAAATTTCACCACTCAATAAAGATGATTCTGCTAACCTGCATCAACTTACCATTCAAGCTGTAGTCTGAAGTATGTCGACTGAGATGATTGAAGGAGACCGGATCAATCTTTTATAACTTTAAAATAAAGAAAATATAAGAACACATAATTCAATGTAGCATTTTATTGTTGTATTAAAGAAAGTATGCTTTCTGCCCTGAGCTTCAACTTTGGTTTTATTTTTCCACTTTGTCTGCCGCTCACAGTCTGGTTTTACACCTGTGAAACACATGGCAGGTCGAAAAAGGAGTTCATCTACTTACAAATTGAGACAGAGGGATCTAGGGCTACAGTATTGATTAAATCTTCTTTTTATTTCTTCATAAATCCATAATAATTTGGCCTGTTAGAGATCTAAAAAAGGTTAAAAGTTACTTTTCTAAAGCACTAATGTTGTCTCCAAACTGTGAACATATCCAGATAAATTCAGCCCGCTTTTACAGAGACTGAAACTCAGCAAATATTCAGATTTGATAAAGCTAAAGCAAGATGGCCATGGGCGTTTAGTTAAAAAATGACCCAAATTTTCATAATGATGACTTTTTTTCTACGAAACAACTTTTCTCAAGAACTTTTAAACAGTCGTGAGAAACATGAGAAGATCTTGATGAACAAGAAGAAAGCCTGGAGGGGTAACTGTTGTTCTCATGGATGGAGTTTGCCCCTCTGTTACCTCTCCACCCACTCACCTGACAGTTTAGAAAATCTGCTCTGAATAACAAATCCAGAGAGATCCTCGGGCAGACTCTGTGTTTTCATGGCAGCTTTTTGATATGAAAAGGCTTACAGAGCCTCTGACTGAGACTTTTATCTTCTTTTCAATATCAGCTGTATTCTCCATCATGCCCAAGGCTGACACATACCTGATATTTTACATTTTTGACTTGTAACATCTAGTCCCAGAGCCATTCTTGGTAAACCAAGGGAAATAAAATATCGCAAAATATGTGGTTTAGAAAGTAGCGAGATTGGCGCAGATGACTTCATTGTTTTAGGAGTGAATTTGGAGTTAAATGCATAGCTGTTCTGAGCTAATTTCAGAAATGTCGTTTTGAATGTTATGGCTCCAGTTTTGGTTGATTGTAGTCATGCTAGACTCTGAGGGGCTGCAAAATCTGCAACAATATTTTGGCAATTATCCTCAAGGACTCTGGAACAGACATGGTCCACTGGGCTTCAGTTTGTTTTCCCTTGTAGTGTACTTTTCAAATGCAGATACATGTAATGAAACTGTGAACAAAATTTAAATATATAAAAATCAGACACGCTCTTTAACTGATTTTTAAAGGTAAGAGAACAGAAAAGTATCTAAACATATCCTAATGTTTCACAGTGTATCAATGGAAATATTTAACAATGTCCAGCTCTCAGAGTCCAAAATGCTCCCTTGCTCACCCCAGTTGTTGGAGAAGTTTAAAAAATTTTTTTCTTTGAGGATTTATGTGGAGCTTAATAGGTTTTACCCCCATTTATTAAGTTTTTACCATCAAAAATGTCCAGTATAAACAACAACCACTTGCCTTTTTTTATGTGTCTTTCAGTCGGTGCATGTCGGGCAGCATCTCATTGACTCTAAAATCATTCATGGTTGTTAATAGCTGTGTAAAATGCAAAAACCCTTTGGTAGTTTTATCTTTGTGTGCTTGAAGTGGTATTTGTGATCATTTTGATGTACTTCTTTGGAGCACCAGCATCCCCAAGTGCTTCATATTCCTAAAGTCTGTACAAATTTAGAACTTTGTAAACTAAATGTTATAACCCCAGTGTTACTTTTAAAAGCTTTTGTTAGGGACTTTTTGCTTGTGTGGATTTGGGGCCCTCTGTGGACAAAGCTCTCTTTGCTTATTGTGTTTTTCAGTCCCACTCTCTGCTGCCTGGCTCTTGTCAAAAGTTAGAATTAACAAATAACACGATATCAGATTTTAAAAATGAATTTGAGACAACATGGCAAGAAAAACAAAAGTCCTTGCTTTCTAATACAAAACAATGGGGGCTCAGGATGTGATCACTTCAATTTTAAAGTGATTTAAACTGGATTATTGGAACAAAATCTTGGGCGGTTTATAGTTGGAGGTCTACTTTGAAAGGATTGATTTATATTAATCTAGATTAGATTAGATTGCACCACAGAGCAGCTTGCCTCTCTTGCATAAATGGGAGCTGTTGGTACATGCAAGTGTTTGATGTCGATCTGCCCTTGTGCAAGGAAGGCTCCCAAGCAGAATTTCAACAGTATGTGCAATTCTGAGGTTGACAGTTTTTGAAAACCACATGGATCAGTCACAGATCATTCCACAGATCAATTTATTAATTGAAAAAGTTTTTAAGTATTTCCTTTGTGACTAACCCCCCCATTTTTGTTTCTGCTCTGTTTTCAGGACCGGAATCGGCCCTTCGATGCTTTTAGCTTGCACTCTTTGGAGAATTCCTTAATGGATATGATAAGGACTGACCATGACAAAGGTAAACCACACCCTGCCGGTGGCCCACCAATGACTATCGCTGATATTATATGGAGGAATCATTTTGCAGGTTAGGAATATTCATACGTCCATGCTTACAGTATTTGGGTTATTATTGTCCTTTATTTTGCTTCATGGGCATTGATCATCTCTGGGTACTTTTTGTTCTATTTGCTAATCAATGAACCAATCTGATGTGAATGGTCATATTCATTTTGAAATCCTAAAAAATCAATTAATATTATGAGCCTTACCTGCAAAATCACACATGATTTTTGTCTGTCTGTCGTTGTTTGGTGGAGCAGACACACAGCAGTTTGCACTCATGTAATCTTTACATACGAACTGCTTTTTCTTTTTCCATCCTTTGCTTGTTCACTCTCATTGGGATCAGTTAAACATATGTTCATGCCACATGACATGTGTTTGTTCAGAGTTTGTTGTGACCATAAATAACAGATGAATTTAGATCTAATTGTAATGTACATCCTGTGTGACAACTTCGGTAAAAGAGAAAAAAAGAAAAAAGAAAGCAAGGTGTTGAAAGACAAGTTATAGCAAGGACAAGTTATCAGTTTACTCATGGTCATCCTCAGGCAGCTCAGCTAGCAGCCCCTTATTGGCCATTATATGATTACCAAAGTGCACGGGACGAAGAGAGTTTTGGACAAAGAGGTCATAAAGATAGCCTACTGATTGTAGCTGCACGGTTAAGTTCAAGCTCATGTCTACGCTTGGTTTGTGCTGACAGCAAAGGAAGTGGGTGTGTTTACAGGTAGCACAGTGATGGTGATCTCGAAGGATCAGGAATTCTTAAAATGGTTTCAGTTTGAAGGATTTTAGTAGCAACTCAGCTAGCAGCCTCCCCAAAACTTACCCTTTGCCCTCTCAAGAAGAAAAGCGCTTCTCCAGTGTTTTACAGTTTTTTTTTTGCATCTTGGAGAGGAGGTCTTTTGAGATTATACTTCTGATAAAAACATAATGAAAAACAACAACGATCATTAAAGGTTCTTATCCCAAAAACAACCAAGCTCCTAGTAACAAGCCGAGCTGAGTTTAGAGACAGCTCTACTTGCAGCTTATCTGGACATGCTGTGCCAGGACAACAAACGAGGAAAAACAATGATATTTCTAAAAGACAGAACTGCTGTATTTTCTCTTCTTTACCTCAGACCCTTAATGCCTGAAACCACAAATTATGGCCAGAAAATCCTTTTTATTTTATTTTTTTCTTGGGAGCTGAAATGTCTATTTCACTTATTACTGAAAACCAAAAAATCAAAATGTCCTGAAAATGTAACAAATATATTTATCTTGTTTGATGCATTAGATGTTTTTGGAAACTGATAAACCACAAGAGGACATTTTTATAATTTATCGGACTGTATTCAGGTGTTTTTTAGTAATTTGTTGATCATATTGATTTGATGGAAGTATCATAAAAGTATGTATCAAATATGATACAAAAGGCAATAAAGGGTTAATTTTCAAAATACAAAGGTTTTCAGGTCTATATCTTAACCATAACCATCTTATTTGAATAGTGAAACACATATTGATCATATTTTTTTACTTTTTTAAGATGTGTGATTGTGGGTTTATGCAGTACATGTTGTGACTGAATACCATGTCTTTGCTTCATGAAATGTAGATTTACTCTAAAATAAATGAACACCAGTCTGTTTTATCTCCTGGACAGAATAGAGAGATAATAAAATCATACAACAACGTGAAGATGTCTCTCTTCACACCCTTTTAAGGCCATCCAATGTATGTCAGGCCTTCTAAGCTAATATTTTTGTAGCAAAGGTCACGTGCCTGCTGTAAAAACTTAGGATCCTGTCTCCCTTTTGGGGCCCTGTCAGGTTGGGTGTCGGTTTTATATTCTCCCCCCCCCCGTCCTCCTATCTTTACAATGGAAAGATTGGTGGGAGGGGTCTGTAATGAGCAGAGCATGTCACTTTCTCGCTCATGGAGTCTGTTTTTTAAGTCATGTGTTGACAGAGTGTTACAGCAACCTCTGTCCCGCCTGGCTTCACTGGAAAGGTGTGGTGACATCCTGCAGGGCTTTCCTGGGGATTGTTTATTAAATTAAAGGAGCAGAGATGGAGGAGATACAAGGTGATACACAAGTCGGCTCCTAATTGGGAAAAGGTGTATGTTCCTTCCCTGTCTTTCCCTTAGATTACCCACCTCACCCTCATGTAGACAGTGTGGGGCTTCTGTAAACTGCACTGCAAACCACTGAGCATGAGCACCTACTTGCTGTTTGAGACATGCCCGCTCTACTGAAATAATCTATTAGAAAAACATGGCTGTCTTTGCTTTTGACATCTCAGGACTCGGGAGATCATTACTTATTACCTCACTCTATTCCTGTATAGGGAACATGTTGTCCCCCTCGATGCCACGTATTTAGGTTTTTTGACAGTTTGATTCAATGTTGAACTTTAGTCAGCTTGTTAGCTGCAGTTTGTGGCAGCTCAGCTCACAACCCTCAAAGCCATGTTGGGACATCCATTTGCTTTATATGGTAATAATACTAGTTATTTTATTTGTTCTGGAGAAAAGGAGTACTCTTCAAATAATTTACAGGAACACAATCCACATTGAAAACCTCATTTTAGATGACCTCTTAGGAAACCAGACCAAGCAGAAGAAGTGCTCTGGATTGTGTAATTCTTGCATTTTTATCATAGTGTTTTCCCTTTAGCAAACTTAACACCTGTAAATTCTCAGTACATCGCAGGAAAATGTTTTTTTTTCAGGCTCATTCTGTTTGTATGAATTGAATGACGTGTTTCTGCATCTATTGTTGAAGTGAGACCTGCTGGTACTTTAAAAAAAATAGAACAGGGGATGTAATGGACTGAGAAATTACAGCATGTCTGTTGCAGATGTAAACATAACTAAGAGAAAGAAGTCTTGACTCAAGGTTGTTTTTGTTTTTGTAGGATTACTGAAAAGTTGGCAGCCTTCCCAGAAAAAGTGGTATATATATCCAGTCTCATTGTCAGACAGTGATGGATGAGGATTTCTAATGAGTTCTGGGATTTAGCATCTGACGTCAAGTATTTGTCCATGATCACTGGAGATCATTATTATCAACTTTTTGAGTGAAAACACTCTTTTTAGGTGTTTAACATCACACCATTCTCAACGTTGGTCCCTCTTTGTTTTGTGTACAATAACCTGAAAAAACAAAAGAGGAATTCTATTGTTATAATTTAAGTAGACTCAAACATATCAGCACGACAGAACACTGAATTTCATGTGGAACTTTATTACAAACACTATTTTAGGTGTAATGTATCAGTGAAAAGGTAGTATGCGAGTTAAAATCCTGACAAGGTGAGCAAGACCCAACACAAAATTCTCCACAGCAGAACAACATGTCAGAGCTCCTTTCCAGGGATTGATTTAACATGACTTTATCAAAACATTTACAGTAAAACCCAGCCCACTTTTCTCTTATAGAAGATCTCAATCAATCAAAATCCATGCCATGTTTTAACTGTTTTTTCTTTTCTATAAGCAGAAAGCATTCATAGTTGAAATTAAAATTTCACTGCTGCCTTGTCACGGCAGCCAGGAATCCAGCTTCAGCGTTTCTTGTGTTATCTACTGTCAACACAGGCTTGATATTTGTCTAATTGTTGGTAATTCGCTCACCTGTTGCTCATAGAAATACTTTTGTTCACTTCAGCCTCATTGTTCGGTTAGCTAAGGTTAGTAAACAGCTCTGCAATTTGGACAGCAATATCTTAGTTTGGCATGTTCGTTTTCCCAGAACATGAAAATAAGGATATTTTAAAAAAGTAGTAAGTTATGACCTCAGTGAATCAGTCCATATCCGCTAACTCTCAGCAAAGTCACCTGTGACTCAGCTTTCGCAAATTAAAGTCTGACAGGTCCTGACAGGCTTGACACAATGACTGGTGGGAAAAAAAGTGTCCAACTCACTTGTGTTTTCTGTTCTATCACTGCTTTTTTAGCAAAGGGGAAGAGTTTAATACTTTTGATATTTATAAATCTGTCTTTGCCACCTTCTTCGATGACATGTAGGCGGTTGAGAGCGAGTGGGAAGCAGGGGCTGAAGGAGGAGGCAGAGAGAAGGGGTGAGCAATAAGAGAGATCTATAAATCATTTAAATATAGTAATTCAACTGTGCTATTTCAATTTTTAAGGAAATATTCAGGGATATTTTACAGGAAATGTTTCAGTTAAGGTTCACAGTATGACTAACTTAAACAGCAGAGTATAATTTCTTAAAAATTCAATAAAGTCAAGTATTTAACACATTTTGGTTATTACAAAGCAAATGCCCCAAAAAAATATCCAAATTTTAGTCAAGTTAGAGTCCTGGTTCAGATGTTAATTTCCTGCACACTCAGCCTTGTCTTTTTATTGTTGGGTGCTAACTTTAACAGATGTAAATCAGTCACACTAATGTGAAATGATAATGGAGCTAACATGTTTTTAAAGTTTTTTATCTCTTCTACAAGCTGTGAAGTAAGTCATTTTGAGGATAGATATTAACAAGCCGCTGTCTGAGGACCACCAGTCAAAACTAATTAACACAGTCGGCCCAGTTTTACATTCCCAACTGAGCGCGTCCCACCCACATCCATCCCTTCACAGACATGTCTGGCATACTTCTCATTGTGACCAGAATAGCTGTTTTATGAGTCCTTGTTTGAATGTGTGAATGTGTTCCTTCAACAAGGAGAAGCAGTTTTTAGTGTGATACCGACTGGAACCTCTGGGTCCTCTGAAAGAGGTGTGTGGTGACCTTACTCACGCTCAATTTCCTCAGAGAAGGGAGAGGTTGTGATTCAGCCTGCCCAAGAAGGGGTCTGAGTAAAAAAGACTTTCTGAGAGGGGGACACTTCATTTTTGTCCAAAGTTTGTGAAAGTTTTTGTCCGGACAAACAGGTCTGTTCTGGTCTGCATGCAACTCCTGATCTGGGTCAGCTGAGCTCACAAGTAAGAGAGCCAGGAACCCGTTCACGAAAACACAAATACACCAGAGATTCTCCCCTTTGGCCTGGAAAAACACCGCCAGTTTGACAACAGCCGACCCTGCTGCTGCCAATACCATCACACACACACACACACACACACACACACACACACACACACACACACACACACACACACACACACACACACACACACGTAAATCAACTGTGACATTCCATGCAAGGATTCTCACCTCACACACTCATGTTGTCATGACAGTTTTAAAAGTCAGTTTTACAGTTTTAATGCTGTCTGTAACAGCCTATACTTTAACTACACACTTACACAATCGCAGTCCCCATGGCGTATTTTAGAAAGGTATAAGATGTGTGTCTCTGTTGTGGTCAGACTTGATTGAACTAAAGCTTCAGTTATGATTTGCAACGTGGAAACTCTTATGTTGAGGTCAGGCTACACGTAACAAATTAGCTCAATTCCTGTCACTATCCTTTTGTTTTACTTATTCTGTACCTTCTAATTGTTTAGGATGACATCGGTAATACGCCAGTAAATTAGTCATCCTTCTGTTGGATTGCGTCGTATCAATGGCGATGAAGTTGTCCTGGTCTCTGTACAGTTTTTAAACACTATATTGTAGATTCCAACATAAACATTGTTCCTGAAAAAGAAGCCATAAACAAAAAGACAATTTGTTTAAGCGACTGTTTCTCATTTTCAATAGTTTCTGTGATATTCAAACATCTGTCAGCAGGATTACATATTTAAGAAAAGTCTGACTAAAAATGGACTTTAAAAGAACGTGTTATATTACTAAACCGAACTAAATCTGACTAACATACAAAGATGATCCGGTTAGGGATTGATTTTTCTCTTCCATGTATACGGCTCAATCAGATCAAAACTGGTCTAAGCGTTCAGCAAAAGCTCATGTTCACACAGCAAGCTTTAAGCAGGAAGTTCAATAGCGCAGATGTGCCGCTAGGATATACAAAAACTTGACAGAGGACGAAAGCATGTAAAAAAAGACAAAACCTTCCTTTTGTATAAACAAACGTTTCAGAGCTATGAAAGTAACAGCTTCATCGTTTGACGTACATCCTGCTAGCCTCTTGTTTACGCATTGTGTCGACTGTTTTAAGACGTAATAGATCAACCAGGAGACGACCCAATAGTTACAAACGAAAAAGGGCCACTTATCGCCACTTATCATATCAAAGGCTAGCATACCGTTGTTTGTGCAATCAAAATGACTAAAATGGTACTTGACTTAACTGTGCGTAAATACGTGTCAACCTGAATGTGGCTGAAAACTTACATTGGCTAATATGACCGATCTCACCCTTGATTCAAACAACCTTTTCTTCGTAGCTGTTTATCAATCATGCAGCTGTGAAATGACCACAACTTGTCAAATATCTACATTTATATGACTCTTCAGACAGGTTTATGTGTCATTTATGGTTTGATTGTCAGGCTAGTTTAGTTAGTTGTATGTTTGTGAATCAGTGATCACAAAAGTTGCGATAAATTTGTTCAACTCCTCTGGGGTTGTTTGGGGGCTAAGCCAAAGATTGAGTTGATGAAGATCTTTTTAGGATAGAGCTTTGCTAAAAATGAATTGACAGCTCAGTATGATCCAAAGGACGTGTGACACAATACAAAATCTCACCACCCAGACTCAGTAACTTTAATGACTTTTTTGTCTGTTTTGTTTCTGTGCACCCACCAACAGACAGTTTTCTGTCCATTTTGTTCGTCTGTGATGTATGGAGTTTGTTCTTGGTGTGACAGAAGGTGTCAGCTCTAACTGGAGTCAGTAGTCAAGGGATGGCAAACACTGGTGCTGTTTGACTTTGTGTGCTTGTTGACAGAAGCATCGGTCAGTGGATAAGAGCTGACACACACACAGAAGCTTTTATCAGGAGGAAAACAAGAGTTACAAGTGCAGCACAGGTCAGGTTAGTTAACTTACAATAAGTGTGGCAGGGTGTTTTGGTGATTTTGCTCCTCCTCACCCAGTGAAGCTGTTAGGTTATAGCCTCTTGTGAACAAAAAAGTATAATTTAGTAATAGTTTGTCGTTAAAATTTAGCTTCTTGTCTCTGTCGTAAAAAATCGTGGTTGTTTGAAGAAAGTGAATTTGTACTATGTGGAGAATTTTTTTTAGATGGGGCTCGCCCAGCTGTACCAGAGGTGAAAGGTCAATGTTTCAAACACTCTTCCTGTGCTGAAGTTTGGCCCATGAGCTGGATTTGACCTCTTGACTTTTCATCCCTTGTTTCAAACACTCAAGATGATCTCAGTACCAAAGGGATGCCCTGAACTTTAAACAGCCTGTAATGACTGTGCAGAGATAAGATGACGTGTTAAAGGTTGAATTTTAGCACCTTGCTTCCAATAAACAGCACTGTCAAAGTGTTTTGTTATGGTGGAAAATTCATGACTCTTACAAGCATGACTGAGCTAATCCAGTCCAGGCAACCAAACAAGCCTGGGCTTGTTTTTGTCTTATTAAAATCCTGGCTTTTACAGATTTTAGAGAGCCATGAAATATTATTGAGAGCATTAAAATCACTGCCAAGCTGTGCATCAGGCTTAACTGGATTGTGGAAATCCTCTATTATTATATGAAAGGCATTTAATAGTTTTGTGATTGTGAAATAATAAGTAACAGTGGGTGGTTGGCACCAATGGGGATTTACTTGCAGAAATATGCTAAAACAATCTATGATGATATTTTTTAATAGTTTTAACTTTTGACCCTGTTGTAACCTTTCTGTCAGGGTCATCGAGTTTGAAAGGGAAGATACGAAAAGTCCTCAGGTTTTCTCAGAAGCTTTTATCTCAAGCTTTCCACCCTTTTTATGCCAAACACTTCCCCTGAGCGGGTTTCTTATCTTGTTTTTTTCTCTCTTTTATGCCTGTGCAGGGTTGGTAATTGAAGTTGTTTGTTGTTGGCAGTAGTCAGCAGAAACTTATTCAGACCTTTGCGGCTCCCTGCTGCTTAGGTGTTTCTTTTTCATCAGCACTAACATTTCTGCACCTTGCTGTTGGCACACCCAACCTCCTCTCAAGACTCGTGATGGTGCTTTCTTTCAGAGGCGTTACTGGGGGCTTCAGCATGTGCTATAATGTGGAACAAAGGGAGGAGGTGGGATGCAGTCAGTGGTGATCAACTGCATGTGAAGATTCGGTGAAAATGTAACTCCTTAGGAGCTGGAGACAAAGTCTTAGATTGTTATTTGTTATTGATCAAAGGTCTCTTGCCTTTGCTATCATTGGAGAGTATCTGTGGTGATAGATAAGTAGCTGATTGGTACCAATGACTCAGTAATGTTTTTGGCTTTTGATCAACACTAAGATAAGGATTTTTCAAAGCAACACATTTTGTTGTTGATCAAACATGAATTAAAGGGATATTCCAGCGTAAAATTAATTCAGGGTCAAACACAGTGTAACACCGAGTCAGACACCCCCTCAAGAGATAAATGTTGCTGACTGCTTGCTTCTCTAGTTATACCAACTTTAGTAACCACCGCACGATAGCAATAAACAGCGGTCTACGGAACCACACACAAACCTCAACCAAAATGCCACTCTATAGCCACAAATAATGCTCAGAACAGCACCTAACTTCATCAACAGTACATATAGGGTCCCAGCCATAGTACTAGCCACCAAACATCTTTTTAGCTCTGCCTGATTTCTTTAGCAAAGAGACTAAACACAACTCACCCACTCTCTTCCAGCAACCGCTTGTTTGTAGCGAGACCTCAGGCCAGTCTATTACGGCCTACAGCGGGGTGACGCAGCTCATGGAAGAATGTTTATTATCATTATTTTATCATTCCCTTGAAGTAATAATCATCATATTAATCATTTTGCTCCACAGACGCGGTAGTTCTTCTGCCTTAACGTCTCGGTCTGATTTGAATATCCCTTTGAAATTCCTGTTGACCAATGAAAGTCTTAAGTTGAGAAAGTACTCAAAGAACAGTTATCATTGTGTTCATGCGTTTTTCTGCATTTTGTAATTCACACTCAGTAAGTAGAAGTGAAGACACATTTATTACAAAATGACCAGTGAAAGCACCTCAATGTGGAAATGCGTATTCTGGAATTCCAGACTCAAGTTTAAAATAGTTATTTTTCTTTATCACGTTTCATTATGAAAGATCTCTTAAAAATAGAGTCAAACCTTGTCCTGTTTCTGTGAACCCAATCTCGTGTCTCATCTTGTCTCATGAGCTGGGTGTCACATCACACCCCGAGGATGATGAAATTTGCATGATACTCTCATGTTTATGAATACATTAGGTATGAAAAAGTTGTGCCACCCCAGTGAAAGACATTTGAACACACTTAAACTTCACACTTCCCCACATATGACTAATGCGGAGAAATCTCATAGTTAAGCTGGAACTGAAATTGAAACCCACTGGTTGGGTCTGCACAATCCTTCACCTACTCTTCCTCACAAAGTTGAAAGTGCAGATGAATTTCATGCAAGTAGAGGATGCGGTATGGCTGGATTTGTGTCTAAGGTAGTGGCCCATCATAGGAAGGTTGAATTTAGCTCGGTGAGGAAATGTCACCAGTGGAGCGGTGACAAACTCGGGGGGCCCTCAGGCTTTGCTACTCGACTCCTGAGAGGAGCAGATGGCACAGGTCCAGATCTATTTCAAGTCTTTGGGAGGGCAACTGTCCCTCTCGTTCACCCAAAATGACTCATGTAGCTGGACGGTGTTTGTTGCGACTTTTGCCCTCCTATCAGCAAGTCTTACCAAACTGGGCACCAGTCAACCTCAAGCAGCTGGAAGCAACAGGAAAGTTAATTCAGACTCAGTGAATTTAACCGGGAAGTGTTCAGCTCTGTTTATTATCATACAAACAGACATAATGTAGTCTGATTGTTCATATGAATCATAAAGGGATGTGTCTCAACTACACAAATGATCAGGCTGTCAGTTTGTGAACAGAATAAGGGACTCAGTCAAGAACACCTTGTCCAGTCAGACATCTGGCTTGAAACCCTGTTATATGCTGGGAAGCCTTACAAATAGACCACCCACACGTTTACCAATAGATACACATGATCTTCGTAGGGCTCTTGAACTTAGAACCAAAGCCTGGTCTGACGATGAGGTGGCAGACCGGTGGGTTGATAGCAGAGTTGAAAAAAACTCAGAGCACAGAGATTACTCATGATGTCCATCTGATGTTTCGGGTGTCAGTAAAGTCTTTTTCTTTTCGATATATTGAGTTGAGAAATGTGTCACCGAGTTATGTCAACATGTTGAGACAAACATGTGTGAAGGTATGGGCTTGTCACACTTGTTTTGCCCCAGAGGACTCTGACTGAATGGGAAAATTGTGCAAATCTACATCTGCAGAGCTGCAGGGAAGCCGCCCCCTTTCCTCCCCCATACCCCCTATATCTCTGTTTTTTTTTTTTTTTTTTTTTTTTCAACCAGCTCTAACTTAGGTTTGCCAAGTCTGCATGTAAATAGATACGGTGGGCTTACTAATAGTCACAATCTGCATTTTTCTCCTTAAATTTAAAAGTAAAATGGTTTCTCTCAATGCCTCACTCTCTGCAGTAAAGGTTATGTTTAGTATTCAACCATACAAAATCCCAGGTATTCAAAACCAAAAAATTAAGCACATTTCTTTTCTGTTTTCTAGGAAAAACCTATAAATTCTTGTTAATATAAGCCACATTTATTTGACAATCCAGATAATTTTACCAGCAACAATTTAAATTCAAGTTGTTTATAACAGTTTATATAATCCACCATTTTAGCAGAACGGACTTGTTGTTTGTTGAAATAAGATTACTGTCTTAACCAGGAACTGTTGCTTACACCATAAGCAGAATATTTTATGCATTGTCAGCAGTTCAGGTCTTATTTTTCCTCATATAATCTTGAGTAGGATTTTTATTGGTTCTTTTTAGAGGAAGATGAATAAATTTTTATAATTTGTTTAACTGGTAAGAAAAAAGATACTGTTGATTTTGAGTTTTTGCAGCACAGTTTTGCCTTTTTGGCAGCTTCCTTGCCACATTAAAAGCTGTCTCTTTCCACAAGACTTCTAAAAAGTGTAAGCATGAATATTTTTTAGACTTTAAAGCTGTGGATTAAAGTAAAAGTTAAGTATTCAATTTCAAACAAATGTGTCTTGTAATAAGTTTAGTGAGATTTTTTTCCCCCCTTGAAATAAGACAGTCAACTTAGTTGGTTTTGAATTTATTGCAGTTCAGTTTTGTCTACTTAGCCACTTTCTTGCTAGATTGAGTAACATTTCTCTCTGTGTGTGTGTGACTCCTGGAAAGCATAAACCTGCAAATTTTCAGCTTTTTAGTTGGATTTTGAAGCTGCAGACTGAATTACAGTTGTCAAAGTCGTTTGGTTGACGCTCCAGTGAGCCATGGTTTCGACAACTCAGGGGCAGAGGAGCCATGCCAATCTGTTTTTCTCTTATTTCCTACGAACAGACACTTTAACACAGATTTGAATATTTTTGTTAATTCACAACCATAATTTACAATATAATGGAGAGGCAGTGTGTTTTGGTGTTAGCAGCTGCTCAGACCTGGCTTGCTCTAAAAAAAACAAAAAACTCCACCAGTACTAGTCTCTCTTCTGCCGTTGATGTGGGCAAAGTTATTATATGAGATCCCTCCCCTTCTTGATTTGATTGACCAATGAGGGAGAAGTGACACTGATAAGTGTGGCAGCATTTCCAGAAAGATAAAATATCTCAAACTGATTGCACTGTAAGCAGAGGAAGCACTAAGGATTGTTTTTTGCTTTAACATCTAAAATCTAAACTGTAAGGGTTTTTTGTAGAATTAGGCACTTTCAACACAAGTGCACTCAGTGGACACAGGCCCTTATATCTTGAATGGTTTGTTTTGATTGCATCCTCTCTTTTTTATCAGATAGCTGCTTTTCTAGGCTCGATTTTACTGACCTATTTTTTTGTTTCAACCACAAGCTCTGGCGACACTGATCTATCTGCCAGCCCAACATTTGTTCTCATGTCAGGAAGAGGCCCCCTTCGCTGTCACCTCTATCCGTCTTCTGTGGTCACATTTGAAAGTTTTGACATGACTTTTTTGTTTGCTCCATGGCAGCTTGCAACATGCAGCCGTTTGGTGTCTCAAAGTCCATGTTTCATGTCCGTACACATGTAATGAAGCAAGACGCATGACGCAGTGACTGAGGTGGCACACAGTGTTAATAAGAAATGGGAATACAAAGGCCTTGTGTCATGAAATCTACAGGTTGTTTGCCAAAACCCAAAGTGTGTCTGAGGGTAAAGGTTTCCTCACCTCCTGTCTCCGTGAATTGACTCTCGGTTGGCTGTTTGTCTGCGATTAGCTGAGTAAGAAAGCTGGTGTAGGCGGATTTTGACAGAAAGCCCTAATTTGAGGTGGTTGAGGATAAAGGGCGTGCCTCTGTGGTTATCTCTGCAAACAATGTTGACACTGAGACAGTAACGCTTTGCATTAAAGCAGGTCTGCCTTGGTTTGAGTATTTTGTTTTAGCATGAATGTATATAGCATGGAGAAAGCGAGGAAGCTGACTGTCTATGAAAGCACTGGCAGATGGGCTCTTGTTGCTTGCACACGTCATCCCCTGCAGAACACACGCTCTGATGAATTCCTAAAGCTGCCTTTGTTTTCTTTATGTGTTTGTTTGCACATGAGATATAGGCCAACAAAGGAATGCCACCTCTTTTTCACATCTGTTCTCTCTGGTCGTCCTTCTGGTGTTTATTCATTTCATCAAAAACATTGCATCATTGCTGGTATTTATCATTCCCAAATGTAGAGTAGCACATTTAGAGAATAATATGTAGAAATCTGTGACTTTTATCAGTGATTTCCATGCTTTCCCTCTTTTGTGAAATCTTTTTATTTTTTTCTTCTACAGGACGTATGGGCCTCAACTTCCACCACCCTGGAGCTGACCACATAATGCCATTAAACAGTGAGTTATGTTTTATTGTATCAAGGAATTAATCTGTATTGTTTTAGTTTTATTGGTGGACTTTTAGTGCTGCCACTGTTTTTGTTCGGTGTATAAATGTAAAATTTAAAGAGGGTTAAGGTGTGGTTTAACCTTAACTGGCACATTTTTTGAGTGGAAGTGGTTTTGAGGTTCAAAAGTGTTTCTCAGAAGGGGTTTTCTCGCTTTTCCATCAGGGAAAAACCTGATCACAGATCTGCTTCAAGTGTTTTTAGAACAAACAAGCTGAGATCGTTACATGGCCCCAAATCAGGAATAAGTCTGCACGCTATGTGCTAAACTGAGTTCAACAAAGATGCAGATTTTGAATTTGACATGTTTAATAAAAGTTGGGACATAGACAACTGAACTCTGAAAAAGTTGTGTAAGGCACCACCTGTACAAACGTCTCCCAACTAATCAGGATAATCTGCAAAAAGTTGATAATGACAGGGTGTAAAAGTGCTCCCCAGAGAGGCTGGTTAGGAGAGGTTCACCACCTAGCGAGAGACTAGGTGAGCACAAAGTTCAGCTATTTAATATGTTACTCAGTTGAAAAACACAAAGTATACTTTTTTAAATCATCTACTGTAAATTATATCATTTAACAAATCTGAGAATGTGTAAAAATCTTTGTACAAATCAGACAAGACCAAAAACCAGTACTGGAGGGACATCGTGTTTGGTCACACTCCATTGAGAACAGACATAACACTGTAGTAGGAATCACAACATGTGCTCAAAATGACTTCCAAAAACCATGGTCTGTGAACACAGTGTGTTGCTGCATCCAAGAATGCAAGTTTGAACTGTACCATGTAAAAGAGAAAACAAACATCCAGAAATCCATCCATTTGTGCTGGGCAATACAGGTTTTAAAGCCACAAACGCTGCCTGTTTAGGGGAAGAACTGACTCATTTCAGCAACAAAGTGCAGAACCAACTCATTTGATTTGTTGTCTTTACATTATATTTATTAAAAAATGTCTTTAAATGATTTGCAAACCATTAAATGTTTTTGTAGATATTTATACAGCAAATTTCCCAGATATACAAAGTGTATCAAAAAACTGTGAATCAGACCAAAATAATGTTTTTATGAGGCTGTAAACATGTTTATTTTTGTTGTAAGATTTGGTATTCTAACACGGGTGTTAATGAGGTTTTATTGGCTTATGGAGCCAGCTTAAAGTGGACACTGGTTTACACGTCTGTTTGTTTTTTTCAACTGTGGGGGCTGCTGCTTGATCCTATCTCCAACTTTTTCTCCCTGTAAGTCAATGAAGAACCGAAAAATGTAAGAAGAGAAGCCAAATTTAAACAAACAGGAATTCTCTATTTGAAACCTTGAGTGTTTTAACGCTGTGTTAGCTTGAAACACAAACACCCCACAAAGACCAAAGAGTCCAATGACAGCATGCCCTGGGAGCACCTGCCTACCCTTTGCTTACGTCTGGATTCCCTGACACCATAAACCTCAGTTAGACTTCTCTGAATTCAAGGAAGCACAGATGACCTGTGAATAGCATTTCCAAAAATACTCCCCCTCCCCAAAGTGTCCCCCAGCCGGCAGATGACCAACAGTGACAGGAGTGAATCAGGTCTTAATCTCATATGCTGCTACATAAATACCACACAGACTGCAAAAGCCAGGCACTGCAGACTGTTGTGATCGGGTCTTACATTTCCTCCTCCTTTTTATTATGATTTCTTGTATCTTTAGAGGCAGTATCATTCTCCATCTTTTTCTACAAATCTCAGCAAAATATAAAACATGTCTTGACCAGCCTCTGATCAAAGACAAACCAAAAAAGCCCTGTTTCCCTCTTTGGACATGTTCAGTTGGCCTGCAGGGTAAATGAAACCGGTAAAAGCAGATAGGCTTTCTTAGTTTAGCACTTTCTTGCCGTCACATCTTGACAACACCAACATGCTCCTTTCTCATTTTGTTCCTCTCATCAACCGTTTCCTCGGAGAATGTGTCCCGGACTGATGTTAAACAGTTGTGTCATGGGATTACGCTCAGGCAAGCACAGATCTGCCCAGATCTTCTAAGACTGTCAGAACTGGCTCTCTCTCGGCTGCAGCCTGTGATGTGTGCAGACAGAGGAAGCTTTGGTTTCAACTTTAAAGTGCTTTCGTCGGTGTTTCTACTTCATTTCGTCCCATTAGCTCTGAGGCATCATGCTGAGAAGGCTCCACTTTCTCCGGATGGCAGAAGAAAAGGATGGAGAGTAGCGAGTGTAGGTCCTCTTTCTGGATTTATCGCTGTTGTTCATTTGACAGCGTAGTGGAAGTGTCTGAAACTTTAAAGCAGAGCAAGGCAGGAGACTTCAAACTCATCATGCTCAGAGGAATCACAGCTTTCATTTCTGACATTTTTTTTTCTCTTTCCCAGACACCACACAATTTGAAGTTAGTACTTTTGCTTAACCCTAACCTTTCTGTTTTCTTCCCTCCTTCAATGGATGTAAGTGGTCTCCCAGCGCTAAGTTTTCTTCATTTCACCCCTGGTTGCTGGGTGACTCTGCCAAAGCCAGACAGCAAGAGGGCAAAGCTGCAGAGAGGCTGCCCAGGCTTTTCAGGGAGGGGGGTCGGAGAGCCAGAGCTTTTTAATGAAAAGATAGCAAAGGAGAAGAGGCTCAGACACAATATATTCCCTGAGAGGAGCCAGGAGGGCAAGACACACAATGAGGCTCTCACAATGCAAAGGCCCATATTGGTTTTTGAAGCGACACGTTTGTTCTGTGACTGATGCTTTCAGAAGAGGAGGAGGAGGAGGATCTGGAGAGTACTGTATAACCCATAGACTCTTCCTAACCACAGTTTGCCTCTTCTGTAGTTGTAGCATATTATGAGGTTCTCCTGGCGAGTTTGGCTGTATTTATTTTGGAAAACTCAGTATGTCTGTATTCCTGAGTCGACTTTATTTGCTCAGTTTTCATGGAGAAAGCTCAGCTGTCATCTTAATATAAAAAGGGTAAATGTAAGGGGACTACAAATGTAGATGAGTCGCTGTTGAAAACAAGCTTCAAGCTCTTTTGAAGATAAAAATCAAAACTCCAACTCCACTGACATGCTGTCTTGTAGCTTTTACTTTCATGATATGGTCTTCCTAAAATGATGAAAAGATGTCAGATGATGATGGATTAAAGAGGGACTGGGGTCATCTTTAATATCGCAGGGGGAATCAATAAATTTGATTGACGGCTAAAAGAACTGCAATGACCTCTATGAGATTTATTTTCATGGAAGTTTGCTTATCATTTTTTCTATGTGGTCCAGACTTTTGATTGTTTACACTTATTTACATTAAAGCAGTGTGACCTTATGACCCCATGAGTCAGCACTATACATGATGGCCTAATAATTAATAAATTAAAGATTGTTTTCATTTATATCTTTTCCTCCTTTTAAGTGGTACATACTGGTACAATACCTTTGTCTTTGAGGTCAGTTCCAAAAACAAAGTCAAATGGTTTGCAAATCCTTTGAATCCAGAAACTCATGCAAAGACAAAAAGTTTCATGTTGAAAATGAAAAATGTGATTCGTTTATGAAAAGCAAAAGCTCATTTCAAACTCCAAACACATTTGGAAATCTGTCATGATAGGGGTAGTTGGGCGCAGAGAACCTACCATCATTTCTGGACCATGTCTGCATTTGCATTTGTACTGTAGATGCAATGACAAACTGCCTTGTCGTAATTTTGATTCCATGCAGTGATTTACACTACAGAGCATGTCTGTCTTCACCGCAGTATCACCTGAGGGTCCAAAGAAACATGGCAGTCCAGTTATTTGCTTTTTACTCTGAAGCTCATTGTATTGAAATTGTTTAACTGATAGACCCTTGTGAAAACACAATATAAATATTGAATATGTTGTCTTTGCACTATGCTCAAATATGATTAAAATAATTTAAAAACCATCAAATTCTGTCTTAATCATAGTAATACACAGCATCCCAACTTTTGGGATTTTTAAGTTGTTAACCATATTAAATGTATAAACTGCATACCATTGGTTTCAATTAAAACAGTTTACTCAATTTTTCCAAAAATTAAGCCAGAAAAGGTTTGGTCATCTTATATTCAGAGTCTTCATATAATCAAGCCAGTGTTGAAGCAACAACTCAGCTGAAAAGAAGTAAGTCCAATAAGAAAGCAACAACAAAGCAAACAGAAAAGGAGAAATAAGAACCTCTCATCAAGTGTTTCTCAGTTACAAACTTGTGCAACATGATAGAGCGTTATTTGTGCTCTAGTCAGGGGGTGCTTGGCTCAGAAAACATCCCTAAAGGGGACATGGTTGCTAAAAGTCATAAATAACTAAATACTGGTGAAGAGACAGCAAATAAAAAATGACAGGAGGATTTAGAAACAGGCGGCAAGAGGTCCTCATGTGCAAATGTCCAAATCAGCTACATTTGAAATATCTATAATATAATAACCCTGCTCTGTGTCCATTGTAGTTAAATGAGCACTGTAAATGTAGCATGGATAGATAACACAGAGATATTGAGAGGCAGCACATGACCAGCTGATTATAAACAGGTGATCACATCGCTCACCTTTGCCTCCCAGTAGATTCAGTTCAGATCAGTCTTAGTGTTACACTTCTTTCTGCATGTTACCCTCCCCCCCTCAGAGTCCTGAGCCGGCTACCTTTCACCCTCACACCCCCTCCCTACTCTGTGGGAAGTTTCCATTTGTACCTGGCCTGCCATACATGACCAACTCTTAATATTTCACCGAGGCACCGATAATGACTAACCTGCTGCCTTCAGTCCTGCATGCACTCTGCCTTTATGGCCTCATTTGTGAATATTCAGAAGATTAGCACGAACACGAGCCAGTGAGGGTTCATTAAGCCCAGATCTCCGTTATGTGGCGTCACATTATGTTGCTAAATCTAGGCCCATTTCCGTGCATAAACCTCACCTGTCGCCCACCCCGCCTTCTCTCCCCCCCCCTGGCAGCATCTGCATACATCTGTTGCCAGGGCAGGTGCAGCAGGTTTACTGTGGGCTGCTGCCAGGCTGTAATAATCCCCCTCCTCCTGTTTCCAAGCCTCAGGTGTGGCCATCTGTGCTTCCACTGTTGCCTTAGAGATTTTCCTGGTTTTGGTTTATTTCCACAAACCCATGTCTCTGTATCTCTTTCCTCTCTCTGTTCCTGCCCCGACTCCCCCTGTCTCTCCTTGTGTCTCTCCCCCCCTCCCTCCCACCGTGCTGAAAAGCAGCCCGGAGCTATGGCCGCAGAAGAGGTAACGTGTGGCATTTTCTCTGGGGGGGTCTGTTTGTCATGCCGGCCGCGTCTCTCTCTCTCTCTGAGGCTGAGGGGGGTCTAATTGTGGTGTCACTCTTTGCTTTCTCATCTGTGCTGTGATTGAATGAAATCATATTAATTTTGACACTCTGTTTTTCGTGTTGTGCGTTTAATCAATACGGGGGCAAAGGTCCAATCTCTCTTGTTTTGCTTGATGATGGTGAGAGGAAAAAGATCTTTCCACCAATTTTCTCTTCTCTGTGCTCTGAGTCAGTGTTTTCCTGTGATTGGATTATTAAGAATATATAATTACTACAGGAGAGTTTAAGTCTGGATCAAAGTTCAAGAATTAAGCTGAAATATAATTCAAAGGAAAAAGTAATGGGTTGCTAAGTGAAGATGTCACACTTCTACATGAAACTGTTTCATCCTGCTGTATTGCAGAGTTTATCACTATTTCTAACAGATTAAAGTCCAATAAACATGTTTTAACAGCATCAATGAGGTGTTACAGGGAGGAATAGATGACTGAGATTGATCATTTGAGTCACAACATTAAAGAGATGTTCCGGTGTAAATTTAAGTTATGTTCAAACACACCGTAACACCGAGTTAGACACCCCTTTGGGAGATGAATGTTGCTGACGGCTTGCTTCTATAGTTATACCAACTGTAGTAACGACCACACGATAGCAATACACAATGGTCTCAGGAGCCACACGCAAACCGCAACCAAAAAAAAGCCACGCTATTGCCACAAATAATGCTCAGATCAGTACCTAACTTCATCAACAGTGCATAAAGGGGTCCAGCCTTAGCACTAGCCACCTAACATCTTTTTAACTTTGCCTAATTTCTTTAGCATAGAGACTAAACACAACTCATCTATTCTCTTCAAGCAGCCGCTCGTTTGTAGGGAGACCTCGGACTTGTCCATCACTGACTGCAGCAGGGTGCCGCAGCTCAAGGAAGAACATTTATGATCATTTCCTTGAAGTAATAATCACCATATTAACCATTTTGCACTGCAGATGCGTTAGTTCTTCTGCCTTAGCGTCTCGGTCTGATTCCATTTCCATGGAGAAATTATCATAAATGTAAGTAATTTCATTTTAGCCAACTGCTCCAAGTGTTTTGAACTGGAAGAGCGCTCATGAGGTCACGTGACATCGCCACTTGGCAAATTTCGACCAAAGCTCCTATGAGGAACTTTTGGTTTTTGGCGCCTTTTGTGGACAAAGTAGTCTTTGCTTACCTCGTAAAAGAAATCTCTGAAAAAAATGTATTTTATATAAATTAGCAACAGAATGAAAACTTTTCAAAGAACAAATAATGCAGAAAAGTAGACTTTTGATAATCTAAGTAGCTGTTCACCATGTAGTTTTTATCGCTGAGTGCGACCTAATTCCATAATTCACAATACTCTGTACCATCTGCCAGACCATCACAGCCAATTAAATGATTGCCCTCACACCATCAATGTTAGGGAAGCTCCTCAAAAATGAAGCCAAAATATTTGGAGCTCCCCCTATTGACTGACTGCAGTACTAATTTTGCACCCTTATGAAACAAGGTCAATTGAAAGACAAACACCTCATGACTGAATCAAGCAAGAAATCTGTGTGATTCTTTTCTGCCAAAAACCAATCAGTATTTAGATTTAAATGATGTTTCGAGATGCTTTATGAGACAGATTACAGCTGGTCAGGCAGGTGACAGGTGCTTCACAGTAAAATCAAATGCTGGCTGTGGTGTCCTTAATTAAAATCCTAATATCAAACATAATCCAGGCAGGAAAAATATTTGTTTTTTCCAGCAACATTGGATGTCATGTTTATAAACCAGTCAATTTATGCACCTCTAAAAATGGTTTCAGTCTCCAGGCTCAGTTATTGTCAGGCTCTATTATGGATGCTATATTGTGATGGAGTCCCAAACCCACATGAAAGTAACAGCAGATGAAACGCCTGCATCATTCAGTAATGTCAAAGCCATCACCGAGTCCTTCAAAAACAAATCTCCAGGGTTTCATTTGGGTGAACGCTGACTCAGACACGATTCATCATCTGAATGGCACAGACGGCTCATCTCTGATCAGATGTGCTTTGTTGACTAATTCTGTTTTTCTTCAGCGAGGACAAGAGCTGCTGTGTGACATTTGTAAGGTCACTGCAACATTGGTCTGGGTTTTATGTGATGGTTGTCGCATGGTGAAGCCGACAAAGTGCAAAGGGAACATTATCTGAGTCATACTGCTTTTGGTCAAATGCATAATGAGGTTCTGAGATGGCGAGTGCACGCTCTGTGGTGATGTGTGTGATAGGATGAAATTACTTTTTTTAAAAGGGTCAAATCCAAAGAAAGACAAACAGATGGAGTCAAAGGTGGTTCTGTCGCATAGACTGAAAAAGCATTAAAAAATGTACTAATGCATCGCTGAGTCATTGCTGCACCAGCCTGGGCTCCCAGTGAGGGACTGCTTGAGGTCTGCAAGCATGTTTCTTGTTGTTTTAGCATGTTGCTTAAAAAACTAGAAAGTTAAGACTTTTATTTTTAAATCGGCTCAAGGTGTGTGGACACGATGGGATCAAATCTTGACAAAAGGGAGCTTAAAAAAGGAATTTTAAAACCAGGTTTTGGTTTTAAATTTGATCAGTATTTTTAAATCCTCCAAAACAACAAAAAAACTCAAGGCTTATGCTGCTACCTACATAAACTATTCCTTGTACTCAGTTTGTTTGCAATGTTGAAATAATGCAATGCCAGTTTAGCTCAGTTGGTCAAACAGGCTTTCCATTTATAGATAATTTCACTTAGCTTTTCTAGTTTTAACAACTCAAAATGTTTAATTTCCTCTCCACACTCACCCATTCACTTCTCATTCATCTTATGATGGCAGAGGATACTTAAGTTGGGGGCCATCAGTATTAACTTACCCTATTTATTCATTCACTTTCACACACCACTGACTATGTTTGATTGAGAGTAGTCAGAGCTGGCTCCTGATTTTTTATTTTTATTTAACCACTGAAAGAAAGAAGACCAGCTCTGCCTCTTCACCACTGAACGGCATTCATCTTTGCTTATCATCTCCTCCCTTTCTTTATATCTCTCTCAAGCTGTTCTATCAATCAAAAGCTACAAGACCCCCCACCGCCTCAAAGAAATGTATTGGGTAATAATCTCAAGAGGATAACAGGATAGATGATTTTCAGGTCAAACAGAGAGTAGCTTGGTAGCTTGGAGAGAAGTCCAGCAAGAGTAAATGCAAGTGAACGGAATCAAAGCGATAAAACAGATGGACATTCATGGAGCAATAAATAGAAGACACTAAAACAGAGTGAAGGAATGAAAGAAAAATGAAAAGTTAGGATGAATCCTACAATTTTTAGTCCTGAGGTAATTTATCCTATTATTGTTTTGTTTCTATATTTTTATCCACGTTTTGTGGATTTAAACGATGTCTGAAAACTGTTTGCTGAGTATAATTGTGACTTTTTCTGTCTCCACATCTGGATAATTATGATCTGTTCCAAAGTTGCTCGGAAAAGCAGCACAAAGGTCAGAGGGATCAGCTGATCCGGAAAAGCAGACTATTTTGATTTCCATTTTAGGTTGTTCAGATCCAGATTGAACTTTGAGGATCACTGTATGTTCATAGGAGTCCATGCATCTTGGGCCATAAATTTTTTTTTACTTCATTTTTTTGACTGCCTGTTTTGCACAAAATGTTACTTTTAAAGAAGTAAATTACTTGTAAAATAAGAGACTTAAATGAATTAGTTTTGGCCTTCAAAGCACCACACCATATAAAAATGTAAAAAAGTGTAAAAAGTGTTGGTGTATTGATAATGAAACATGTTACGTATTTAAAAGTCCAAACTTTGTCAGGAGCTTTATGGGAACAATATCAAGTGCATAGAGGCTGAAGAAAGTCACAGACCAACTCATCTTTTAAGTCAGATCTGTGATTTTTTTGAGCTGATTCTGCTGCAGTCAAAGTTTCCAGATGTGTTTCACTTACATTTTCTGTCACAACCTCTCTCTCTCTTTCTCTCTCTCTTTCTCTCTGTTTGCCTCTCACTCCCTGTCCATCCATTTCCCCCCGTCTTTCCTCCTGGTGTTCTTTTTCTTCTCTGCTTCTCCTTGCAGGTCGTTCCTGTCTTTTCCCCTTTGAAGACGGTTTCCTCGACGGTCACGATGACCCCTCCCTGACCCCTGGCTTGAACTCGCCGACCCGCTGCCAGAATGGAGAGCGGATGGAGCGCTACTCCAGGAAAGTGTTTGTGGGAGGTCTGCCCCCTGATATAGATGAAGGTAAAACAGAGGATCCTGAAGAAAACAGACTTCACACAATATCAGTTTCCTTTCATGTGATTTGTTTTCTCCAACACTCGGCTGATGGATTGCTCAGTATCTGTTATCACTGACAATAGTGGTCAAGGCTCAGAAAGTCATCTATAGATCTGATGTTGGATTGTTTACTGTGGGAAAACTAAGAATAAGAGGGCAACTTTTTTCGATGTGCTTTTCCCAAAGTAGTCCTAATCCTGAATTCACCTCTTGAACAAAAATATTATGACAGTTAGAAAAGTAAATGTCAACCCCTTTATTTTGATAGTAACAGTTGCAACGATTCCTTTGATAACATCACCAATCAATCAGTCAATCAATTAATCAGGTCACTACATTTATTTATTTGGCACTAAAAAGTAGCAGCTGACCAGAGTCTTGTGAATAGCTCACATGTTACAGTTTTAAATGAAACCGAAACAATCACATTGAAAATTAAAAAAGAAGGAAAAGCAGCTTTGATAAAATAATCAGGAACATTCCGTCTCAAAATTATGCAGAAAAACTGGTTCATGTGTTTGTTACTTCTGTTGGCTGGATTATTGGGATTCCCTATTATCAGCCTGTCTCAGCTGGTCCAAAAAGCTGCAGCATGTCGACCAAAGAGAGCACATCTCTTTTATATTTACTTCCCCACACTTACTTGAAAAAGATTTCAAATCTTTCTTTTGACCTACAAAGCTCCTAATGCTCTGACACCATCATATCTGCTCAGAATACTACACTCTAGCATACAGATCGGCTCTCGGTAACAAGACGTCTCAAAAGAAGTATGGGAAGTGGAGCTCAGGCTTTATCCTGCTACAGGCTCAGACTGCTGGGTGACCCGATCTCCCTCTCTCTCTCTTTATTTTAATGAGTTCATGTCAAACTAATACACATAATTTAACCAAAAAGGAGTACAGTCTTTGGTCCTGCTCTGTAAACTATGTGTCTATACAAACAAGACAACAAAGAAGATGAACTTTGTGTTGGAATATAGATTTTGTAGAGATTTCAAAGCCTTTCAAAACCCAGGTAATTGATCTTACTTAAACTGCATCATTAAACAAATTTAAAACACAAAGATTAACCCATCAAAGATTAAATATTATTAACAAGTATACAGGATTACGTACAGACCAAAATCTGCCCTTATATCAGCACAGTGTTCTGGAGTGGAAACTATTTTCTCATATCGCGAGAACCTACATGCACAGAGCTGCTTCTCAATATGTGTCCACAGCTGAAAAATTAATGAGTCTCCACAGCTCGAGTCGGCTCACTGCACACTGGATGTTCCCGGTCTGTGTTCCTATCGAACGCAGGGTTGACAAAGTGCAGCAGAAACACAGCAGAAAATAGAAACGCTGCCTGTCAGAGCGTAGACTGTGACTCTGCATAAAGCCTTGCAAATGCATGCTGCATGACCAGTGATGTGTTCTCTTTCACCGTCAAGGAAACAACATTTGTGCCTTTTCTTTCCTCCTTCTCTCAAGATGAGATCACCAACAGTTTCCGTCGTTACGGACACCTGGTGGTCGACTGGCCTCACAAAGCTGAAAGCAAGTCCTACTTCCCCCCCAAAGGTAAAAACACTTTCTCAGAGCATCATCTTCACTTTCACATCATGCACTAATAAATATCACCTCAGGGGCATTGTCATGTAAGAGTTTTCTGAGGAATCAGGTTACCCAGAATTCATGGTTCATGCAGGGCAAGCATGGAGGGGTATGTTTATTTGAGCAGCCCCCTGTTGTCCACTCAGAGAAAGCTACATTCAGGGTATATGGCTCCATAACTGCCCAGCTGGAGTTTTGACCCAGGAGCTGCTTGTCTCTCAGAGGTCTAGAGGAGTGTGACTGTTTGTCTCACTTTGGGCAGGTGATCAGAGAGCCTCTTCATCACTCCCTCCAGCTCGGGAGCTGCCGTGTGTCATATTAGGCGAGCTATTAAAGACGCTCTGGAAATAACTAGCATTCCACAGGCAGATGGTAATACGCTGCGTCTGGAGGACCTGCGAAAATCTCTGCCAGTTTCTCCCCCACTCTCATTTTTTCGGGAGGATTATTTTGAACAGGCTCGGCTCTACTAATATCCAAAGCCAGGGGGAAAAATGCAGCATCCTTTTAGGGGAATGAATGAGCTTACAGCAGCCATGTAAGGGGAGGAGACATGAAGGACGGGAGATCTGCATAAAAACCATCTCTCACTCTGAGTTAAACCCTCCCCCTGCTTGCTCTAAAACTCAGAGCGAAACTGCTAAAATATCCCGTTTATGTCACACTCTCCATATTAACTGGCATGCAAGCTTGGGCAGATGCCCCGTGACGGAGCACTTAAAGCTCCAGGGTTGAGAGCAAGTGCACATCTGTGTGTGTTTTTGTGTATGTGTGTGTTTGTGAGAGAGAGTTACAGATGTTGGATTTTCATCCAGAGGTCATCGGCCTCTCTTCGTGCTAAACGTCCTTCCAAAACTGACTGAATGGAAGTTAGGTGTCACTTTCCATCCTGCTCCACATAGCGTCCGTAAATGTTTTTGGTTCAGCGGTGACTCACTTTGTGGCTCAGTCAGACTTATTTTGTAGTTGGAAGGGAAGTAGGAACAGGGATTACCTAACTGTTCCCAGAGCTTTTATGTGTTTACAACCTAAATAATTTATTTCAGCTTTTCACCTTTTTTTCATTATAATATTACTCTTAAGATCATTGCTATGAGTTGTCATCTGCACCTTTTTTTTGCCTTTGAAGCTACAGATGATATCATTGAATTCAAAGGTTACTTTTGCAATTAAAGTAAAAATTGGGTGTAATGTGTTTTCTCAAGGTTTCAAGAAAGGGTAGAGTTGTTTTTTTAAGGGAGAGAGCAGGGGACCTATGACAGCTCATATGATGATCAATCCCTATGGACATCCATCATCTATAGACAACACAAGCTAGCAGTTGAGGTGTTTTGCTATCCTGCGTAGGTCCCATTGCTGAGGTGGCAAATAAGTGTCTGTTACTGTGAAAGGAGCATAGATGGTTTTAGGATTGAAAGTAGTTTAACAGCTGCTACAATAAAGTGATCTAACCATTATTTAAATCAGTGGTTCTCAACTGGTCTCACTCTGGGACCCACATTTTTCCATGGTCCTTAAGTCGTGACCCACTTTTACAGAATTCAAACTGAGCAATATTTTTTTCTTTTTATAAAAAAAAATTTTAAAGACTCAAATCTTTAACATAAATACCCCCATTTTATGAAGTAAAGTGTATTTCAGAGCACATGAAATGAGGACGACAACTACAACGTGGTGAGACGGACAGACAGCTTCTGGGGTTGTCTCTGAAAAACACCACTGGCTTGTCTTTATATGCAGGATGTTTTGTTTCCAAATGGCACTTTAGTTTGGATGGTTGCATGCTCTCGTTTACAGTGGTGGTGGCTGCAGTGGCGTTTCTGTCCCCTATTATCCTCGATGAACAAAAATCCACATTTCAAACAGCGCGGGTCATATTTCCGCTTTGCCATCTTACCTCCTCCTCGTAGCACAAACTGAGCGTCAAGTTAATGGTGGTTACCTTGGCTACCAAGCCTGGGCAGCTGTACGTGTGCCTTTTCAAAATAAGCTATTTTTCAAAAGAAAAGGCATATCAAACATCAGATTCGCATTAAATATTTACTTTTTTGACCAGTTGTTCACAATCCATACAGAACGTGTCTGCGACCCACTTTGGGGTCCGGACCCATCAGTTGAGAACCACTGATTTAAATCACACATACCACACCTGATAAAGTCCTAACAGGCCAAACGTTTGGCACATAAACATGAAAGTTGTAGAATTAGTGTGTGCATTTGGACAAACATAAAATACAGAATCTTTGTAATTTATTTTTCCACAAAAATGACATCATCACTGCTTACACCTTTCAACAGTGTGGCCCTCTTGTGCATCTCTCTGCAGCATGCTGTGACAGGTCACGCTGACCTCTGTGGCCTATTGAAAACACTCATGGCATGATGAGTCGCCACCAACCGGCTCAATCCAGCATCTTCTTTTCCTCCCAGTGTTTGTTGTAGCGGCAGTCTTTCTGTCAGCATTAATGTGCCACAAACAAACCGAGTGAACACCATCCATGAGGCAGAACTGTTTTCTGCGGGAGTTAGCACTTTTGATGCTGTTGCTGTATTTCGGGGCCTGTGATTGAATGAGAGGTGTCACCTTATGGACGCGATCAGTGTGTGATAGTCTACTGTAGCTTGGATTATTCAAGTGGTATCTTGTGATGACAGAGAAGTAGGGTCAATTTATGAGACAAGGGTGTCCTGCAAGGGTCAAACCATATAATCTGGAAATACAGCAAGTTCGAGTTCTCCAAAGTAAAACAAGTGTTCCAGTAACACCACAGATCGCATTAATAAAAAAAAACAGAACTATTTTTTGTTCTGGTACTGTCTCCTGCTTAAAAAGCAAATACAATACATGACATAAAAACTCTGGTCATTGTGGTTTTGTGGCTCACACTCTCTTCTATCATCAGACACTGCTGTTGGCAAAAAGCCTGAAATGTTGGGGAGCTATTTCTGTCTGTGATTGCGGATAGAAAGAGGAGGAGGAGGTGACGCTGTCTGTTGCCTACAGTCTGAATGCTGGAAGCAATAAACTGCTACAAATGCTAACACTCACGTCATGCTGCAATAACAGTGTGTCAGACGTGTTTCAAAAGGTTAAAAGTTAAATTTGCTTCTGACGGCAGCCAGTAATTATCAGGTTTCTTTTTACAACACTGAAGGGAAAACATTCATCTACAATCGCGTTTTCCTTTTTTTCCATGAAGAGTGGTCTGTCTGTGCAGAAGTCTCAGTGTTTGTATCAGGCCTGGAGTTTTTTTCCTCCCTCTCGCTCTGGGATTATATCCAGCGAGTGACTTCTTCTAATTGAGATGATTAGCGATGCCTGATTTCCTCTCTCCTCTGCCCGATCACTGACTTCCCTCGTAACGCTCCAAAGCCTCCAGGGCTGTGTTAGTTTTTAGGAGAGCAGATGTTCGTGTCCTCCTCCATTCGTCCTTCCTTCAACTCTCAGCCTCCTTTGGTTTTACCTTTGTCCTACTCTTCTTGTCCTCCCTCAGTCGGAGTTAAACTCGGTCTCCTGTTCATCTTCTTATTCATGCTCTCTGTCTTTTGTGTCTTCATGTTCTTTTTCATCCCCGCTGTCTTCATTTTATCTTTTGTGCGCTCCCTCTGTTTGTCATTTTTCTTGCTGTTGTTATTCTTTGTATTTCATTTTTGATTTCATCCCCCACCTCTAACTCATTTTCTGTTCCTGTTTTCTTCATCTTTTTCTTTTTCACCCTGGCTTCTATCCTCTCCTCTCATTGTCATTTACAAAGTGCTTTTCTTTGTCTTCTTTTCTTTCATCTTCTTTGTTATTATCTGTCCGTCTTTGTCTCGTCCTGCTTCTTTCCTTTTTGGCCTTTTTCCTCTTGCTTCTCCTGATCCTCTTTTTTTTTCCACCTGTGATTCTTCTTTTTCCATCGTTTGTTTTGTTTTCCATCTTTGTCTCCTTGTTTTTCCAGTGTGTCTTTGATTTTTCCCTTATTTAGAGTTTTCTTAATCTTGTCCTTAATTGTGTTCATCCTCATTTTCTTCTTTCTTCTTTTTCTTGGGCTCCAACTTTTCTTCTTTTTTTCTTCCCCTTCTTGGCACTTACTCATATTCAGAAATGTCATATTTGAAGTCCCTGTCCTAAATGATAATATGTTTTTCCACTATAAAGGCCTTCATGGTAGTGTTTTAATGACAGAACACCAGGATTCATTTAACAGTTTTGTTTCTAGTTTATTGTATTTTATCAAATGCAGAAATAATGGTAATAATCAATGGGGGTGGGAGAAAAAATCGATACAGCATAGTATTGTGATATTTTGTCTGGTGTTATATCATTTTGTCTCATTTACCGAGTATCGATTTTTCTAAGTAATTGCTCATACGAAGTCAAATCTATGATGTGGAGACACAGCCTTGGAGAGTCATCCTTTACCTGGACTCAGTAAGTCCTTTTTTTCATGGCACCATGAAGGGTCGCAGTAATGCCCATCAAATTTGGAGAAGTAAGATTTAACATGACGCCTGAAGAATATAACCCTTCTTGAAATTAAATATGTATATGAATATATTTATTCTAAACTACCGTCAAGTTTAGGTGAAAATAAAAAATCGATAAAGCATAGTATTGCGACTTTTTTTTGTGTGATATATTGTATTGTCTCATTTACCAAGTATCAATTTTTTAAAATTAATCGTAATATAAAGTCAAATCTATGATAATGGAGAAATAAAATCAACTGTTTGTCCAGTGAGGTTGGCAGAGGTGACATCATAGAGCAGGAGAAAGTTTGTACAACAAATATATCTATAAGGTTTGAAAGAAGTGCAACATGAAAATAAAATACTGTGTAAATGAGACAAACATAAAGGAAAGACAAATGCTAAATTAGCTAAACAGCTGAAAAAAATTGTATTAATTGGAATGTATTGTATCGCAATACTCGCTGTATTGCAAAATGTTAAAATATTGCAATAATATCGTATCGTGGCCCAAGTATCGTGATAATATCGTGTTGTGGGGCTAGTAGTGATTCCCACCCCTAATAATCGACATGATATTCACATGATACTATCAGCCATCAGCTGCCTTTCTCTTTAACTAGCACTGGCAGGTGAACAAAACAACATCAGTAATTTTCAGCGCCACCTCTTGTCTGTTGTAAAAATCGATAATTGACTAAAATGTAATCTGTAATGAACAATAGATAAACATAGCTGTGGGAAACAGTTGGAGGTATGAATTCTCAGGAATCTTGTGTTTCATTTAAGAACCTTAAAATTTTCAGACAGGACACGTTTTGGAAAAGTAGCAGGGTAAGAGGTGTGTAAATTTTCATCATGCAGAGTAATTTGCATGTGAAATCCCAAGCAGTCCGGCACCTATTTGGCATCTCAGTAAACAGGGGAGTCAGAATGACTAGATGGAGTTATTTCAGTCAGGTAAAAGGAAAATTGCGCTTCAGTCTTCTTCGTTCCTTGTTGTCTTTTTCCACTTCTTCCTTCTCTTTTTCTCTTCCTCTCATGGCTCACCCTCCTCTCTCTCTCTCTCTCTCTCTCTCTCTCTCTCTCTTCATGGTGAAAGCCACCATTAACAGTTGGTGTGTTTACATTTTGTGACAGAGTTAGAGCTCTCTGCTGACTTATTTTCCTCCCTATTTCCTCTCAGGGGATACATATTGAATATGAAGTGTGGGCTTCATACATGCCTTCACATACAATTTCCTCCAAACATTTGCAGCAGAGCATATTTCTCCTTTGACTTCCTCCATTCCCATGTTTCTGGGATAACTGATTTATTTCTCGGTTATTCTGGTGGCTGAGAGCTAACATTGCAGTGCCCTGGCCTGTGTGGAATAAATCTGTGCACACATGTCTGAAAAGATAAGCCCGGATTTAAATGTCACCATTAAATCCAGTGAGACGCACACAGTGACTGTGCTCACTGAGTGTATCTGCTCATCGTGGGTTAGATTTCAGCTAAGTGAACTCAACTTTGAGTCGCTGAGGTCATGGAGAGAACAGGAGAGCATTGTGGGACTCTGATATAGCAGTGGAAAGACGTTTGTGTACTAATCAGAGAGTGAGCCAAAGTATCACCTCTAAAGACTCAAATGTGCTGTGTGTAGCATGAACGCTAGCAGCAGATGTCAATGCAGTGCTTTGACTCAGCAGTGCATTTTAGAGCTCTGTACTAATCTGAGATTGAGGTATTGGCATTTTGGAGAGATTTGACATCAAATCAAGAACTACCTTCAGGAGTTATTTGACGTTTTGACACATCTCGCCAAGAGTGGAATAAGAAAATCAATACGTCACCACTCCGATGTCTCTATTGTGAATATATACAGCTAAAGTCAGCAGCAGAGCCTGTCTGTTCTCAGAGTTTGGGGTTTTATCCTTCTCTATGGGACTTTTCCAGAGACCCTTAAAAGAGTTTTATATGTTCATTAAGTTTTCCTTCCCTGTGGCAAATATTCATTGATTATCTCCTGTGTTAATAAACTGAAATCACCCGCCTTGAGGTTTCTGATGATTTCCATGAACCTTAAAATATAATTTTGATTAAATAAAAGACTCCCAAGAGTCATCCGATATCGAAACAGCTGGTTTATTCAGGTTTATCTGACACCGTCTTTGTAAAGCAGTAAAGAATAGCAAAGTCGATTAGTAAACTTTGCCTTTGAACCATAACAGTTTAGTTTAAGCACTCTCTTAACCAACTTGTGAACAAGACTCAAGGTATTTGAACAGAGTGTCTGATAACCGAGCCTTTATCCAATGGCATTTAGATCAGGTGCAATGCAGCATGCAAACAGGGACCTTGGTTTGCAGACCTTTAGACTGGCAGAGTGGTTCTGGCAAAAAGTAAATGAGGATCTAAGCACAATAGAAACATGTATTAAAATGCATGAAGTAGAAAAAGGCTCGATTTCATGGAAACAGAATTGTGCGCACTGAGTGAACGCCGTTTTAAAATTCAAGATAAGGAAACACCGGAGGTTAGGTTTTAAATCTCAAAACAAAGTAACATAAAATGAAATAAAAGAAATAATAAATAAAATGAAATAAAAGCAAGCAAAATAATTAAATGAATACCCCTCTGTCATGTAAAGCCTGGTCTAATATGGCCTCTTTAAAAGTGCTTTATAAGTGCTTATAGTTTGTGTCCATGTTATAAAATCCTACATGACAAACTACCATTTGACAGTGGTGAAGGTAAACTTTTCTCTGTCATCGGCTTAATCCTGCATGAGGTCAGTGCCATGTTGTTGATGTCTAAGCAGCACTCTCTGGGCAGAATAATTGGGTGTTTTACACGTAACCTTCCGAGCAAACCGAGCCCTGTAAACCTGCAGACTGCAGCTTTGTGCTCTCCCCCTGTGCTGTAAGCCTCTGCACTGCGCAGAGTGGTGAAATCAGGCGGACCCTCAACTCTGTTCAGACTCCGTCTCTGAGCACTCAGGTGGCGCAGCGCCCTTTGGAGTACACTTTGTTTCAGAGGGTAAAGCACTGGCATAACCACTGAACTATGCACACACTGAACTGGGAGTCGTCCAGGTACATTGATTATGTATACATAATTTGCCCTGATATAACCTGAGACAACAGTCACATAACGTAAGTCAATGTTGGGTGATACAGGCAGGTTTGCTTTTACAGCGTGATTCTCCTCAGGGCTAAGGATTTAAAACACATGATTAGATGTATACTTAAAAGTCACATGTTAGCTAATGTGAGCTGTTTTTATGAACTACTATGAACTTGTAGCTGTGTCACCATCTCTTTAGTCTGAGTGGGCTCCCAACTTCCCATCATTAAAGTTTTAGTCTTATAAATATATAACATGTTGTACTGTACTAATGTTTGAGATTTTTTGGGGGGGAATCTGTAAACCAAATTATAAGATTCATATCACCTGCAGGATAAAAAGATATTAATGGGGCCTCATAGACAAGAAAAAAAGAACAAAAACAATAGAACAATCTTAACCTATAAAAAGTCTTCCTTTCCATATTTAAAGTCCCACACCAATAGTTTTTTTTACTGCTTAAAGTGTTCTCAGTGGTTATTAAACTGCGATGATAAAGTTTTTACCAAAGATCACGTTACCTGTGTCATTTTCAAGGGTTTTTCTTCTGCAGAGCTCCAGTAGATCATTAGAATTCGCCTCTGAGTCGTGGGTGAAAACAGCGCTGCTCTGCACACTTCTCCTTCCGAGTTAGCTTGCAGCCTAATATTGCCAGTGTAGTAGAAGAAACAGATAAGATGGGGTAATTCAACTCCCGGACACCAATGTCTTTAGGGAAATGATAAGCTACTATCATAATTAGCTTTCTTACGAGCATTTCAATACGCTAACGCAGATGCTTGTTCCGCGACTGTTCTCTCAATTTCTCCGAGCCTGACCTGCATAGCAGGGCTCTGGGGGCGGAGCTTGGATTGGTTACATATGAAATCTCACTGTATCTGATCCTGTCGTTTGGGTCTGCCAGAGATTTACAGCTATTTAAATGAAGAAATTCTCAGAAATGCAATTTTGCACTTCTTTTTCTCATGATATGTCCTCTAGTATCAGAAAAATGCCATATGAACATGTAGACACCAAGAAAAAAAAACACGATTTTCATCGGAGTGGGTCTTTAAAGTTCAAATGCAGTCAATGCTTGAGTCTATGTCAAAGCCTGAGTCAGCTGTACCAGGGCTCAAAATTAGTCACAAGTCCTGAAAAACAGGGCTCAAGTGGGACTTTAGTCTGATTCTTGGTTAAAGATGACAACCTGCCATGAAGAAGGTTTCTTACTTAGAGTTTCACATGGAGATTGTTTGAGCTCCTTTGATTGTGATCATTGACTGAATAAAAGAAATATATTGTCTGTATAATGGAAGTAGGCATATTCACCACGATCAAGTGTCATCATCAGATTTTTTAATAGTCACTTTAAGCCGTAAGACAGCAGTAGAAACAGCCGGGTGAGTTTATCTTTCTGGGAGGGTTAGCAGTTCCTCCCTAGCTCCTGGGATCTTCAGCTCAAAGTGTCCTTGAACAAGAGGCTGAACCCCGAATCGCTCCTAAGTGGCATGGCCAACAGCATGTGATTGTCACTTAATATACTAGCTCTGTCATCGCTGTACAAATGTGTGTACAGATGGTTAAACAGGACACATAATGGCCTCAAGACAAGAGAAGCCCCATTGAAGTGGAATTCATTTAAGGATTTACTTCTTTTGTGGATTGCTTTCTCCTGCTTTTGTTTTGTGGCTTGTCAATCACAGGTGGTGATGCCCTCAGGGTTACTCCACTCTATCTTCATTTTGACTGTAAATGGAATAAAATCTAACTAAATGAACATTATGCTGTATTGAAGAAGACTTTAAACCAGAGATTGAGAGCATAAACTCGCCACAAAGTTGTCTCCTAGGGTGATAAATCATCTGAGAAGTAGGCTCATTTTCCATCTGCTTCTGTAAAGTCGTATTTCATTTTGAAACCAGTAGATTCGCCTCCTGCTGGCCATTAGGAAGAATGCAGGTTAAAGGTACTGATGGATTAGCTTGATTAAAACATCGGGTTTGACTTGAGTTAACTCTGTGTCATGGCTGTCATTTTAGGCCAAATGTGGGTCATGTAAGAACTGCTGATTTAGGCCACGTTTGGATCAAAAATTCTCTGTTTTCTGTTTGCACCATCTGACGGTCCTGTTTACTTTAGCCGCACTCTTACAGAGCCCATAAAAGCAGTAGCTTTAAGCCAGTCTTCACACTCTCTCTAAGTGTCTGTTTGTAAGGCATTCATTCATGCTGCTTCCCTACCTTTCCTCACTTTTCTCTCCTCTCTCTTTCCATCCGTCTCACCCTTCTCCCCTCCCTCCTTTCTCCCTCCCTGTGTCTCTCCTGCCCTGGGTCATGGAACACGTTGTTCTCTGCCTCAGACTGTAAGAGCTGCTGGCTAGTTCTGCCTTTTCATGCTGTTTTTTTGTGCTAGACTGCAGTTGTTGTTTTTTTTTTTTTCCTCTGAGAGGGATGTCAGTGCTAAACCACATGATTTCTCCCAATGACAAACCCGCTTTATGTAACATGGAAGAATACAAAGAGACGGGGGGACTTATGGCGGTGATGACGAGGCAGGAGGAGGAAGATGACGGTGCACAAAATCCTCTTAAAGTCGAGGCGGCTCCAGAGAGGGTCGGCCAGGGGAGTAGCAGCTACAACAGAAAGAGATCAGCAGAAATTACAGCAGTTGATTACAGTTAAGCTTTCCCATTGTGTATTTGTGGGTCCAGCTTGTTATTAGAGGAAGTATTATATCCTCGTTAGGTTATGAGCCTGTAACTTCACTTAGCATGAGACCCACTACAAACACAACATTGTGTTTGCAGATCACGTCCCACACAAGAATTTATACACTGAATTAAACCCACTTTTAAGTCATATAAGTTCTACTCACTAGACCTGCAAAGATGTATGTTTTAAATGTCAGTACGCCTTCACAATCCCCATCCATCTCCATATTCAGCAAGTAGTTAGCATGAGTAGCTCTGACATAAATCCACAAAGGACACGTGGATATTTCCTGTCAGCGCCAAGACCTGTCTTCACATTCAATGACTTATCTTTTCTTACTGTCATTGCTGCAACTCTTGTTTCTTCTGTATACGACTCGGGCCTCATCATTAAGGTTATCTAAGGTCATAGTTTCGGTTACTTTACTATAGGCTGCAACTCTAAGCCTAATGTAAATCACGCTGGAACCATTGAGTGTTTGATATATGGCTCATGAGAGTTTCAGCTCAAGTTAGCACAAGTTTTCTGCTTGATGTGTGTCTGAAAAATGTTACTTTAGGACACACCTGATTCAAATCAGCTCGTTATCAAGCTCTGGAATGGCTCAATAACGAGCTGATCATTTGAATCAGGTGTGGGGGCTAGAGGACTGGATTTGAGAACCACTGCTTTAGGATCCTATTTTACATCTGCTAACTACTCTTTTGCCTTTTTTTTAAAACCCCAAAGTCTATTTCTGTGTTAAGAGTGTTTTCTAATACGACATTGCAGTGAGTGGGTTTCACACACATCCTGATGTCTTTCTAAACAGACACTTGCAAAATCCAATTTCCTCAGCTATTAGGCCTCTGCATGAGGAAATAACTGAAGCAGGTGAAGCAGAGGCAGCTATAAAGCCACTGTACACTGTGTCCTTCTGCCAAATAGTTCACTGTGGGAGCCTTCGGAAAAAAAAATCCAATATGCATTCATTTAGCTGGACTATTGTGAGCTCAAACTAACGCTACAGTGTAACCCGTCCTTACAATTGGATCTGATATGATGGTTCTGTCACATATGAATAAATTTAACTTTACAACTTACATTTACATATATATGTTTCCTGACATGCACTAAATCATATAACTGCTTCGTGGACTGTGATAGAATATAGTGAGACACAGGCTTTTGCAGAACTTGTCTTTGATTGGCTCAGCCTTCTGTGAATGTGTTTTTATAAATAGTAAAAGCTGTGCCAGGCCTGCTGAAATTGCCTCCTTTGTGTTTATAATTTTAGATTAAATTTGAGCTGGCGTAAATGTGCTTCCTGTCAAATACTGAAACTTTAATTCTGCTAACCTTGTTCATGATGTTCAGACACTTTAAGTCATCCATCTGCAACACTGAATTTTCTATTACTGCCCTGACGGCTGATAGAGGCGCCAACGTCAGCGAGACACAACTGCTTTTGCTGCCTGAGGCAGGTCAGCGGCACGTCACAGTGACATGGGACACTTCTTCTACAAAAACACCCAGTCACATCCATGCAGTCAAACACACACACACAGCAGGACCTGTGCACTCACACAATCACACAGCATCTGACACACTGCAAACAGCAGCGGTCTCAGGCCTCACGAGGACACACATGAATGCTTCTTTCCATTCCACCTTCTTTCTACCTTTTCTTTTTTTGTGTATTATCCGCTCACACCACCCCTCCCCGACACACACTCTAGCTCAGACCTACCCACATACCACAATCGACTGCCGAGTCAGGCTTTATTCCTCCTCTCTCTCGGCTCACCTCATCTGCAGCAGCTCCACTCAGGAATGTTAAAGTGAAACATGACAGTTGCACATTCCTCTCCCTCGCCCTCTTTTACTCGAGCATTTGTCTGCATGAGCGCATCTGTGTGAGTCTGTGTGTGTGTGTGTCTGAGTGTGTGAAGGTGATACCGAGAGACACTTGAGCACACGGCTTCTGCAGCAAACCGAGGGGGTAGATATTTGGAGACAGAGTGTACTCTCCTGGAAGCCAGTCTCTTGGTGTATGTGTGATTGTGTGCACTTGTGCATATCTACCCAGCCCTCTCAGACAGCGGCTCATATTCTCCTGACTCATGGCTGCCACAGGTGGCTTCTGCTAACCGAAACAGAGCAATATACGAATAATTTACAGCCTATCCAGAGACAAATGCATTCACCAACATCTGCTACTACTGCACAGTGTTACAAATGTATCCACCCTTATGTGAATTTGGAGTATTAAGTGTATACACTTTATGATTTATCTGCGAAAAAGTTGTTTTTTGCTTCTGGCTTTTGTTGCCTCGTCCTTTTCAGTAGCATAATGTGATGGTCGCACCCTCCTGGTTTGGCTTTTTGCTACTCCCAGAACAGCTTTATAGCTCCAACCTTGGATGAGGTCTTTGCTCTCAGTGCTAAATAATTCAATAGTACAGAGTAACTGTCTGAATCGCTCTTTCTTTCTGCCTTGAAAAGACATCAGCAAACTCTCTACCTGAACCGGTTCTCTGGGAGGATCTGCAGTGTGTCGGGCTGATCAATTTTGCATGGTTCTTTTCCGAGAGCAGCACTTTGCTTAGCCATTTAATCTGAAGCGGCTCAGGCAGCGAGGTGCGGGGTGCAGAGCTTCTTAGAGGCAGAGAAGTCAAACGAGGACAGAGGAGCAGAAGAATAGGCAACAAGGTCATACAAAGTTGTCTGAACCATGAATAATTACAAAGGAGAAGTGTGGCGCTTTGTCACAGGGCTTTGACGTGAATAGTTGTCTGTTGGGTATGACTAATGATGCCGTGGATAGAATATCCTCTTTTTTTTCCTAAAATCTTCCTCTTTTTGTTGCAGGATATGCCTTCCTGCTGTTCCAGGAGGAGACTTCTGTTCAGGCCCTGATTGATGCCTGCATCGAGGAGGACGGAAAGCTCTACCTGTGTGTGTCCAGTCCCACCATCAAAGACAAACCGGTGGGCAGCAGTTTTTCTCTATAACACCTTTTTCCACAGTTAACCCCTGTGAATATTGGGTGACTCTTAAACACAGGGATGCAGTTTATAAATGTCATGTCAGATGAGGAGTGTGGTTGAAGGGGGGAATGAGTATCTGACAAGAGGACATCAGAAGCATGCTGTAGAGGCCACATTGCAATGTTTACAACATGATGACAGACAAACGAACATAGACCCTCACTGTGTTGACAGTGTTTGTATTCGTATTAATGCTACATGTAAACAGACAGATTTGCAGACTTCTGCACTGCTCTCATCTTAGGAGCGATTCTCCTACTTCAGCCTCAGATGTTTGGATTCATTTTGTTACCTGTCACTCTTGTGCGTTTGCACATTTCCTACTGTATAAACCACGTCACTTTCAGGCTGTGCACTTTTCAAAACATGTTCTGCGTGTTTGCGTTCACATGTTTCTGATTACACCTCTTATTTAAAGGGATATTCTGGCTTAAATTAATTTAGGGTCAAACACACTGTAACACCGAGTTAGACAACCCCTCAAGAGATGAGTGTTGCAGACTGTTTGCTTCTCTAGTTATACCAACTTTAGTAACGACCGCACGATAGCAATACACAGCAGTCCGAGGAGCCACACACAAACCTCAACCAAAACGCCACTCTATAGCCACAAATAATGCTCAGAACAGCACCTAACTTCATCAACAGTACATATCGGGTCCCAGCCATAGTACTAGCCACCAAACATCTTTTTAGCTTTGGCTGATTTCTTTAGCAAAGGGACTAAACACAACTCACCTACTCTCCTCCAGCGTATGTAGCGAGACCATTACGGACTGCAGCGGGGTGACGCAGTTCAAGGAAGAACATTTATGATCATTTCTTTATGGAAATGCAATTAGACTAAGACGCTAAGGCAGAAAAACGATCACGTCTGCAGTGCAAAATGATTAATATGGTGATTATTACTTCAAGGAAATGATAAAGAAATGAGTGCTAACATTGTTTTACTTTGAGAGGAAGCCTTATGTTTCTCCAAATTAGCATTTGAAACATTTAAAGGTCCTGATCCATTACAATGTGAAAAGATGAAACTCCTAAAGTCTTCTTCAGGACTTAAAAACTGATGAAAGCATTGAGTGGGACCTCGTATCTTCATTTTCATCGAAGTCCTACAGTCCTGAATGCCTAGAGTAGAGTATCTCTGCATGAATGGTGGCTAAAAAAAACTCTTTATTTATCCGAAACTGGCATTCATGAAAAACCTCTTTTCAGTTCTTGAGCTCTGACTGAAAAGCTTCTTTTTGGCAGAGTTAGGAATGGCTTGTGTTACTTGTTACTTTTGTATTGTGATCAAAGCTCTTTATAAATGGAGCAGGACTAAGTTTCAGTAAAAATTCATAAGAAATGAAACCTGCACCCGTCTTTGTTTACAAAGAGGTCATCGGTGGAGTGGTAAGCACACATAGCTATGAAACAGACCTTTTCAGCCTCTGGGTTAGGGTTCATTGTCCAGCATTGTTCTGATGGGTGGCAGAGCCTGATGTCAGGCTGTGATGATGGGTCAAAGTAACTGGTCAGAGAAGCAGGAAAACCCACCCCTTTTTATGCTCTCATCTGCGTGTCTCTTTGTTAATGAAACATGATGAGGTTTAGTGCTAATATCCAACAATGTAACCTCATATGAACAGCATAATGGGTCTCCTTTAAAATTAAATGTTTTGCACCTGCCTGAGATGAACTGCTCTGTTTGTTCTGAGAAACAGTTTGGCTAGTTGGAAAAAAGTGTGCGTATACTGGCATCAGAAAGCTTCCTAAGTGAGTTAAGAAAGTCCTCTTCTGTTTAAGCTTCATGAAAATAATTATACAGGAAGTGCACCACACATTTCCCTCTAACTGACCATCTTCTGTCTCTCTCATGCAGGTCCAGATCCGTCCCTGGAACCTGAGCGACAGTGACTTTGTCATGGACGGCTCCCAGCCTCTGGACCCCCGCAAAACCATCTTTGTAGGGGGGGTGCCCCGGCCCCTGCGTGCAGGTAGCTTACTTATATGAGTGGAATAACTTACTCGCCATCCCCCCTAAAGCCTCTAAATTGGCTTTACAGTGCTGGCTGGCATAAAGTGCTGAGGCTGGAGGCTATAATGAAAGTTCTCCCTGTGAGAAAGCAATCCTCTACTTGGGTTTCCAGGACACGGGCCAAGCGGTCGTCATGTTAAGAATTCATGCTGTAATGGAAGGCTCACTCCTTCTGTTCTTGGGATAAACATCGCCTGCTCGTCTGCAATGTGACACCGACTAATTATACCAGCAGTATGAGACTGCAGCTCTGATGAAGAGTGGAGGAGGGGAGGTTTTAGATCCGGTAATAACAGAGTCAATTACTAAACTCCAAGCGAAACATTCACTTTACAAAGTGAGACTAAGGGCTGTAAATTCTGCACTAAAATGAATTCAACTCAGAAAAAGGTATTCTTTATTTGCAGTGCAGTCATGATTATGGTATTGTTAATAATTAATGATAAATGATTTTATAATGCTTACAGTTCAAATAGTATCCTACTGAAGACAGTAGGTGGAAGAAACCATGTATAACCTCCAGAAAATAGTTCAGTTTCACATGATGAAAATGTCAATCACAGATTATTGCCCAGTCCTCTAATAATCCAGCTGTGTTAATACTTGATGGTGATTGGTCAAAACACTTGAATAGTAGTTATTAGTTCTGCACATTCTTTAAATCCCCATCTCTTTGAGTTGACAGCATGGGAAAAATAAACTTCTGATGTTATCAACCATAGACTGTGTATAGAATGGACAGCATCTGCCTCCTCGCTGGGTGAGAACAGCACCCTCTGGTGACAGGCTGCAGTATAGGTCATAAATCCCGCCTCCTCCAGCAAAACTTATGGAGTTGTGGACAAACTTGACATGTAGTTATTGTTAGACTGGTTTGTGCTCAGGTCCTCTTTTTTCTGTGCAGCTCTGTTTTGATTGTGTAGCTCACCCGTGGAATACGCTGTTTGAGCCAAGCGTCATCACAGCATCTCTCTGCGACTCTCTCACCGAATGCGTACAATGCAACTCCACAAGAAGTGGAGTGCACGCGACGCTACTGCGCAATGTTGGTTTCAGGAAGAGGAGAAAAATGGCGGAAATACAGAGAGCTTTTCGGCTTTAAATCCGTATGCTGGCAGGAGGCGGAACCACAATGTCCATAGTTTATACAGTCTATGGGGACAACCTGGAGACATTTTTAATATTACTCTTTGTTTAGGATGTGTCTAGAAACTGAAGTATTTGCATACTTGGTGTCATTTTCCAAAATTTAAAAGATTTTGCGTTTAAACATTTATTCATGTAAGAATGAAACAATCAGATAAAAACACAGTTTTTCTGATGCTTTTCAGCTGAGCTCTGAGGCTGCTTGCTGATCTTCTGCCATTTCTTTTCTTAAAGCTGCTGTGAGGAGTTTTTTAAGTTATTGAAATAGACTGGATTTCATTTAGGTGCTTGTACATTTGAATAAAAAGAAAGTACAAAACAACAAGATCTGTTCAGTAAGAGTGACTTTACTTGAAACTTATAGAAAATAAGTTTATTTTATCATAGTTATCATCTGAATGAAATGAGAGCTGTCTTGATTGTGTAAATACATCCAAAACTTGGGATTGTTATCAACATGTTTCTTTTTCATTATCTCTCCTCTGTAGTGGAGCTGGCTATGATCATGGACCGGCTGTATGGTGGTGTCTGCTACGCCGGCATAGACACCGACCCAGAGCTGAAATACCCGAAAGGAGCCGGCCGCGTGGCTTTCTCCAACCAGCAGAGCTACATCGCCGCCATCAGCGCTCGCTTCGTCCAGCTGCAGCACAATGACATCGACAAAAGGGTGAGTGAGTTTGAACACTTCATTCACAATCTCCTTCCTCTTGGTCTCCACCACAGCTGAGGTTTTCACAGTCATTCCTCTGGCACGCTGCGGAGCTGAACTCTGCCTGAGCCCTCTCACATCCATCACAGCTCTCATTATAGCTCAGCCTACAATAACGGAAGAACAGGCCCGGCTGTGCAATCACTCCGGTCTTTGGCTGCCGGAGCCCTGACAGATGTTTCAAGTTGCAGACACACAGGGTTGGTTTAATTATAGCACTTCCCTATACGTGTGTATCCACTCTGGCTGTGCTGCAGCCTGCTTTTTTTAGACATGTCGGCCAATTGCAGTAGGGCAGATCGTGACCGAGGGAGACTGGGTGTCAGCCAGGGAGCTGAGCCTCTGCAGGGTGTGGCAGTGCGCCCCACCTCTTCATCATCTATCTTCAGAGGTGGGGGGGGTTATTTTGTCTGGATTACAAACAGTGTACAAAACAAGGCAGAGGGCAACAGTTTTAGAAAATGTTAGAATAAAAGGCATCCTCGTCAAATTTCTGTGGCGTAGACCAACAGTCTTCAAGAGTATAGATGTAATTAGTCTTTTTTAAGAGTCTAAATCTGCTGCAGAAAGTAGGTCACACAGAAGGATAACTTTGGGTGACGATAGATGCCTGTTTTCTCCTCACTTTCCTATAAACATTCACACTCATGTTGACAGGCTGCATAAAAAAAATCATCATCCTGGTCAGCTTCATGTCCGGTGAGACAGTATTTAACGCCACGACTTTGTCTTGTTGATTTTGTGCTTCAGTTGTTGCAGAGTTAAACAAAGAGGGGACAGTCCTCCTACAGTTGAGGGACTCAACAACCTTTCATTTTGTGGCCACACTATAACTAGGCTAGCATCCACCCCCCTGCATCTCCATGGCGACTGAGCTCTCATTTCGTGTCTCCCTGCTTAGTGGTCAAAGTCATTGCACAGGATACCTGCCTCAGTTTGTCCAATTTTACCGATGAAGGCAGCTCAGCATTGAAACACTGAGGCAGCAAACACACCTGTATCTCTGTTCCTGTTATTATTTTAGTGCATTGAAAATTTGTTTTGCTGAACTGAGCACTTTAATTATCCTTTAGAGAATCACAGTATTTTTCAAAAAAAAAATTTTCATTTTTTACATTTTTTTATTTAGTGGTGCTAAACTGAACATGACAGGTGAAGGACAACAAGAAACAGAATGGCAGAGACAAGACAAGACAGGCACAAGCTTGGATAACTGTTTACCTTTTTATGTGGGTGTGTGGGTATGCCTGTATATGAGTGCTTGTTTTGGGTAGTTATATAAAACGGATAACATTATAATAATACTAACTAATAAAAGTAAAAAGAATAATGCAACGAAACAAGGGGACAAAGCAAAAAATAAATACAAATTTTTCAAATTTCCCTACTTTCTTCCACTTTTTTCCTTCCCCCTCCTCCTTTATCATATTGTTTCTAATGCCTCTGTTTTTTCACTGTTAACATTAATTATGCCGAAAAAAACCTACACAAGTTAACTTAAGGTACATGTTAGTCAAACCATGTTGATTTTATTCTCACATTTTTAAGGCACATACCTTTAGCTCCTGTTTTAGAGCCCCACAATGAAAGGATGATCTGACCCACCTGTCATATATCAGCAGAAACATTCATTTAGAGCAGAAGCTGATCATGCATCTCAATAGCTGTCCTCATGGTCTCTTGATAGGAGGCTAATTATCTTTAGTATCTTATATCATTGAATGATTTTGAGAAGTCTACTTAAAGAGCGATATGAGGCTTTAATACTGAAGCAAAGTGAGTATTTCTACATTAAATAAGAAATATGAGTTCTCATAACCGTTAATCGTATATTTTATGAAATAATAATGGCAAAAAAATGTCTCAGCAGTGGAGAAAAGTCTAAAATAACTATCTGCTGCTCCCTGCGCAGTCTCTGTTTAGGAATTTATAGTGCCCCTTTTTTTGGCTGGATAGAGACAGTGTATTTCTTTGCATTGTTAATGACATTATGAGATTGCATAATGGTTTAGAGCAGCGGTGCCCAACCTTTTTCCTTGAGGCTTACTCTTCTTTTATCCTGCAGCCCTCACAGAAAAAAGCCATCCATGCTGTCAAAAAAAACAAAACATGAATTTTAATGTCCTTACTGAAAGAGGTGAGGCTATAATGTACTACATACACAGTTTCATCCACAGGAAGAACCGTTCAAGCTATCTAGAAAATGTCTCAAAATGACGAGCATTGAACCAATACTGGAGAATTTTAATTCTCATGTCATAGTTGCTAATCTTGCTTTTATTTTTAACTGCAAGTGTTAGTCTAAAGACGCGGAAAAATTTGCAAGATATCGCTGTGCTGCCCAGGATTTCTGATCTGCTGTCAGCCATCTCGATTTTAAGAAATAATAATAATAATTTATTTTATTTGTACAGTGCTTTTTACCCTCACATACATCAAATCCTGTACCCTCACAGTATGTTCCGGGTCAAAATTGCCCCTTCAAAGTTCTCTTGAGTAGTTAGGTCATTTTGACCTCTGTCTAGGTGTGTCTGTGTGACTGTATGTCTGTGTGTGTGCGTGCGTGTGTGTGTGTGTGTTTCTGTCAAGATAATGATAGTTTCATAATGATTTGAATATATCTTTTTGAACAACAAACCTTATATTGAACACTGTTGTTACTGTTTGTCACTTGTCCCACACTGCTAGATCTAAAATCCATCTAAATATAGATACGGGTCAAATTTGACTCGTAACAGCCTTAGAGGGGAAAAATTTGTAGCACATAAACAAAAATGCACATGAATATTTTTAAATTAATTTCATGTATTTTGAGCAACTTCAGGAAAAGTCATCAAGTTTCAGGCTTAAAAGATGATGTTTAGGGTATTTTTACTGCTGTTAAAAGTCAAAACGGGTCAAATTTTGACCTGAACAATACGTGAGGGTTAAAAACACTCAAAGACGCTTTACCTAGAATGTATAACCCAAGATAATAAAACAGTAAAATAAAACAGTTAAATATTAAAAGAAATATCATGAACAAAGGCTGGCAGTGTATGTATGCGGTGACTAACTACAGCCATTAGACGCATGCATTAAGTAGAACTCGGCTTTTGATCAGCTGTCTGTCATGACCACTAATGTTGAAAGTGTTAACAATGTTTCGGCCACTTTGATTCAGTCTGTAACACAGCCTGTCTGCTAAATGAGATGAACTGAACCTGACCTCTTGTCCTCTGTCCTCAGGTGGAGGTGAAGCCGTACGTCCTGGATGACCAGATGTGCGATGAGTGTCAGGGGGCTCGGTGCGGGGGGAAGTTCGCCCCCTTCTTCTGTGCCAATGTCACCTGCCTGCAGTACTACTGCGAGTACTGCTGGGCCAGCATCCACTCACGAGCCGGCCGAGAGTTTCACAAGCCGCTGGTGAAGGAGGGAGGAGACCGCCCTCGACATGTGTCCTTCCGCTGGAGCTGAGAGGGGGTCACGAGTCCAGCCCTGCACCGGTGAACCCACACCCGATCCCCCTAAAGAAAATACCTCCTGCACCCCTCCTACCCTACAGGCTGGGTCAGCGCTGTAACACCCCCACAGCCCCACCTACTCCACCTGTCTGTCAAACACCTGATGAAAAAATAACCCGGTCTCATACACAGGACAGTCCTCATCCCCCCCACCCACTCTGAACTCAGTGTGTCCCCTGATGAAGCACTGCGGGGACACTAACATCAATCAGCGCTAAATTTGCACTTTGGCACAAAATCTAACAAAGTACACACACTCTCTCACACACACCCACACACCCAGTATGCTCTGTATGACACCTGTCTGCTGTTAACTGGGTGCTGTGGTATGTCCTGTTGGACCCCTCCTTACTGAGACAGAGGTGGGACCATTTAAATATTTAAAAAAATATATAAATATATTTTTTGTTTTCTACTTATCTATTCATATATAGATAATTTAAATTTTATGTAAAAAGGAGCATGCACTTATTTTGAAAAGCTGTAGTTCTGATGCCCCTAGTAAAGAATACAACCAAAGGCAAATAAAATGAACACAAACAGAAAAGATAATAGGAGGCAGAAGATGTAGCAACAACTATCCAGTAGTGTGAGTACAAATAACAACGTGGCTATATTCACTTTCAATTTTGACTCTGAAAATATTAATACCTCATACGCGGGTTAGTTTGCTTTTGGTTTCTAGGTCTTTATTTTTATAACAACATTATTTTTTAGTGTTATGTAAATGTAATGCTGCAATAGCTTTGCTGCTAAATCCATGGTATAAACAGATACCATACGTACTTTCTTCAGGCTGGGTGTAGAATAATCAACAACAGAGATCTACGGGAGCACCTGGCTCCACAAGCTATCAATAGGGGAGGGGGCGCCCCCAGATGACGATGGCTACCATTGTGTGGGGGTGGGTGGGATGGGATTGGGGGGGTTGGGGTGGGTTGACCCTAACTGCATGTTTATTTCAATCAGGTTGCTGCATGCAAAGACTTTTCAGTATCATGTCTACTATTTGACTCTGCCCATGTTTGCACAACAAGAACGTTTGACTCGCACGAAACTGGACAGAAACACAAAAACGACTGGTCAGAGGAATCATGGCGGAGCCCGCCTCAGGCGACAGGGGAGAAAACAACCTTAATAATCACAAATATAATGTAGGATTACCATTCAAACTGTCTCTGATAGGTGAAGTACTTTTTTGCAGTGATTGTTGATATAATTGTGCAATTTTTTATACCGTATGTAGTTAGGTGTGTATGCCTAGAACTGTGATTCGCTTTAACTGTCGTTAATGTCCGACATAGAAGTCCTGTGAAACTTCATAACCAGTGTATGCACACGTATATATGTTCTCTTGTAAACACATACTTGCACCAGAATACACAGAAGCCTCTGGACACACACACAAACACACACACACACAGACACACACATATATAAGGACGGATGGACGGCTGTCTTTCTTACGCACATACAGAAGACAAAACAATGTGAGCTTAACTGACGATTGAGGTCTTTTTCTGTTTGTTTATTCGTTAACAGAAGCGCACGTTTACGTCCCAGAATGCAACCAAAGAGCTCACACATTTGATTTGTAACAGACAACCTCCAACAGTGGAGGAAGAGGAGGAGGAGGAAGAAGGAGGAGGAGGAGGAGGAAGAGAGGAAGCTGCAACGCTCCTCCAGCCTCCCGCAGAGTTAGGGAGGTAAAGGGGGGCTAGACGAAAACATTGAAGCTACTGGGGTTTGAGGTTGAGCTCTGCACATGCTCTAACTACACAGCTGGAGATGGGTGTGCTGGGGTGGGTGGGTGGGTGGGTGGGAGTTTCGGGGTGGGAATGGGGGACAAATAACAACACCAGAAGATGCAGAAGTGCAAGCTGGGGTTACCATATTTATCCAGATGTTTTTTTTTTTTTCCTGCAAAGCTTGAAGTAATGGACCTGCTAAAAGAGGTGGACATTTATTTTTTAGGTTTATGAAAGGGTTACGTAACTCAAACAGGATTTTGGGGAGGGGGGGGAAGTGATGAGAGGATTGGCTGCTGAAAAGGAATTTAATTTTTTTGTTTTGTTTTGGGGGTGGGGTGGGGGGGTGAGTTAACACTGGTTTTATCAGTCTTGGGGACAATCTGAGCGGGATCCTGCAACATTGCAAGTTCATGTGTGGCCTCCCCTTTCTTTGTACGTAAAGTGATCATCCCACGTTGGCGCCTCTCTGTCCTCCCCTCTCTTACTTAGTCGAAAACTGTTATGTGCTTTCAGAATTGGTGTTTCTGTTGTCCAAGAAAAAAAAACACAAAAAAAAACAAATCGAGACATAAGATACTTTTTTTACTGATAGAAAAAAAAGAGGCTAACCATGAGTAATAATATGTATCCCTCTGAAAGTGAATTCTGGGTGTTTTTGTGACATTTCCTCCCCCACCCAGACAGGTTTTCTATGTTTTTTCCTTCTCTAAGATCGATATTTGTTATGCACTACTCTTTGTATCTGAACAGTTTTCGACGGTCAGCAGTTGTTTTTGTTAAAAGACAAAAAAAAAAAGACGATAAAAGCGTGCTTTCTGACTGACAAGATCTTTTGCAATACCTCAATTTTGAAATATACCAGGAGAGAAACTGATATTTTCTAAGTAAGTTTATTCAGATGAAAAAATATATATTAATTTAATTCTTCAAAAGAAATGATTTAACAGATGGTTGATTTTTTTATTTTTATCATGGTTATTTGCTTTTATTTTAAGAATTTATTTTTTGAAAAAGACAACAACTGAAGGAGCTTTATATCTAATATAATGACGTAGTTAGTGAGAGTCTACTTTATCACAGGGGAGGCTGGGCGAGGGTCCCACTGGTCAAATTGGTCATAACACAAGAGAAGAGCTCATTAGGAAATAACTATCAGGTGCTCGGAGAGAAAACTGAACATATTTCCCATGTCTTTGTATATTTATAATCAATCATTTACTATGCTGACCAGAGTTGTGAAAGAGATCTTCTGTTCATTATTTTTTTAAGAGAAGTTTTTTATGTTTCCTAAAAGTTTTGTGCTCCCTTTTGTTTTATAAAGAAGCAACAACGTGACCCTGGAGCTAAGAGGAGACTTGTGAGAGCCGCAGACCGGCGGGAGTCAGAGAGGCGAGAATGTTCTTTTTAACACGAAACAGACACAACAAGTGTTTTCACCTGTAACTTGATCAGAAGCCCCCAAGGTGCATCAATTGACTGGTGGCCTTCTACACACGCAAAACTTGAATTAGTCCCATTTTTTAAGGCTCAGAACCTTGATTCTTTGTTGTAATGTGCAATACTGTTTGTACTGTTTGTAGAAAAGAAGAAAACAAGAAAAAGAGGCATAAATCTTTATTGCAGAATTATTTTCATTGCAAGCATTGTGATTCACTAAAATCATTTTCTACTGTGTATTTACCTACTCTACCTGCTAGTACCTTCCAGTAGTAATGTAGCCTTTGTACTGAGAAAATTTTCATTATTTTTAGAAAGTTTTGCTAAAAAAGAAAAGAATTTAAACATATTTACATATTTTCATTTTTATTTCGTATTTTTTTCTTTACAGGCTTTTTTTTTCTCAACCATTAATAGTTATTTCTGGGGGAGACTTTCATATCTGGTCAATGTCATTAATATTATTTTGTATTTTTACTTGGAATAAATTAATTTTATGATGCTAATTCTTTTAAAGTTTATTTTCTTGGTTTGTTCACTTTTTCATTTTTTTGAAGCTGAAAAAAAAAAAAAGTTTGTTATATTGTTACTAAAGTGTCTCGATTCTTGAACCGCTAAGCTTTATGTGTTAACTCGCTGATGTTGCTTACATTAGTGTGAAAAAAAGAAAAAAAAGAACTACTCACACAGCAGATTGGTGGTTGGTGATGTTTAAGTGATTCGCAATGTAAACAAATGAATGGGCAATAAAATAAAAAATTGCAGAATGGAGCATACATGCTGTATGTTGTGTAATTGTGGCTTTCCAATCCCTCTGACACTAACATTTCTATAACCACTAACCTAACAGTGACTACAAACATTAAACTTAGAGCCACTCTGAACCCCTGCAGAGTTCACTAATGTTTTTATGTCTTTATTTACATGTAGAACTGCACCGCATCATGAAAAAGCTGCTAAATTTTAAAGGTTTTAAGTTTGGCTCTGGACTTTAGTGTCCAAGCTCTTAACAAATACCCTGATGTTCTGTCTTTTGTGAGCAACGTTGTATTTTTTGATAGTTGTTGAATCAGCCAAAAGTTAAATCAGAAAAAATCAACTACCCACATAAGAGCTAAAGCTACAACACACTTAGTCCAGCTCAGCATCAGCACCAGCTAAAAAAAAAAAAGAGTCCAGGCCCCCAAACTGTGACTCATAATTATTCCTGTGAGGATATAGATAAAATTATGAGTTATAGTGGGGCAAAAAGAGTTAAAATTTGGCGGGGAAAAAGCTAAAAGGTTTAGCACTAAGCTAAGCTAGCATCAAATTTCTCAAACAAGCTTGGGAGGTGTCCATCTTTTATCTTTAACTCACACTCTCTGAAAATTAGTTCACTAATTTTGTGCAAATATAAAACGGAAAATTTTGAGTACTACAGAGCTTGGACATGCTAGTGTCCACATTATCACAGCTGCTGGTCCCCAGCTTCGAGTCTACGTGCTAAGCAGAGGTCACTGATGCATTTTGTTTTTAATACCACACTAAAAGATTTACAACACTCATGCTACAGTAGAGCTCTATTGTCTTTGCTCGTTTGACTGCCTAGCCAAAAAAGGAGTAGACCTATGGCAGATAATCCCGCCTATTTTAGAGCTACACCTAAAGAAAGACGCCATTCTGCTACATCTGTAAATTCACCATGGGAAGTGTTAGCTTGCATGCCTGAAGATTAATGTGGCTCATAACCCTTAAATTCATCCAGTTTATTGATAAAAAAAAATCAGAGAAATCTGTCGATTGTGAGCTCTGTGTGCTGAAAGGAAATAAAACAGCTCAGCCACAAGTTAGCAGTAATTATTCAAGGCTAACAGTGATGGCACAGTTTGAGCAGCTAACAGGAACTTAAGCTCTACATGGTGATTGTATTCCAGGTTTTTAGTGGTAGGAGCACAGGGAACACACACACATTTTAGTTCTCCTCAAAACTGTGGGGCCTCTTGGCAGATATTAAAATAAAAAAAAACAAATTAAAAAATTGATAAATCACAGGTTACCACAACATAAATGCCATTTAACCACAGACTGTAGGGGAGAGTGGGGTAAGATGAGCCATTTTTCACATTTAGGATCACTACATCAAGGCAATCATAGTTTTGTCTCTAACTAGTGTATCTGCATATATTTCAAGATGTTGTTCATCCCTGCAAACCAACAGAATGAGTGAAAACATAACTGTCTTGATAATATAGCATGAGAAAAAATAGTGGTCTCCTATGACCATAGAAGCGGAGTAAGTTGAGCCGTATCCCTACTACCCCCGAGTTGGCAGATACTGTCCCCATGGATATGGTTCAATTTACATTCTTATTTATAATTTTAATTTCAGCTGTTTTATTCTGAATATAATAAAAGAACACATTAAACATTCAAACCCAAAGAAGCCTCCTTTTCCTCCATATGAAACTGTATTGAAGGGTGGACCTGGGATACCAGATTTGAGGTTTACGTTTGTCTCCTCAGTATCATTTCTCTCAGATGAACACACGCACCATCTACTGGCTGTCACTGTAAACATGCAAGTAAAGAAATAAAAACACAGAGATGTAGTTCAAAGGTCTGTAGAATTTATTACAACTCCACAATCATAAACAAAAAGCAGCAGTTACAGAAATATGTACAGGTTTGTGTTTTTTTTTTTTCGTGTTAAAATACTTGTGGCATCGTTGGGGTACCAGACTGATCTTGGTACCCGTGTTCAGTCTCTGTAACGTTGCTTCAAGTGCTCGTTTTGACACCACATGAGGAGGAAGAGCTGGACACACTCATTCATTTCTCAGACACACACACACCTGTCATGTGGACAGACTCTCTTGGAGCAAATGAAAACGTCAGCGCCCCCTGGAGGATGAGATTCTTCTCCCTGTAGCACAAACAGCTCATGTCTGCTGTAAAAGGCCTGTGACGCCTTTCTTCTTCTTTACAGCGAATCACCACTTTGACGCATTTCCCTTTTATCATACAAAAACATGTTTGTATTAGTCAGCTGGAGAGCCGCTGACAGGCGTGGTTTGGTGCTGCAGTGCTTTAGGAACATGAGACAAGGGGAATGAGAGGGTTATGGTGTCTGGAGCAGCTTAACATTGTATATCCTGGTGATGCATCATGGGGAAGAAAAAGCAGCAGGCCGTAAAAGAAACCTGGTGCTGAACTGAGAACAGATAACTGTAATCATGATGCAACATAACAGCTAATAAACGCAGGGTGACGTAAACTAACGCTGGAGACGTTTGGTGGAGAAAGCACGTTGTACCACCGTTCGATTCTCAGAGGGGCTGTTTGAAAGACTCTGTTGTGTTTATTCTTAATGCTTCAATAATCTGAAAGCTTCAAACAGATTGAGATTCAGTGTTTGCCGTGTTTTAGTTATTGCGTGGGGACGTGTACTTGAACGGTCTCAGGTCCACCTACAAAATCATTCCAGATAAATGAGGTTAGCTGAAAGTCTTCTGCAGTAGTCGGGTCTCTCCAGGCTCTGACCAGGTCCAGCTCGGTCAGCATATAGAGCTGTGTGGGTGTAGACAGGGTTCGTAGGTGTTCGTAGGCATTTGCAGTGCTAGTGCAGGGAGTGCATGAAGGTGTCCAGGTTGTACTCTGTGTCGTACTGCTGCTGGTCCCATAACTCTCCCAGTCCGTCCAGCACAGACTTCATGGAGGCCTTCCCTGAGGTTGACGCCGCCTGCTCGGCTTTCTCACCCTGAAACACATTTGGACGGCAGACTAATCAGATCAGCGTGTTCTATATGTTTATCAGGACAGTGGAGCAACACAAGTTTTTAGAGTTTTTAGATGCTGGTTCGAATTAAAAGACTGTAGAGACCAGTGGGGAGGTGAGTTTCTGTAAAGTGGTTCTAAGCAGTGGGTTGGTCCATACTTCACGACTCACAACAACATTATAGTATGTTGTTGTATCGTGTTTGTTGCCACTTTATTTATGGGTAATTGGGCCCCCTGCTATAAGCTTTAAATAGCTTCCTTGGGGTTATCCTTTCCACACATCCAGTCACAGGAATTTCCAGTGTGCATGTGTACATGTTTATATGTGCATGTATGTTTGTGATATATATATTGTGATGAAGTGTGTGTGAATAAACTAAATACAACAGCATAGACAGCATTCAACACAACTGAAACCCTTTCACAAAAACACACAGTCTTACAGAGTACCTGTATGATTTATCTTGAAGTTTTCTCCATCTAAAATCAGGATTATTTAACTAAATTAGAGATATAGAATATTTCTGAGACAGTATTGGTACGTCATTCTTCAAAACAGTTTCTAAGAACTTGCTTTTTATTTGGTTTCCTTATGACTGGAAAAATACTGTCATCATAAGCAGCTCTAATTCGCAGGAAATAAAACCTTAAGGAGATCATTTTGAGAGACAGTCTGTGTAAAATAACGATTTAAAGACAAACCGATAAATAGCAGAACTAGAGAAAAAGAGTTACGGTTCTTGATTTTTCCAAAGGCCATATTTCTTGTAATGTATTTTAGACATGTAGCACTTTGTTATGTGGTAAATGTGCACTGATGATGTAGTGATGTACTAAATCATTAAAATTATGTTTGCTTCCTTTTTGGAGTACTGGAAAAAAGGACTAAAAATGCTGACTGAGGCTTTAAAAGCTGGACTAATTTCTTTGATGCATGATGAGGCTGCAAAAGTTTAAGTGTAAAAACATTGATCTGAATATGCTTTTAATGTGAATTTAAGCTAAACTTAAATGTGCTTTTTATCTTTTAGATGTATTAAAAAGGAGCCAAGTTACATCATCATTGGTGACAGTCAAATCTGGTGTCAGCCCCATGTTTTGAGTTTGTTTGTTTTTATTTATATTTTTCTTTGTATGACTGTATGTCTTGTTTCCGTTATGGTTAAAAAAAATGAAAATAAAATTAAGTTAAAAAAATCTGGTGTCAGAAGGTTTGTTTTTAGTTATATATTTTCCGTATGACTGTATGTTTTGTTTCTGTTATGGTTAAAAAATGCAAATAAAATTTAAATTACAAAAAAAAAATTCTGGTATCGGCAGAATTGTTTGTCGTTTTAGGTCTCATGTTTCTAATTTTATCTTCATTAGTCTGTTTCAATATCTTTATATTTTTAAGACAGGAGATGTGATCGACTTTAATTTCCATTGATGATGATCTAAAGTGATTATCTTTATTCTGTTTTCCTTCTGGAAGACCTGAAGTCCCCACCGCCCCCACCCTCAGCATGGTGTCCTTAGCAGAACCGCCTGGAGGTCTCACCTTGTCCAGAGTGAACAGGTTGAGGAGCTGGTCCGTGCCCATGCTCTGCAGGCTGGAGTTTTCTTGGCTGATGACAGTGTTGGCAATGCTCATCTTGAATTTCTGCAGACCCATGATCTTTTCCTCCAGTGTCCCGCGTGTGATCAGCCTGTACACGTTCACCACCCGTTTCTGCATTGCACAAACACACAAGAAGAACCTTAACAGAATGTTCCAGACGAGCAGGGGACAGGGCCGCCCTGCTGAGTTAATTTCACTTGGTTGATTTCGCTCGGCTGATTTCAGACAAGAGCAGCAGTGTCACACAATCCAACACTGTTCAAAGGCTATATTTAATAATTCATCAGGGAAACACTGATGAACAACCCACTGTGGGAGACAGTATCACTGTAACACATCCAGAATTTCAGAATACAAATGTGTTACCGAGACATTACTGAAACACTGTGTTTGAGAAAGAGGGTTGAGGCTGCAACATTTGTTGATCTTTGATTTTCCAGACTCAGCAGTGTCCACTCAGTACCTGTCCTATCCTGTGGGCTCGGTCCATGGCCTGCAGATCCCTCATGGGGTTCCAGTCATGTTCCACAAACACCACAGTGTCTGCACCCGTCAGGTTCAAACCCAGACCCCCGACATGAGTGGTCAGCAGCAGCACATCTATGGACGGGTCATTGTTAAACCTGGAAGACACCAGAATTAACTCAAGATTAAAAATCGTAATTTCTGTTACAAAGGAGCTGCAAACAAACTTGAAAGTGAAACGATTCGATGGTTTGACTCTCTGACCTGGAGACGATGGAGTGACGCAGGCCAGCCTGCACGCTGCCATCCAGCCTCAGGTAGGTAACAGAAGGCAGTTTGGGCTTCAGCAAATCATGCTCCACAATGTCCAGCATGCTCTTCAGCTGACAGAATATAAGCACACGATGCTGGGCCACCACGGCCTCTGTGCTCCCGTCTGATCCTCCGCCACCTCCAAGACCGCAGTCCAATAGCAGCTGGAGAACAGAACAAGAACATGAACACCAACTCTTCACCACCATGTGCGTCAGAAAACAGACTGCAGAACATTTTCTCTACTTATCCCCGTGACAATTCGAACATGTGCAACAGTCTGTCTAGTCTAAAGAAAAGTAGGTCTAATATCACAGGAGTGGAGCCCTTTATCAGGACAAACAGCAAAGCAGCCGCTGTGCATGCTCAGTGTCTGTGTCACACGTCTGTAAAATGTGAACGTGCGACTGCAGCACAGATAATAACACCGATGTGGGTCAGTCAAGGAGAGGGTGTGCCGTGGAGTGTTCGCCAATACTCCCAACACCTGCGGGGCATGTGTGGTTAAACTCTCCAGAGAGACGGCAGAGGGCTGGACCGGGTGTTGTTCATGTAGAGAGGTTTGTTTTGTGAGCAGCACAACACTAGACTTCAGATCCTAAATAAGAAAGGTTTGGTCATTCTACTGATTCTTTTTGTTTTTTTCAATGTGACTCTGCAAAGATAGGAAAAGTGACCCTGACTTGTCAGTACTGAGCAGCTCTGGTAAAATCCCACGCTGTTATAGAAAACACGTGTCAGACGGAGAGGTAGAGTGATGGAGTGCGGCTATTAACCTGTTTGAGAGCAGAGAGCTTGGGCGCGTGCTGGATGTCTCGTAAACTTGAGTTCTGACCCGCCAGCTGCTCTGTGATGCGTTTGTAGACAGGATGCTGCGGGGTTAGCACCAGGCTCGGGTGGTTGCACAGCTTTCGCAGATACTGCAGCGCCTAAAACGAGTGGAGAACCGATAGATTATCAGTAACTAGAAACACAGAACGGTCATTCAACAAAACAAAACCCAGAACAAAGATAAGAAAGATAAGAATTCACACAAACACTCATCCACAACCTCAGTTTCTCCACTTGATGTCAGTTGAAGATGAACACCTGGATCAAAGATTCATGTACCTGGAAAACATGTCCCGTGGCCTTCAGTTTCGGCTTCTCCTCCTCTTCTGCTGAGGCCGTGGAGATGCTGTCCTCCACGCTGGCTTTGGCTCGAGACTTTGCAAAGTCTTCATATAACTGCACCTGAGAGCAGAGAGACCAAACAACCATGTATGCAAATATCCCACGACATCCAGCAAACTTGAATAACAACAGTAGTAGTAGTATGGTAAAATAAAACAAGATACAGAGGAATAGAGAAGAAAAACAACAAATCTTGAGTAATAAAGAAAATTAAGAAGTGGAAAGAAGTTAAAATGAAAGGGAAAAAAGGATGGAAAGGTGGAGCAGCTTCGTTTAGTGAGTAGAAGGGGAGGAAGAAGTCTGCAGGTACCTGTAGAGGACTCAAGTTGCAGTAGTAATCCTGAATGATTTTAGGAGGAAGGTCCTGGAGGACGTCCTCTTTCATCCTCCTCAAGAGGAAGGGCAGCACCTGTCGATGAAGGGCCTCCATCGCCAGGACACCTGGAGAGAGAAACCAGCATCGACTAAAGGTCAGTCTTCAAAGTAAAAAGGATGTCGGAGGAGGAGGAGGAGATCAGACGTAAAAAAGGGTCACTTTCTACCGCGGAAATAAAAGAGCACTCTCCTCCACTCTGTGATTTTTAGGTTTTTCAATCTGTGGAGTCAAAAAATGAAACGGTGTGAAAGTGGAAGCTTGAAGTTGATCTTACAAGTGTGCAGACATGATCATCAGAGAAGAAAGTGGGATCTGACAACCACAGGGTCATTCATTTTGTTAGAACTTACTCATGTGTTGAATAGATTATTTGACTATACATAACTCCTCTAAATGTATACAACACATTTACAAGAGTCATGGATAATCACATCGTTCTTTTACATCAATATTCTGGGCAGTGTATTTTGTAATATAAATATAATTGCACATATTGAAAATGTTGCATATAAAGATGAGATAAGAAAATAATTAACTTAAATGTTGAAGTTTCACTCAAAATTGGAACTAAGTTTAAAAAAGAAGTTAATTTACTAAAGTTTCGAGATTTTTTTCCTCAGTGTATTGAGCTACGCTACCAAAGGATAATAATCTAAACAGTTAAATCTTTTAAAAAACATTTTATTTGATTTCTTACAATTTTTATTTAACCTTTAACCAGGTAAGAACCCGTTGAGATCGAGATCTCATTTACAAGGGAACACAAAATTTTAATTTGATGTCTTAATTTCTTTGATGGAAATTTTTCTCTTTTTTACAAATGTTGTAATCTATTGAGATGCACAAGTATACATAAGAAAGCTGACTGGAAGATTTTCAACCACAAAGACAATGACGTTGAAAAAATGTGGACATCTTGTTGCTCCTTTTAAGATGTCAAACAAATACAAGCATTTTTGGGTTTTTTATTGTTTGTAAATATGACTCTTTATTGCTGTTTCTTTCTCTTTTGACTGAGTTTGAAAAATAAGGAGTTTCAATTTCAAGAAACTTTAATACCTGCTTCTTGTTCACGTGATGAACTTTTGGCATCACGGCTGGCCAGGATGGGTTTTCCATACCGAGCAGCAAACTGGCGTTCTGTTCCCAGGAAGCCCGGCATGAGGAAGTCAAACAATGACCAGAGCTCCAGGACATTATTCTGTGGAGGTAACGTGGGACATGTTGAGGCTCTGGCAGCTGGAAATAGACAAGATAAAGATATTCATCCCTTAATTAAATCAAAGACAACGTCTGACCTGTATGGGCGTTCCTGACAGAATGACTCTGAAGTTGGCGGCCAGCTGCTTGATGGCTTTGGAAAGTTTGGTTTTCCCATTTTTGATCACATGGCCCTCGTCGAGGATACAGTAGTTGAATTTTATATTTCTATAAAAAGGGAAGAAAATGCGTCATGAGCTGAAGGATGCTGCCAGAAACACCAGAACCTTTTTAAGTTGAGGTTAAACTTGCCTAAAAAAGTCGATGTCATTCCGTACGACATCATATGAGGCGACTACAAGATTATGTTTCTTTACTTGGTGTTGTAACCTGAAAAAAAAAAAAAAAGCAGGGGGTGGAAATGAGAAAAGCCGTTATTGTAAATTCATCATATGATCATAAAGCAGGGATTGAACAACACTTTCTTTCACTGCACTTGTTCAGCTTATAAAATCTGGAGTGCTAACAGGTTTTTCTTCTTCTCCGTACTAAAAACCCTGAGTAATCTTTACCGCATTCGCTCCGTAGGAGGCCCCGTGTAGTGCAGCGGGTTGAGGTACTCCTTAGAGCAGAACTTGCCCACTTCATCCACCCAGTGTCCAGTCAGCGTGGGAGGACAAACCACCAGAGAGGGCATAGGGCTGCAGTCTGCTGCTTTAGTCTTGGCGTACTCCTGAGCCCTGAACAGACATCAAACACACAGACCGAGGCTGAGACAAGTTTACTCACACAGCCGCTCCAACATGAAAGAGCTTTTTTTTAAAGAACAATGAGATCAAAATCAGATCAGGTCAGTGTTGATGTTGGAAGTAACCAAGCCTGCTTTGTGTTACTGTTCGACTGCTCAGCATGTGGCGCGCTCACTGTTGTCGAAAATGAATTGACATTTATTCTCATATTTTACATAATAAGCTTGGCATTCTGAGGAAAATCCCCCTTTTTATTTGGCTTTAACCAAAACGGACTCATTTTTTTATTGGTGGTACCACTTAAATGAGAAATATCTGTTCAAAAAAGAATATTTTATCTAAATACAAACAATATAAAACACATTATACATGTCTTATTCCAAAACAGCTGGGACACTTAGTAAAAAGGTTGATAAATATTGAAGTTTGACTAAAAATGGAAAGAAATATGTCAAATATGAAAAGTTAACTTTTTTGGTGTAAATGAATGCAGTACATAAAAGTAAAGTAATATGTTCAAAAGTTAGACAATATTTTTCTCACTTCTGGTGAATTATAAAAACTTCCCTGTAACTGAATTTGCATGTATCCAATATAAATTAAAAAACAGGGTATGGTGTAGCAGAAGGGGGACAAAGCTGTGATCAAGAGGAGACGACGCTTAACGTTAAGTGAGTATCTCTGAATTGAAGACTGGGATGAGTTCACCGATCCGTGGGAGACTGTGTGACCGCACTTTAAGACTTTCAGAATAACTTCCCTCAGTGTGAAACCACAAAGCCTTTGGGGAAAAACTATAGCACTGAATGGCCATGATCATCAGATATTATGCTGTCTGCGTGTACTGAAGTGTTCAATACTCAGCTGTGCTCAGATTTCATCAAATTAATTGTAAATGCTGTTTTAATTTTATTCTTCTACATCGATAGAATAAAATCAATCAAAAGACCTTTTGAACCTGATGAATTTAGGAATGAAAAGCAACATGGTAACACCAAACTGTAAATTTGTAACATTTTAAAGATTACCAGATCATATCCTAAAATGAAGTTAACCCCTTACAGATTTTGCTCAATGGAAACCTCAAATCTTTGTAACAGCAAACACATGAAGGTGCTTTGCATGAAAATATGTGTGAAGGTGAAAAATCTGAGTAAAAAGCGAAAACTGTTAGAATTAGGATCAACACCTTTGTGATCTCTGTGACCTGGGGTGAGTCAGTGAGCTGTTGCTGCTGCTAAACTGAGAGTCAAAGCAATAATAACAGTGAGAGTGTTGTTTGGACCGGGTACCTGAGGTAGTGATCTCCTGCCAGGATGCAGATGGACTGCAGCGTCTTGCCGAGGCCCATGTCGTCACACAGAATCCCGTGCAGCTTGTATTTGTTCAGGAAGGACAGCCAGTTCACGCCGTCCTGCAGGACAACACATGGAAACATAATGGAAAAGACATATAGATAGTCTGCTCGCTGAAAGGGAAAGACAAGCTGCTCCTCCACGCACAGCGATTGTTGAATTGTGCTCCTCTTACAATGGGTTTCTGCTTTTATACGTCAACAATGGATGGCTTGCTCAGTGCAGACACACAAAACCCATCTATGTTTGACTTCTTTATATTCACTCTGACAAGAAACCCATTTACTTTCTGTCCCTGTTTGTTTTCTGAAAACTACAAGTCAGACTTGTCAAAGCTTATGTCTTTCAAATGTTCGAAATCCAAGCTCAGTATCCAACGTTCTTGAGAAGTGGACCCTGAAAATGTACACCCACCTGCTGGTACTTTCTTAGTTCAGCCTTGATGGGCACAGGGATCTTGTAGTTCTCCAGTTTTCTGCCATCCAGCAGCTGCTCCAGAAAGTGGCGTTCTCTGGCTTTTTGGCGGATCAGGTCTGCGGACATGGCTGGAGGGTCGGGAATACCTGCCTGGAGGACAAAAATAAGAACATTTACCTTTAAAATTAGTGCTTTACCAGTATGTGATCCATTTGTTTTAATGCTGCATGTCCAACTGCGTTTCAGCATCTTGGCTGTGTGCTCGTACCTCTAGAGGCAGCAGGCGGATGAGAGTGGCAAAGCACTGCGTGGCCATGAAACGGATGCTGTCACTGGGGTCACTCATTCGGCCCAGCACTGGTACAACGAGCAGCACGATGTAGGGCACGATGTCCACATCCAGCTGCTCCATGACACCTGGAGAGATGTTAGTCAAGGACAAACTGTGCAGAAATAACTACACCATCTATGATCTTACCCTACAAGTGGTTTTGTCGCACAGAGCTGGGACTCCGCAGTATAAGGTTGTATTTTCATAAGCGAATCCTTAACATCCTGACACGTGTCCCTGTCGTGTTTTACTGTCATAGCTTGTTCTGAAAAACCGCAGAACTGCATTCTTGTAATTGTAATGAACTGCATGAAGGTCAACAACCTCAAACTGAGTCATTGTTTGAAGGATACAGGCTAAAGCCTCGATGGCGCCTTCCTGTTTGGTGCAGTCGCCAATCGCTGCCAACCAGGGGAGCACGCACTCCAGGAAACTGTTCATGGTCTCCAGCATGGCGATCTTACTGAGCACGCCCACGCAGCGAGCGGTCATGTGACGCACCGCTGTGTACGGGTGCTGCAGGCAGGTGAACAGGTGAGGCAGGTGCTCCAAGAGCTAGGGGGAAAAGATAAGGACAACACAATAAGCTTTACATGACAGACTTTGGGAGATCATGGAACAGTGCCTGTGTTTTTAATTATGTTTCTGTTTAAGTTATTTCTTTTCCTTTACTTTATCGGAAATTTCGTATGCACTTTCAAAAAGTACTTTTTGTGTTATTTTATGTTGACCTTGAATTTTATTATTATTGTGACGTGTGCTGCTGACCTCTTGACCAGGTCACTCTTGTAAAAGAGATCTCGCTCTCAATGGGTTTTCCTAATTGGTTAAATAAAGGTTGAATTAAATAAAATAAAATATTATCTTCTCTGATATCAAATTTTTGGAATGACACTATAGAATTAACTTCTTCAAATCCTTCGTTGGTCTACGGCTCTCTCAACATATGCAAGGACATCTGAGTAAACCGAGTAACTGCTTTACAAAAATAATTTATATGCTCAGTGGTATGACGAAAATCTGTCTTAAAACAAACTTTCATCTTTTTTAAGTAGTAAAAGGGCTAATGGTAGGTCGCTCAGAAATGTAGTCACTAACTTAAAACACTACATGGAAAACTTCATGTAACATGATTAAAGTACACCCAGTGACCACGAGAGTCCCCCGTCAACTACACATGGTACATTGAATTGTTGCGTTTGCATATGGTTAAATTCAAATCTGTGATGAAGATCCGTGGATGATGGTGTATAATAAGCAGAGTGAGCAGCAGGGGCACCAGTAGTCTCACCAGAGGTTTGAGTTCAGCAGCCATGGCTCCAGCCATGACCTCCAGCACTTGTAGAGAGTTCACCAGTTCCTGAGCTGCCGTGTCTCCTCTCTCAAGCTGCACCTGCCTGTCTGCGAGAGACACACGGGGCTGATCAGAACAAAACATCCAGTTCTGAAGAGTGAAGACAACAAACTCAGGCATTTCAGACAGTTTCTGCAGAAGAGCATTGATTGCACACATGACCCTGCTTTTGTCTCCAACACTGTTCTGGAAACAACAGTATTTATCAAGAAACACTGAGAAACACAAACAGCTGTTAAGTGAAACACAACAGACTGAGTTTATCCCAAACATCAACACAGCTGCTGTAAATTAAAGGTTTGCTACCACATTCAGGCCTGTATGACTCGAGGTGGTCCCTTTCCCCTAACAGCCTTTGAAAACCACTTTTCTTGGATATAACTTTGTACAGTCATCATGATTCATGTCACCTCTTCAAGGAGAAAAAAAACTAACAGAATTCTGGATAAATCCAAGAAAATCACATCCTTTATACTATGAGCTAAAATCTTTTTAATCCCAAACAGGAAAACAAATGGTGCTGAACAAAACACCAAATTTAGCACTCAAAACCATTTGTACACAAGTTAAGGGGTTACATGCTGAGGGGCTGTGCTCTTCTTTGTAGATAAACAAGCCTTAAAAGAAACACATAAAAAAAAAACAACCAGCCAAACTCAGTCTTAATCTTCTACCAATAAAACTGGAAAACTATATGTGTATCATTGTAAGATCTACACCCAAAGCACCTAGATGACAAAGCTCGCACAACCTGATTATTCAGGGGTTGAACTATGATGCACATGATGCAATTAAATTACAACAGTAACTTGTAATTAAGTCAAAAGCAGATTGTTAACATTGCAGCAGGCCATACCACAAACATCAGTGCAGGGTGTGGTAACAAAGCTGCTGTAAAACTAAAGTCTATCAAAGATTAAAAGATGATAAACCATAAGGACCTACCAATGCAGTAACTGTCAGTCACTGCTGCTCTCAAAGGTCCCACTGTGTTCTCCCAAAGGTACGGCAGACACTTGGCGAGGTCTGAGCCGAAATGCTTAGCTACAGTTGTTAGGGAGAATTCTGCCCCCCGTCTTTGAATGAGAAATGGTTTCTTGCTCTGAAAAAAAAAACAAAAAAACAAATCAGGTGAATACGGATCAGCACAAGCGCTGGCTGAAATGAGACAAATGTCCTTCAGTGGTGACCCCTTACCTCGTCATTATCAGTGCAGATGGTGCTGCCAGGAGGAAGCTCTGTGGTGGGTGTCTTTGGGGCTTTAGGGGCTGGCCCCCTTTTACTGGTAATGGCAAATGCTGCCTTTTGGTGACGATAGAGGGTGATGATTCCTCGGGTTTTGTTGACCATGTGATGCATGCCGTCTTTCTCCAACCCGCAGCCTATAGACAGAGGAAATAAGGAGAAGAGAATAAGGAGAATTTTGAAATGAATTTGGCCGTTTAGGCATGTCACTATAAATCAATCATTTAATGCATTAGCTGTTAAGGTTACTGTGGATGTTGAGCAGTGGGTTGCCAGGTTGATCCATAACTGAGAATTTAAAGAACTACTGGGAGGTCATTTTAACAAAATACAATTCTGTAATGACAAGGATTGTGATGGGTCACTGTACTGAAGCTTTAAAATGTTCTATGTAATATTTTCTTGAGAATGTTTAAAGTTTTATGACTGCAATAAAATGCTTGATAATCAGCATTGAAACCCACATTTCTCTTCAAGTCTTACCTTTGGCATTTTCCTGTGTGGGGGGGACAGGGCAGGCAGATGAGGGTGTGGCTGCAGAGTCCACACAGGCTGAGGCACAGAGGTTTTTGATGATCTTGGGGTTTGGGCACGGTGAGCGTCCGGCGCACTGCTGCAGCAGCTTGGCAATGAAAGAAGCAGCGTAACCCTGGATCAGGGTATTCTCCTCCCGCTTGATGGCCTCCATCAGGGGGCGGATCAGAGGGTTGAGCTTGTCAGGAAGAACCTGCAGGTTAATGACCGCGCAGGCTGTAAACATGTGAACGCGCAGATGCAGCTGCTGCCATTCTGCGCTGGTCTCGAGCACTGTGGCCTGAGCCTGCTGTCGTTTACTGTCCAGTGCCTGCCACTGTTTGGATTTGACGTCCAGAGCTCCTGTTGTGTTCGTAAAGATGGTGGTTACCTAGGAAACAAGCAGGGAAGGAGACTGAAAGTTAACTGAGTTTGCAGTAGGATGATATTTTTAAATATTCTCTTTGACAAAGACTGAAACTTTGTTCATTCTGGACTGAAGTGGCCTGTAAAAAGGTTCCAGTTTTATTGTTTGAAGTAGGTTTTTCCAACATGTATGAGCAGCTGGACTTACCAGTTCATTAGCTTGATCAATCGTGAAAACACTACAGTTGATACGGTCTTGCAGGTCTATGTTTGACTCAGCCAGCAGTGCGATGAGCTGCTTGCATTCATTCTGCATGCGTGTGAAGGGGATGGCGATCTCATCGTAATACAACTCCTCTGACAGAATAGCTAGAAGACGAGGCTGCACCATGGAGGACACTGGCTGACAGTCCTGAGAGAGAGAAACAAATGCACTTCTGATTATTCTGCACTCATGAGCCACCCGAAAATTTTGAAGATTGCGTAATAGACAAACTCCGTTGGAGGTTTTCACCTTCTGCAGTGCAGCCCACTCACAAAGCACCAGAGACACAGCGATGCGCTGCAGGGCGGACTTGGAGTTGAGGTGGAAAAGCAACAGCTGGCCCAAAGACTCAGCTGGTCGGATCTCCTGAGATGCGGCGTTGAGCTGAGGGTCACAGATACACCTACACAAAGCCCCCAGCAATCTGTATTACAGATGGAGAGGGAGGAAAAACACTGTCAGAGCTGTTTGCCAAACATTTAACCAACAAGTCTGCTTCTTTTTATTTCTGAGACAAATGGGGCATTTCCATCGAGTGGTCTGGTTTGGCTCAGTGCAGTTTGGTACTGTAAACCCTGATCCTGTTTGTGTTTCCACAGCCAACTGTACCTTTAGGCGCTCCAAACAGCACGCATACCGACTGCGGTAAAGCTTCAGAATGGCTGGATTTGGGTGTGCGTCCTTATAGAGAATCATTCATACTGTTGGGGTTGTGCACGAAACAATATTATATCTATTGTTTTTATATTTTATAGTTTTAAAAAAAAGTGCTGGCCCAGTGAAAGAGTGCTGATACAGTCAACATCACACCATGAATCACACTCACTGCAGGAGAGCCGGGTCAACTATTAGATAAGGTGTTACAGGAAAAATGTATTTGCATCTCTCACTGCCCATTTGGTGTCTGCACATCAAGTACATAGAACAAGGTCATAACTCATAACTGTATGTACTTTTACTGATCAAATAACATCAGGTTAGGAGAGATATAATCAGATACCATCTCCTTTCTTCCTTCTCTCGCATTGAAAGGATTGCAGTGTGTCTAGCTCCACCCTTCAGGGTTGGATAGGTTTTCTTAGTGCCCCAACACAAGGGTGCCAAAAAGGTAGGATGCTAGCAACCTCTTATTTTGGCATTTTGATGGGACAAAGGCAAATAATTGTAAAGAACTGAGCCAGACCGCTTGGTACAAACGCAGCTCAAGTCATAAGTTAAACCAAAGAACAGCACTGTAAACATATTACCTCTGAATCAACACCCCAAACCTACCTAGCAGCCATGAGACGAGCACGAATCACCACGTAGTCCCGTGTCACTGGGTCATCTGTCACCGTCTCCGCACCTGCTAAGTACTCCTGAACCGTTTCCTTCACCTGGTTGTTCCCTTGACGGCCCTTTGTACCAGCCTTATCCTGTTAGAACGAGAAAACATTCATTTTCTAGTACAGAGAAACTTTCACCTGCTGAATAGAGGCATAGTAAATATATTTATGAATGATGCTATTCATTCACTGGAGAGAAAAGCAGATAAAAATGTCGCCATTAGTTCTTCCTGGAGAGCTTCCCCAGACTTTTCCAAATTCAATTTATCTAAAAACACAAAATGTGACATCAAGAACTGATTGATCAGGAACAGTTATAAGAAGCAGGTCATTATATGTATCTGCTGAGAAAAGTCATACCTCTCTTTCCTAAATCCAATCCTTAAGTATTAGGACTGCTACCCTATTAAATCAACTCCTCTTAATTTGAAGGTAAGAAAAACTGCTCCCATTTTCAATTTCTCTGATCCTAAAGTCAGACTGTCATAAAACTGTTTCCGTCATTTGGGTTGAATGATGTTGTAATTTGCAGATGACACACCTGCACTTGTCTTTAAGTGCTTCTCCAGACTAGCTTTGCTGATTCAAACAAACAAATTCAAAAGACCTTTGAGTCTCTTATTATCTCACACAATCTGCCAAGTCACCTAGCAACTTCAGACACAATATTTGCATGAACTTGCATGAAAAGAAAATGTCCCCTAGTCACTGAAACCCTGCACAAGTCATACTAAGACAGTTATTTATCATTACAGAAGCACTGCATCATTGTGATATTAATACGTCAAGAAAAAGCGTACACAGACACATTCGTAAGAAACACAAAATATCAGCTGAGAAGAGACAAACACAAGATCTCAGAAGGTGAAGAAAGTATCCTGCCTTGGAGCGGGCCTTTACTTCAAGCAGCATGTTTATGTCGATTGGAATATGTGAGGCCTGCATCATGAGACAGAGCCAGGCGCCCATCCACGGACAGCTGGCCGCCACCACGTACTGTTGAGGGGCCTGAGACAGCAGCTCCATCCAAACCTGCACATGACGACACGAAAAGGCAAGATGTCTTCATAGAAAATAAAAGGATGGAAGTATTTAATTGTTTCCATAAATTGAAAGTTCCTTTTATTATTTAACCCATGGTATAAGTGGTGCTTTAGATCAACGACAAACCTTTTGGATTAGTTCAAGGATTTCCTCGTTGCTTTCCAGTATGCAGGACTGGAATATGTGTCGAAGCATTTCCTGTAGGATGGGGTTAATCCACATGGCACAGCTCTGGCGAATAACAACAGAAAACATGAGCCTTCAAGTTTAAACAATAAAAGGTTCCATTAAAGAGTTTAATAATTCTGCTTTTATTACACTTTGTTAGTGACTCTTGATCAGATTTACCTGCTCAGATTTAGACAGCAGGGTGAAAAGCGTCTCCAGTGCCGCCTTTCGAACCGATGATATTGTGTGTCTCAAGAACGGCCAAACTCGAGGAACCAGGACTGTTAATGACTGCTGCATGCTGGATGAAAGAAAAAAAAACTGGATGAAAGACAGTCGCAGGATTAAGATTTACACTTGTACCTAGACTTTAGTAGTCAGCCAGTGTTAGATTCTGTTTGAAAGATTTGCTGAGTGGATGTGCAGTGTATTTTTCTTCATGTAAATCAAGTTCAAATGAAGTATAGTTAAGGTCCTAGCACTGGTGATACACTACCTAACACACAAACAGACAATACAGAGGACACCTTCTGGCAAATGAGAGGTAAGTCACTCCTTCTATATTTGTAGGCAGGTATGGTAGCAGGAAAATCTAATCTGCCAGCTGATGATTTAGCACAGGGTCTCAAAAATTTAACATTCGCCAACCCTTCAATCTTTGTAGCCCTTATGTCGAATTCTTGACATTTTGACGGGTGTCAGAAATGCTTCACTTGTGACTTGAAAACTTCTGACTGCAAACATGCCATAGCTGATGTCAGTGTAAGGTTTACCAGAGTGGGATGCACAATATCAGGAGAAGTCGTGTGATCAACATTGCCCGCCATTGCTGGTTTTGCTGACTACTTCATTTACTTGCCTTATTTTACTTATTTGATTACTTATTTTCATCACACACAAAGCTGCTCATTAACATCATGTTACTGGTACTAGTTGAGGCTGTTTGTTCCTGGACACACTGTATAGTGCGGGAGCGTTTCCTTCTTGTGTGACCTTCCCTCAGACTGACCTGCACTGTCGGACCTGCGGGTAGGTGAGCAGTGAAGACAGCAGCGTCATGATGCTGTTAGTAGAAGCTGTGAGGTCGTCTAGGTCCAAAAGAGCGTCCCACAGTGTGTTGACTATGAAGGGCACCTGAAGAACACACAGAAAAATCTCTGTAATGCTAAAACTTCAGGCATATTTTTTGGTTTAAAATGCACTTCTTTTGCTTTCTCTGACCTTGCTGGGAAGTAGCTGTACCAAACCTTCCACCACAGGGATGAGGGATGAAGCTGCCACAGCTCTGACATCATCATCCAAATCCTGCAGACCCACAGTGATGGCTGGGAGCACACGGGGCAGCAACACAGATATCAGGTCCTGAGATGCAGAGGGAGAGACAGGTGAGATTCATTTGGATTCATGAGCTGAATAAAACAGAAACCCACAGGTTTCCACTGACGTCTCCCCACATACGCTGACATGCATGTGTCATTCCATTCCTCACACTTTTTATCCGCGGTCATACGGCGTTCAGACTGAACATACTGGACCCTTCTATGCTTGACAGCCTATCCTTTACACAAGCAGAAGAACAGGTGGTACCTGACGGACAGCCAGGGCATACTTTATCCCCAGCAGGCCTCCATGGCGGACTTCCCATTGGTCTTCTTTGAGCAGCTGCAGCAGGACGTCTACTGTCATGGAAACGCCAGTTTCATTCATGTGCCGAAGGGCCACACCAAGTGTCTGTGCACACGTCTCCCTGACAGGAGCCACAACCTGGCAAAGGAACAAAGTATCAGTGATGTACCAAACAAGAAGGTGTCTGAACACATTGAGCTGGTTAGCAAGTAACAGACAACAGCTAATGAACACTGACACTGGCTCTGCATCCCTCTGAGCCACCATATGTATATGATTTTCTGGGACAAGGATTTTTCTAGAGGTTCAAGCTTCATCTGAGTGCTGGTGCCGATCTGCATGTCTAAGAGGCATTCAGTTTGAACAGGAATTGGCTGTTGCTGTATATTTTGTGTGACCATTTATTTCCAAAGCTAAAACATAAACCATTCAGTTTTAGTCACTTAGAGGAACCTGAAAATGAGATAAAGGCCCAACATGTGTGTATGCTACAACATTACAGCATAAGCCATTAAATGATGCAGGAAAAAAAAAACACATAACATCAAAGTTGCAAATGCTTTTTCTGGGTTCAATAAAACTTAGAAACAAGGCTTTAAGAATGGCAAATCAAACCTGTACTGTCTAATGAACCATTTCACTCAATGCAATCTAGAGAACAACATGCAATAAGTCAGATGTAGTAAATACACAAGTAGTATATCTGGGAGAGGCAAGAGTGAATGCCAAAATCAAAATAATAAAAAAAATGAACCCCTCTCTTAACTACATGGTTAAAAACAAGAAGACAAGATTTTGTAATGAAACGACCCCCCAAGGATCCGCAAAAATCTTCCCCCATTGGAGACAAAAGACAAAAACTCACCTCATCAGACACAAAATCCCCAAAGCGGTCCAGAGCAAAGACACAGAGTAGCCTGATGACCAGGTCTTCTATCCACTCCTGATGCTGCCGCAGCATCTAATCCAAAATGTCAAAGAGCCTGTGTCATATTTCAGTCTCAACTGAATCTTCAAACCTGAGGAGGGAGGGTTATCAAGTACCTGTTCTGAAGTGCTCCCCACCAGCTTTCCTCCCCCTGCACCATGAGACTTGAGGATTTCTCTAAGACCCGTGCCTGCACCATGACGAATCTGAGAACAACCACATACAGTCCTGTTTTTTTCTTCGTTTGCATTCATCTAGCACTGTCCTTTTTCTGTATGGAGATCCAATTTGCGTTATTAACTGAAGTTCTGTATTTTTACCTCCCATGAAGGATTAAAGAGGTCATTGCAGAGCTCCTCGCAGAAGCTCTCCAGAGGCCACTCGTGTGTCTGAAAAGAAAGCAGCGAGATATGAGGTACACCAGGATCAAACTGTGATGAGTTATGAAATATTTTAAGGACTCCTTACATCTTCCGATGGACTGGAGTGATCTGGAACGTTGTCGATTAAGACTTTATGCTCTGTTGCTGGTTGGTCAATAACTACATTTGTTGTTTTCCTCCGTTTCTCCTCGGGTTCGCCCTCGAAACTGTCGTTACTGTCGGGGAAAGGGAACAGGATGGCGATCGTTTAGTCTTAAAAACAAACGTTATTTGACTCTAAACAGATAACCCTGATGAGACAGTTTCAACTTGACGCATCAAAGTAACACTAGACATGCTTCAGACATGGTTTATATAATCCCACCTTTTTTCATTTGTATCCACGTCTCTGGATCTTTGTTTGGCCACCAGCTTGGCCATCCTCTTCGCCTTGTTCTTCTGTCGACTGCTCATGCCTGGTCTGAACTCTGAGTCGATCAACTCAGCGGCTTGAATAGGCTAAAAATACAACAGAGAATATGTTACTCGTTTTATAACTAGAGTAGGGGTGGGAATCGCAGGGCCAAAGACATTACCCGGGCATAGTACCCAGCAGCACCCAAAGCAAAAAGTAATAGTAATAATAAATGCCATTTTTGTCGGAGGTCACATAAGACCAAACTTCTACCATGTGTCACAAAGTTTAAAAACCTGAGTAGTCAATCAAAGATTTCAGATTATACAGACTGGAGCGCTAATGGTTTGCTTTCAAGGCAGGTTGGGGTTCAATTTCCTCCCCAAGAAGAAAGTGAAACATTCATTTTCTGGTTTGATGGACACCTCGCCTCTGACAGGATGTATAGCTTGCCACTTTGGAAGCTATACATTGAACCCTTCCTTCTTACTGTCTGCGCTGAGTGAATATCAGACGTATCAGTCTTGTCTACTCCAGGCTTGGTCCAGAAAGATAAACCAATAAGAGCTTAAGCGGTGAGTATCGCTGCCCAGACTGAATGACGCACTGTTGTGTTATGTTATGGAGCGAAAGTCATGTTCCCGAGAACGGTGTGAGATGAGGTCAGGCTAAAGTAGATGATTTCCACTCTGTTTATCTAGTTCATTTCACACTTTATGTAATGTCAGAGGTCAGTTCAGGTCACAGGATTGGCTGTTGCAGGTCAGTCATGACCCTCTGGGCCGCCTCACAGAGTTTACACAACAATGCAATGCAGATTTTTGAATAAGTCTTGTTTTTTTTTTTAAAGTAAAATCTGCCCCAAAGCAACATAAATCTTCATGTGGTCCACTCAGCTGAGGCATCCATGAGTAACACTCATGATTCTATGGCATGAAGAAAGCCCCAGAGTACATAAAGCCTGTTCAGCTGCACACAAATAAAAAATAAAAGACAATTATTTGAGCCATGTTTGAAATATTAGCCATGAATCTGACAGTCACCGAGGACGCATTTAGACCTTTTTTGTTGCAACACTTGAGTCTTGTTCGGTTTGAAATGGAAAGTAATGGAGCACTTCAGAACACAAGCAGAACAGATAAAGACAAGAGCGTGATCGAAGGCTAAAACAGGTAACACAAAAACACACTAAGGTTTGATTCATTGGGAACAACGGAGTGAGTCACCGAACAGACTGTCAGGCCACACAGATAACAAGAGCCGAGTCAGAACAAAGTAGAAAACAAATTCAGAGGAGATCCTATCAGGGCAAGCTTTTTTAGAGCGATGGAGTAAAGGTTTTTTAAGGACATGGGTTTGACAACTGAAGCCTCGCTGCATTCATTTTGATACAATTTTCAATTTACACTTTTTCCTGACATCCTTCCACTTATGCACAGTTGAGAGCAGACAAACCATTAGATCCATCAACATTATCTGACTGCAAGGACACACAGCTGGTAAACTACTTGGGGCTGCAAGGACTGCTTTAACAATCATGAAGCACTAGTTCAGTAAGAGATGCGAGGACAAAAAGGAAAACGAAACATCTGCAACACTTCAAGGTCACAATCTTTTTGCTGATCCCCAATCAGGTTAAAAGGTGTCATACTGAAGAGGAGAAATGCACCATTAATCAAAACTGAAACATAATTTGGCTTTCCTATAGTCCAAAAAATGTAACTCACAGTAAGTATTCACCAACCTTAGATTATCTGACTGGACTTGTGACAGCTGGGTAATGGCTGTGACACATGACAACATGGCATTTACATAGGATGTGTGCTGTCTGCACATCGGCAGTGTGAGTCACTGCTGTCAGCCTCGTATCTCCCACAAGTTTTTCCCAAAACATGACCATAAACTTGTAACTATTTAACTGTTTTAGCTCTATAAATGCCATCAGGATCTTTTTTCCAAGAAAGGGTGAAGAGACATGTGACCTGCCATAATCATTTTTGATGCAACAATAACATATAGAAACTAACCACTCGTCCCTTATCAGGTTGTTTGCTGTACCCACAGAGGAGCGGTTTCAGGGGTTAAACTTTCAAAACATTATCTCATGAGCAGCAAAACTGTTTTTGAAATTAACTGTTAAATACCAGTAGCTTTGAACAAAGACACAAACACGCTGTCACAGAGAAAGAAGGAGGGGGGAGGTCAGACTAATATCCAATCAAATGCTCTAACTGATTATATTATATAGGCAACTGAGAACCAAATGACCTGACTCTGTTTTAGGACTTTATTCTATCTATTCATTTATTTTTTTATGATATTAAGTATCTTACCTGCAGCCCACATGCCAAAAGTTATGCCTACTTTTTATCATGCACAAGTCCCTTTTTTTTTTTTTAAATTAAGTAACTGTCCTCACACAAGGACACAAAACTGTCCTTGTGAAAAAACGAGGAGTCTCTCCACAGAGAACAGGTCAGGCTTTTTGTAGGAAATGAATTCCTGAAGATCCTTCATAGTATATTTTTTATGTTTGTGAAATGAACTGTGTCATGAACATCAGTGAGCTTTCTTTTCTTCAGATTTTTGACACTACCGTGATATCTGCATGAGACGCGCTACTCACGCTGGCAGTGTGAGGGGGTTAATCTGTTGACACGCACACCAAGATGAAAACCGAGCGTTTCGCAGCCATCACACAGCTGACAGAGATGAAGTTTAAAGCTGGTGTAAGACAGAAAAAAATCTGCAGCAAAACAGCCAGAGAGGAAGTGGATCAGGTGTGTCAGTAAAGCAGAGGGAGAGAGTGAGCAAAGACTAAAGACAGTAATGTTGCAGTAATGTTGTATCTGTTAGCATAGTGGACTGTTTAATACCACTCCCTAAAAAAACTCCACTACATGTTCAAATTCTTTGTTGACTGTATCATCATCTAGACTGATCGAAATTGGAAATTGGATCAAATAAAAATGTCAGGGCTCTTTCTTGGTCATAATCTAACCCTGGGAATCATGAAGACGCAAATATAGGTTTCTAAATAAACAAACAGGGGAGAGGTTGACCCTTAAAATAAATAAATAAGACTGATCAAGTCCTTGTGATTGTCATTGAGATCTCATTTGTGGAGCTCTATAACACAGACACGCACATATCCAGACTGTGTAACAGTTTCTTACCACGAGCTGTCAGACTGCTTCCTCCCACACACCCACACACTGAACATTTATCTTTTTTCACTCTCACCAAACAATTATGTCATCCTCAATTTCACTCCAACATTACTTCATGTTTTTTATTTACAACATGCTCATAGAATCAGCCAGCAAATTAATTTTCAGATTTTAATATTGGAATTAGTGTCTGCTCTGATCTGCCTTCATGGTGTCCTTTCAAGGTCAAATAGCTGGAACAGTTTTCAATTAAGACTGTTTCATAAGTGGCGAAAATACCCCAGACTGGGTTTATTGAATAAAATGTGGCCTGGTAAGTCAGAGCTTTACCCTAAACCACAGAATCGCTTCACAAAACTGCTGTTCAAAGCAGTAAACACAGGCGCACTTCCTCTCTCACACCTGTGTTTATTTTCTTCTCACTCTGAACCGCAGAGTCACAAACAAGTGAAAGCTAGGCCTACTGAGTTAAAGTTTAGGGCTCAAAAGTTTCTTACCACATGGTTTCTGGAGCTTGATCCAGCTGTGGCTTTGCTTCCATGAGCTCTGAGTCCACTGGGTTGGCAGGTGTAGTCCAGGTCCTCATCATTGAACAGATCCTCAGTGTCCATGCCGATAGCAGCACCCATGTCGAGGCCCAACTTCTTCTGAAGGAGCTTTCTTTGGCGGGCCAGACGTTCCTTAGGGTCCATCTCAGCTGAAAATAAAAAGGAAAGAGAGTCAGGGGACACCCGAGTCTGATCATGTGCAGTATACGTGAACAACAGAGACAAATGAGAGGCAAAAACGTTCAGCGCTGGCAGCTTACATACATACAGAGAGAGTATCATATGTAGCTCTGTAAAAATCACAGATAGCATTCTATATTTAGCCAAACCGAAAAGCAGCAAGTGGTGTCAGGGCTCAGTGCAAGAACATGTTTACATACATGAAGCTAAAATATAAATGACTATCAGTAAAGTCAACTCATATTTAAACACAGCTAATGGTATTCTAGTTGTTTGGTGGTTGAGTTTTCATCATAACTTCAGCATCCCTACAAAAGCTGTTGTTCAGGCTAGGAAACATTGAAAATAAAATACTGTATTTTTCGCACCTGATTATAAGGCGCACCATCAATGAACAGGTCTATTCGTGTCTATTTTCATACGTAAGGCGCACCAAATTATAAGGCACATTAAGCCAAACAAAACAGTCAGATAAGTCAAACTTTATTTAACTCATTCAATAAGTCTGTGAAGCTACGGTAGACAAGCCAAAAGGATTTTAAGTGCACCTTATAGTGTGAAAAAATATGGTGGCTATGAGGGATGTGATTGGCAAAAAGCAGATTGATAGAGAGTACAGACCAGGTAGCAGTGCATTTCAAGATCATGACAGCACAAAAAAAAGTTTGTTTAAAAGAGCGATATCCGCATCCTAACAGGGTTCCAGAGGAAATTAAGTCCTAAATTTCGAATTCAAAAAGGTAATAAATTGACTTCAAATCTGCTATAGGAATTAAATGTGAATATTCTTCTTGTCTGACAACATAATGCTTTGGCTGCTGATTTGTAGACTGCAATCCTGACCCATATGCTGTCCAGTTCTGGAGCAAATCAGGTATTCTAACCAGTGCAGCTTTTCATACCTTTAGGGTAGTGACATGACACTGAGTGAGATCACTTACTTATGACAGTTTTAAATCATCCCACTGGTGCTACTTAGACTAATCTGAGTCAAAGCTTTGATTGGCTGATGACTGAACTCGAAGTAAAACAGATATGATGAGGAGCCAGCAGAGAAAATAAACTACCTGAAAGCCCAATATGTTCGATCCAACAGAAACTTATTGGTTTACCACTGCCGAGTCACAAGCTACAAGTGTCTCTGTGTTTTTTCTTGAAATTTGGTCCAACATTGAAAGCCTCTCTCTGACTCAGGGGCAAGGACGTGATTCAAACGGAGATTTTAAACCTTGCTAAAGCACACTTCTCTCACTAAACAAGAGAAAGGGTGAGGGTGAGATATAAAAGCTCCTTAGAAATGTTTCAATGCTTTTATCAATGAAACACATTTGAGTTCTTACCTGCTGGCCTACAGATACTTGTTACTGTACTTCAGAGTGTTTGATCACTGAGCAGTTTATGTTCAATTTTTATTTGTAGTGCTGCAGGGTCTCCAAAAGACAATCCTACAATGTTTTGAGAGCTCTGATGATTCAAACATTTCCTTTCCATGAGCTACAATCAACATACCCAACTTTATCTCCACATAGACACAGTTTATGAAAACATGGCAGGAGTAGCAACAGAAAACAAAAAAACACCACAAACCAGTTTTATCATCCTGCAACTCAAATTCAGCTCCGGCAGATCCCAGCAGAGAGGCTCCGTGTTTGAGGAGGCGGGAGATGTCAAAGTGGTAGAAAGTCAGACGGTCACATGAGGAATCCTCTGGAGATAAATCTTCACAAGACTCTGCCAACCACAAAGAGAATAGCTTTATAAATTCACATTTATTTTTCTTTTGCAACTTGATGAATCTGATCAGGTCTTCACTGATGCCTTTAATGAAGAATACGCATGGGATTCTCAATGTTTCATGACGCTGATTTATGTGGACAGAGGGGAAAAAGAGCGCTTTGTCAAAAACACTGATGACGGCAAACCAGCTCTACTGGGATAAACGTAGCACAACAAAGCTTATCATATAGCACACAGGTGCAATCATTGGTTGACTGAGTGATGCTATGGAGTCAGCTAACAGTGTAAAACTTGGAGAAGCCCTTGATGACGCATTTTTTTGGCAATAGATCAATGATAGATTTCATTGACTCGTCTATTTAGCTGTTATTCAATACGACAGTTGAAACAGGCCAAAATTTACTTTCATTTTGTCGGTCAAATTTTTGTACGGTTTTTAAGGTGCATCATTATACACAGCAACGCAGATGCAGCAGACAGGCAAACTTTAATCTTCACATCTACTACATTTCAAATAATATGACATGATAAGGAAACAAACACTTATTTCCATGTTGAATAATGAGTTCTGTTTCACAACTGAGGATGATATGTCAAATAATAATGGTGATCAACTTGAGGGATGTTTGGTCTCTCTGTTTCATCAATGAACAGACAATAAGCCAACACACACACACACACACACACACACACACACACACACACACACACACACACACACACAACTAAACCCTGTTCACAGTGTCTGGCTGTGCCTGATTTGGATTTATGTCTGTAGAAGAGGATTTGGCTGTTCAATACAAAACCTTTTGCAATTAAGTCTGACCCACACTCTTATATAAGCCCACATATGTTGTGTTTTTGTGTCTGCTGGCAGGTCAGTGAAATATTTCCAGCCCATTACTTCCTCAGGGTTTCAGGTCCGGTTACTGTCTTTTGACAACATCAAGAAACTGGATTAGGACTTGTGTTAAAATTTCGCTTGATTAAAGATGAGTTAAGTTTAAGTTATGGCTTCCAGGACCTTCTAAAGAGATAAAGATTTTTAACTGTAACTTATTCTCCATTCTGAAATTGCATTCAATATGGTGACTAGGACGGTCATTTTGAGACACAGTGTGTGAAGTTTACTGCTAGCAATACTGTTGCAACAGAGATATTTGACTGACAAAGTTGAGAATATGTTTACTCAGATTCCTCTCCACTGAGGTTTGAAACAAGAAAACAAAACCTAACCTATATGAACATGAGTGCAATGAGCATTTTATGAGCAATAATTCTGTGATGAAGAGTTGAACAAAGCTGGGGGTCATTTCAAAAAGTGAACTCAGAATACAAAGTTGAATATGAAAGTTTCCCTACACTCAAAACAAGTTAAAAATCAACAAATTAGAAATGAAGGATTCACAAGCTCACCTTCTTTAGGCCTGGGTGCCGGGTCCCACTCAGGGATATTCTTCACTATGGCCTCTACAGCTTGGCCTGCCGCTATACGAGTGTCCCAGTTGGGACTCCTTAGGTAGGTCAGGACCTTGTAATGGACCAAAAAAGGCTAAATTACAACAACTGCAGCATAATTTTTTTATGAGCTATAACTTGACTTAAACTTCATTGCATTATCTTATCATCACATTTTCATCTGCAGAAACAAATATTCTTAAATGAGGAGGTCTGAGGAAAACTCTTCCCCACATACCTTTGACAGGAGGTTATTCAACTCATGTGGGTGGAGTTTAACAACTTCTCCGAGCTGCTGGGCTGCTGCTTTCCTGGTTACTGGTGTTGTTCCCGTGTCGAGCAGGATAAACAGACGATCAAGTCTACATGAGAAGTGACATAGAAGGTCAACAGAAACATTACAAGCAAGATATAGCACTAAGCAAACAGCATGCTGGTTCCTCTTCTCACACTGCTGATGTGTTACCGTTTTATAGCCACAGTACTTTCAGGCTCTGACACCAAAATGACAAGATGACAAATAAGCCGAATCTTTAGCCGAGTCTTTGTGCGTAAAAACATGATCTCTCAAAATAATGCCACAAAAATTTCAATCTCTTCAGCAGATGATCAAAAATGAATGTGTAAACTATTATGTATTATGAGTTGCTTGGCTTTGCACCAAAGAAAAAGTGTCTAATGATCTTGGTCTTAAACTGATGTCATTAGCAGGCTATTAATACAAGTGGTGACTGGATTAGAGACAGTTGGGGCTTGAGCCTTGGGGCTTAAGCTCAACTAAAGAATCTGCTTCACAGTGTAAGAGGGACCACTGTGAATTTAGATTAAAATGCATTTAAGCGATGCTGCTAATGTGTTTCAAATAGGGAAGTAAACATTTGAGGCAATTATCAGATGGTTCCTGGCTTCTTGCCATTTTACACCTGGCACTCAAATAGAAACAGCTTGAAAAAAAATGGCTGTATCTTAAAGGTTAAGATAAGATCAACATTTTCACTTTCTATCCATAACATTGTGTTTATTGTTGAATCTTAATATCAGCCCATACTGGAGGATCAATACAGCCTTACTGACCAACTGGTGCTTCTGCTGTATTTACCAGCATTAAAATATGCTTGTAGTTGTAATACTATCTGAAACAACAGCTTTTTTCTACATTCTGCCTTTACACACTAAATGTTCAGTTTTGGTTTTGCACTGCCATAGACATTGATTTAACATCATCTTTTATGTTAGACTGAGGTGTTCATGCCATGCACAGTGGGTCAGAATATTCCCTCACGAAACATGAAATCATGTAGATCTACATTAGGCCTACCCACCGCAAATAACAGGAACACAATTTTTTTTTAAAAATAAAGCCTCTCTGTTTCCATCGGCTCAAAAGGTGTTTTAAAATGTAAGAATAAGAATATATAAGAATATATATAAGAATATAATATAATATATAATATATATAAGAATATACAACAGGTTCTAATAAAAGGGCAGGTTAAGTTGAACGGATGGTAAAAAAAAATCATCTGGTGTGTGCAGGCCTGACCACGGCCAGCTTGTGATCATTTCAGTCTCTAAAAGCAGAACAGAAAGTGGAGCGGTCAATCATCAGGTGCCTCGCTGTTGTTATCTACTGGTCACTGTACAGAGAGCAGACACCTTCCACTCAATAACCTCACACTGAGCTTTAAAGAGTCGACTCAAAACTTCATTTTTTAATAAAGCCTATAAAGTAGGGGCGAGCTTTTGTAAGCTTTAGCTTGGTTCAGATTACTGCGTTGACTCTACATAGTAGCCACAATACAGCATGTGCTCGTCAGAAGTGTGATTCATGTTGCCAGCTTTGCTACGTTCTCTGCTTGTATGTTCACATGAAACCATGGTCACTGAATCCAAGAGTAGTATGTTGGAGTTGAAGCTGATGAACGATGAGCAGCCATTGATCATAGTACAATGACTGCAAAAAGAGAAAAACAGAGGGGGATGAATTCTGCAGCTGCTGACTTATCATGAATGCAATGCTACCCAGAAGACTAATCGCAGTACTTGTTGCCTGTTTTCTTTTTGTCGACACATACTTGGAGGAAGTGCATGTCAAGCTACATATGTAGATTTTTACAAAAGGTACAGGGCTAACCTATGGCATATGCTATATGCTTTAGACTGATGGGGTAGTGACGCGCCAAGCTCTCTGGCTCTCTGTCTCTATTAATGTTGACATGATCAGACATTTGATTATTTTACTAAAATTCAACAATAAAAGTCAGAGTAGTCCTGGAGTGCACCGCATTGAAATGTGTTCCCAATATTTTGTCCACTCCATTATTCAGCTTGAGGAGAGTAAGATATTAGAAATACTGTTTGATAAAATACAGTCTAGTACCCAACCAGGAACTAATCTAAAGAGCAGTTATCACCTGTGTGATCATGTCAACAGAAATGGAAATGTAGAAGCTTCTCAAAAGTAGAATTTATATCCGAGTTGTGCTACTGAGTTTCATTTGATGGTCTTGTTTTCATAATGATATAGCTGGTTGGTGTACATTTCCAAAGGGATGAGCACTGTTGCCATTAGGTTTGTATGCTGCAGATTACCTACTGCTGTGGACCTACTTGTCCTGATCACAACAGCTACAACTAATGTCAGTCTTACTTTTATTATAGTATTGTTAAAATTGTTGATCTAAATCCTTAAGTTACTCTACTCCATCTGCTATAATAAACACTAATAAGTCCTCATCATGCTATAATTAGTGATTTTAGACCAAACAGTCAGTTACACTTTGACGTTCTTGCAAATGTAACTTTCACCGTTATTCCCGGCATTGCAGCAGTCAGTCTATTTCGTCTGTTGCAGAGGATGTGGTTGTTTGTCTCTATTCATCACCCTCTCTGCAACTCTCTCTAGTCCACCTTCTAAGATCTGTACAATTGTGGTAGAAGGCTGGTCAATGTTTCTGCCTGTTCAATGTAAGTCTTCCCATGCAACAGTTGCTTATGGTGAATTTACATTATGAAAAACTCAGCAATCTACTTCTACTTTTTCAGTTTTGTTATGATCAGACAGATGACAACTGATACTTGAACTGATTGTTGAAGCAAGTGTAGTGGAGTGCATTGAAAGGTGTTTCTGAAATTCTGACCCCATTGTGCATATCTGTTACAAAATACAGAGAACACCTTTAAATGTACAACACTAAAGGACATCAGCACCCTTCCACGTTTTGATATTACATATGAAGCACAATAATCACTTGTCTGATAAACAGCAAAACTAAAAATACAGATGCTATATGAGGGTAACATTTATGCTGAAACTTCTGTATTGCATTGCATTAGCTTGCCCAGGAGTTTATAATTGTATGCTTGATATGTGTATGTTGGTTTATGCAAATAATTCAAGAGTGTAGCCTCAAAAAGTTAATGTAAAGAGTCTTAATTTGTAATTAATTGTTGCTATACAGTATGAAACTGGTTGATAACTCATTGTTTAGTGACAAGTACTTACCTTCAAAGAGCTATGGTAGATTAATATGTGAAACTAGCATCAGCTGGCATTTCCCTGCAGTATAAATGAGCTTATTTCGTCCACAAGAGAGTGCAGACCAGCACTACCAATTGTAAAAAGTTACACTGAAACGTAACACTGTTAGCTGCTAGCTAACGTTAGTGGGCCGTCGCCATGCTATTCTCTGACAAGTGTAAAGCTAGTATTAGCAGGCTAGCCCAACAACTGTTAATAAAGCCGGTGTTTCGGCGTTAGGAGCGACCCTGTTAATCGGCGACGTCCAGCTGAATGCGTCCGTGGTTATCGTTACGAAAACCGCTGTAGCCTCGCGCTCTGTCACTACGACAACCGCGGACGCATTCCACTGAGAGTCGCCAGTTAACAGGGTACCTCGTTTCATCGGAACACCGGACAGACAAACCCGTTTATCAAACTCACCTCGATACGGCCATGGTCGATTATCTTGCTTCCTTTCACGTCCCGCATTCAACGAGTACTTTGATAAGTTTCCCTCCCAGGTGTGTAACGATCCCAGATAACAGCAAATGAAGCTGGTTAGCAGCAACGACTAGCTGGTTAGCCGAGGCCCGCCGTGTGTGCTGCCTCCGACCACCCAGCTCTGTCTACAGAGGGGAGAGCAGACTTCACCGCCGATTCATGGCTTCAAAGTTCTCCCTCTTGTTTCTTCGGTATCTTCTTCTACAAAATATCGCCGAGTACCGTACGCTTATCAATCTGTAGCTCGAGTTACCCTTCAGAACTCTTCGCGGATAAATATTTCAACCTGATAAGGTGTAAAGAGTTATTTTGTCGCACGTTGAGGGCAACCCAGAAGACTGTTTTTATATGAGGAGCCATCTTGCATTTATTCCTTCCTCCATAGCAGGTGGAAGCTGATTGGCTACAAGCAACAGAGAGAGCCAATCAGAATGTACCTTAAAAGAGGAAACGACTCGAAAGAAAAAAGCAAAAAGGGATATTACATTTTTTGCCTCAGCTATTTCCGACCTATATTGTTGTTTTATATAGAAGTAGAGTTCGTATAAAACTACAGTAAAACATCGATATTTTCATATTTGACTGAAAGTATAATTTCTACCACTTACTGACTTAGTTTGCCGTTTTCTGATATTTATGCTTTTTAATATAGTTCATTGTTGTCTGGGGACACTTTTAGTCAAAGGTGCAACTGGCCATGGTCCTGAAAATTCCAAGGTTGGTTTTCTGAGTTTTTACTCGTAGTCATGAGGTCATCAAATTACTAATAGCCAGCAATAAAATGATGCCAAGTTTAAAATAGCCTACACTAATGTCCCTTTGGGGATCAATAAAGTTCTTGTACTGTGTTGTATTGTTGATCATTATTACAGTAGGAACAAATATATGTAAACAGTTGTTGGCGAAAGACAGCTGATGTGTCATACATAAAGTGCTGTACATGTCATACCAGGAGGTTAAATGAATTCCCCTCCCTCAATGAAGGTCTTCTTCTTCTTCTTCTTCTTCTTCTTCTTCTTCTTCTTCTTCTTCTTCATCAGATTTAATATGAAAACTTGAATTTAAAAGCTAGTTTTGAAACAGATAGAAATTAATACAGGTGCATTTTTTGACCTGAAAATGCAATAAAGACCTTCAACTCAAAGTTGAGTATTTCTGTATTGTTGTTTTTAATGTCTGCAACCACAGGTAGGGAGTCAGAGTCAGACTAAGTAATCATCAAAACACCACTAACAGACAAAATCAGCAGGTGCCACCTTGTCCACAGGGGGCCGCACAATCAATTAAAACACAAGACCTCCAAAGTTTTCTTGAATGTAGTTTATGCTTTTGAGCAGACTTTTGTTGGTTACAGGAGCAGCTGCCAGCTGGCCATTCAAACAAGAGTATGTCAAAGATGCTAAATACAGGAGCTACAAACTAGGGGGAAATGTTGTGTTTCTGATAGTATTCCTTGGTGGTGTTGTTAGAAACTTCATTTCACTTCAACACTTCAGGTTCACTGGCATTTCGCACCTTGACCTGCAGAAGAGCTCTAGCTGCAGGTTTTCAGTGGCCAGAGCCATCTTAATTAGGTCTGAGCTGCAACAGCTATCTTCCTTGCTTTCTTCAGATGTTTGGGTTCTGGGATGACTTTTTCTAAGAAACTGTGCACAGATTTTGCAGGGAAACCATGACGGCCAACTTTGACAGGGAAGCAGGTTGCATCCCTTGAGAAGAGCATCATCCATGAGCTGCAGATAATTGGCCTTCTTCTGTTATTGAGAGACAGCTAGATGTACCTCGTGGGGCACAGTTAGTGGTTTCTATGTCTCTGGACAGAAGAACCCTGTGTCCTCCTCTTCCTCTTTGGATCTTAGTGTACGTACACTTCCAAGTCACACAACACAAAAGAGTCCCCAACTCTTACTTTTCCCATGAAAGTTACCTCCTCTTCTTGCAGGAAATTGTCATAACTGAGTGGTGTTGTGTAGTTCATGTTTTCTCTGAATCTTTGTTCCACACTGATTACACAGCAGATCTCCCTCCTTGCCCTCTTTTTGAGAATGGTATCTAATTTATTTCATAACAAAGACTTAAAGACTTCAGGAGGCCTGTTTTGTTTAAAATTGAAATGTTGTCATGTAATTCCAGACAGCTTTATACTGAGGCCTATACTAACCTGTCCTAGAAATGTCCCACTGTTCTGAAACTTCAGTACAACTGTCTGTAATTATGAACTGTGCTATAGAGGAGTCTTTAATACGATGGTTAAATATAACAGGTGCAGTATGAGCTCACTCATTAAAGAATAATGTTTCACTTTTGTCAATGGAATCTTAAACCTGTAGCAGACTTAATGAAAGTGACAGTAAGCTGACCAATTGCAGACCGGCACGTCTCAGAAGAAGGACAGAATAAATCAGCAAAAAAGACAAAGGTCTTAGGATCACATGGTCAATTCAGCAGTTTTCATATGGTGCAAACACAGTTGTGTTTAACATAACAAAGGTGACATGTTTACACTATATCAAATTGCTGAATTGACCATGTACTCCCAAGACTGTTTTCTTTTTTGCTGGAGCAGCCCTACTTTAACTCGAGCGTTTCTGAGATGTAAAAACAGGTCTGACTCTAAAACTGAGAGGAGTATTATGGCCTGGCAAAAGGAGATACAGTATGTTAAAATGAGGAATAAATATGTGCATTTTTTATTTTGAATGTCCAAAAATTTTATGTAAAGTTGACACATTTAAAATGATTTTGACTTTAACCACAGAAGAGAATTTAAAATTCTAAATATATTGATTTGATTCTTGACATTTCTATTCCACTCTTGACATTATAACTCTTTATCAACAATGAACAATTACTTCAATATTTTAACCTTATTCCCATTATTTTGACTTTAATCACAAAATAATCTCAAATTTTGACCTTGTTTTTGTTGATATTTTCACAATAAATTCCAAGTTTATAACAATTATCTCTAAAAAGAAAAAAAAAATCTATGATCCAATATCTTGTAAATCAAGTATTTAAGTTAATGACAAATGCACATTCAAAATGATTGTATCACAAAATGAGAATCCTGTCTGTTTTCAGAGTTTTGGTTATGAAACGTTGTTATGCAATATCTAAAATAAGCACGGGGCAGCACTGCTAGGAGTGCTTCGTGTGCGCACATTTAAATTACAGTAGATCCTGTTTCCTCTGTTGTGTGCTGTCCCATGCAAAGAATACAATGCTGATAAGGAAGATAAAAGAACATGCATGACAGTGATAGAAAGGCTTTAAACATAAACACAACCTTTTGATTAGTTTTTTCACTGTTTCAGTTTTATACAAAAGTTAATGAAAAAAGAAGTGACAAAGACACGTTCATTTTCTCCCTCCTATAACTCCACTTCAGAGCACATAAATGTGAGTATCTTGATGCACATTCCTGGAGATGAATTTCAACAATTTAAAGAGATGTGATCAATGTCTTCATTTCATGTCTGCAAAGAGTCTGTTTGCTGAGTTGCAGCTGTTTTTATACCTTGCAAAGGTGTACATCATGCTTCCTCACACAGATCTACATTTGACAACTTGAGAAACTAAAAACAAATGTCGATATCTTAAATTGGGCCAAAATAACACTGGATTTTTATATTTCAGTTGGAGTATCTGGAGGGGAGATTCAGACAGGTGAGGAGCTGATGGTAAAACAAAGTGACACCTGTCAAACTCAATCTGAAGAAGTTTCTATCACAAGCAGTGTGCTGTGTATAATTTGTGAGATGTACCAGTCCCCTCCATCTCATCTGAATACACAGATGGGATCTCAGTGACATATGTATGCTGGTTCAGGCTTGTACCATCTGCTTCCAAGAAAAAAAAAAACATTCAAACTGTGTAGAAAGACAGAGGGCTCCTTTTGCAATGATAAGATATATGAATGCAATCTATCATCCAAGGCTTATCTGCCCTTTTTAAAAAGCATGTGGCACATTGTGGGTGTAATGAGCTCATGAATCTGGAGGAGGAGGGCGCTTCATTCAAAGAACAGTTTTCTTTGTGTGTGTGCAGTACTCTTTTCTGATTCTTGTTAAGTCCTTCAGTCAGATTGTCAAGCCCAAACTGAACTTCTTTGTGTATTCATGTAATATCACACAAGTTATCTCTGCGCCAAATCCTACTTCTCCATATGTTAGAGGACAAACCACAGCTCTGAATCCTGCCGAGTTCAAATGTGCAGGCTCAGTGATAGCTCAGGGGTATAATCCTAGAGAGTTCCAGGAATTAGTTTGACACCGAGATAGAGAAGTTCATCTGAAAATACTAGTCTAGACTTGACTTAGAAGCAGCAGCTGCAGGTAAGTAGTAGATAGATGGATGGGTTTTACATAAGAACAATTTAAGTGCTGCAGGAATAAATACACAATTTACAAACCCTCATAATAGAAGAGAGAATTGTATATACCATCAAAAATTCTAATCAACAGTTGTAAAAATAGTCTCAAATACAGATAATCTATGATACAAAACTATCTTGACTGTAATGAAAGCCTTATATATACACTACATAACCTCAGTATATTTGGTATAATCACAATATATTATAAAATAAAACGTGAATATTCTTCAATGGAAAAGATGTACCTGTGCAATTCAGTTTTTTTTGGTATTTGAATGCTGTCTACAGAGTATTGACTGAATATTAATGTGAACAATGTGCCTCCACCTCCTCCAGAATACAGCAGTATGTGCTGCGAGCTGATATGTTGCATCAAGGCCTGCACAGAACCAATCTGTCTGGTGGAGCTGTGGGATTTATGTCAATATGCACTAACCAAAACATGAGTTTGACGTACTATATCGCTCAGTGCACATATTCTTGTTTCAGCTTGAAGTGCACGTTTACAGTTATGCAAGAAGTTCAGTGACTCAACTTCGCTGGAAGATCAACACTTGGACTTATGTCAATGTGATCTGACCTACTTTCAATGACAAAGAGCATGCCTGTGAAAGTCTCATCTGTTTTGTTTTTGTAATATGATATTATAACATGCTGTATTCATGATCTTATATGGTCTGTTGCACAGAGAAGTTGATGTACAAATAAAGTGAAAAGAGGAGAGTTTTTGAATGTGGCATTGTGGCTTCACAGTTTTTAGATTGAACTTGCACATCATTTTCACTTATTGCACTTTTTGTAGGATGTGGCATGAGGCACTCCCTAATATAGTTTAACTGCCAAAAATATGTTTATTTTCAACATTTTTCAACAAAACATTCCCAAGGAATGTATTTTTGATTATTAGACAGGGTGCAGGAGTGTGCATGCCATTTTTGAAGGACTGATTTCCCTCCTCTGCACCACTCTCATGAATGTGTGTGAAGTACTGTACTTTTCTCTGATTTTAAAGCTGTTGTCAGGAATTTTTGATTTGTGTTCATTTTGAATTTGAATGCATTGACAACTTCTTGCATCCTTTTCCAATACAGTCTAGGTATTTCATTTTACACACCAACTGCCTCTCAGACCAATAGTCAATCATTGCCTCAGATTTGGGATGGCACCTGGGTTCAGACAGATTTAAAGTGGGGTCTATGCAAGCTCTTGAAATCTGTCTGGGCACACCCCTGCCTCTGGTTACAAACCAAGCACCACCTTTTTGGTTTCCTAACATCTGGTCAGGGGGGAAAAGACCAACCACAGTACACTATGTTGTACTCTTTTTTTAAAAGTGATCTTTAAAAATGAGTTTTTAGTACAAAAGGGATTTAAACTGATGATGTGATCCAAAATGCTTCTTGGGCTCATTTTAATTTGACCTGTACATTTTTTTTCCAAATCGGTGCAGGTATACTCAGTGTCCTCATTTTCAAGTATGGTTTTCTCAAAACAGGAATCCAGCCATCACTGAGAAATAAATCAGTCTGAAAATAAAAACTCTTCTCAAACTGAGTGTTTCTTCTGAATCTGTTATGAATTTCAGGGTTGTGTCATTGATGTGGTGACAGATTTATTGTTGTTTTTCATGCTCAAAGCTGTTCATGTCCATGCTGTGTTTTCTCCGAATGATGGCACCAAGACAAACCACAAAAGTTAATCCTCAGGAGGTTCTCATTATCAGAGTAATACACCACATGGACTGATAAAAGATGTAATAATAATAATAACCATGACATTTTGAATATGGAAATTACAGATTGCTAATCCTTGTGTGTCTGTTTTAGTGCAGAAACAGATGGGTGGGTGGGTGGTTCAGTTTTTTTTTCCTCTAAGAAACCACAGAAAGTATTTGAACGTCATGTATCTTTTTTTTGCGGCCTCAAATTCTCTGAAAATTTAAAAAAATTCATTGTGATTTTTGCTTTTACTCTGTCACAGAGGGCTGAGTTCACGTTCTGGTTTCTGTTCCTTCTTCCTGTTCGGTGTGGTTTTCCTGCATCAGTCTGTGTGCAAAATTCAGAGCTGTTATCTTTTTTCAAAAAACTAATGCAACTTTATAGTCAAGACTCTACTTAACTATGAGGCTTTTTCGCTGTTTTATTATAATTGCCACCTAGAAGACCAATAACAGTTATTTCATTGTTTATGTTGTCAAAAATTATGATCAGTTTTAGATTTTTGCTCCTTATGTTTTTGCTCTGAGAGATTTAATAACTTTGGTTGTATAGAAGTTCAAAGCTAAAGCAAAGCTTAAATAAAACAAAACCAACAATTGTCCCCCAAAACTGACTTGATAACTCCTTCACTTAGTCCCCCCTGTTAGAGGACAAGGGCATTTGTTTTGGTCGACGATTTTGATAGTAAAAGCTTGACAAATGGAGAGTCATACTCATCATTTATCTCAGGGGCATTTCAACCTGAATCTGACCAATAGATATTGCAAAATATTACCATTTCTACACACTGTACCTTTAAAGAAGCACTGGCGATATTGATGATTATTGAAAAATTAGTTTATAATTTACATGGAAGTAAAACATCAGTTGTGGTGTGACTAATATTTCTATCAGTGTGCTCTGTATAGTGACTTACATTAACGTTTCAACATTTGTGCACCATTATACTTCCTAACAGCCTTCTTCTAAGTCTAATGCATGATATATCCTAAAGTTGCAGACAGATTTCACATCGATTATCATTTATAACTAGATGAAAACAATGTATGGTCTGTTGTAATAATGTGTTTTAGGTGGTTATGTAGCCCGGGTCAATGTTAACCCTGTGTTTTGTGTTTTCTTAATGGCATGTGAGCTGGCTCTGCACCCAGCCACTGAAGAGGTGAAAAATGAATTAAGAGGCGGTAAGGATAAAGCTTTCTGCATGATTTATAGATCCACCTACTGGTTTGGATCCTGAGCTGACATCATTAGTATGGAGGGAGGGAGGGAGAGAGGGAGTATGTAGACTTTGTTTCTGGCCACGGGCTTCATCAGTCTGTGTCCTCCTCCACAGGAAGCTCTGTAGTGTGCATATAACAGCAGAGCGGATATGCTATTTTAGTTAGTGTGCTTTGTAGGGGGCATGCAGAAATCAGGAGTGTTATAAGGTTCACTTGGATGTGTTAATAGAGAGCACTTTGTTTAATCAGGTACTGTCAAAACTGTTTGGTGTTTCCACAGCAGTGCAGCAGTGACTCCTGACCCAGAGTTCAATATCCAAGTGAAACTGACTGATATGGATTCAGTATAAATAAAATGTGACTCTAAACTCATCTTTTCCTATGATCAAATATTTAAAATATTTCAATGTAAATCAAATATTTAGCTTACTCTCCTGACTCATTCAGTTACCTCTCAGTCAGAAAAAGCATGTCTCTGTTGAAAATGTGGCAAAGACTGAACAGAAGACTAAACTAAACATAGCTATTAAGCTACCAACCATTTACCTCTTCTATTTGGCTGGTTCTGTGTTGAATTTTAGGAACAAGTATAGGCAAAAGGAAAAGAAGTTATCAAGAGAGAATTTATCCACAGTCACTAGCTTTCTGACCGAGAAAATTCTCTAACTCTCAATACTTTTGATTTTAGGTTGGATTTTGATTTTGGTTGGCGTCAAAGCCAGTGTGAGAATCTTCTAACTAAAACCAAAGACAACATTTTTTAAACATACCTGCCAAGTTGTTTACCACAACCATACAGCTGTGCATTAGAGCAAATGCATCTGTCTTCTTTTTCACTCTGAAAAGGACAAAAAGAGCATTGTGCTGTTTTGTGCAAGACTTAAAACTTGTGACCTCATGATACTCAGGTAATAACTTATGTAAGAAGTGAGTCATTTTTTCATGAAGTGTATTCAGACCAAAGAGTGCTGGGAGCTTCTAAAGAGGAACTATACTTTTGGGAGTTCCCTAAGAACTACACACCATGGGGACTTTTTTTTTTCCATCTGTGTTAACACCACAATGATGAGAGCCAACATGAACCATAAAGTGAATGGAAAATATGGAGGACACATGATGGGAGCCACTTATCCTCTGCAAGGACTTTCACTGGTGGACTGTCGCCCCCCAGAGCTGACATCGGCAACAACCAGACTCCTGAATCCTTCATGCAAGCATTACCAACAAATATGACTGAGGACATTATCCAACTTGACATACCAATTTTTTTTAGTTTTCAAAGCTGCTTTGGGTTTTGTGGTCTTTTAGCTTTTTGTTGAATGAGTTTTCTTTGCTTCTCTGTGGGGTGGATACCTATCATTGGGTAGATGGCAGGAAATAGGATCATAAAGTTTGATATTATGCTTTACCAAGTCAATGTCAGGTTGCATCTCCTCCAATCAGTAAAAACTCAATCCGCCTGGAATTTACGTTGGTACATATGTAGGAACTTTTCTCCATTTTCAATGTTTGTTACTTAGCTGAAGTTTACAGTAGGGTTAAAAAATTGTGGTTGATGGCTGGACTAATAAAACTATACTCACTTAGAGAACAATCCCAGTACACTACTCTGAGGCATGGGAAGTGCAAGGCCCTCATCTTCTTTAACTCTTTGCAACAGTTTTTTTTGCCCCACAGATTGTTTTTTATTCCTTTTGTTTGCTTTTCATTATATTTTAAAACAACAATTTATTGTTGTTTTATGTTTTTATGTTATGTACAGCACTTTGTGTCAGCTTTGTTTGTAATTAAAGTGCTCTATAAATAAAGTTGAGTTGAGTTGTATCTCTGTAGTGGGAGTTAAACTATGGAAATGTCAAAGTAATGAATTGAAGACCTGTACAAATATTTTACAAACTAAGAAAATGTTAAAGGAAAATGCAAATAGAAATTATGACAAAAGCAACCAATGATTCTTGTAGAAAGGTCAGCTTGAAATGCTGTCTTTTACTGATATTTATTATTATGCTTGTTTTGTTTACTTCATGGTATGACTACAGTATAGCTCAGTGACCGATAAGTCAATTTGAAACTAAGTTCTGTTTGTTGTTTTGTTTTGTTTTGTTTTGTTTTGTTTTGTGGTAAGAATGTTGCTTAGTGATAGATTATTATTATTATTATTATTGGAAATAAAGGGTCTTTGAATGAAACAGAGAGCACTAGAAACCCTTTAAAATGAGCTGATGATGACTTTTTCCATCAAACACACTCGGACAGAGTTCCTGTGACTGCGCTGTCTGACTGTATGGATCTAAAATACCAGTAAATCTTCAGTCAAAAGTGCAGAAAACTCTTGTCTTCAGTCTGACAGAAGCAGGACTGAGGAGATGATTTGAATCACAACAATGTTTAAATCACCATGACTCCTAAATTGAATTTTCTGCTGGACTTTCACTCAGTTCACCATCAGCATTGATAGCGAGCAGCACACATTTGCGAGTAGAGAGAGATTTTGATCGTTCACCTTTGTTAAGAGAGCAAGAGCAATTTTGGAGAAGAGAGATATTTATTGTTTACTTTTGTATCGAGAGCTTTGTTTAGAGAGATTAATTGTTCACTTTTGTTGGATCAGTGTTTGTTCTGTGTTTTAATAACGTTGAAGTCTTTGAGTTTTTCTCCCTAGGAAGAAGAGTTAGCTGTACGAAAATGTCCACTGAAGTGCAGCGAGGCGACACCCTTTCGAGCAGCTCGTCTACCTACGCCGTCTTGGACTTCATCGGGGAGGGCTGCTTTGGTAAAGTGGCCAAGTGCCTGAACACTCGGACCAGGGAGACAGTGGCCATCAAGATCTGCAAGGAGACCCCTGGAGTTATCAATGAGAAAGAGGTAGACTTTAGGACTCATTTGATTCTGCAGAGTTTGATCTGCTTTAATAATACACACATTTTTAGACTTCAGCATCCTCACTGAGGTCAGACTTTTCAAAGACACCTGTTAAACTAAACCAGATACATGCAGTACAAACATAATCCACTAGGGGACAGAAGACATGCCTCATCAGACCTTAGTGTGGCACATCAAATCTGACTTTTTTTGTTTTTTAAATAAATATTTCTGCTGATATTAAAAAAAATAAAGGAGGAAGTGCAATCAAACTATTACTGATACTTCAACATGAACATAAAGTTCAGCCTATAAGTTTATCTTTGACTGTGCACCTGATTTTACAGTAAAATCATGTAAAATTATGTCCAATTCTTTACAGTCTGACTTGATTTAGTCCTTTGTCAATCTTGTCAACTTTATGCATCATGCTCTCCTAGTAATTTAGATATGTACAGAGTATAAATTGCTGTATTTAGAGTATCTGCTTTATTTGAAGTGGGAGATATTGGATGTTGTTTGTGAATCATTTGCTCTAGAATTTTCTTTTCCTGATTCATTTTGACTAAAAACTGATGAATTTAAGGCAAGAATGGAGAATATTTGGTGCTTCAGACTGATGTTTTAGATGATAAATAAGTACAGAGTTGAAGATGTCATGAGGTGGTACAGTTTTCTGAGCATTTGTGCTGTCTCCTCTTTCCTCCTCAGATCTCCACCTTAGAGAGGCTCTCGGTCCTGGATCCTGAAAGTTCCAACCTGATCCGTTTCATTGAGAGGTTTGACCACGTGGGACAGTGCTGTCTGGCGTTCGAGATGCTGGACATTAATCTGTTCGACCTGCTAGTTAGCGGCCAGCCGCTCTCTCTCAGCGCCATCAGACCGATCGCTCAGCAGGTATGTCAGCAGTTAGATCAGTTGTACAAATGTAGCTCCCAATCAAAACAGAGACAGCTGAGAGCTGTTTGAGTTCAAGACTTCAGACAGCTCAGGAGGAGAATTTTTCTCAAATTTTTACAGCCAGACTGCAAGCAACTCTAAGTTAGAATCAGAATCAGAAAACAACAATAATTTGGCTAAGGTTTAGTGTGCTCATTGTACATGACATGTTTTGCACACCTGATGTGTTTGCTCTGGTCTGTTTGGTTTTCTGGTAACTTTGAAGCCAATGTGAGCTCAGGAATCCTGTTGGTGCTTAATGCTTTATAAGAAACTTCTTTGATCAAACTCAGCAGCAGATGAAAAACTAAAGTCTGTCCTCTTTTTAATCCTGCAGCTGATGGTCGCTCTTGATGCCCTGAAGGGTCTGGGGATTGTCCACTGCGACATAAAGCCAGATAATATCATGCTGGTCAGTCGCAGCCAGCCCTTCAGGGTGAAACTGATAGATTTTGGAGAGGCGCTTCCAGTATCCCAACTACCACGTGGTCCCCTCTTTCAGCCTCTTGGATACAGGTGGGTTCATCCTGCAGCTCAGGGGTTAAATCAGAGGAGTTTGACTCTTGATAAAGAGACAGACAGACTTCTAACCTGTTGTGTGTTTCTTCCTCCTCAGAGCTCCAGAGGTATCCTTGGGCCTGCCCCTCACGGAGGCAATCGACATGTGGGGGGTTGGCTGTGTTTTGGCCTCCCTTTTTTTGGCAGACAACCCATTCCCAGTGGAGTGTGACTATCTGATGGTAGGTGACCTTCCTCACACACAGAGGAGACTTTCTGCAGACCCTCCCCTGACCGTCTTTTTCTTTATTTCTCTCTGCAGATGAAACACATAGTCATAACGTTGGGCCAGCCTGAGGACCACCTGCTTGCCGCTGGTGAAAACACCCACCGGTATTTTAAGCAGGACCCCTGGTGGGACCTGGAGGATCCGCTGGCATGGAGGCTGCTGGTAGAGAAACCATGTTCCTCTTTCTTTGTAAAATCACCTCTCTCAATCACTTTGAAAAAACTGTCATCTGACACATTTTGTTTCTACAGACACCCAGAGAATATGAGACAGAGAATTCCAGGCGCGCCTTCCTGGATGACACAGAGCCTCTGAGATCTCTGGAGGATCTGGCTCATGTAGGTCCTCTCTACTGTGTTTTAAAGACAAATCAGAAGTAGTTAGTGAACATCAGCTGACCTGAATCTGTCTCCAAATTTCAGATCTATTCAGACGGTGATTCTGCAGAGATGGAGGACAGGTTGGCTTTCGTGGACTTCCTGAAAGATCTCCTCCATCTCGATGGGGCCAAAAGGATCTCTCCTTCTACAGCTCTCCAGCACACGTATCTGACCATGAGTCACCAGGTCATGTCTCCAGAGACCACAGATGAGTAAGTGACTGTGTGGATGAAGCAAAGCAAGGCAGCATTATTTTATCAAGCTCCATTCATGCACAGAGGGATTCAGATGCTTTACAGAGATCAAAACAAAAAGTTCAGAGCATTCAAAGCATTCAGAAAGAATCTGATATTTAACATGCACACAGACATCTGTCTCACTGGCTGTATTGATGATTGATTCACTGATTGATCTTCACCCTTTTCCTTCCTGGACAGCACCACAAGTGTGATGGGGAGCTCACCAACCCCACACCAGCAGTCAGCCCCAACAAGCGGCCATGAAACTGAGGACAGTGGTCTTTCTGTTGAAGAGGAGCCACCTCAAGATGCAGACTGCCTCAGTGAGGGTCAACTGGTGGAGTCTCCCTTTGCCCTCTCAGCATCAAGCGCCATTTGTTTGGCCTTTGACTCTGCCTCTTTGGTGTCAGAGGGAGACTCTGTTGAAGAGGAGCAACCACAAGATGCAGACTACCTCAGTGAGGGTCAACTGGTGGAGTCTCCCTTTGCCCTCTCAGCATCCAGCGGCATTCGTTTGGCCTTCGACTCTGCCTCTGTGGTGTCATACTCTGTGGTGTCAGACTCTGTAATGTCAGACTCCTTTCCATGGTCAGACCACAGCTCTCTAGACTTAGACTCTGTCTCTCTGGCCTCAGACATAACCCCTCCAGCCTCAGACTCCTCCACTCTGGCCTTTGCCTGCGCCTCTCCGGCATCAGCCTCTGCCTCCCTGGCCTCAGCCTCCACCAGCCGCAGCAGGAACCTACTGAAGAGGGTCCGAAGCTTCTTCAGCAGGTTGAAGACGGCCCTCTGTTGCTGCTGTCGGGCAGAGGAGGACTAAATCTTCCTCTCCTGCCTCAGACCTCAGAAATCTGGCCTAAGCCTCTACCTCCTGGGCCTCAGACCTCAGACCTCACCTGTCCTGCCTCAGACCTCGTCTGTCCTGCCTCAGACCTAAAAAATCGGGCCTAAGCCTCTGCCTCTTGGGCCTCAGACCTCACCTGTCCTGCCTCAGACCTCACCTGTCCTGCCTTAGACCTCACCTGTCCTGCCTCAGACCTCACCTGTCCTGCCTCAGACCACACAAATTGGGCCTAAGCCTCTGCCTCTTGGGCCTCAAACCTCACCTGTCCCGCCTCAGACCACACAAATTGGGCCTAAGCCTCTGCCTCTTGGGCCTCAGACCTCAGACCTCACCTGTCCTGCCTCAGACCTCGTCTGTCCTGCCTCAGACCTAAAAAATCGGGCCTAAGCCTCTGCCTCTTGGGCCTCAGACCTCACCTGTCCTGCCTCAGACCTCACCTGTCCTGCCTCAGACCTCACTTGTCCTGCCTCAGACCACACAAATCGGGCCTAAGCCTCTGCCTCTGCCTCTTGGGCCTCAGACCTCACCTGTCCTGCCTCAGACCTCACCTGTCCTGCCTTAGACCTCACCTGTCCTGCCTCAGACCTCACCTGTCCTGCCTCAGACCACACAAATCGGGCCAAAGCCTCTGCCTCTTGGGCCTCAGACCTCACCTGTCCTGCCTCAGACCACACAAATTGGGCCTAAGCCTCTGCCTCTTGGGCCTCAGACCTCAGACCTCACCTGTCCTGCCTCAGACCTCACCTGTCCTGCCTCAGACCACACAAATCGGGCCTAAGCCTCTGCCTCTTGGGCCTCAGACCTCACCTGTCCTGCCTCAGACCTCACCTGTCCTGCCTTAGACCACACAAATTGGGCCTAAGCCTCTGCCTCTTGGGCCTCAAACCTCACCTGTCCCGCCTCAGACCACACAAATTGGGCCTAAGCCTCTGCCTCTTGGGCCTCAGACCTCAGACCTCAACTGTCCTGCCTCAGACCTCGTCTGTCCTGCCTCAGACCTAAAAAATCGGGCCTAAGCCTCTGCCTCTTGGGCCTCAGACCTCACCTGTCCTGCCTCGGACCTCACCTGTCCTGCCTCAGACCTCACCTGTCCTGCCTCAGACCTCACCTGTCCTGCCTCAGACCTCACCTTTCTCGCCTCAGACCTCACAAATCAGGCCCAAGTCTGTGCCACTCAGGCCTCAGACCTCAAAAATCGGGCCTAAGCCTCTGCCTCTCAGGTCTCAGCCGAGGAGGACTAAAACTTTTATTGTGTTTTTTAAATAAAATGTGTTTGTTGTTTTCACTGAAATGCCCTGACATAGACCTCTATTTTTTAATCCAAAGGTTACTGAAAACTAAAGGTTTGCTTTAAATAAAACAGGATTGGATTTTCCTGAACATAAACATTAACTGTTCAAACTCTGGTTAACACTTGGACCAGATTTAGAAGAGTCTGAAATGTCATTATGGTGGAGAATGGAATAAAATACTGGAATAATCTGGTAAAACAAAAAACCAAGATGGTAAAACACTGAATAGAAATCCAGAATAAAAAGATGGCATGATTAAAATGTTAGGATAACTTCAATAACACAACTAAAAGGCTGTCTGACTAAAACAGAAGAAGCATTATACTGTAGAATAAATTCTAATATAGAAAAGTAGAACATCAGAAGCTAAGTCTTTGACAAAAAGTCCTGGCAGAGCTCTTTGTTTTTTACAGTGAGAATATTGTCTTCCTCTCATCCATGAAGGAGATGCATACTGCCCCCTGCAGGATCCAGGCTAAATTTCAGCATTTGACATAAACACACACACAAAAAAACTGAGTTGGTGTATGGTGATAGAAAATTACTGTCAGCTCTTAAATAGAGGTTGGTGGGGAAAAAAACACAATGGAATTGTTTTTTGGTATTTCTTTCTCTTATTTCTTCTTTATGATGTTTTGGTTGGTCTATTCTTGGCAATTCATAACACACTTAAAGCAGAGAGAGACTGGCCTGTTTCAGAAAGGTATCTGATACTCATTTTTGTGTCATTGTCAGAAGACATGAGGATCAGTTGGGTTATAGTGTATACTGGTGTTTTACTGGTCCACTTTTCACCAAGTGGTGCTATTTTTATGAGTGAAACAGTTTGCTTTCATTGTGTAGAGCAGTGGAGGAAAGGTGCAGATTACAAGATGACAGGAAAGGAAAGAAAGACAGCTGGGTGAAGCTCACTCTGCTTTCTCTTTCTATCAGGAAAACTGCATTCACCAGCATGAAAATGTACCAAACTTTGTGGGTAATGAACTCTAACAAAATCTGCACTCATGAGTTTTCTTATCAAATCTCCCTTTACAGGAATAATAAACACGAAAACCTTTAAAACTTTTTCCCATATCAAAAGTACATTATGACCTTTAAAACTGGCACCAAACTGTGTCCAAATCAAATTTCAAATTCTATCACTGAGAATAAAACAATGAGACCAATCTTCTTCACGATAACTCTTAAAGCAAAACATTTTGTGGCATTGTATCATTACAGTGTCCTGTAGACCTGTGGTTCTCAAGTCCAGTCCTCGAGGCCCACTGTCCTGCATGTTTTGGTTTCCCTGCCCCAACACCTGATTCAAATGATCAGCTCGTTATTGAGCCATTCAAGAGCTTGATAACGAGCTGATCATTTGAATCAGGTGTGTTGGAGCAGGGAAACATCCATGTTTTTAACCTGGATTTAAAAGTGCTTACAGTTGAGGCTGATTTCAGTTCTGCTGGTAGTTTGTTCCAGTTGTGTGCAGCATAAGAGCTAATTGCTGCTTCACCATGTCTGGTTCGAACTCTGTGCTCCACTATCTGACCTGAGTCAGTAGATCTCAGAGCCCTACTGGGTTTATACTCTACTAACATATCATTCATGTATTCTGGACCAAAACTATTTATAGATTTTTAAACCAGTAGCAGAACTTTAAAATCTATTCTGTAGCTGACTGGGAGCCAGTGTAAGGTCTTAAGAACTGGGGTGATGTGATCTGATCTCTTTGTTCCAGTTAAAACTTGAGTGGCAGCGTTCTGAATGAGCTGCAGCTGTTTCTTACTTTACTGGGGGAGTCCAGTCAGAAGACCGTTACAGTAGTTGAGTCTATTGGAGATGAAAGCATGAATCAGCTTCTCCTGATCAGTTTGGGACATAAAACCCTTAATTCTAGATATGTTCTCAAGTTGATAAAAGGATACTCAAAAGAAAGAGCGCAAAGTGACCGGCAGTTGAACAATTCCTTGAAAACACTTTGACTCTAGCTGAAAATTGTGTACAGTATGCATCTCTGAGCTGTGGGTGAAGTACAACAAGTAGTCACACACTTACCTAGATATTTAGGTGACAATAGTCAAGAGCTGTTGGTCTGTGTGTACATGGCAATCAAATCTGTGCTGGCTACTAAGGTCTTTATGTAAAATCACCTCCAACTAAGATTTTTCTGACTACAGCACCATGTCACAAATAGTAATTTGTGAGTTAAAACACCCAGCTGGTGTCAAATTGTCATCTTAAAACCTGTTTTGTGACTGTACTGAAGGGTTCAGACACAACCTGAAGGTGTCCTATATAGAAGGTTCTACTCTGATGAATATTACATACATAGGCTACTGTATTCCCTCTGTTCACACACCAGACATTCATTTGTAAAACACATGGAGGACTGGGATGTGTTTCTTATATTTCGCCTAGATTCATATGTGACTTGTTTTTCTTATAAGGTTTAATGATACTGTCAGAAGTTTCCACAGCCTTACAAGAGCCCAGCTGCTGTCAACAGGCAATTGTTGATAGGTTTTAGGCCCCTTGTGTTTCAGCTGCAGTGGAAAACTGGGGGGAAAAAAAGACACCAAGTAAAATAGCTTTTTCTTCAGTTACCTACTTTCAAGGATTTCAACATTGCATGTATGTGAAAGGAAGGTAACAGGAACACAACTTCAGTTCAGCTAACACAGATTTGCATTTTATTTAAAACAATCATATTTTTTTCGCAAATTATTTGTGACATCCAGAGAAGGAGATTCTTTAGTTTCACAAATGGAACTCAAACAAAAAAAGGCATAACAAAACAAAAAGTAGGAGGTCCAGAACACCTACACACTGTGCTCTCTAATCTCAACTGCAGACAAATATCCTGTAATCTTCATCAAGGCTACAGGCAAGAGGTATTTGTACATTCATTGACTCTGAGGTAATCTGGTTCAAATAAATACAAGACTTTTGGTCTGTAGCTAAACTATTCACTTACACTTGTCCGCACAGAGGTCCAATCTCTAAATCTGACCTCCTCTCACAACATTCATTCCAAATCTCAAACTAAACTGAATTCCTGATGCAGCTTCTCCACAGCAAAGCCTGCATATTGCACAAGGAGCACACTGTTTCCATCAAAGTGCTCTTTAATTTTTAACAAGTCTTTTTTTTTTTCAAATTAAAAACACACCTTTCCTTCTTGAAGCTTTGTTAAGCTAAAGAGAAAAACAACATATCTGCCCTTAAACGACTAACACCTGAACATCATCTGTCAAAGCAGGGGGCAGCACAGGTGTAGTGCATACTGACTTGATAGGCCCTGTTGGGGATGTTTGTCTTGGGATCTAGTGAGGTCGTGATTGCCTGGGTGGTGCCGAGCTGCGAGCCATTAGGGGGCTGAAGGTTGGTGGTGGGGTGGCTGAGGTAGGAGGCCGGCCTGTGGTTGGGAGCAAGGCTGGGCTGGGGGGCCGGCTGTGGGTACTGCATGCAGGACCGGTGCAGGTATGGGGCCACAGTGGCTGTCTGGCCTGAACTGTGGAACGTCGTGTGTCCCTGCTGCTGCTGTTGCTGCTGGCCCGGCTGTGCGCACTGCTTCTTGTTGGCCTCTTTGACATCGCTGTCGTGTGCACTGGAGGTGTAGGAAGAAAGTGTTGGACAGTTAGTGAAAAAACTTAGCAGTGTAAATGTCCTTTCACACCGGGAGCCTTTTTTGTGTGCAATTAGTTCGGACGTCAATATTTTTTTCGAACCTGTATCCTGTCAATACAAGCGTTCACATCAGCGACGTTTTCTCGTCCTGCGATGTTGCCGCATTTATTTTTTTTTATATCAAGGTCGATTTTTCTAAAGTTTCACATACCGTGTATCCACTTCTGACAAATCAGATTTCGTGTTGTTGCAACATCAGATTCACCGGTACATCCAACATGGCCGACTGGCTGATTGTTTGCGTGTCGGAGAACAGAGTGACACAAATATTACAAAGATAACGACCTGAAGGACAACTTGTGGAGAGTCATAGCTTCGGATTCCTCATATGACGATGGTTTGTGTGCTTTAATAGTTTGCTAAACGTCTTTGTTTTAACTTTCATCTGTGCTAAGTAACTTTAGCTCATAAGCTAACCTGTTTAGACACAACATACCATATGTATTTTCACTGTCTCAAACTCAACCACGTTGCTGTCACAGCACCATTAGATTTCAGTTGTTACCTTACATTTATGGATTATAGTTTAATGTGCTTATCTGTTACTGGCCCCAACTCAGTACATGCTAACATGACAGACAGACAGTCATCTCAACACTAGTGACTAATCAGAACTGAAAAACAGTCAGTTGTGTTGGTGTTGTGTCAGTCTTCTCGCTTCCACACGGGGACGCGTCTCCCCCCCCCCGGAAAGTCGCAAAATCGCATCACGCTTGACATGTATAGTCAGATGCGTCAAAATTCGCCTCTAAATGTTTCGTAATTTTGCGTTGTATATTTTCGGCATTCCCAGTGTGTAAGGACCTTAAGTCAGCGGTAATGAATGGCTCTTGAATAAATAATTAATATGTTCACAATAGTTGCTTAAACACAGCTGTAAATATTAATATTGTTTCATTGTCATCTGTCAAAACAGACTTTTTGCAAGGCGTATCTTTTTAAACTGGTATATGTCAAAAAGAGCTCTAAGGTTTCTCATCATTACAAAGTTTATTCTCCCTTACTTTATGATTATTTCATAAGCCAACACTGAATTCCTCATGTGTAGCTTGATATGTATTAGCTCAGCAAGCTATGTTGTCTGAATACATCCAAATCACAAGCAGAGTTCTTGAACTTTTAGTTTCTCCTTGTAGCCATTTTTATCAACCGACAGAAGCCACACACACACAGATACGTACATGAGCAGCTTCTCAGCACATGGGACAAGGTTTTCCCATGAGTAGTCTGCCAGGCGCTGCAGTCTGGGGGGCCATGTAGGGCACAGGTGGAGAACGAGGCGGGAAGTGGCCACACAAGCAGCAGCCACAAGAGAGGGGGCGAAACACAAAAACACATGATCTGAAGGGGAGAAAGAACAGCGCAATCCGTCAACACAACAGCAACACAAACTGATAGCACCAACTTCACTGAGGTTAAAAAGAGCACTGAAGATACGCAATGTCGACAAATCACCTCATACTCTCCAAACTGGCAGAGTTGATTGATTCAACTTTGATTTTAACTCCTTAAAAAAGACAATTTCCCAATTAATCCTCAAGCCCCATATACAAAAAGACACACTTAGCACATCAAGTCAAGGCGGTGGTGAGATTAACATCATAAAATTATGTATGCAACTATGCATTTCTATCATTTTTTCTAACCTCCTCTGTCTTTTCTATCGCCTATTTATTCTATCACCTGGTTGTTATACTATTGCTTTCACTATTGAGTGCTGCAGAGTAGCATACCCACTATCTTAATTAACACTTTGACAGATACATAGAATTTGTTGTGACTCACCATCTCAATTAGTAAAAAGGTTTAAAACATAAAGAAATATTAACCTTCAAAAAAGCAACTCCTGCCTTACAACTTGAGCGCTTCATGGAGAAAGCTAGCCAAGGAAACCATCCTTGTTAGCCTAAGCTAACGCTACTTCTTATTGACTCTCCATCACCATAAAAGACAACTTTCTTAAAAAGCTAGGTCACCAGTTTGTTTGTTCATTTGATCAAATAGATCTGACCACAGTGTTCAATGAAACCAGACTTAATTTTTTTTAAGACAACTGGCTTAGCAGAGAAGAATTAATGGCATCTTTGTGTGGCATGTTTTTCATTGAACTGTATATGAAAAGACAAATCTTAACTTTTAAAGATAATTGTTACCTTGTAAGGAAACCTCCAGGAAATAATCAGCATACTTGGTCATGTACAGTTTGGGCTTCTCCAGGCAGGTCATAGGCCAGCCGTCATGGAGGTCTTCCTCATGGACGGCAATAGACAGGTAATACTCAATAAAGTGAGCAGCTGTTGGCAGGTACAGGTTCCACTGGAAGGTTCCCAGCAGCAGCAGCTCCATGTGAAGTAAACTCTGCTTGGTCAGGACCAGGTTCATGGAGCTCATGCACCCCAAACTGTTCAGAGTCTCCAGTTTAGGCACCCGGTCTTCCCTTTCCTCAAATTTACCTGCAGAGACAAACATTGAAAAAATAACAGCAGCGCAAAGAGACCCAAAGTAACATGATGGAGTGAGAGATAAACTTTAAACTTACTGGCCAGAAGGAGACATGAGAGTGAGACCATGTGGAGCTGCTGGACTGTAGCTTCATAGCGGTCCATGAAGAGGTCTAGCAGATAGACAGCAAGGTGTCGGGCTGCAGGACACAGCCCGAAGCGATTGCTGATGATGGCTATGAGGTCTGCAAAGTATTGTCTCAGGTTGAGCTGAGGGGACTGGCCTTTGTACAAAGGAAGTTTTAGCTCCTGGGAGACGAAAGCAAACAGATAAAATAGAAGTGTGAGTTTTACTCTGTTCGGATGTATATTTCTCTTGTTTTAAGTGCTACACAGAAATCAGTTTTCAGGTGTTAGCTCAAATCAAAGGGTCAACAGTAGGTTGGCCAAGTTACAGCTGGTGGTGAGTTATGAATACATGTTAATCTGTTGGTTTATCTAAAAAAAGGAATAATAATCTGAATAATTACATAAATCGTCACTGGAAAACCACCTTTAGTTTGTCGAGATCATCGGCCAACTACAATTGAGCGTCTGGTTCTTTCGTCTTACTTGATTTCAGTCTTTGTAATCACTGCCATGACTGTCTGTCATGGAGGTTTTACACCTTGAGAGTGATTAGAGTCCAGTCTGATGTTTTCATCAACAGGGATCAATACATCAGGGAGTACTCAATTCAGTCTAGCAGGGTGGCAATGCATCTCTGATCTTTGACGGTTTTTAAGTGCCAGACGAAGTGACCTTTCGGTCTCCGGAGATAATGAGTTCATTATTTCTGGGACTTGAGATAAAGAAGCTAATTTCTTTTCACAGAATTGACTTGTGCTCTTTGGATAACCTTACTGAAAAGCATTTGCTAGTGTGGACATTCTCATCTTTTTTTTTCCACTTGAAAGTCTTTCTTATTTTAATCAGACATGAACACGGTTCTCAAAGCAGGTACATCAAAAAGAATGAACAGGAATCCTTTAAAAACATTCATCATGTCATGCATCTACTTTTTAAATATGACTGTGGCCATGGATAGAGGAAGAATGCGCTATAGTAGATATTTGCCCAAATCTGGTATGCTTATATTTTCAAACTCATAATGGATGATACCAATGTAAACACTACTTTCAGTATAAAGAACACTTAGTTCTCCTTCTGTACCAGACTTCATACAATGTGATTATGGTTGCTTGAAAAAAAGGACATAAAACAAGAATAACAACTTCTGATTCTACCATAAATGTGAACTTTATTTTTTTTAATTACATTCAGCTATTTAAAAACACACAAACAAAAAAAATCCTGTGGACTTCATGTTGTTGATCAAGTGGGCATTGAGCCCTTACATGCTGACCAGACTTACTCTTAATGCTTAGATGTCTGAGGTAAACGTAAAATGAAATGCATCAGTGAGGAGCTTTTCTATCTGCTTGAAGATGAAGCTTTGGACTTCAGGGAAGGCAACTTCTGAATTTGTATTTCCAACCAGGTAAAGCACAGCCAGGTCTGCAAAAAGCCCACATCTGCCACTATGCTAAAAGGGTGCAATGTTTTAGCTTCATTTGTTTGATGACTGAAGAAGAGGATGCTGACGGGTCTTCAGTTGACCCAACAATGCTTATCCATACTTAATTTTTAGACACACTTGATGCCTTTCAGAATGACAGTATATGAGATGAACAACTAAAGTGGAAATGTTAAAACAGTGGGGTGTTTTGGCTCCTCCTCACATCACCTATGCTTCATAAGCACAGCAAATAGCTATTAAACTGAAACGTGTTGGTGAGGTGCCATAGTTACCATTGCAGGTAAATATGAGTTAACTTATCAGCTGTACATAACAGCAGACATTTTTATATCTGCCAATACAAAGTGTATTTTATCAGCTTTTATCTGCCTGTACCGATAATGCGGCAAATCTGCTGATATTTTGCATCTTCATAGGAAATTAGAGCGTTAACATGAATTGTGATCTTATTATTGCAGTATGCGCAGTGAGAATTCTTCACAGTAAAAATATGGTTTATGCAAACAAGCAGCTCTTACTGAGTAGAAAACCTTGCTTTCATATCATGTTGATGCAAATGAAGCTCAAGCCCTCCATCAGTTTGGAGGACCACTGGTTATGGACCCACCTCACTGATTATTGGGGGCTTATAATTTTGTGCACTTTTATAGCTGTCATTTTGACCTTGATCTGTCTGCACTCACTACTTTTTCCTAACCAAATGCCAAGCTGATAACTACTTCTACTTTTATTAAAGTGAGAAATGCTGAAGGACAGCAGTTAGATGTTAAAACTACAAAGTTAAAGCTAGTGTGTTGCGCTTTTTATTCACCCCCTTTTAAGATGTTACTGCAGTTGGGACAATGTTATCGGACAATGCACATTATTGCTTGAATCCTGTAGGCTTAATGGGAAGATTTAACTTATTTGCTGCTGAATTTCCTGGGGAATTGGTGGCTAAATTGAAAAAAAAAAAAAAAGGATTCACTTATTTCAATCATTGTTGATTCACACTGCCAAGTATTTGCTGACTGTAGCTTCTTAATTGTGACAATTTGATCCTTTAATGGATTTCAATGAAGACGGTTTGGGTGTGGTTGTTCAGAAAGGGTTAAGTTTAGTTCTGGGAGATTGTAATGACAATTTTAAGCCATTTTTTCTCATTTAAGTGGCTGAATGACAGATAGATAATAAGATGAATACTATCTGAGACCATAAACAAAACTCAAACACACCAAAAGGAACAAATATAAGAGGGATTTATCAGGAGGAGTGGTGAATAAAAGATAGCTATTCTAACAGACCTTTCAACTCAGTGTTTTGGCAGCAGCAGCCATCACTGAAGTTACTGTGTGTCACTCACTCTGTATCGTAATGACTGGTAAATATCTGCAGCGAGTTGTCCTGTCCACCATTGGTCCTCCAGCTCCATTTAACACAGTGCTGTGGAAAATCTCTGCAAGTTTAAACACATGTCAGAAATCAAGCGAGTCAGGCTGAGAGTCAAAAAGTAATGCACACACGAAAGAAAACATGGTACTATCATGTTTAGACCCGCTGCAGCTTCACACAACTGATCACACAGTTTCCACCGGTTATCGATTGTTCAGTTTTCACACGTCCAAATGAAAACTGTTGAAGTTGAGAGTTTATAAGAGCAGACTCACCCAATGACCACATACAGTGACTGGAAGTTTCACTGAGGTACACTTTGCTTCACATTAGCCGGACATGCTCGCTGCTTTCACACATTGTTGTAGTCACTGAGACTCCCGGCACGAGTTCAGCAAACACCGCTGCTGCTTTTAAGGCCAGCCGGGAAGCAGAGCTTTGATTCGCGTTCCGGAGAGAGCGCGTACAGGCACAGATTTTCACGTCATATTATTGCAACAAATTAGTTTCACCCTATTAATTTTCTTAAAAACATGGTCAACGTTACCTCAATTTTTTTTCGTACAAGTGGTTTTACTTAAGCAATCCCCAGAATCCCTCTTTTCCACGAAGTATATTATGTGATTTTAAAGTTTCCGAGTTGCATTTGAATGCATCATTCCGTTGCTTAAAGAGGACAACCGCAGGGGAGTAAAGAGAGATTTGGCAAACCGTCGAAACACAAAATACATAAACAACAGACTGTCTGAACTATGTTAGCAAAGAAGTTAGATATGTGAACAGTGACAACTGGGATATTTTTCCCTTTTCATTTTTTTTCTTAGTTGAGTTTTAGTTGTGAGGATGAGTTGTAAACTGCTACGGTGGCCCCGAAGGTCAGTTGCTCACGCTTTTCGCTGACGGCCCCAAATTTTAAAAACGCAAAATATTCATGCAAGGCAACATTTTTGATGAAAAGACAAACAGATCAAGTCTTTAAAGATGTGCAAAAAAATTAATGGGGCACAATATCAATTCATAGATTGAAAGAATATACAATGAAATGCAAAACACTTCACAATAAATAAATAAATAAATACATAAATAACAAATAAACACATCAATAATAATAATAATAATAATAATAATAATAACTATGAGTTAACCAAAAACAATTAACAAAATGCAAAAAATATTTGATACAATCTAAGAACAATTTTTGGTTGTTTTAAGAAAGTCTGACCAAATTTAAGTGTAAATGAGTTAGCCTAGTTAGCACATTTTTAATGCTCTAATAAAGCATTTATTGGTGCTTTTTTTTTTGATGCAACATATTAGGTACAAGTAAACTGTAATTTTTTCAAGTTCACTATGATTGCTTTACTTTTAACATATTTTTGTATCTCATTTTGACATGATTTGACATAACAAATGCTAAATATTATGCAGCTGCAATAGTATAGAGCTTATTATTTTCCCTCAGCCTTTTCCTTTAACAGTAAAGAGTGTGTTTTGATAAGGGTAACATACAGTATATGTTGGTTGTGTCATTATGCAATGAAACAGTGAGGGGGAAAAAATCTTACTTGAATTCCTATTTAACTATCTAAATCAGAAGTGTGTGTTTGAAACAGCAGCATGAAATGACAGGGAGATCCAGACAGTAAGTGATGCAGACAGCGGTCCTGAAAAACTGTTGGTACCAGGTCCCAGATATGATAGGAATTTGCTGTCCTAGTTAGCAGGGATGGACTCAAAGTTAACAGTTTATAGAGTTCAGTCTCACTTATGTAATGTATGCAGCATTTCTGCAGAAATATAGCAATATGTTGGCTCGCCCCCTAATTTTAATGTTCCCATCAAAAGTGGATTATAAGACAAATGCTCTGGTAACTCCTGTTTTACAATCTAGACATGGTGAAGAGCTGAGCATTCATAGAGCAATTAGCCTTCTTCCAGTCCTGCCCAAAGTGCTGGAGATGGTTGTCCCTGAACAATTACCAGATCACTGGGAGTTGATTCATGATTTACAAATGTTTGGTTTTACAGTTTGGTTGGACGTAATCATTTAACAAAGTCAGCCCTTGTGTTTATGACTGGAAAACATGAAACAGTCTCTGACTAAAGGAAGTAAAGTAGGCAGTGTTCTCGTATATAAAGAAGGCCTTTAACACTTTGACTTTTGACATTTTAATACAAAAACTTTCTGTTTGTTTTGTTTCAATGACTTCTCTCATAGTTTGTTTGATATTTGAAAACCTAGAAACAGTGTGTTGTGCTAAATAACATCAGGTATGAAAAAAAGGATTACTTAGGGCACTGAAACATGGCCTGATTTTGGTCTGCAGATTTACGCTGGTAACACAGTTGTCTGTGCTTGTCTGTGGTAAAAGCTGTACTGCTTTTGCAGATAAAAACATGGAAAACATTTCAGCTAATTGTGATGCCTCTTGCTTCTAACTAAACAAGATAACCAAATAAATCTGTTTCTCCGTCACAAAGTTACCACAGAATATCTGAAGGTCAGGATTAAAGATAAACTTGTTGAGCAGGTTACAGAGGTGAAGTATCTGGGGATAATTTTAGATTATGAGTTAAATTTAGCAGGTATTGCTGAAATGTTTTGCAAACAGTAACAGTTGGCAAGTCTATGCCACTACAAGATAATAAAACACAGTCAATGTGGTGTGCCCTCATGTATTTTAATTCTATGATGTTCTCACTGTCTTATGGTTGATGTCCTGGTCCAAGTCAAACCAGTCAGTAATTGAACCTCTGGGGCGCCTCTACAATCTGGCTCTGGTTTGAATGGACTTGCTCTGTAGCCTTAAACTGTACAAGAGACTTCAGAGCTGCAGAAAAATCCATCAGTGATGAGGGTAAAGTTTCATTCTATAAAATAACCTTTCCTCTGACAGCGTCTTCTATGAAAGGACCAAAATCCTGGAACTTGCTAATTGATTACTTACATTTATTGTGTACATCACCACCTTTGAGACAGTCACCAAATCTTTGTTCTGTAAGCAACTGACTTGTCCTCATGTTTGATTTTCTGCAACTATGCCCTTCTAGAGATGAGTGTTGCAAATTAGCACCCAATATAACCACTATAATACTCACATAAATGTACATTTTATTCATTGTTTGATTTTCTTAAAAGCCAATAGAAACAAAAGTTCTTTTTAAAATGAAATATATGGCTGACTGCAATGGCAAATCAAAAAGGGGGATGCAGGAAGGCTGCAACAGAAAGACTGAGATGAAAAGAGATGAAGACAGAGGAGCAAAAGAAAGTAAGCCAGGTCAGGAAGTTGAATCAGTCGACTAAAGAAAGGATGAAGAAAGAAATCACTGAATGCAAAGAGATTGTTAGGAATTGTGTCCCCATTTGAACTTAGTACACAGAGCCTGCACAGTCCCTAAGTCAACACTTTGGTACTGTGTAAAAATAATTGGCGATCACAAACACGGCCACTGGAAAACAGCCAATCATTTTTTTCCAGTGACGAGACAAAGCCAGCAGGCACAGTAATGGAGCTTGTGAGGTAGGGTTTTCCTTATGGAGACAAGGCATCCAAAAATGACTTTTTGTTTTGCTTCAGTACAGCGAGTGACACTGCCAGCTATGGCTGGTTCCAAGCATCCAGGAAGGGAAACACATCCAGGGATTGGGAAACCAGAACACTGCTTTGCATCAAGAACAGAAGGGATCAACCAAACAATCATGATGGACCAGTTTAACAACTTAAAAAAAAAAACATTGGCACTGAGGGCACATTCATGGCATATCTGGAATAATCATGTCTTAACTCATGATTACAGTGACACGATACGACAAGATAAAGACTTGATGAAGGTGATGATAAAAAATGCTCACAAGGGCAGGGCACACTTCGCACCAGATAAGCTGTTTTCTTTTTCTTCTTCTTCTTCATTATTTGTGCAGGATGATACTGCCATGAAAAAAAAAGCAACAGTCGCACCCATGTAACGTTGACCAGATGGTTTGGTTCAACTGATCAGGTGGAGAATGAAAGTCAACCAAACCTCCTGAGTCCCCCCAGACTATCATGTAAAAAATAAAAAATAAACTAAAACTCAGGGAAACTTCTGTCCCTCTCAGTAAAAAGTCTTCATCATCGCACAAGGGGGGTGGTGGGTAAGCGGTCAGTTTCAGGAGGCAGGTCTTGGTATACAAAGCACAGTGTAAAAGCTATAGCATAAGGTTCACAACTTAATTTTGACGACCGAAGTCTGACATCATGGTGGTGCTTTTTACTCATATCAGAGCTACCTGCAAACAGGCAGGTGTGTAGGTACCTTCACTGTTCATGTGTTGACAATGATTCCCTTTCTTTAACCTCATCTAATCTACAGTATGTAACCTCCTGAGTGCTTATGAGTTGCATGAAACAAAAATCCTCCCACTTGCTTGCAGTGAAGTTTCCGAGTATCCCCTGCTGCATTCTCATATCCCCCCCGTCATGGCTGGTAGAAAACTTTGGGGTGGAAATTTTGAGCTATTTGTGTGTACAGATGGAGAATGCTCCTTTTGGGGGGAGTTCTTAGAAGTTTGTGCATCTGCATTTACTTTTAGACTCCCAGCAGCATGTTGCTGATTTTCAAGTTTCCAGTACAACAATGAAACTGATGACAGATACATACAACACCAGTGATTGTGGTATGAAATATTATCATGATGGCCGGCTTGCGCATCATGTTATGTTTGTTTCAGGAATGAAACTACATTTATTTGTCCTAGCAAAATGTTTTTCTAACTCATTTAAACTCAACACTAACAGAGAGCTGACTTGAGTAACTTCATGAAACATGGTGATAAGTTTGGTACACTTGGGTAGTAATTCTGTGTTGGCTTTGCTTCATGTATACACAGAAAATGCTGTGCCTATGTTGTCAAATAGCATTTTTCTAACTTTGCCTTTTTTTAGTCTCTTTGCATGTCTTCTTTGATCACAGTGTGTTGAACGTCAGTTTGGGAATCCCCCTTTTTAAGCTTGCTGTGATGGTATTTCCTCCTCTCTTATCATGGGTCAGATTGATCACTTTTCTCAGCTGTAACAGATGAACTATCTATCTATCTATCTATCTATCTATCTATCTATCTATCTATCTATCTATCTATCTATCTATCTATCTATCTATCTATCTATCTATCTATCTATCTATCTATTGAGATAGATAGATACATGTTCTTATAAGCCATGCTGGTTGACTCAATCCACTGTTTAGAGGCACTTTCGTAGATCAAGTATGAAATGGGTCACATTGCCCCAGCAGCAGTCGAGCAGCTGCAGCCAGTTAAGTAAAACTGACCCAAATCTGTTGTTTGTGGCTTCCCTGTTATTCAAGAGCACAGGATCTAATATAATACTATATCCCTGATCAGACAATGTTAAACCAACCAAGTATTGATTCAACAACCTTTGTATCCATGAGCATACAGCAAGCACAGAAAACCCAAGCTGCTATGAAAGTATGTCCAATGCTTTGTGTGGAAAAAATAAGTGATAATACTTTCCTTATTCACTTGTTAGCATGTGTACCATATTACTACTATAAGTAAACCACTGGTATCAAATTCTACATTTCTACATTTAACAAAAGACACCAGAATTTAATTCTCATTTTCACAATTAACTGAATAGACCCCAAAACATTAAACGAAACAACTACTTCAGTGTGTCACACAAAGAACCTCAAATCTCTGCCATACCATGTTCCTACGCCATGTTTTGTGCCCTTTTTATTCAGATTTGCCTTGTTGATTCAATACTATGAATCACCAAGAGAAACCATAAAATAGAGAGAACTGGCTAGAGTACAGACAGCTGGTATGAAGTCCAAGTGTGCAGAAAGGGTTAAATTTAAAGCTCTTGTGAGGAACTTTAAGTTTGGGACTGATGCCCCTTGTGGACATACCAGTTGAAGTTTATCTCATCCGCTAAATGCCAGAGCCTTGATCTTAGGTTAAAAAAAAAAAAAAATATATATATATATATATATATATATATATATATATATATATATATATATATATTTGGTAGTCAATGTAGTTTTTATCATATTTTATTTGAGACTGTAAAAACAGGTTGATTTTATGTAAATCACATTTCTTATTTATATTAAGCCTATATTAAGCTCATGTTTTGAATAGTTGGAGTTATGGACACACTTTGTGTCTTTGTAGGAACCTTGCAGATGTCAAGCATTCTGTCTGGTCTGTGGCACTTTTGGGGCTGCTATACTTTGTAAATTGTCATAAATTTCAGACAGAATTACTGTTTTTATCCTTGAGAGATAAAAGTAGACTGAAGTGATGAGAAGACCAGATTCTCTCAGACATTCAGACAAAGGAAAAGTCTGCTGTGTTTCCAAGCTCTTTTCTCAGCTCCTTTAGTCTAATTTTTTTTTAAAGCAAAACCTCATTCTGTGGTTAACTCAGGATGAACTCAGCAGATGATGAATTATGATGATGAATTATCCAGGGGTGCGGACCTTTTTTTTAGCTTTCAAAAGCCAGTGTTGTCCTTCACTTCACCATTTCCCATGCCTTCACCATCCTCTCATCCAAATACAGTCAGCATTGCCAGAAAACCAATGTGGCAGCAATGTGCCAAATAGTGAACTTAAGGCCCCCATTAAATGAACTGTGACTGTGAAATGAACTGTGAATGAATGGGATAAATTCTTAATTTAATTTTGAGATTAAGTCATTAACCAAGCTGTGATTCAGTGTAATTTTAATGAAATTTTGACATGTTTACTCAGTTTTTATGGGAATAATTTGGCATGATTGGGCTCACAGACATTTTGGCTAGCAATGATTAGTTAACAGTGTGGGCTGATCTGAGCCTATAATTTTGCAGAAAGTTTTTAGCGCATTGGAGTAGTTTTTAACACAAAGGGAGCTAAGGCCTGTGGAAGATATGCACATTAGGAAAACCAACATCGTTATTCACACGTGTCCCACAAAGCAGTATATTTTTCCTGACTGTCAGATGGAGGTGGAGATGAGAGGTCTCAGGAAGGAGGTCATGATTTAAAAAAGGTTGTGCAGTCGTACAAAATACCAACACACAGCAATTCTGCAACTGCGCTGTAACAAAGTTTGGCTATCACTATGCTCTTTGTACTTATTTACACCATTGTTTACAGTTTTATTGATGCCTTTTAGGATAATTCATACTACACTCAAGTATTTATTCTAGAAAATCTATATATTTTTTTCATAATGTATAATAATTATTTAATTATTAAAATCTAAAAAATATATTAATTGTATAGACATTGTAATGACCATACATTCATAAACACTTCTTCATGACTAAATCGGCAGAAGCAAAGCTTATATGCCAAAAGAAATGAAAGATTTTTTTTCTTACATTAATCTCTATTGCTTTGTTATGTTGAAGTACTTTGCTAACACCCTGCTGTTGCAGCCCCAAAGCCCTCCAAGACCAGGGTGGACATGACATCCTTCACATTTCAGGAAGCAGAAGTACAACTTTAATAAAGGAAGCTATCACAGTTGTCCTATATTGTGCTAAAGAGACATAAAAGAGCAGAGCAGAAAATGAAGCAACATGCTGGGCGTAAATCTTAAGAGGATTTGTAATGCTAGCAGTGGTGGGTAATCCTTTTTTTAATGGACTGACACCATCCTTCACTAGAAGACAAATGGAGTTCTGGGTAAACGGAGTTGGTGGCCATCCTTTCTATGCCACCCTCCCCCATATAGGGCTTGCTGGCAGCCATGACCTGTGAACCCCCCATTTCTGCTCTCTTTCCCCACAGCCTGAGAAAAACACCAAAGCTAAGAATTGGATTTTATTGATACTGCACAAGATCAGTATAAGAATTGTGCTTCCTCGGGATTTGCAGAAGAAACATCCTCTTCATTTCAAATATTCTCACATAAGGGATGATACCAAAGATGACTTAGCTGGTTTCTGATTTGTTGCCACACATCTGACATGTTTTCATACAACAAATCAGCTTATCTGTATCTTGGTTTTGGGGGGTTGTTGAAAGCAGAACAAAGGTCACTCCCTGTATAGACTAATTCACAAATGATTTAAAGACAAAAGTACCTCAGCAAGCAAAACCCCTTCAGCATGTAAGTGTAAGACTAATTCCAAAAAAGTTGGGACACTGTAAAATATTGACAAGATCAGATTTTGATGTGATGGTTTGCAAATGGTTTAGTCAGTATTCACTCAATAATAGTACACATACTATAAATGAAAGGGAAAAAGAATAATATGCATATTATTTTGTTTATTTTATTAGTATTGGACTAGTGTTACATTTGTGCCACATATAGCTCCCTCAACACATTAAATAACACAATGGCCACATCCTGTGGCACATAGTCAAACCAGTCATGGCCGGCTCATGACATTTAGACAGTTTTTATCTGCACACTGCACTTGCCAGTACCACTGCAATGCCAAGAGTATGAAAAGTGGTTCAGATGTGTGCGCTAACTGGTGCTGATATCTGTGACAGACGGTTGAGAGGTTTGGTATTTTACTATGACACACTGACTGTCTGTAGATAAAACTTAGTACATCTGTAGATTATTGTAATATTCTCTTGTTATCACCAACCTCAACATCAGCATGATTTACTTACAGAATGATATAAGCTTTAGTGATATTCACATGGATTTTGGTGGTGAAGCAGTGTTTTCTGATGAAAACTCAGAAATGGTAACATTCCTGTGTCAGATCTACACTGTGGCATACAATATGGGCCCACGCAGCCCTGTAGGCCTACCTACACAGTAGCCTAGGTATGTAGCCTGAGGTGTACCTCCTCAAAAATATCTGTCAATGTGCCAAAATAACTCATGTTGGGAGCGCTGTGATAGGTGCTCTAAGGAGCGTCAGGTTTCTTGCATTTACATTTCCGATACTCTCAGATGTTTATTGCCTTTAGAATACATCTTATCCCCTTTTTTCTTCTTTGCAATAACTGCAGCATGATGAACTTGTTCTCAACTTTTATCAGCTCCAACCCTTAGATAATACCCCCATCAAACATAGTCTGAGTTGGCATGGTTTCCTCTGCAAACCATCAGAGAATGTTGCTCCACTTGAAACTGGCGATTGGACTATAAAAATAACACTTCCACCTAGAGTTTATGTAGAGTATTGCTTGGGCCAAGCTGGGAACACCCCAAAGTCCCAGAAGCATCTCTACACTCAGTGTGCCCTGCATGGGCCAAGCTAATCAGAGAAGATCAACCTAAACAGGATGTAAAGCACTGGACCAGTGCATGTCAATGGAAAAATCCCAATATGCTGACTACCAACTCAGATCATGTTGATGAGAGATAAGACTTGGTCATGGATTCATTTTTAACGCAAAACACAGCAGGAATTTTAGATGCTAACTCTGTCTGAAGGTATTAGCACAGCAAAGTGGAACATAATTTACATGTAAACACGTGTAAACCTGCAAAAACCGAAACCTTAAAATCATGTTGCTTGTTCACAAACGGTAGAAGCACAACAGTCACTGAATAATCTCTTAATTAGCAGGAAATGAACAACTGAAAGAAAAAGTGACTTGATATGTGTATGTTGTTTTTTTTTTAATATAACTTCGGGCTGTGCTACATTGCTGCAATGCTTCAGACATGCTTCCAGTGAGCCATGGTGTATGCTGTTGGACAGAACCCAACAAACCCCCATCCTGTGGGGCTGAACGCTTTTTTCTGACATAACCCTAACATAAACATAAACCATTTCATCGCTCTTTTCCACTAAGACTGCAATGCCCATAGAGATACTGCCATGTTGATCTAAAGACAACTTTCATTTTGAATGTATTCCATTTCTAAGTCACAACCACAACACACCTTGCTGCTCGAGGCATTACAAAAAAAAAAAGGCTGTCAGGAAACGTGGGTACGTTTATGAAATGCTGGATATTTAAACAAATGTGACTTTTTAGTAATAAGAAAAATCATTCATTAGTAAAGATAGCTGACAGCACATTTTAATGAATGAATGAATGAATGAACAAATTATTTAATTCAGTTACATGTATCTTGGATGAAACAAGGATCATTAAACAGAAATCAGAATGCCACAATGATGTCTGCTTTTTAACATCTGTTCTTCTGTTGAGGTTGTTTTTAATTTCATCTTTCTAACAATAAAAGTATGCTACTCAACTTCCAATTCACAGCCTAACATGCAAGGCCGACCTTTAGCCTCCATGCAGCGGCTACAGTGTGCCTACCTGTTTATCAAGTCATCTGTGCCTCTGATATGCCATCTTGCAACCTTGATGACTTCTGTGTGCCCAAAATGTACTCTACAGGCTGCAGCTTTTTTTCATCTCAAAATGAGCTTTCTGAGCTAATTATGTATGGTTTCCCTTGCTTCTGCACCCAGCCCTCAAGCGGGTACTCTGGAAACCTCAGTTTTCAACACTTACTCATCAGTTGTATTTATAAAGACTGGAAGAAGGTGCTTGGTCGTAAACAGTGAACTCTCTCTCAGTCTCATCTTGGGTGTACTGCAACCATAACGCTATTGAAAACATCACTTATACCCTTACATGCCTCTTTAGCTCATTACAACTAAGTTATCTCACAGCTAAGTCGCATACCAAAACAACTGTAAACTAAACCTATTAGCAATACAGGATGTACTTGTATAGATCTGTACCTTTTGTATGATAACTTAATCTGTTTTTTTTCCATAGACTGTATATACTATGGACAACTTGGCTCTGCCTTCTGCCAGTATACTGATTTAAAGCCGAAAAGCTCTCGGTAATTCCACGTTTTTTTCTCCACTTCCTGAAACTAACATTGCGCAGTAGCATCATACACACTCCACCACTTGCGCAGTAGCGTTGTACGCACTCGGCGGGAGAGTCGCCGAGAGTCGAGGTGATGACACTCGGCTCAAACTGCTTATCCCCGGGTGAGCTACTCAATATTCGTACACCCATAGGCTGTATCAAGTGTCAATCATTGAAAACATGAACCCCCCAATAACTTTAAGAAATGGAGCTGTACAGGAAAAAAAAGAGGATCTGAGCTCAAACTAAGCTTACAGTAACTACATGTCAACATCAAGCAGGGGGAAAAAAATATGTTCTGTGTAATAAATTTCTAAAGTTTGTCCACAGCCTCATAAGGATGGCTGGCGAAGGCGGGATTTATGACCTATACTGCAGCCCGTCACCAGAGGGCGCTGTTCTCAGGGTGGCTTCACCCAGCAAGGAGGCAGACGCTGTCCATTCTATATACAGTCTATGTTTTTTTCCGCATCCATTCTTCTTCTATCAAGGGTTTTATTTTACTATCCATCTTCCAAGCAATAAGTTTATGCCATCCAACTTCAAGGTCAAAGCCTGGTGTGTAAACTCTGAAGCACAGCAGCATGCATCGCATACTCAGGGCAAGTTGAATATACATGGAGGAGAAAATGGATAACTCAATGCATGATCTAGGTCAGATTATATGTTAGTCTGACTATCAGAAGTTAGGATTAGTGTGATTTTAGGTGAATCAATGTGTCTATATATATTTTAAAAGTCTAGTTTCTATAGGGCTAATGCAATAAACTGACTTTTTAACTTGTAAAAGTGCAAAGTATGGCGTTAAAGCGTGTGCTACAATAGTCTATCCTATGTCTCTCTGCATATAAGACCTTTAATTTGATGGATGTTGGCTCCAGCATATGAAGCCTACATTTGGCAAAGAAAGGCATATTAACCTAGCCTTAGATGTTAATCGACCCGTTTGCGTTTGTTTAACCTTAACAGAGGTTGTATGAGCGAGGCGATACATTAAACAGTACATTATACAGCTAGCCCAGTGTGTGTGTGTGTGTGTGTGTGTGTGTGTGTGTGTGTGTGTGTGTGTAGGCCCGGGACAGGACGCCTCTCTGTCGGAGGCTCCAGCAGGCTAAAGGCTAAAGCAGCTCAGAGGCTGTAATCCCCGTATGAGACCATCATGGCTGCCACTCGCTGAGCTGTCAAGCTCTCCACAAAAGAAAAGGTAAAAACCGACACAACTGCGCTTTCAACTACAGCTTTAGCATTAACGTTTACAACCCGGTTGATTTACCAGCACTGAAAACTCGACAAGAGATGAGAAAAGTAGTGTGTACTAACTTTCCTGCCACGCTTTTTATCCCTGAAGTTATTTCGTCTTTGAAAGCCCCTGTCGCGTCAATTCAAATCACTCTCAGGCTGTTTGAGAAAGCGCTCACACAGTTAGCTCATGTGCTAACATTAAACAGCACCGTGTGTGTTTCCACGGTTCAGTCTGGAGACTAACGGGCGCACTGCTGGACAGTTTTATCGGAACTTCGCTATTCCCCAGACGGCGGTGGCTGCTCGGTACAGAGGCAGCCCGTCTCATCACTTTGTTGTGGTCAAGTCAAACTGCACAATGGCCGCACCGTGCACACAATAATCTGATAAAAACTGCTACCACATCCTATTTTTTCCTGATGCATTATTTCATAACGGTTATATTTTGTTGCATTTTCCACTGTAGTGCGTGTAGTTGTTTAATACAGTCAGATGAAGTTGAACTATTGTGTGAACAGGTGAGTTTCAGAGCAATTTTCTGCACCTGGGGGGTAATACCAGTCCAGGTTTTACTCCTGATCTGCATGTGATGGATTGATATCCATGAGGAGAAATTTTGAGCTTTTGCCAGCAACAGGTAGCTAAGTAGTGCCGTGAATGCAGCTTGGTCTGATGTTGTCACAGCATGAGTGTAACTAATCTCCAAATCCAAGGGCTCATTTTGATTCAGGTATTTATTACATATGGAAAGCCTGGATACATTTGAGGCTGAAGTTTGAACTTCTAGTGTAACTAACAATGTTTGCATTTTGCCAGGAGTGTTTATTCAGTCTACTTCCCTGGGTTTGTGCATAATTTATGATAAATATGCAAAAAAATACAGCCAGAGGGCTAGTCTTGTCTTGTTTGATATTTACAGACGTTTAAAATAACCATGTGTACATTGTAGAAATACATCAACCAGCCATTATGACCACCTGGGTAATCTAATGCAATCCAATACAACAGCTTAACCACAATTTCTACCATCAGAAGTGTTGCAGATTTTGTTGACATAAAGAGGCAGGTGATTATCGTACTTCATTTGCATCACTGGGGACATGTAGTAGTTGGTTGTGATGTACTGCAATGTATTTTATTGAAAGGTGTTCCTTGTGTTTTGTTCACCTCACTGTTAAACATGAGGTGAGCAAAATATTCAGGACTACTTTTCGTATAATGTGCTCTGGTACACCACCAACAATCAGTACTACTTCAGAAGTTCATTTAAAGAACAGTTCTCACCTTTGTTATCATGTCAGGAAGCTTTGTGAAGTAGAAGTTATAGTTCATAATGCTGTGGTTGGTCAGTGTGTGTTTGTCATATTTGCAGAAGTCTGGCAGATGGGACAATCAAGCAGAGTGTGCATATTCTGATTGGATATCCTGCATTTAGATTTGAAGCATTTTCAGAATAAGATCAGGGAACTCTTGATTTATATAGATATTAGATATTTTTGGTCTTCTTTTGACTTGTACACAGTGCAATCTGAATGTGAGTCTCAGCAGATTTTTGGGAAGGACGTCCTCTTACCTGTTCTTGCCGTCAGTCCTGTTAAATGTATGAGTTAAATGTACAATGCACGACTGCTTGCAGGCTGTAACATGATACGAAAATCAATTTTCAGTAGTCATATTGACAATGCAGAAGTAGTTTTTGACTCCAGCTTTAACTGGAGTATTTTTTACATGCTTCTGTCTAACATTACAAGTTATTATTTGACTGTTTACTCTTCTGAAAGGCAAATTGATGAAACGGCAACAACTTCAGGGAAGCGGTAGGCTTTCCTACTTAGGTTGTACTTATTTCTGTTCCTTTGAACATGAAAGTTATTTTTAATGAGTCAGAAGTGTGAGTTACACCGTACCATCCTGAAGGCGCTCTTTCAATCTTTAGATGAGCTTGAAATGTTTAAATCCTGCCATGCTGATCCAAAGACAACTTTCATTTCCATTATTATGCCTTTTGGAGTTACAATCATGATACTCCTAGCAGCCCGAGGTATTAAAAACACAAAAGTCTCAACACACACTAGGGAGGAGTAGCCAGAAATTTCAATGTCTTTGATTCGCTGCAGCGACTTTGGAGCCGTGTTATTATCATTTCAGTGATTCTTTGTGTTTTCCTTCTCTGTCAGAAACCTAAAGAATGGATTACAAACGGCGTGTCAACAAGAAGAATAGGGATTGGCACAAACGGCTCCACCTCAGGAAGACTGCCGTTCAGCCCCCGACTATGCAAAGTAGAGATAAGCATGGACCAAAGAAGATAGCAGGAGAGCGGGGGCAAAGCACAGTGTGGCCTTCATCAAAGAAGCCCCCCCAGGAAGCACAAAAGAGGACAAACGACAACGGAAATACACTCAGGTTCGAATGCTCTCAGTGTGGGGACAAAGTGGAATATGTTCCCAAAGACTTGGTAGGACACTTTGAGGAGAAGCACAAAGGAAGCCCCCCGGTGTTTCCCTGCCATATGTGTAGTTTTAGCACACAGGAGTTCTCCTACCTTCAGGTTCACCTGCTAAGCCACAAGGACACTTTTTCTAGCTGCAGCATTTGTAATGACAACGTTCAACGCACGTGGCCTGAGTTCAGCGCACACCTGACTTTGTGCCACTGCCAAAACGGCAAATTTTTATGTGAAACATGTCAGAACTTTTCAACAGGTGATGTTAAAGTGTTTCTAGAGCACATGTATGCACATAATTTGGGCCTGGAGGGGGCTGAAAAAGATCTTTTGCTGCACAGAAAAGACAAGAATAAAGCTTTGTGTTGTCACCACTGTGGCTACAAGGCATCTCACAAATGGCTGATTACTAAGCACATCAAAGCTGCCCATGTCTGCCAGAACGGTAATCAGAGGAGGGAAAAGAAGAAGGAGGAGAAGGAGGTTCATTCCATAGCAATGAAACCAAATGACCCCCCAATCCCCAAAATGAAGCCTAGACTAACAAGAAGTGCAGTTAGAGAAATGTGCTGGCTGACAGAGGACTGCCTCTCCTTACCAGGGAAAGAATTCCTGGATAAATACTGCCATCTGTCAAATCCTCAGACAACTCTGGAGGAGACTCAGCAGTTTCTTATGAAATCTGTCGCTGGGGAAACCGGTGATCCGAGGTGGACCAAGGCCCTTAAAAATGTTTTGTCAAACGTCCCTCAAGACATGAATCTTCACCCTAAGTCGGAGAACGGCATCGTGTCGAACTCGTCCGATCTCACCGTCCTGACAGTGCAGAACAAGATTACTGTCGCCCAGAATGGTGCTAAATACGCCAAGAGGTTAAAGCTCATGCCATCGTCAGAAAAAGAAACTGTTCCCCCTGAAAGTGCTGTCGAAGGTGCTCATTGTGTGGTCGACCAAAATGGGTGTCAGTCAAATTTAAGTGATGGCACACATGAAACCAAACAGGATACTAACAATGTTTCCATGCCAGCCCAGAACGAGCCATCGGAGTGTACTCAAATGCAAGAAAACAGAGAGAATCAGGAAGTCAAGATGGATCAGAATAAAGTAGAACATATAAAGAAGCAAGAGGAGCCTATGCATGATGAAGATGGAAATAATATTTCCAACAAGCATGTCGAGCAGACGCCTGTTCATAAAGTTGTACCAAAAACTAAGAGACATAAAAGACGACAAAAGAGAAAGACCAGGTGTAAAAAAGCGGATAAAAAACCAGCAGCATTGGCCTTGAAGATTGTACTGAAGAAGAACCCTGTGAAGGAGAAGCAGTGGGTGTCACAAAGCTCTCTTTCTCCATCAGTGGGAGGTGAGGAAGACCATGGACAGGCGAGCCCTTGTGCAGTATCTGGGGAGACAATGCTGCTCCCAGATGTGCACCTGAAGAAATGGACCAAAGCTTCCAAGCCTGACTTGAATGATCTGTCTGAAGCTGTCATCTCAACATCTGGATCAAAGCCAGAAGAAAGGCTGACCCCAGGTTGTGTTGGAAGGCAGACAGGGTCTAAAAGTATGGACAGAAATGTGCAGATTGCATTTGACGGCCTGAAGCATGAAGTAATGCATGACGACGGAGAGGAGTCAGTAGAAACCGAAGTGGACAGGGCAGATCAGTCAGAATGTGGAGCTGCAGAGTTATGCCCTGAGAAGGTCCAAACAGCCAAGGATGGCACGGACGGTCATGTGTTTGGTGATATGACAAGTTCAGCCAGTGATGGAGGGACTTCTTCAAGCAGCGACGGCAAGTCTTCCCCTGAATCACAGCCTGCCATTACACCAGAGGGTAAGACTGCAAATTATAGCCTCCTCATACACATAATGGTGGGGGTTTAAATGCTGTAGCATTTTTCTTGACATTAAAGCTGAGGAATGTGGCTGAAGATATGAATCAGGACATTTTTCCATATAGATATATATCGACAATTACCACGGTTTAAAATTTTACACAGTGGCTAATTTTGAAATGTGTATAGAATGTAGAGCGGGATGAATCAAGAGTTAAACTTAAGAATATGAATTATAAATATATCCTGTTATTTAAAGTAAAAACAATCAGCTCAGGTAGACTGTATTGACAACCAGTAAAGCAGTTATATTTAGAGTTGTCACAATACTGTTATTTTGATACTGACTATTAATACCTGGTTAGATTTCACTGCAATAAAAACCAAACAAAAAAAAAAGCCAAACAAAAAGCAAAGCCAAAACCAAACATTTGGACACCCAGAGTGGATATTTGATATCTATATTTGCTGATCCCAGTCCAAAAAAAGTTACGACAGTGTGATGAATGTTCATAAAAAACAGTTTGCTAATGATTGAAACCCTTATAAAGAAATCAGCAGCGTGGATTTCTACCATCACAGATGATGACTGTTCACCTGTGTTCATAACAAGTGGAATTGGCCCTCTCCTCTTTAGAGAAAGTGATGTCTATATATCCAGATTTTAATTATCATGCCACAGGACAGGTTTGTACCCTGCTTCAGTCCATCTTAGATGGGCCCAGGCGAAAGGAGTGGTTTTCAGATGATGTTTTCATTTTTCACCTCCATTTGTGGATGAAGTGATCTACTGTGATCACAGACAGTGGGATTTAAATGCAGCCCGCCACAGAGTCATGTCAGTCCAGAGCTGTCTAATGAGGTCTTGCAGAGTGATGTTATTGTGCAGTGACGTGAAGCTCTCTGTCAACAGTCCACAGATCAGGACTTATGGAAAACTGGACCCGGTGATATCACCGTCTCTCTCTTTTGCTCTCAGTCTGTCTGAAACAGACACAAGAGTAAAACATTTGCAAAGGGACTTAACAAAATGTCAGCATTTGCCAACCTGTGATTGGGGAGAGATGGCGGTGTGTAAGCTGTGTTCATACAGACGTATACATGATGTGACAGCTTCATCTCTTTTGTCCATCCTTCTCTTTTCTGACAGGGGGGTTTTGTTTGTGTCGCTCAGCTTTCTTCTACACATTTATACTGTTCAACAGCTAAACATTAAAAAAAAGAGTAAATCAGTCTTCAACTACATTGTCTAGGTATGTTAGTCCGGCTACAACAAACTGGATGTTGTGTGATTCCAGTTGTTGACATGTTTTTCAAAGTTAAGTTTCGGTTCGACTAACATAAATAAATCTTGTGAACTTACTGACAGACAAAACATGTTGCTCAGTGAAATCAACATGTGGAATCATTGTGCTGAAATGAACGTCCAGACTTCAGTTTGTTGACAACAGCTGCTTCAAAAAAGCCTTTCAGCCTGTACAGATGTCGCAAGTTACTGGAAGAAAGCTGGCTCAGTTTTGGAAAGCCATGCATCATCTAGCTCCACCACACGAATGGATCTTTGTTACAGGGTCCTACCCTTTGGTCCATCTTCAGTCTTGTTGCAGGTGGCTGCTGTTCCCTCTTTGAGCTCTGTGTTCTTCTAACTCAGTGGTTCTCAAGTCCAGTCCTCAAGCCCCTCATCCTGCATGTTTTGGATGTTTCCCTGCTCCAACACACCTGATTCAAATGATTAGCTCGTTATTAAGCCATTACAGAGCTAGATAACGAGCTGATCATTTGAATCAGGTGTCTGATGAGGTTCAATCATTAAGTTGACCCATGTTATAATACTTGATATGCTAGAAGTTCATGACTCTGCTCTTCAGTGCTCACAGGATGTGAGTGGCCATTCTTTTTAAGTTCTTGCAGGTTAAGTTCTTGAGCTAACTTTAACCTAGCTTGTTGTTTCATTTATAACTGCTGACTTTAAGACTAAATATTATTTGATCTGGTTAAGTGACATATATTTAAAACCAGCTGAGATCTAATAAAAGAGGAAGATACGACCTGAACAGTGAGAAAGTAGTGGTCTGGATCTTTTTAACATTAAACCATGAAGACTGACTCAATGTCTAGGTGGCGTTAAGTTCTTCTGTCTGGTAGACTGTAGATGTATCCATGTTGAGTCCATTTTTAAAAGCGTGTTTGTTTTATCAGCTGAATTCCTTTCTACTTTAGAAATCTGCTGATACATATACCTGTGCTTTAGTATTGACTGATACTGTTACCAATCTGATCTCATCCACTATCAGGATTAAATTTACAACCTGTATTCCTTCATGTGAAGATGAACCTGGGAATTAAGTTTCAGCAACGTCACCCTTAAAAAAAAACTCTGTAAACATATAAACAAACATTTATTTAAACCGACCGAAACATCTAAACTCATTTAGCTAGTCTTTTCAAAATGCAGAAAGGAGCTTGTTTAGGGTTCAGAATTCATGTTTAAAATAAAAAAAAAACTGTATTGAAGGAAAAAGAAAATATGCCACTGGTTGAACATTTCCTTGACGGCAGCTGGAATCAAATCACAAGCATGTGATTCATGGAAGTTTGTAGTTTGAAGCTTACCCAAACTTTGAAGTGGACCATGATTAGTCGCCAAGAGGTCTGATCCCATAAAACTGCACTGGTTCCAAATGACTGGCAAGACTGTGGCACTGTGCCTTTTTTTTTTGGCAACATGCTCTTGATCATGCTGGCAGCCATGTTGTTTTTGTGTAAACATGAGGGGAGGGTTTGAGCTTGGGCGAGAGCGGTGTGGGCAGCGGAGGAAGTTTAAGAGAAAACCCAGATTTAGATTTTTAAAAACCGTTCAAAACTACAAACATGAATTATTGAATAAAATACATAATCAGATCCATTACTTAAAGTGTGAATGGATTTATTTCTACATTTTGAATCTGTGGAAATCAAAATTTGCCTCACTCAACTGATATTTGAATGTTTAGTTCAGGTTTTGCACTGATGATCAATCCTAAAACTGTTTTGAAAAGGTTATTTTCACTTTGTGTTTCACAGGTAAGATAAACTGTGTAAGCCCAGCTGTCTCTTTGAAGCAGTCCGTTGAGGGGACGAGAGACAGAAATACGCCTGCAGACTCCTGCCCCACTCTTCCTGCTTCACCTGAGTCCTCCCCAGCCTCTCATCATCTGTGGCAGCCGGCCCCTAAAACCCTGGAGAGGACCCTGAAGTTAGTAGCCATAAATCCCTCTCAGCTGGTGAAGCGTCCAGCTGGGGACCAGCCTGTTGTGGTGCTAAACCACCCTGATGCTGACACCCCTGAGGTAGCTAGAATCATGGAGGTCATCAACAGGTACAGAGGAGAGGTGCAGAAGGTGGTGCTGTCCCAGAGGACTGTGAAAGCTCTCGCAGGCATGAACGGAGAGGTCGCCCAGACAGACGCCCAACATGATCCTGTGAGGCTCGGTAAAAACTCTGTACAGGAGAGGTTTCTGTTAAAGATGAGATTTCGCAGGTTGAGCAGGAAAAAATACGAGGTGGTGGACGCTGTGCCTCCCAGCAAGGACACAGGGACAAAGTTCAGCTGCTGGTTCTGCGGCAGGGTGTTTGCATGTCAGGACACGTGGATGGTCCATCGGCAGCGACATCTCATGGAGTGGAAACGGCCAAACTGTGAAAACTCTTAAAAAAAAAATAGTCGCACACACTGGATGAAAAAGTCTGGAAAGTTTGCAATACAACGAAACAATAATCAAAACTGTGTTCGCCAGTCTTCTTAGTTTTTCAAGTCTTAATTCTGATTGGTAGGTTTAGAGGAGTATCAGATCATTTTCACATTCTCAGGGTCAACACTTACCTGTTGTCTCTCCCCTCGTTTCAGTAGCTTCACACAAGCGTTTGTAGAATAATGATCTTTTGTAAAAGGACATGCTGTCAATAATTTAGTTCTTTGTATAGTTTATATTTTGTCAATGCAATAGCTTTATTTAAGGTGATTTGAGTACACTGTCATAAGGAATCTTTTATAGAACACTGTAATATGTATATTTGCCATACCACCTATGAATCAGTTAACGTACGGGTAGGCTCTACAGTGTGGTAGCTATCATATTTATGTTTGTGGAATGGGACGCAGAGACCCACAAGTTACTCAGATATACCAAAACTGTGTGTTTATAAAGAAAGACAGAGACAATAAGCTGTTTTATTCAACATTTATTTATGACTTGTAGGGGTTAGCCTTTATATGCTTTTCTTTTGTGCTGTTTTAGGCCCTCAGAAGAATCAGGTTCTTTGTAAAACCTTTTTTTTTTAAACTCCAAAAATGTCCAAATATAGTGTTATTACTCATTCATTTAACAAAGTAAACCTGTAGTTTTTGTTGTCGATGAAGTTCAAGCAGAATATTTTCTTTTTTAATCTGGATGCAAGAAGCCTATAGATTATCTGATTACTTTTTTTTTATTTCTCTCAATGGGTTTATTCTCTTTTGACTTGAAATGATAATCTTATCTTTTAATTGCACTATGAAATGAGGGTTAATATTTCCCGTTACCTCACCTTATCAGGCCGAAGCCTTTGACAATCTCAGCCAGAGTCCTGCTGTGGCTCAACATTTCCTCCCTCAGTTTTCCCAGCAGGGGGTTGGTGGCTCCTGTGTGCATGTTCGTGGACAAATGCACCTGTCCTGTACCCTTGTTCCTGAAGGGAACACTTCACTGTGTATATATACCTTTTTAAATTCAGATAGATTTATAATTGTACATAGTCCAGATAGAGGTACTGTAAAATATGACCAGAGAATTTTCACTAAGTGCCTAGGACTCTCTGTTATGCAACGACATTTGCATGAGTATGATAGCATTACATGTTGACCAGAAAAAATACATGAACCAGTTTGTCAGTTCCTGGTGGCATTTTGTGATGACTGAAGATGTGACTTGTACAACTCAAGAGTTTTATTAAAAACAAAATATACAACCATGTTTCTTATTTTTCTGCTCTTTAAAGTCACAAAGAAAATATTCTTCCAGATGACTTTTTCAGTCATGTCAACACTGTCATGTTAATTTTTACACACTTCAAATACTCAGCTCTAGAAATCAGTGTAGGACGCTGTGCTGATAAGACAGATATTGATGGTGTGTAAACCGTTGAAATGCCATATTTAACTGACAACATATCAAATGTTAGAACTCATTTAATGCTAGTATCATATCCCCAAAAAGTAAAGAGGGACAACAAAACTCTGAAAAAAGTTGTTTAATACTGAATAAAACATTTTCCAACAAAATAGGTTATTTTACAACATGACTGGATATGAGAAGAGGCGGAGTCTCAGAAATAAACATGAGAAGAGGTTTACTACTTCGTGAGAGACTGGGTGAGGAAATAGGTCAGTAAATCTGGATTAGTAATTCGGAGCGAAAAATTTGCAGATTCAAAAGATGTCATCATCTGCAGTGTGTAATATTAAAAGATCCAGAAGATCAAGAGAAACCTTTCTAAAAATGACAATGTTGGTTGGACTCGATCTTAGGACTCTGGAGTGGAAATCACTGCATGGGCTCACATTCACCTCCAAAAACCACTGTCTTTGAAAACTGTTGATAGCGGCATCCACAAATACAGGTTAAAACTGCACCTGAGGCTGTTTAAGATGGACTGAGGTCAAGTGAAAAACTGTCCTGTGGTCTGATGAATCAAAATTTGACATTCATTTTGGAGATCAGGGTCTTAAAGGGATATTCCAGGGTAAAATTGATTTAGGGTCAAACTCACCATAACACTGAGTTAGACACCCTCTCGAGAGATGAATGTTGCCGACTGCCTGCTTCTCTGGTTATACCAACTTTTGTAACGACCGCAGGATAGCAATACACAGCAGTCTGAGGAGCCACAAACAAACCTCAACCAAAAAGCCACTGTATAGCCACAAATAATGCTCAGAACAGCTATGATCATAAATGTTCTTCCTTGAGCTGCGTCACCCCGCTGTAGTCCGTAATGGACTGGCCCGAGGTCTCGCTACAAACAAGCGGCTGCTGGAAGAGAGTAGGTGAGTTGTGTTTAGTCTCTTTGCTTAAGAAATCAGGCAAAGCTAAAAAGATGTTTGGTGGCTAGTGCTGTGACTGGGACCCTATATGTACTGTTGAAGAAGTTGGGTGATGTTCTGAGCATCTTTTGTGGCTATAGAGTGGCTTTTACATACATCTCTCGAGGGGATGTCTAACTCAGTGTTACTGTGTGTTGACCCTAAATTAATTTTACGCCAGAATACCCTTTTAAGAGGGGAGGTACCATCCAGTGTGCAATCAATGCCAGTATTTGAGATGCAATGGGGATTCATAGCTGCAGCATGGCTAGCTTACACATCAGGGAGGGCATCATTAACACTGAACTATATAATTAAGTTTTGAAGCAACATATGAAGCCTCCTGGACAATGCTCGTTTTCAGGGAAGACCTTGCACAACACACCAAGACAATGCAAAACCCCATTTTAGCACATGTTGAAACAGCATGGCTCAGTAGTAGAAGAGTCCAGGTGCTAAACCGGCCTGCCTGCAGTCCTGACTTGTCACCCATGAAAAAGTTTGATTCTTCATGATACAAAATTATACAACAGAGAAGACCTTGAACTGTTGAGCAGCTGAAATCCTGTCAGACACGAATAAGGGAATATTTGGCTCCCAAACATTTGCAGAGTTGTGTTACTGTAAAAGAAGAGGAAGTGTAAAACAATGGTAACCATGGCCCTGTCTACGTCCATTTTTCATTGAATAAAAATTTCAGTTTTGACATCTGATATATAATGATATACAAACCATCACTCTTTGTTTTGAGTAACATTTTATACAATATCCCAACTTTTTTTTAAATTGAGGCTATAAAAACACACGTTTGTATAACATGGGCGTAAGTCTCCTGGTAAAGTTCCACTTCTTTCTGCAGGGCCAGCCGTGCAAATGAGACCAGCACACAAATCCACAACCTTTGAGCTGATGCAGGAGCAGAGAAATCACACTATCAGTACTCTGACAGTAAACACAGCAGCACTTGGTGAGATGCACAAGTCCAATCGGCGGTCTGTTTGCTCATTCAAGGCTTCACGGGGTGGCACAGTTTGGTGGAGTCCTTACTGTTATTTTGACTGTCAATTAGCACAAGAGGAACCCTCTGGTGATTCTCAATGATGTGGGTGACGCTGCTGAAATACTGCGAACAAACAAGGGTCATAATAAAACATAAAGTGAAAAACTGTGTTAATCACTTAATCAGAAAATGAAAAAAATGCCCTTAATATGGCTTGACTCATTTTAGGTAGTCTTGAAACGTTTCCAGAGATATCCAATTAGGTATGATAATGAGGAGTTAAAAATGCCTTTCATTTCCTGTTTTCACCATCCAGTTTAGACTGTACCTAATCTTCTTATGTCAAAACAGCACCCATGCCAAGATATTCATAACACCCACATCATAACATTATGGATTATGTGCAGCGGGTCTTTATGCAGCTCTGAAATAATTTGCATACATAATTGCAAACATAATTGCTCATGATTTGTAAAACAGACAGCAAAGAGGAGGCACATAAGATATTCAAAAATGAGAATAAGCGGTGAAAACCTCCAGGCATGTTCCTTGTTCTTACAAATGAATGATCTATTTTGTGCGCTTCAAACACACCAATAAATCACCCTTCAGTCTTAGGAGCAGGGGAGTTTGAACGCTATTATGTAGAGCCAGTTTTTACTGTCAGTAAATCTATAACCGTTTAACTGTGATTGCTTGTTCTACTCCTCAAACCACCCTTTTTCACTGTAAAGTAACTGTATCTACACTTTGTGTTCAGTGTGTGTTTGGTTTAAAAGCTGAAAAATAACCTACATGACACAAAAAAACAGTTTACACTTTAACAGACTTAACTGGAGGGGCCTCTGGGAGGACCTTTAGAGGCGTCTACAGAGTCAGAATCTCTTTGCTAAACTTACTTATGATGAATAGTCACCCCGTTGGAGTGAGACTAGACCCTGATGCAGAGCCTATGCTATCCTGCTTATTGCCCTGCTACAGGCCAAAGCCCAAAATATCTTGACACTGAATGTTGATTTAAGATGATTTGATTGATGGAAAATAGTACAGATAGTACAGGCCCGTAGACCTCCGGTCCCTAAGACAGGACTAAGAACCGGGATGGCCGTGCCTTTTAGTGTTTTGTCGTTTACGAACGATTCATTCAAAATAACCAAATCTTTTAAGTGAACATACTGAACCGAATCACTTCCTCGAGTGATTCATTTGTTTCTCACTTCATTTGGGCTGAATTGAGAAACAGCATTGCCAGGCCAGCAGCTGGTGAACGAGGGACCACATGCACTGACGCCTGAATAACTTGGTTAACAAATCACGCATTGAACTACACTCTCTGGAACCATTTTTGTCGGACAAAACTACCTTTTTTTTATCACTGCTAAATTGCCACCACAACAACTTGCATACAATAGGACACAGCATGTAACAAGTAGTGTGTTAAACCCGCAGCATCCTATCATCACAGTGGTTTGTGAGTGTGAATTCTTCTGAATGAACCATGAAAGTAGTGTGATCTGTCTCTGTCTGTTCTTTTTTTCTTTTTCTTTTTTCTCTTGCAGTTTTTTTTAAATTTTATTTCTTCATTGTTCAGTTTTAAAGTGTTTTTTATTATGATTCTTTTATTTTAACATTTCATGTTTCTGTGTGTTTTTGCCTCATTTTATGGCACTGTGCAGCACTTTGCTAAACTTAATTGTTTTTTTTTAATGTGGTATATAAATCAAGTGTATTGGATTGGATTGGATACTGGTAGGTATAATCAAGTCAAGCTGAGAACAAAGACACATACCTCCTCCCCTCTCTTCTCACTTCCCAGAGCGTACTGAGCGTGCGGAGTACCCAGTATGAGGCGGATTGGGATGTTGTACACTCTGCCTTTGTAAAACACCACTAATGTGTACGGCTGCTGAGAGTCCTGTCCTGAGCTCTTCCTCACCATGAATGCCCCGTCCTGCAACAGAGCAGCATCACAGTCACACTTGTTTTTAAAGGATAGCATTATGGGATATAACCCATAACATGCTACTCATTCAGATGACAATAAGACTCACTTTGTTCGACTGGTACAAGACCTCGTAGCTAGTCTTACGGTCACATGTGTTGGCGTACCAAGGTTTCCTGTTCAGATCCGAATTCTGACAGAGAATAAATGATTAATAGCAGGATTTTTAAGCATAAGTGAGATTACTATTCAGAATATAAGTGCACACCTTATCTTGATTTGCTGACTCATCTTCAGCTAAATCACTTCCTCTGGTGGCTGCTTCTGAGAGAACAGACAAACAAGAATTCAATGTAGTTCATATGAATGTGTCGAGGAGTAACAACCAATCTCCATTGTTGAAGTGGAGAGTTCCTGTGTGCTTAATATACCGTTCAGTCTGCCGTGAGACTCATGTAGGATCTGTACTTACTGGAGGGGGTTAACTGTGGGAGAGGAATTCTGCAGGAGAGACCACAAACAGAGCAGAGGACGGTAAATGCACAGCACAAAGAGGCCATAAAAGGCAGTTTCTAAAAAAGAAGCCTGGAAGCAGTTAAAGGCTCACTGTAAATAAAATGTAGGGTAAGCTATGGAAGCCCACGGAAGCCAAACAAATGAAAACAAAATATCCCTGTTGTTCATCGTACAAATAAACTCAGAGTCAAATAAAGCGTATTGCAAAGGCAGGAGTCGCTTTCCTGCTCTTTTGTGGACAGGACCTGGTTTGTGTTTTTATACGACTGATTTAATTTGTGATAAAATTTAAATTTAACCCCTTGACATCCAGTATCAAAACATTTTCAGATGCTTAACCGATAATATTTCATGACTAGATTAAAGTTTAGCTCTAATATTTAAAAATAGATTTTCAGACACGTAGGGGATGTTTACCAGGAAGTGATAACACCTGCTTATAGCACTAAAAATGTATCATCAGTTCCTCCCACTGTCTGCTTCCTCCCAAAGTCTGATTCCTATAATAATGGTATCACAGCCTTAAAAGGTTTGCAGCTCCATACAGTTTGCTCTGTGATGCGTCTGATTGCGTAAATGAGCTGTTAGTATCTACACAAAACCCAAATCTGTCTACATACAGTTGATGAGCTGTGATTGGAAAGGGCTGTTTTCTTCTGTGTTTAAACTGATTTAACCCAGAGTAATGTTAATAATAACAATGACAGTTTTACCAAAGTCATGAATAGAAATCTAAAGACAATTTATTTTCAAGTCATTTAAAGTTGAAATTCTTCATAATATTTGGAGTCCGGGTGAAACATCCGTTATACAAACTACAGAACAGCTATTACCAACTCTCAGTGGACAGTCAAAATATTGCTCTGTGCTTGGCAGTTAGTACAATGTTTGTGGATAAAGATAAGTCCTTATGCCATGAGATGCATAGAAAGCTTTAAATTTAGACCAGCATGCCTGCAAAGTAGCTCCTTTATAAACTACATCCAAGAAGCACCAGGTGCTGTTTGCAGTTCAAGGAGTATTTTACCCTTTACTGTGTTTTAAGACTAAGACAATTGTTATTTTGCCTGATTTGTGCAGGTTTGCAGGAAAAACTGTCACACTTGGTAATAAAAGGTACTATTAAAAAACGGTTTTATGATCCTTGTAATTTTGAGAAATATTCTAACTTTTGCATATGCGTTTGCAATATCATGGCATAATTCATTTCATTTTGGGAGGAATAAGTTTGTCAAAGCAAACCATCTGATTGTTGTCTTACTTTGGTCGTTTCAGGTCCAGTGAGAAAGTTTTCGGTTGAGGCTTTGGCTCAGTTTGCATCACGTTCGGTAACGTTCGACCTGTGGAGAGCCACACTGCAGGTTACCACACTATGCATTAACAAGTTTTTTGCTATTCATTGAGACACAGGTATGATTTTTGGTTTGTTACAGAACCAGATAAAAAAATCCTCACAGGAGTTTCAAGTATAAATGTGTCTGCATGTGTTATGTTACATGATACTGGCTTTTAAATAAACTCTGGTGTGACTGATGTTGTTCAAACATAATGTGAGAACTTACTCTCAAATTCCCTGGGTTTCAAGTCTGGCCTCTGCAAAAGAGTAAGAGAGAGTGATTTAATAACCGAAGCGTACTGCAATGTCACTCATGATGTTGGAGTCAAGTTAGAAAACATTTCCACAACAGTCCTACCGGCTTCAGAGGTGGTCTTTGTGACCTCCTGAGAGAAAGAGAGAGAAAAAAAAAGAGTTGTTTTTTTCTTGTGAACAGCAAAGTATTCTCAATTCAACTGAACAATGTTGTTAAAGTGATGCTTACTCTCTGGGTGAAGGTTTAGGGAGGGGTTTAGGTGGACACTCGACTGGTTTTTTACTGGGACCTGGAGGAAAACACAGCACAATTATGAATGAACTACTATTGTTAACCTTTGTAAACAGCTGAAGGTTACAACTCCTTATTTAACAAAGCAATAACTTTTCTCCTTCCATCCTCTAGGTGGCAGACCATGCTAAATAAACTAACGATAGCAGCATAAGTCTGTATGTGAGATATGAACCGAGCAGAAGTTCAGGCAGGAAGACTGTTTCACACTCATCTAGTTATTCTTCCACGCACTTATTTATTCATAAGTCACCATTCATTCATGTCTGTCCAAATATCTGCCTTCATGGTGATCAGGTAACTACTTGTGTGATTATTTTGAGTGCTTTGGCAACCAGATTGACACCCATCTCTACCCCGCTGTTGTGAAACATTCACATCTGTTACCGTGTCCCTCTGTCTCAATCAGTGACTCAGCTAAAGTGTTGCAACTCTCCTCCTCTCAAATCACATCTGATCCTTCCCATCAGGATCCAGCTTCTCAGCTCATCCTGCACCTCTCATTCACCACTAACACCACTGTCTGATAGTTGTCAAACCACTGCTCCCCAGTCAATATTTTCAGACTGATTTTACAGTCTGGAATGTTTGTATGAGGTTTCCTAATATCCCAGATAGAGTTGAATAGACACAACACTACAGAATAGATTAGGGAACCGCAACCTGCTATCGCTATTAATAAATGCAACAACAAACCAAAATGTTATGTGACAGCGGCTGATGTCCTCATCTTAAACAAAACATGTGGAGTAGTTATTTTGTTGTTGAGCAAAAAGCTGTTATTGTTTGATTTATTACTCACTATCTTCTGGGTCACAAACTTCATATTCATCGCCACCCGCGGTCTCTTGAACCTGAAAAAACACAACAGGCATTTATAACTCTGACCTCTGCTAGACTCGTAACACTGTGTGAGTTTAACATCTCTGATAACTTACAGCCACAGGAGACTTTACAGTGATTCTGCAGAGAAATAAAAATGTTATTAGAGCGATAACAGGAAGAGTTGTTAAAGCAGAAAGCTATTTTTTTGTTTGTGTGTTTGAAATAAGCGGGCAGTCAGTCTGACCTGGGGCTGGGTTTTGGTGGTAAAGATGGTGAGTGTTTCACGTGGCTTGAACCCAACCTGAAAGGAAAAGACAGGCCTGTGATTAAAATATGAAATATTTCTTAAACATCTCTTTCCAAAAAGATTAGTAAACCGCTGTTGAGACAATCTCAAACTGACCTGCCACCTGAAAGATGTGAAGAGCTCTCCTGTAAAGATGGAGCTACAGTGAATTTCATGTTTCAATGTAACTGAAAATTTTTGGAAGTGTTGTTTCATTTACTGCTTACCTCTTCATGAGGAGCGATATAAACACCTGGAAATAACCAAAGGCTGGATTAGACCCATAATGAAACCACAAAAAGATGCTGTATTAATAAAATCATTCACAATGCTCCTCCATTAAAGATCTGTGTGCAACCTCACTAAGAGTCACTGGGTGGAGCCTGAGGGTCTACCTCAAGAGGAGACAACCCAGAGCAAAATTCTGCCTTTTCTCCGTCAGCCTTTCTATCCAAGTTCAGTGCCAATTCAACTGAAATAACCCTTTAAGTATACTTTGAAACCTGCTAAACAAATTTTAAGTAACCGAAAATTTCTGACTCAGAGTTTGAGTCACTTTAGAGGCTAACATTACTCTTAGATTGATAACAACATAGTCAACAGCCCATGTAGGCTAACTATAGCATCTCTTTCACTTTGCTTGAACATCTTACACTGCTCATGCTTGCATTTACTGCAGAATAACTAAAAGCAATTTGCACAGTCCGTGCCACATCTTTACACATCTTGGCAGTAACAGTAGCTGCACAAAACGGCATGGGAATACAGCTGCAGGTGAAAATACATGCTAGCCCTCACTTAAACTGAACAAAATATTAGGGCCTTACACAAGAAACTGGCAAAAACACTAAAACAGCCTTTATCAGTAAATACACTTAGGATTTTTTTTTTTTTCCAGTGAAGTCATCAGAGCTCAAGTCCAAGTTTAGACAAGAGTCTTACAAATCAGGACTTGAGCTGGACTCAAGTTCCAGGCATAGATTTGAGTCCCAAATAACAGCAGAAACTGACCTCTTTTCTTGGGAAAACAGAGCAATAAAATGAAGAATATGTTTTATTAGCCTTTATAACCATAAAAATAGACTAAGAAGGACAAACAAAAGATCAACTGAATCTTGGTTGCAAGATAAATGTTGTTATACCTACCAGGACTGGGTGGACGTGCTGGTAAAGGTGAATGCTTTATGTGAGGGTTCCTCCCTGTTCTCCTCCCACCCTGCGGCCCACGATCTGAGATGACAAGGAGGCATGGGAACGATTTTATTTACAGATGTACTTTAACATTTGAATGTTACACTTGAATATCTGAAGGATATGAGCTTTTTTTGATGTAAGTATCAGTGTTAGCAGCAGTGAAAGATATGCTATCTGATATAGGAAGTTTTTGGACTAGATTGACGTCACTGTGGTTACTGACACTGCTGGGAATTTGAACTTAGCTGTTATAGGTCAAGTTAAGGGTGAAGGTTGACTTGGGAAAATACACTATCCATTATCTTTTATAATCAACATTATACAAAAGCACTAAAGCTTATATAATCAACAGATGTGCGTTCACACTCCCAACATTAAGCCACAAGAGTTGTATTTCATTGTATTGTATCATATCACATCTAACCCTAACCCACAATTGTATTGTATTCAACTGTATTCTTTCATATTGTATTGTTTCTGGTGTTTTGAGGCACTTGTCTCTCCTCACCTGTACTCACACTTGTGTACTATCATAAAGTAAATACTCTTTGACTCCTGTGTCACTCTTGCTAGTTAGCTTTTGTGTGCATCTTACTCGGAGGTGAACTTTCTTCAGGTTCTACGTAGTTGTCGTCATCGTTACCGCCATCAGGACTGATGTAGTCGTCCTGCAAAACATCAACATCAACACAACATGAAGGGGTGTCTTTTTCAGCTTTGCACTCACCCTGGGAAGTATTTACCAATACACAGGAAGTGGTGAAACTCTATAAGGCACAGCATTGTTTGTATGTGGACTGAAGCAACACAGGTGTGCAGTGCAGCAGTGTTTATGTATGTGAGGCTGGGTTGCCTTACTTCATCACTTTCCATGTGGGGGGGTTCAGGAGGCAGCTGTTTGGAGGATTTGTCCGGGCGGTGGGGGTTCTTGGGGGGCCGCTCGGGTCGGTTGTGGCAGTTGTCTGGAAAAGAGAAGCAAAAGCAGAATCAGGTTTTTAGTGTTTGCATGAAGCAGCACTCTAATTCCCTTGTGGCTTCGGCTCAGGCCAGTGAAGGGAAGAAATGAAGTAATGCGACTTTAGCAGGAAAAGAGATGACTGCAAAGGAGAAGCTGTTAGAGAAATAGAAACTCCTTATGAAAATGAGTCAACTCAACCTCAACTTTATCATCAGGACTGCGAATGACAAGAAAACCAACATGTGGATAGATTGTTTCCAACAATTGATGACAAAAGAGGATAAGAAACAAGTTTAAAGTAGAGAAGTCATCATTTTCAGTACATGTGACTCATCGTACCGAGATACTCCCCCCTCGGGAAGGAAGCAGAGGGATTGGGGATGAAGTCTCTCTGGCTGGGAGGGGGCATGTAGCTGTCATCGTGCTCCTCATTGGGATTTTCGTATGTGTCATTATCCTGAGAATGACAGTGATTTTTTTAGCTTCCAACATGTATGAACAGTTTCAATCACTTCCAGGTCACATTTTTGCCAACTTACATAATCCGGGTCTGACATCTGGTCTTCAGAATCGTCTGCTGTAAAGACACAAATGTTGAGATGTTCAGTTACCCCAAGGGACAGGTGAGGGGGATTGTTTTTAAATGAGTAAGAGCTTCACTATTTCAGCTTCCAAAGAAATGCGAAGTACACGCCAGGTGTCAGAGTATCATTTCTAATTTAAGCACAGAGAAACCAGCGGAGCGCATCTCCTTATTTTGACAACTGTCAAGTAATCTCTCAGCAAGTAAAACAGTCTCTGTCTGTATGAGGCAATTTGAATAAAACCTTGATTTGAGCACGTTTCTCTTCACTACACAGATACAGAGATATCTGTGATCAAAGCAACACCTGATTTAGTTTGCTTTATATTTCATTAAAATAAAACACTGTCTGTGAGGAAGGAAAAAAAAATACACCCCTTCTCTGTGATATATGTCCTTCAGGACGTGGGTGTGTCATCAGTTTCTTTTCCACCGAAACAAGGAGTGAGTCAGTGGGGGATGTGCTAGACCTCGACACCTGATTCAAATGATCAGCTCGTTATCAAGCTCTGTAATGGCTTAATAACGAGCTGATCATTTGAATCAGGTGTGTTGGAGCAGGGAAACATCCAAAACAGTGGGCCTCCAGGACTGGACTTGAGAACCACTGAGTCAGATGATCTCCTGAGTACAGCGTTTTTTCTTTTCTTTTCTCTGATACTAACACAAAAAGTCTTTTTTTGTACAACTTCTCATTTTGGGAACTAAGAAAATGAAGGGTTCCTTTAGCAGCACCAGTGTGTCTTTTTTTCATGAATGTTAAGACAATAGACGATTGTTATTGACCTTTTTCTTTTCATGATGAAGACCAGACTAAGACAAGCAAAGGTGCTTAAAAATAGTTTTCTTTAAACGACACAAGTGTGACAGTTTTGTCACTTATCTGCAAAAGGTTTGCTGTGGGTACAAAATCTCACTTCCTCCACAGACCTGTATAACTTTAGATTTTTTTTTCCATGATGCATATCAGTGACAAAGATACAATGGTAACACTTAATATGAACCCACCACTAATAATACATACTCAGCACATTCATAAATATAAAAACACATTAAAACTTTCTCAATTTTCTAAAATGTGTAATTAATACTCACAACAAGGTAACTATAACTAAGGGTGCTTTTAGTCAAGTGACAACTCTGTTTGAGGTTATTAGTATTTAAATGTTCCTATAGCACATTTATCAAAACTTATAAGCAGTATTTTGATGCTGTAAACGAAGTCTTGGACAAAAAAAAACAGGAAAAAAAATATTTTTATTGTAATCAATATGTCTTTGGTATTCAGGTATAACTCATTATAAGTCATACCTTTCTAAGCATTATGCTCACAGCTTACAATACGTCATAAACATTGTGATAAGATGTTACGAATGCTTATTATCACTCATGGGGGTTGTAACAAAACCTTATCGATGCATTTGTAAGGCTTCATAAATATGCTAATAATGCATTTTAAGTTGTGGGTTTATTGTTAAGATTGGCGGTATAATGGCGTCAGCTTGATATATCTTTTCTTTAATTTTTTGTTGTTATAAAATAGCCTTATGCTAACGCCAGGATAATTTCTGTTTCGTGATGTTAAGAACATAATGAGTAAAACTTTCACAGCTTTTATTGACTCTGAATCACTGAAGATTCAGACTGTTGTGAACTGAAAGTCTGTCCACTCAACTGTCACTACAGACACAGTTGGGGACGGTCCCTTTTCTTCATCAGCACACACATGTTTAAAATGACTACACTCATATATGTTAATTTCCTAGACTCACACACAAATACAATTCTGTGCCAAACTGATGTGAGTCGAAGCAAAATTTTCCAACTGAACCTGAGATCATATAAGAAAGTGTTGAGAGAGTGAAATGTTGGTTTATAGATTTAATCCTAGAACAAACTTGATACTTATTTCTGTTTGTTGAAATGAATAAGATAACAGAGAGACAGTCGACAAAAAAAATGGCTAAAATGCAATTCAACTAGACTAGTATATAAGACTGAAATGTGTCTTAAACTAAGATATTTTCCTCTGAAGACCAACACTAAATCTAAGATAGATATATCAAATTAGATCTATCCAAACTGGATGTACTGACTACACAGAAATCCTCCATGATGAAGTTGAAGTTTTTATGTTATCATTCTTTACACTGTTCGAACCATAGTATTATATTCAGTGAGATCAGGTTTAAGGCAGAACTGGCTTGTATTTACATGTCTAGGGACATTGTTATTGTCATGGGTGGTGAAGCATGTTGTATCTGTTCTTCTTTATCCAGCATTGAACTTCTCTGGATATGTTATAAGAGAGTCTTAATCTTTGATGGGAAAACATGTTGAAATACATGTTCATGTCACAAAAATAATACCTTTTTTTAAACACAGGATGGCAGAGTCGTGGGGAATTGTGGTATCTTATAAAATTGGGCCCTTCATGCAAAGTCAATGCAAAGACAGGATTAGATGCTTGTTCTACTCGGGCGGCGCAAATAACGCAAATTGCGCGGCACAAATCGTCTGCTTAATTCACACTATTTGTTCTGCATAATTTGTTTCATTTACACTACCCAAGTAGAACACGCGTCCAATCCTGTCCTTGACTATTTGCATGAATTGGGCAGACTATTTAAAGAAGTAACACTATTTGGGACAAATTAACTGATGGAGACAGTATGAGACCACCTCAGCTGAGGGGTAAAACTTATCTGTGACACTAGGCTAGAAGTAAAAAAGAGCTCAGCTGAAGGAAAGAGAGAGAGAGAGGAGGACTGATTATCTGATTAGTTGTTTGAACTTATCAGTTCCTCACAGTGTGGTCAACCTCTGCTGTGTTTGATGTTAACAGACTGACCTGACATGTAGGAACTCCTACCCCCTCTGTCTCCTCTCTTGTAATCACACCTGTTTGGGCTCTCTACAGATGCGAATTATGCAAGTAAATACACAACTTTCGCACATCCTGACAAGCATTATTAAAGCAAATGGATGATTTTAGTCGCGCCTGGTGTGAATGCAACATAACATCAGTAACAGTGGCATGAGGACCCTTGTCGGACAAGAATATTGTAAAAATCTGGTAAATCTTGAAAAAGTTGGTTGACTTGCTAATCAAAGGTGTACACATAACCAAAGCACATTGTACAAATGTAGAAAAGTGGCATCCATTTATCGGTGCAGTCTGTCATTTGACACTTTAGAGGCTCAAGGTGAATTTTATGGGTCAGTCTAAAACTGTGGAGGTTATGATTTTGACTTCAGTTGGCCTATCTCAGCCTGTGAATCTAACAAATATACAGCACACCCTCACCAGCATCATAAACATGGTGAATGACTGTAAAATGACACGAGTGTTGTTTTAGGACAGACTTGAATTGAGAAATTTGTGGATATCTGTGGATGAACACTCAGCTGTGCTCTTCTTCACTTCATAAGCAGCTGCAGGTAACACCTTTCTCTTTGTGTTTCTAACAGATAAATAAATGAGTGTTTCACACATGCATGTTTGACAATTATAATAGGACAGTTCTTACCTCTGTAATCTCTGGCAGGAACTTTTGGGACTGGTTTGCTCTTTAGCCTGTTATACAGAGAGAAACACAGACATCAGCAGCAAGAAGTAAAGAAGTTATTTCATCTTTGTCTAGTTTCATTTCATTCAATGAAACAGAGGAGTGTGATATCAAGTTATGGAGAACAAACAGAACATACAGTAAATGAAAACAGAAAGATCATCATAGAGCTATAAAAGGATCAGGTGGGCGGTGACTCAGCCCCTACTGAGGACAGTGATGATGGTACAGATACCTGGATTACACATGTTACTCAGCTGCTGATAATGCACCTAAATCACATGATCTTAGCATTATTGAAAGTTATCATACTGGACATCAGATACAGCAATAGAACAATTACACATCAGGAAATGGAGAAAGGAGCTGATGCATCTGCTGCATATTTGTGTTATTCTGTCAAATGCACTAATCAGTCAAAAGCTGCTTTTGATTATTGCGTTGAATAAAATGCAATGTAAATATTTGTTAAGCACTTTTTTTTTAACATTTACTGATTTTTTGCAAATACAACCAAGCCTTAATGATTATATGTGGCTTCTTGATTAGTTTACTTGCTGGAAGAGGACACTATTTATGAGATTGTTTCATAAATTACCTGTGATGAACAAAAAAAGCAATTATCAGGCCGTTCAGCAGTGTCAGAGTGACTTATCATTGTAATAATCTTGATTTAAGTCTTTGCTCTCTTACAGAAGGACTCTCTCCAGGTGTGTGTACTGTGTTAACAAAGTCAAAGGCTTCGTTAACACAGTACACACACCTGGAGAGTCCTTCTTAAGGTGAGGAGTTTTTAACAGGTGGAGAAACAGACTAAAACTGATAATGATACTTCTGTTAGACCTTCAAAAGCAAACAAGGCCATCAACAACAAGTTTGATTGTCTCTCTGAAGAGATTGTTAACACTTGAAAATGCTGTGAAGTGATGATTGACATTGCAAATACTCACACTAAGAATTATATTTTGTTGTTTGACAAAAGACAACAGGATAAGGTTTTTGCCAGAAGCAGTATTTTTATATAAACAGGACAAGAAGAATAATAATTTTGTCAATCCCTAAATGGAAATGCAAGAGATAGAAGATATCACTTTGTCCTCAGGGAGCAGCAACATCAACATCAACATAAACCAAACGTCCATTAAAGCTTAAGTTTGTCACGGCTTATAAATCAGCTGACATGTGACAGGTTTTTGTACGCTGTAAACAAAAGTTATGAGGAGGTAAAAGAAGAACATTCATCACTGCTTAGAGCAGTGTGCGCTAAGACACACAGATATTTTGAGCAGACACCACTGAGGTAGCAGTGGCTTGTATGTCACATCAAGCATATTCACACAAATAGTTGCACATTATTCAAATTTTGTGTCTTTTTTCAGAAGCAACTCAGACAGAGAATCTCCCAGAGCCCCTTTACACCATTTAGTACAAGTTATCATTTGACTGACACACTAATAACAAAAGAAACGAAGTACAATTTGAAATCTACACCTTTGGACCATGACATGCTTATCACCTGGTACATAAACTTCAACATACTGTTCACACTAATATTTTTTTCCTTTCTTTGACAGTAGAGTTCAGTAAAAGTGGCAGGTCTGTTTCTATTATCTGTTCATTCAGTCATCTCCTTGTTTCTCTTTGTCCCTGATGCCTGTTTTATTTTGTTTTTCATGTTTTTTATTCTGCCTTTTTATTCTATGATACTTTGATTTCTTGTGTTGTATCTACTATTTTGTATGTGCTGTGTAGCACTCAGGTCTGCAGCTGCTGCCTTTATAATGTGCCTTTCAGACAAATCCAACTTGACAGCATTGCCGTATATCTAAGCATTTACAGAGAACTTAGCAGAGCAGAGTGTATCTAATAACTTAAAGTCGTATTCATCCTAACGAGCTTTAGGAGAACTCATTTCAGGAAAGGTAAGTGAGAAGGGTGCCATCTGTTTGGGTTTTTCTGTTTTGTAGTCCTCTGTTTTATTTCTGCGCTTACGAAAGAGGAATCGAAGCATGATAACAACACAGAGTGTTTAGACCACAAACCATCTCAGAGAAGTGTCTCCTACGAAAAAATTTATAACACGTGATCCTTTTTTCAGAAATATTTCCAACCACTTTTTCTTTAAAAGCACTTACCTTTTGATTTTGTCCAGCAAGCTGCCGTCATTTTTCTTGATGTCTTGGACGATCTTCTGAAGCTGCCTGAAAAACACAGAATATGTGCTTCAGAAATATGTTAAGAAATGTTTTTTTTCTCTCTTCCTCTTAGCTGAAAAAAATACTCCTAACTTTTCATTTATGTGGCAGTGAAAGCCTTCATTTTTATTCTTAAAATAAAGTCTCTGTAACTCTTTGTTGCTTTGGTTAGAGATAATCTCATAATTTTAAGAAACAGTGTCTTGATTTTGGTCAATGGCTGTAAATAAAGACAGGAATAACGGTATAAAGGTTCAGCTGGAAGTGTTAATGTGACATTGTTCATAAAATTCAGAGCAAATCTTAAATGACAGAATTTCATACCTGATCTTGGCTGAAGCAGGAGCAGCAAGTTTACTTAACGTTTCCATATTTATGTTTAATCAAAAAGTTCAGGTGTCATAATCCTCATTCCTCTGAAGTCTATCCGTGTTGCCAAGTCTTTGTCACAAACCCAAATGAAACCTGCCTTTGGCTTGAAGTCTTTTGTCACAGGGGGGAGGGAGTTCAGTCTAGTCAGGCTGTGTAAGAAAATCACTTCCCTTTTTCACTCCCTTAAAAACAGATTTCTGTGAGCACACTCTTAACAAACGTATTGCATCACATCGCTCCTAAATTCCCCTTTTATTTAGAGGCTGTCATTTTTACAGAGGCTCGTTTCTGCACATTCAGAGGATTGTCATGTTTTCTCAAACCAAGTTCACTCAGACGTGCCTGATTTCTTCAATTTCTCACAGCAGCTAATACCACAACATCATCAGCAAAGAGTTGTGCTACTGTGTTAAAAGCTACTGAACAGAAGTCATGAAATAGTGGTTTATATTTTGGCTGTTGGGCTATTGTTTACAGAAGTTATCAATGACTTTTACACCTTTATATCAGACTCCTGATCTTGAATGTTAGAGCTCAGTCAGTCTTTCAAACAACAATTATTTTTTCCCATGGTCACTATTTATTTAAAGGACGACACATCTCTTTTAGATATTTGCTTTGTTAAGTTGAACTTATTGTACACTTCTGTTGTGTGGACCTAAAAGCCTTTTAAACCTCTACTCACAGGATCTGTGAGAGCTACAATTCAAAAGTCTTAATAAGTCCAATAGAAATTCACTTCACATAAGATAAGTTTTGAGTGATGAGAGATTGCAGGTATCTCAAATACCCTTGTTTACTAGTGTAAATGTAATTTCCACTTGTTACAGCTGCATTGTGTTTCTCTCACCTGCAATTCAAAAAGCATGTGTACACAGTCTGTCACCATTCTTGGTCAGGTCTCCCTTGAAAAAGAGATCTCGGAACTCAGTGTACTAACCTGACTAAATAAAGATCACATAAATGGAAAAAAAGAAAGAAATTTGGAAATTAACCTGGACTAGTTACACTTTAAGTTGATGTTTGTGGGAAGTGAACTACAGCTGTAAACAGCTTTAACTCTGAACAGACAGGTATAAAAAGTGGGATGTTATATTTGATTTTGGAAGTAGATATTCCAAGATGCTAGTTAGATATGCAATTTGAAATCCCCCCAGTCCCTGAAACCAGAATACAGCCTTGGAGAAACTTCTACAATCCTGTGTGTAAAAATCCAAGATGACCACCCCCTGCAAACTAGCTTTACTTCTAAGAGTCTATGTCAGTTACAGTAACACCAATCACACTGATTTTATCTATAACATGTTGTCTTCTAGTTTTAGCTAACAGTGCTAATCACAGCAGGAGCAGATAGTAACTTTATGACGTGTTTAGATTTTGAAATAGAGCAGCTTAAATGTGACACAATACCTATCTCTGGTACTTGAGGTAAAATGAACTCCCAAGAATTTTCAAGCTGAAATTCACAATAATAAGGGCTGCCAGTGTTACTGCAATAATGAAGACGTAACTGTGGTCAGACATTTTCAACAATGTGTGATGTTGTCACTTTTAACTCACCTCAGTTCATTGCCAAGCCTTCATGCTTCCTGCTACCATATCACTGTGCTTTTGAATGGTGTAAAAGAAAAAAGGCCAAAAGCAATATGCTCTTTTTGTCAAACGGATGATATTTAGATCCATAAATGAAGTTAAACTGAAGAAGGTAGGAGTGCTTACTGAATGAGTGGCTGGAAACTCTAACACATGACAGTTTTATTCTTTAAAGCTCCCATAAGGTTTTTTTTATTTTATTTTATTTTTTATTGATATTTAAAAATAATAATAATTTTTTTTTTTGATTGGAGGTAATATAATTGTTAATGCCTTTTGAAACCAATGAATCGATTTTTTTTCATGCAGAAACTGAAAAAAGCTGTTGTTGGTGTTTGCATTTGCTGCCTGAAAGTGTTGCCATACTGTTGGCCTGCTTAAAGAGACACCGGGTCATTAATGCGTCATGCTGTGTTGTAATCCTGCTAAAAAAAAAAAAGAGCTGACCTGGAGCCTCAGCAGACCAGTAGGATGGTCCATGTTCATACAGCCTGTTTGTGGTCACGAAGGGTTTTTTTGGTCTAAAAAAGTCTGTTCAACCATTGCTACAGTGAACCACAGATCAGAGGAAGATGGACCAAGAAGATATGTTAAAGCTGTGAAGAGTTTTTGAGATTTATTTTAAGGAAGCAGCCGTGAGTGATTCATGATGGCTTGAGTAAGCCTTTTCTTAGTATTTTGTCTATTTTTGGCTTTTTTGATACGATCAAATGTCATCATATGTGGTAAGGTTTTCTGTAGCTGTGATATCTGTGCAGATATCTTTTTTTTTCTTATTCCTTTAGTCCAAATGTAGTTTCACAGAAAAACACCTGTACATGTAACATCCTGGGAACTAAGAGAGAAATGTATGGAAGCCCAGGAGGGCCAATACCACACTGACACTTAAGTATTGTTGAAAATACGTTTGACATATCTATGGAGGTCCAGAGAGGCATTTGAGGAAAAAAATCCAACGATTCATTCATTTTAACCTTTAATAGTTATATCTAAGTGTGACCTTAGGACATGTGTGAACATGTTTTGGCATTGACCATCTTATCAAGTTCCTCCATTTTTCCACATTTGAGAAGAAAAATGACGAGACAGAGTTTAGGCATGTTTAGGCAATATTTTTTTCTGGATCAATATTGTCTAAATTCTGTAATTTTTTTGACATTATGTCCTGTTTGCATTAAAGGGAAATAACACTATTTTCTTGTTTAATTCATATAGAGCAGTGGTTCTCAAGTCCAGTCCTCGAGGCCCACTGTTCTGCATGTTTTGGATGTTTCCCTGCTCCAACACACCTGATTCAAATGATCTGCTCGTTATCAAGCCCTGTAATGGCTTAATAACGAGCTGATCATTTGAATCAGGTGTGTAGGAGCAGGTAAACATCCAAAACATGCAGGACAGTGGGCCTTGAGGATTGGACTTGAAAACATAGTTATATCTAAGTGTGACCTTAGGACATGTGTGAACATGTTTTGGCATTGACCATCTTATCAAGTTCCTCCATTTTTCCATGTTTGAGCAAGAGAAGATAGAGTGTCCTGCCAGCAGTCCTGACCTCAACTCCATTAATCACCTCTGGGATCAGATTGGGTGTGCTGCTTATGCCAGACTGACAAACACAACCCTATTGGCTAACTTTAGGCAAATTCTGGTTGAGGACTGGGTTGTCGTCAAGACAGCAGTGCGTACCAAGCCAGCAAGAGGAGGAGGTGCCAGGCTGTTGTGTTATGTGTATGGTTTTCTACATGTGACTGAGGCTCCTGTTTGTTAAATATAAAAATTGTTAAATTGCCAATATGTTTTATTTCTTCAGAGTTCAACCATCCAACCCATGAAAAAACTCCAAAAAAGGGTCAGTGGCAAAATAAGTTGTTCAGTGTTGGCATAAAAGATTTGGCAACTTTTTCATGGGCACAACCCACATACTCAGCTCTGCTGCTCATCCCACACATGCATGTTCCTTACAAAAGTCTCACCATTTATAAGGAAAGAAAAAAAGGTTTTTCATCAGAAGTATTTTTATATCAAAGAAATAATCTACCAAACATACATTTCCTAAGTTTTTGTGCTAAGTTTAGACATCATTTTTTTCTGCCTTGCTTTTCTTTGAAACACAGATAGTCATGGACATACAGAAAGAGAAGAGAAAGAGAGAAACCACTTTCAGACATGCAAAATGTTCCTGAAAATTCCCCTAAAGTACCCGGGTGAGCTCTGTGTGTGAGCTCGAGCAGCTGAGATTTTCACTCTGATAGATGAACTAATATCCTCTATCACTCAATACTCTCAGAGGTGATAAGCTCACTTTAAAAAAAAAAAAACACAATGTTGACCCGGAAAGACCGGCACATTATGGGATAAAGATAATGTAAAAGGTTGTGAGATGGCCTTATGCTCACTTATTTATCTGTTGACCTATTATGTCATGTCTTCTAAGTTTCCTTTTACTTCTGTTGATTCATTGGTTAAGTTTCCTTTATTTTTGCACAGTAATGTTTCATGGCATGTTCTTCCTGTTTTAATTTGTTGATCACTAAACTTTGTTTCTATCTTTTTGATTTGTTCCTGTCTGATCTGCCCCGCCCCCATCTTATCACACCTGCAGCCTGATTGTGTCTCCTAACCTGTTTCCTATCACCTTCATGACCTGTCTCATACCAGCATTATTCATAGTTATTGTTAAGCCGCGTATTAACTTTGTCTGCCTTTTCGGACTTTGCCTTTTTGACTCACGTTTTTGGATACCTTCGCATGACCTGACTGCCTTTTTGTGAACCAAGCTTTGCCCGTTCTTCGATAAACTGTTGGACAAACTGATTCAGTGTTGTGCCATTGTTTCCTCTTTTCTGTCCCATGACATATTAAAGGAAAAAAAAAACAACTTTTATGCAATCACTGACACTAACACAGTGGTGGATAAACAAACAAACATAGAGACAGGGGGTTGAGGAGGAAACAAAATAAAAAATGGTGATTTAAAGAATAACTAAAAACTTATGAAAGAACAACATTAAACGATCAGTGTTTTTAATCTTGGATAAAGATTGTTAAACATCATATCATGACAACACCATGACAAGGCAGATGTCACAGATATCAAGTGTGAGCTGTGGAGTCAAGTAATGTGCATGTCTGAGAATAGCATCTACAGAGAGAGAGAGAGAGAGAGAGAGAGAGAGAGAGAGAGAGAGAGAGAGAGAGAGAGAGAGAGAACAAACAGGAACTTGTTCCCCAAACAAGAACAGGTGCACCAAGCCCATTGACAAGAGCTCTGCACACACGTACAAATCCAGCTGCAGCTCAGCACAAAGACTACCTACATTATATACACACTTGAGAAAATGCACTGAGCTGGAAAATCTTTGACAAAAATAAACAGAAAGACAGTTGCTGACAGCAGAAAATAATGGAGTGAGTTGAGGTGATAAGGTAGGTGGTATGATCAAGGTATGAGTGTAAAAATGTTACTTACGGTTGGTGGATGGGGCTGAACTTGAACAAAACACTGTCAGACAAATTCTGAGAAAAAAAACGAGGGAAGAAAAACATAAATAAAGTTTGAAAATGTAAGTTAATCAGAATGTTGAGAGTCCCCAGATGAGTGTGATGGAGTCTATCATTTTCACTGAATACATGCTTTTGAGATGTAATTGTTAGTTAGTTAGTGCATTTCTTGTCCCTTCTGGAAAATTTGTTTTCACATATTCTGTAGAAGCACATTACACAGAGAAGCACATCACATTGGTTCACTAAACACAAAACAACTCAACAAAATAGGGTGTAATGAGGCTGCAATATGGTCTATGCTGTTCTTATGTAAAATCAGTAACTCTGGCGTTGTTTGTAGATTTCAGCAACTGATTTTTGACTTGTACAATTGAATCCTTGAGTCATATTTTACCCACACGTCAGAAAAATTGTTCAGTGATGCTTTAACCAATTTTTAAAATAAAACCAGTTCTCTCTCAATCAAACCTTCAAAAAGTCATTCAGGCCATAATCTGCCTTTACTGGATTAACTAATCAAACCTGTTAGTTTTACAGTTGATTTATTTTGCATGTGCGGCTCCAGCTCCAAGCTACACTACTGATGCCAAATGAGCAAAACTGCAGCTTCGGACTGAAATTCCTGGTTGTCCCAATGCCAAAGCTTAAATTTAAAGGACATAGAGTCTTTGCCATCTGGGCCCTTGGACTATGGAACAACCTGTCAGAAGAAATAAGGTATGCAGGCTCAGAGATGTCTTTTAAAAGACTTCTTAAATCGGTTAAGTTGGATTGAGTAGTATTCCTTCAAATGCCTGGGAAGTGAGAGTGGCCAAGAAGCTGCATTCAAGCAAAACAGTGGGGTTGAGACAACAGAGTGCATGGATCACTAGATCTCAGGGTCCAAGCTGTGGAAGATGGAATCTTTCAGCATCAACATTCTCATTTGCCAGTATATGATATCCTACTCAGCAGCCTATCAAACCCTTTTGAGTCACCATCAGGTAAAAGAAACACTGGAGAACATCCTCAACAGCTGGCCGAAAACATTGGGGGAGAGGCGCTACTGCTGGCACCATCGATCAAGTCAGGTATTTCCGACCAGCGAGACACCGCACTACATCTTTGAAAGCAAGTGAACACCGAAACCTCAACCCTAAAACTTTGGCAGACTTCTTGTGAACAGCCTATGATTGGAAAATGGGGGTGGAAGTAGAGAAACATCTCAAATTTCCTGAAAACATCATGGAAACCACCTTCAAGACCAGACGTTTTGCAAATGGTCACGCTAGAGCTGACTGTCCCCTGGTAGGATGGTATGAGTGTGAAACGGTGGGTGGAAGAGGCGCTGAAGGGAAGTGACTGTGGAAGGCCTATATCTGCCTGGGTTTTAGAGGCTACAGAGAAAGCCTTATTAGGGCTGTGGATCAGGAGGGAAAAGCTGTGGCACCGACTTGGACACAGGACTGATCGCTTCAGAGTTACTGTTAAAGCTGCCCAGAAGGGCTCTTTTGGGTCGTGTTGACTTTAGCGCCTCCTGTGGACAAAGTGACACCTGTTATCTATTATCCCAAACCTGTGAAAGATAAACACCATGGCCTGTTGTCTTTTAACAATGATATTTATCACTCACTGTAAGTTTTTGCTGTGTAAAAGTCAAAAAAGCTGTTCTTGTCAGCTTGCTGTAAATCTGACACCTCTCTTGCAGCATTTTTCAGCATGAAAAATTACTACAGTGAAATGTCACAGTTGGTCTCATTTGCTTTTCAGGTCCTGAAGAGGTCCTAATCTGTCTCTCATCCAGTTTAAAACTCCTCATAATACCGTTAGAGGAATCTATCATTGTCAAAGTTGTATTAAAAATAAACATTACCTTTACAGCCTTTTTTTCCCAGCACATTCCGCTTTGAATATTGATTATATAGTTTAGTTTTGATTAAAAAAATAATAAACTACATCTATAGGCACAGATATATGTGAATAGGATATTGGAACATAACATCCGCATGTGAGATTACATGCACTCCATATTGAAATTGTTTCTCAAAAATCTGCAAACTCAACATTTGAATTGGTCAAAGTGATGGGTTGATGTAATGAAAGTGATAACCACTGTGCCTGAATGTTTAAAGTGCATCACCTGTGAGCTAACAGAAGATGGCAGCATGTCACTGAAGGCATATTTAGGAGCAGAAACTCTTTTTTTTTTTTTTCAAATGTGACCCTCATGTTTTCTCTAAACTGATTAAAAGAAAAGAAGAAATCCTTCAATTAGTTTCCGCAGAAAAGCTGCAGGGCCAGACCAACTTTACAAACATGTACTGTATATATGAACACATATTAGTGTGAGAAGCTGCAGTAAATCCCCGGAGAAGCCGCTCAAAAATAGCTCAAGGACGGGAGATTAAAAAACAATAATTTATTGACATACTGTGTGTAACTGGAACTAATTTTTTTCTGTTGCTTTTAATGTCTGCTTTGCAGGAAGGCAATTGTGATTTGTAAATGAAAGGAAATGATTACCATAAAATATGCAACAAATCCCATTAAATTATGTATTCCTCTCCTCATTTGTTATTCATGGCTGCAGGTCGCTTGTGTCTTTGCTGTTTTATATATTTTACATTTCATGTTGTAGAGATCTCTGAATGTGAAAGTTGGATTACTTTATTTTATGTGTTGAATAAACTGATATAGAATCAGCTTGAGTTAATGTGAACCTCATGTCTGCAATCCATTTCGATATGGTAATGGAGCGTAAGTAATTTATGAAACAGGTACAGGCCTGATAGTGCAGCCGCCAGTGTGTGAATATGGGAGCCTCAGAGAGACAAAAAGATGTATTTTCTCCAGGAATCACTGGGTAGTACAGTGAGAGCTCTTTGAGGAGAGCTTGTGCTTTAATCATTCTCAAATCAGACAGTGTGATCACTTAATATGAGAGACTTTACCTCCCTTAAACAACTGAACCTTGGCCTCACAAATACACCCTGGATCATCCCTCTGGCTTACAGGAGAGAAAAAAATGAATAAAGCGGGTATAAAATCAGACTTAGCCTTTTGACACAGAATAAAATATCAAATAGTCTGCCCCTGTGGATACACCGAGGCTCCGCTATCATGTTGAATTATTTATAGGAGGGTCTGTGTGCTTGTTCATATGAGACACAACAGCTCAACAAGCTGCAGCGTGTCGATTGTACTATGGACCAGAGACCTCACTCTGTCTTTTGTCTGAGCCATAGTTAAATTAGCATGTTTGAAGTCGACTCTTTTTGTCTCCGGGGTGTGATTCCCTCTGAACTCCTGCTTGTGTGATGTGACCTGCCTGAAAAGTAATGTGTTCTCACGCATGCCACATTTTAGCACTGCTAAAAGATACATGTCCTCTTTATTTAGTCCAGAGGGGCCGCAAGTCTACAGGCAGGTAATGACGGCTCAGTGAGGCCACATGGGCATGTAAAAACACCAACAATGTGCTACTTATCAAATAGATGAGGTTTTGCATGAAGACGCAGAGTTAGCTTAAGGGTTTGGTGATAACTGTGGTGTGGAGGAATGTGCTCTGTTTTCAACCCCACCAACATGCATCAATAATCTGTACAAAACATGGGCATAGTCTAAGTGGCCTATTGTTGTTTTCTGAGGAGGTGAAATGCAGCTCAAAGGAGCCAGTCACAAATGTAGAAATGCTGGCTCAAACAAACCTTTGATCAATCTGGAAAAGACTGAAATAAGGACGTTATATGAAAAGGACAAGATGAGCAAAGACTACTTTGTCAACAGGTGCAAAAAATGGGCACAAACCAAAAGTTCGTTACAGGAACTTTAAAGGGAAGATGAAACAATTAATTAAACAATAGTGATGTGGGGATTATTATGATACACACAGAAGTAATGATAGCAGTGGTACAACTAGTTCTAGTTCACATACAAGCAGTTTATTTAGAGTAAGATTGTCAGGTTTCTATTTTTAGGATTCAGATTTGGTGGTTTCATTTAGAATTTAATGGTTTTCCCGACTCAAAAGTTCACTTTTCCTCAATCGTGCTGGTGTAACTCTGTGACCCAGAGCTCCTCAGACAGGGTGAGATGAGTGACATACTGACGTTTTACACACTGGACACACTGGAAAAACAAATTTCCACATTGGAAAATACACATGAACGCCTGCCCACAACAATTTTGACCTCACACGTATCAACGGCAAAGAGGTGTGACCTAGCCTCATTATAGGGGTCACTTTTAATAGTATTAGTACTTGCTCCTTAAAAACAAGTCAAGTACAATGGCTAAAGCAACATTTCTTTTGTTTATTAGCACTCAAACTTGACAGGAAAGCTACCACAAAGTAAACCCAGACTTTCCAAAAAAAAAAAAAAAAAAAAAGCATATGACTCAAATTTTCAAAGCCATAACTCAATTTTCAGAGTGCTTTGCTCCATAATACTTGGAATTTAAGGACATTATGCCAAAAAAAAAAAAAAAACAGTGGCAGAGTACACTGCTTACTTTTGTTTGACTCACTCAAAAATCATCTGAATTGTGTTACTGTTTCCTGTCTAAATTCAGCTCTCTGCTGGGATCAAAACAATCAATTTTTTTCCCAACACTCAGAAGTTTGAGCAACAGAAGCCAAAGGTTATATCGCTTGAAAAACATGGTTCAATGACCATGAATCCTTGTTTCAGGATGAGTCGTAGCTTGAATCCGAAACATTTACTTTAAAAAAAACTGGGATCTGGAGATGTCGTGTGGAATCAACTTTGGTTTTAACACTTTAAGAGGTCGCAGGTAGAGCTTCACTGGTTTAAAGGTCGTGGCCTGGAAAGTACAGACATCTTGGCTCTTTTCAGAGTTCTGTTAGTAAAAAATCTCAATTTCAACCAAAATTAACACATGAACGACCACTTTTGTTTCACTTCACATGTAGCTGTGTGCTCTGTGTGAAAGGCGGACAGAGTGTGAAGAAGCTGATGTATGAAACACCTCCGATGCTTTTCTTCTAAATGAGCTCCATTTCACAACAAAGGGAACAGCTTTGCAGATACTTGTCCCCCAAATTACCTCTGGTTTTTCACAGCAGCTGTTCGGCAGCTGTCCCATGACTGTCATTAGGTGAAAGACTTTCCACATGTTCGCAAATCTGCACTAAGTGTTCCAAAACCACAAGTGTGACAAGCTAATTCTGGTTTTCTCCTTCAAGACCCTAAATGTGCTCTCTGTTTCCTGCATCACCAACTTAAAACCACATTTTGTGGGGCTGTAGCTGAACTGCACTGGCACCTGATTTCTTTATTTTCTACTTCTTATTAGCTTTGTTAGGGGTGTTTCATCTTCAGTGTTTGATCCAGCAACAAAGTAATCATGTCATATATATGTGAGTGCATATGCTGTGTCTCATTCTGATGGGCCCTTTTTTGTAGAGATGATGACAGACACAGCAGTTAAAAGTGACATCCACACAGAGGCAGCGTGACACAGATAGAGGCTGACAGCTCTTTTGATCTGCTACATATCTTTTTTAACCTGTCTACCTGTGTGAGCGAGCACGGCATCAAAAAGATGGAGATTACCTTTATCTGCGCCGTGCTGGCTGACTGTCATTCCCATCTAAGCTGAAGCAGACAGCCACGCATCACGCTGACAGAAATACATTTTACTTTTATTGGTCACTTTTGCTGCAGCCTGTTTGAAAATAATACAGATTTTAGACATCCAGCAAGTGTCATCATGGAGGATGAACTGAAAATTTGAACTGAAATGAAAACAGATCCTGATTGTGCATCAGTTTCTTACAAGGCCTCTTCTGTGAATATATAGAAAAATGTTGTATTATCATTGTTGTAGACCGCTTCCTAAACACCTTTTTGTAGCACAGCCAAAATTATTTATTCAGTGTTTTTGGGATGCACCTCACATTGACAATCTGATTTAAATTGGGCCAGGCCACCCTGGCCACTCCCCTGGGATCCACCCCTGCTGTTAGACATAAACTACTACCTGAGCTCATACCACTGCACACACAAACCCTTAAATGCAACATAATGAATGCAAACACAGAGCCACTCAGACAGCTAGATTTGCACAATTTTAGCAGGATGCTGCCTCATATCCCACACCTTTAGTTCACCATTTCTACCTGGCAGTGAAAGACACTAAGTCACTTCCCTCATGCAACAGAAAGCACTGGTTTTAAGTGTGCAGACATATTAGAGGGGGGGGGGGGGGGGGGGGTCCTGTTAAATCAAATATTTGGCTTTTTCTGTTGAGATGTGTATTTGAAGTGAGGAAGTCACATGGTTTGTTTACACTGAAACTAATACTGCTTTCATTTATTTAACTTTTGTTTCATCAGGAGAACATTGGCAAGATTAAAAAGCTCTTTTACAAGCAAGTTACAACAGTTTAAAGATTTCTTCTGATGTCATTGTCTAAATAATTATCAGTTTGTAACTTATTCTAGCAGACATCATCATCTTTGCTGTGATGCTCTACATTTGCTCTTGACAGTGCTAAGAATACTAGAGGATTCACAGAGCCCTCTGCTGGGCCAACTGTTTGCTGACATTACTTCCTAAACACCTTTTGCATTGTTTTTGGATTGCATGTAGATGAAATAGTTTTATTAATATTTCTAAGAAGCCAATTTAAGACTAAATAGATCAGCTAATGGCGACAGGTTAAACAGATGTAAGATGTAAGTTCTTCTTATATCTTACATCTGTCTAACCGTAACCCTTTTCATTTTAAAACTGGATCCTGATAGAATAATATTTCCAAACTACCCACATTATTTTGTTTTTTGAACTATAAATATCAAGAGTGATTCATTAGTAACAGCTTGTTCTATATCTCCAGCTATTTGTTTATCTGGAGGGCTGGTTCACGCCATGTTGGGGCTGCTGGTGAGATTGTGTTGTCTTTTGCTGCTCCTCAGTTTGGTTGTATCTCATAAAATACAAATTTGACTCATTTTTGGTTTATTTTTTCTTTAAAAAATCTTCATTTTAAATTGAGACCAATACCACTCTGATAGCATCACTGCAGAGACTTATTTTTATATGGATCTAGTTTACTTTGATGCCTTTATAGTGGGGACTTGTGCGATTTTTGTTGGGTTATAAACCTTTATTTTGGTTCAATTTTGTGCAAAGTTAGCCCTTTTTTATCCAATAAATATATATTAAACATAACATATTTAAGACGTGTACCTCCCTCTGGCTATTCTCAAACATCTAATCATTAGAAAAACATGAATTCATTGATATCACCATTACTTTATCATAACATTAAAGGTTTTCATGCATTCAGACACCTTTTTTTAAGTTGAACCATTGGACCTTTACCTTTCTTCACCTGCTGCTCTCTCTCACTCTCTCTTATTCTCTGCTCACCATCTGCAGTTCTCTGAATAGACTACGTGAGAATATGCTCTGTGATCACATAATAACGAGGCACTAATTACACACTAGCACCCACAGTAATGATGAAGAGAAAGATTAGAAACCTATTAGTCCACACACTTCTGCCGAAGTTACAGCAGGGCCCAACCTTTTATACCTCTACGACTGTTTCAAAACAATCAGAAAAGTCTATTTTCAAGAACATCATGCTGCACTCTCTCCTCTACACCCTACCTAGTCTACACCTGCTTCAACTGAGTGAGTGAATAAGTGAGAGATACAGAGGCCCAGTGAAGCTGATAATCTAACTGTAGGTTTGTGGGTTTTTTCTTTCATGTCCAGGCTACATCAACATTTAGCGATCCTGTGAGTGCCCCCTAAGACAGGGTTCCCTCAGCAACCATCTACTTCCTCTTTGCTTTGAGCCAATCCCGGCTGTCAAGTCCAGTTCTTGCATCTGTATGATGAAGAGATTCTGTGGGTTTAATGTAAAGCAGGAACATTTGAAGCAGGGCTCTACATGGTCTTTGGACTGAGATTTAGATCTGAGTTGCCCACTTCTTTTTGACCTTTGCTCCATGTACTGTATAAATATGTGATGAATATTCAGAATGAGCTAAAGGCGAAGTTCAGCAGCAGCAGCAGCAGCAGCAGGATGACATTCAGAGCCCAGTGTACAGGCCCTCTCTGCCCTCGTACGCATGCTGAGTTACTGATGAGTCAAACTGAATGTATCGTGAACTAAAACTCCTCTTTTTCTGCTGCATGTCAGGGAGAGCGATCTCAGTCAAGTCATGTTGTTGCCCTGCAGAAAAACATTTGTAAATCATGCTATTTTGTGTTTTAAAGTTCAGCGCTTTTCCAGAGTTTTTGTTAAAAATTTCAGGCTTTCCTATTTTGCAGCAGATGAAGCTGTAAGGAGAAACTTGGAGCAAAGCTGTTTTTTAAACTGTTATTGATGTTCAGTTCGTGTAGGATGTATCATCATATCTTGTGCAAGAAGTTCAGTCCTAGAAATCTAAGATAGCAGATAGAGAAACTTTCTTATTTCCATTAAATGCTCTTTTTGAGCTGAGCCGTAACGTGAAACTCTCGATTTACTGGTTGATCTACGTGTCGACCCTCACCACGGTCATGAACTATGGGTAAAGACCGAGAACGAGAATGCGGATACAAGTGGCCGAAATGGGTTTCCTTCAGCCTCAGTGCTCAGAGTAGAACCGCTGCTCCTCCACGTCGAGAGGAGTCAGCTGAGGTGGCTCGGGCATCTGGTTAGGATGCCTTCTGGACGCCTCCCGTTAGAGGAGTTCCAGACATGTCCCACCAGGGGCAGACCTCGTGGCCGGCCCAGGACCAGGTGGAGTGATTGTATCTCTCACCTGGCCTGAGAGCGCCTGGGAATCCCCCCGGAGGAGCTGGTGGAAGTGGCTGAGGTGAGGGCCGTCTGGGCCTCCCTCCTGAAGCTGCTGCCCCCGCAACCCAGACCCAGACAAGCGGAAGAAAACAACTACAATGACAATGACGACGATGACGCTCTTCTTGTCCTGTTCCTAATCTGATCATCTCTGTAATTATTGAAAGTTTGGGTATTTTCCACGTTACATTAAAAAAATCTTCAAGATCTGAACTTGTCAAAATCCTAAATCAAATATCTCAGAAATATCAGGAGTTCCAGTTTACTCTTATTGTATAATTTGATCTTTTTAATCTCTGGTCATGGTTCATTTTTAATGTCCCTACATAAAACAAATACACACGAATAGTTAAGTTAGATTTCATAAGCTCTGGCACTACACTGTATAACTCGGGCCTGACTGTCTGAACTGAGGGTGACCAGAATCAACCTTTCCTCCCCCTCATAAAGTTTGATTTAAAGCTACCCTTCGAAGTCACATTCTCACTCAAACATCATTTCTCACACTACTGTGGAAAGCTGTCTGAGCGTTTATTCCATGTACTTGACACGGAGCAACGGTCTCCTTTCTTAATTCAGTCTCTGACAGCACTGGTTCACAAAGCTTTAACTGTACACAGTAAAAGCTCTGACCTGTAAGGGTCAAATGCCCGCTAGTTACAGTAGTTAGGCCTGTGTGATAATAGAAGAAGAGGGGTGTTTTGCAGACGTATGTAAATCCACACTGAAGTCTTTTCAGTTCCCCTTGGTTTAAAACAGCTCTGTGGTTGAATGTCTGCACTGAGACAGCGAAGATTACAGTTACAGCTGTTGTAAAATCCTCCTGCAACAGGAAGCGACATTTCACGACCAGAGACAAAAATAGAAGAGGAGCTGGAAAGGAGTATTGGCAACAGCCTTCATGACTGAAGAGGGAAAGAGCGCCCCCTGCTGAAACTCATTGCTTCAGTAAGGAATCAGAGAACTAACACGAACCAGCACAGCAGGGGGCACAAGAAGACTTTTTGACCGGGTTTGGCCTGAGGTGAGGTGAGCATGTAAACACGTGATTATCCCTATTATAATATCCTGTGAATCATGTAAGAATAATGACATTTAAATAGTAAAAAAATAGGTGCTAACAGCTTATAGCAACACAGACTGAATTTTGGATTCAAATCTGGCGTTGGATGAGTAAACAAGTTAATCATAGAAAAGATTTTTTGGGTGGCATCTGGGGTGGCCAATCAAACAGAGGCCCTGGACACCCCCTGGATCTACCCCTGCTCAACATAAAAAAAACGGCTCACAATATCAGAACATTGTGAGCCGTTTTTTTTCTGATGTAAACACACTTTGTTAAACGTACAGTGAAGTAAGTGAAGGGGACAAGGTGAAAGGACAGACACCCTCTATAAACAGAGAGAGGCTTTCATTACAGTATTCTGGTCAGGTAATTCATCAGATAACTTAGTTGTTCTCAAAGTTTTCTGTCATGCCCTTTAGAGGCCAAAACAATCCCTCAGTGAGAGAGCTGGCTGGAAAAAAAGTTCTTTTTATTTTCAGCCAAACAGATTTGGACCTCTTCAACTTCAAGTGCAGCTCACCTGTAGGTGCTTTGCATGTGTGAAGGAGGTTATAGTGATTTAGTTTAATAACTGTTGCACATACGTTATAACTAATGTGTTAGCCATGACTTTGATATGTAATCTTGTTTGTATACTACAGAAAAGTCTGTGTTGACTATATTCGCTTTGAGTTGTCCACATCTCTTTGATTGAAGTGAACACTGACTCAATCTGACTGCCAAGCAGACTCAACACCCTCAGTTTTATGTGACCTGACTTTCAGAGATGTACACGCTGAGTCATATTTTGGCAATTTCAACCTCTGACCAAAACATTTTAGAGCAGGAAAATCAACAAACTAAACTCTGTGAGAGAAAAGAACATGCTCTTCTTCCTGGAGAGCCTCCAGGTCCAAGTGGCACTGAGGTCTTCAGTTTGGAAATACTTTTGCCACTTCCTGGGTCTGAAGGAACCTCAGAGGTGGAAGAAGAGGAAGGAGCCAGCAACTCCTCAGACCCCTCCATCTGACTCCTCGGAGACTGACAACTAACACCAAACTATCCCGGGTTCTTTGTCGGTCACTAGTTAGCCATTTGTCACAATGCTAAAGTCTTGTGCTCTCCAAACAAATAATACATAAAAATATCCTGTATGTTGAATTACTGCTAAAAGTAACTTAGATTTTAGTCTAAATGTGTCGACACTGTTAAGAATTAACAATAGACGGGCACTTTAACTCTGCTGACTATACCCTGATAGTTAACTAACTTTAACATCAGCTTATCTGTTGAATCTGTTCAAAGTTAAAGGGATATTCTGGCGTAAAATTAATTTAGGGCCAAACACACCGTAACACCGAGTTAGACACCCCCTCGAGATATGGGTGTTGCTGACTACTTGCCCCTCTAGTTATACCAACTTTAGAAACGACCGCAAGATAGCAATACATGGGGTCTGAGGAGCCATAAACAAACCTCAGCCAGAACACCACTCTATAACCACAAATAATGCTCAAAACAGCACCTAACTTCATCAACAGTACATATAAGGTCCCAGCCATAGAACTAGCCACCAAACATCTTTATAGCTTTGCCTGATTTCTTTAGCAAAGAAAACAAACACAGCTCACCTACTCTCTTCCAGCAGCCGCTTGTTTGTAGCGAGACCTCAGGCCAGTCCATTACAGACTGCAGCGGGGGGACGCAGCTCAAGGAAGAACATTTATGGTAATTTCTTCATGGAAATGCAATCAGACCGAGACGCTAAGACTGAAGAACTACCACGTCTGCAGTGCAAAATGATTATTACTTCAAGGAAATAAAAAAGAAAGGATCATAGAAGTTCTTTCTTGAGCTGTGTCACCCCTCAGCAGTCTGTAATGGTCTGGCCTGAAGTCTCACTACAAACAAGCGGCTGCTGGATGAGAGTATGTGACTTTTAGATTATATGTAAACACATTACTTCAACTGAAATTGCACTGGAACCAAGCCTCTTATAGTCAGACTAATTTATCTGGATAATGAGGCTGGAGATCACAGTCAATCAAGAATGTGACACCGCCAGTTTTTAGTGTTGATATATTTCACTCACAGATACACATGACTTCCTCATGGTGGCACTAGAGAGAAACAGAGTGGATCTCAGAATTTAATAGGATTCATCCTCTGGGTACCCTCAATGTCTGAGCTGGATTTCACAACAATCCCTGAAGTAGCTTTTGAGATTTTCTGGACAAAGTTTGTGGGCTGACTTACAGACTCTGCCATAGATCCACGCCGCTAGCGGGGCAGACAGTCTAATACAACAAACAACAGAAGTCCATATAACTGGCTGCAGAAATTGATAGTGTATGAGTGGGAATGTTTGCCAGAGTCTGCAGCCTTGAAGCTCGTTCAATTGAAGGTGTGTGTATCCAGCCATGATGAAATATTCCTGTTCGATACAAGCATGGGTTTACCTGACCCTAATAGAGCCCTGGTGTGTCTGCTGGATCTGTGGCTGTGGATCTATCAATCAATACATGCACACACACACGCAGACAGATGAACACACAAATACAGACACACACACACTGTATGTTTATGCATTTTTCAGTTCTGCGCCGGTAACTTGCACTTCAAAGGCTCTGCTCTGAAACATTCATCATGTTGAGTGATAAAAATCCACAGCGAGCATGTTTCAAGGGAAATATTTTCTTGATGCAATTTCCCGTCTGAAATGGAATCAGTCCAGGGTCAATGCATAATGAACAGAGATAAGATTGTTGCTCTCATATATTAGTTTTGAAGAACTGTTTCTAAGTGGCCGCTCAAAGACGCATAATGGATGAATGCTTCCGCAGGCACGCTGATGAGTTAAAGGCATCGCTGAGGCCTTATTAGGATCCTCCAAACACTCAGTATTAGGAAGTTATGGAGCCCTGCGCCAGTTAATTCACTGCATAAAATCCTCTTTTCTCGTCTTCTGACTGAAGCAGATTTAACGATACTTACCTAAGAAGGGATCACAGCTTTATTAGCACAGTCTCATTTCACAGTTCTTACTCTCTCACACACACACTGACACACACTCAGCTTTCACCTGCGCTTGTTGTGCTCACTCTGGAAAAGCCTCATATTCAGTTCAGTGGGAACTAGAAAAAAGCAGAAGTTGCAGCTGATGTACTCATTCCCATGTGAGAAGGACCCCTGTTTTCACACCAAAACACCATAGGAAGTGATTAAATGCTACTCATGCTTCATTTCCTGTAAACTCTCCTCTGTTCCTCTACTTTGGAAACTCCTTATAAAGTTCAGAAGGAAGTTGATTTTCAAGTCATGAAAAAAGCATTCAAGGGCTGAGGTTGAGCCAGTCTGTCCACCCTGAAGACAAGTCCTCATATAGTATTACTCTTTTGACATATCTAACAGATGCAGAAAACAACAGCAGCTTTTATAAAAGTCCTCTTTCTATCCTGTAATGCTGAGAAAGTCTATGCTGTACTTTGGTTTGTGTCTGCTTCATGTCTGTTTTCTTCACTTTGATAAATGTCTCTCAAACTCTGCTCCTTGTGTGTTTTAACACCCTTTGCTGTTTGTCATCTTAGTCCTTCTTCATGCACAGTGACAATGAGCCACAGTTGGAGCTGGTTTAGATGATTTAACTGGACTACTGTTCTTGTCCCAGTTTACATGCAAGGGTAAAAATACAACAGAACATGTCCACCTCCACTACAGTAGATGGCGATGTACACCCCTTTCCGCTGATTCATACGGGCCCATCTCTTGGTGATCTATTATGTCCCAAAACAACAGACAAAATGTGTAAGACATGACAGTTAAGTCTTTTTTTTTATCATCCTTTCTGTATCTGTTGTGTTTTGTTCACTATCCAACTTCCTGGCGAAGCATTTATCCTATTCAGATTCAGAACTAAAGTACTCTCTTGTGCATGTACAGAACACTTAGGCTGGTTTTGGTCCAATAGAAGAGATGACACAGAAAATAAATCCTCTTCTGCACTATCTAGTTGTGTTGGGAAGTAATGTTTTTGCCAAGCAGAGATACAAAGTTACAGCACCTTGTTATGCTAAAAGTCCTTTTTGCAGTGAGATTAGTTATCTGTAGAATCACGTTGTCCCTAACATCATCTTTGCTATCAAAATCAATTCATTGAGAGATTAAAAAGAAACCAGGGTAATGAGTTATTTTAAAACTGGGTCCTGTGCTGTGTTTTGAGACTGTACAAATAGACTGACTCAGCTGTTGGTTGGGAAACAAGCTGGAAAGGTTACTTAACGATGAGTGCGTTTGCATGCCCAGTTAAGTCGAGCTATAGCTTTAGTTTAATTAGGTGATTTAACTGGACTGCTGTCTTTCCACAGTCCACAAGCATTGGATGAGAACCCACCGATTGATTACAGTCTGTTTGCATCTGACCACTATCAGATGACACCATTAGACTGTCTCCTGGCTAAACTATTTAACAAATACCAAAGCAAGTCATCAAGAGGCTAAAAGCGAAAACATGGACAACTTTACAGCTTGGTACCTTCTTCCCCTCTTCTTCTTCTTCCATTAAAGTTGTATTACTAGTCCTCAAGTTGACTTCATGTGTATCACAGCGACGGGTTTGTCTCCGTTGTCTCTGTTTGCATTTATTTGACGTTACTTTCAAGCAAAAACAGGCAAGTGAGCATCGTGCAACACCTGTGTTACGTGATGCATTATGGGTAATGTAGTGTAGGCACTTCTATGACTCAGCAAGACAAACTGTAATGGAATGAGATCAGGCATACTAGCAGCCGGTAAGGAGTCCGACTGAATACCTGTATGTCAAGGGGTTAGGTGTAAAAGTGATGGAACTGTGTGCTAGAGCACACCAGCCCCAAAATGACCACTTAACATCCATCCAATTATGAAACAAACTAAACTTAACTAAACTAAACTAAACTAAACTAAACTAACAGACTTAATGAGACAGACGCAGATAGTTTTCTGTTTGGGAAGTTTTTGATTGTTTGACAATGACATCTGAGAGCTTCAGGAGGAAGTTCTAACAGCTATTTCTAGTAAAAACATGAAAACAAAACATTCTACACTTAAACAAGTTTACCTCAGTACTTTTTCACAGAATGTTTAGAAAATGACGTGACATCCAGTCCTGAAATTTCAAGAAGCAGGACCTGATGGATGGAGGCTGCAGTAGTTCCTCAGTCAAGATTTCAAGATGCCTAAGAAGGTGGTGAAGCAGAGTCTAAATCTATCATGATAGACTTTCCCCTTTATGCTAATGCTAGATGGAGTTGAAAAGACCACACAAGGGAGCTGAAAAGAGTATGAAGCTGCACTGCACACTGACTTTTATCTATGTCCAGATTTCACTCAGAAATCTGACCAAGGGATTGGCAGTTTTCCCAAATTTCCCAATTATTCCCCCAAAATGTGACCATCTGCGCAAACATGCAGCCCTCTCCGTAAGCATCAGGAGTTTTATACATTAATAAATACAGCCTTAGAGCTACAATTGAAGCCTGTTTGTATAAAACAGCCATTTTTATTGGACGAGTAACAGGATTACATGCAGCCAACACAGCCTGTTCTGTGGTCATTGGCAGGGACGATCCATTGCAACTCTTCCAAAACTTTGTGTTCCCATCAATCATTTATAACCTTATTTAAAAAGGTTCAAGGTATCCCAGTTTTTCTTTTTAAGGTCTCGGTATCAGCTACATCTATGTGAGTCTCATAGAAAATCAGTTCCAAAAAGTGATGTAGGCTTGGCATTGTAAAGAAAGACTCTTGAAAAGTTGTTAATTTGTTCAACAAAAGGGAACAAACAGCTCAAGGACAAATAAGGAACCTAATTATTCTGCTGTGTTAATACCATAATCATAATAATGAAGATAACTGCTCGGGTAGATTTGTCCATTTGGATGGACTTAGTATAACAAACTGAACCCAAACACTAATACAATCCTAAAGAGATTTGTACATCCAGTAAAACAAGGAGAGACAGTCTGAATACGTCTTGTAGATAAAAAAAAGGGAAAAATGTGAAGAATAAACTCACCAGAAGTCTTTGTCCATTAATCTTATGTTTGTTTACAACAGCAGCACAGTCTGACATTTTGTTCTGTAGACAGAAAACAAAAAAATCAATCTAGTCTGCTTATAAAGCTGCACAGGTCATCTTAATTTAACAGCCATTCAGCCTTGAGACTTTTTTGTTATTTTAAAGGTTTATATCAGAAAAAAATAATTCAGACAAAAGGTGATCCACATAAACTGCTGACCTTTCAAACTTTGAAAAAATAGGTCATTGACTTTCCCCTGCACTCACCTTGCACATGAAGAAGGCCACCTGCGCTTGGTCCCACCCTTCACACTCCTCTCTGGTCGGCAGGTTCATTTTTTTGTCTCAACAGGGAACCTCTGAGCAGGAGCGCACACTTTTAGAAGCCCAGTAATGGACTGACCTGTCACGCACCGACACACCAGCAGACTTCAGCAGCACACGAGGAGGTCACCTCATTAAAACCAACGCACACTCCTAATCGCCTCAGCTTCAAGTAATGTGGCAATTTACGGTATTTAAAAAGAAGCTAAAGTTGGACCTGAGATTTTAACTGCCGGGATCCACAAAAGGGAAGCTGGGACTTCCTCAGTGTCAGTCTTTACTAAAGTGTTTTGAAACCTAAGTGTCATAATAGACTGAGCCTAGTTTTTCACATCCCAGCATGTACATGATTCATTTACAGTCAGGCAGAGAGTTTGGGTTCGTAGACTTTTATTTTTATTTCATGTTGTTTTATCCAAGGTGCAACACTACTCAGACTCTAATGGTAGGTGGAAATGAAAGTCATGTTTGTCTGCTAAGCATTTAGAAATAGTCAGTCAGACAGGAAATTGTGTTTTTTTTTAGACTAGAATCTCTGACACAAAAAGAAGAGGCACATTAGGAAAAGAAAGAGCTCAAAAAACACGATAAAGTCTTGACATAAATGGATTTCTTTTCCTCTTTCAATAACTTGAGATGTGTTTTGTTGTTGTGGATGTAATAAAGTACTATCGCTTACACTGCGAATGTTAGAAATATGGTTTTAGTAGGTCAGGCTGTTTATCTCCTCATAAGAGCAGAGGAAGGATAAGTAGGTTCTGGTTTCTGAGCTATTTTGGAGTAAAAGTTCCACATTTTGAGAAATACAGTAATGTCCTTTTCTTCTTAACCAAAGCCATAACTTAACATCAAAAGTGGACACAACTCTTGACACCTAAATGACAATCTTTCTAACTTTAGAGGATAAATTAAATTGTGAATACACTGCCTCTTTACAACAAGATAAAAGAGTGAGAACACTGCAAAGCCTCTAGTAAAAAGTTCTCCATAAATCCTGTAGACTTGTTGAGATTAGCATCATTTTTATGAATAATTCTGACAAATTTAAGTCAATTTCTGTATATTTTTATCATAAACTTTTGAATCAAAAGGGATGTTTTTATTTTTTTCTCTCTCATTTTTAATGGCTAAACAACGTCTGTATCTAGGGTTCGATCTTTTTAAAGCATAACAGCAGATAGAGAACTCCCAGAACAGTGAAGAAAACTTTGAACCTCAGCTCCACTCTTACCTAACACATACAAATCAATGAGGAGGTCCATCTATGAAAACTAAAGGAGATGGTTACAGCATTTTTATTGCACTCTGTTTTATTAGAGGGGTTGTTTCTTTAATGTTGGCTTTCTCTCTGTGTGAGGAAGAACTAGAACCTAAAATATTGATGAAACAAAACAGCGAATCTTCAGAGGGGAAACTGTATAATAAGGCTCACCTTCAGGCTGTTTGTATTCCTTTTTATATATATATATTTTTGACGCTGTGTGTTGGTTATTGATTAAAAAAAACTAATGCAGTGGGTCGGCTGAATCCTGCAGGATTCCGTTATGTATGGAAACAAACAGATGCAAACAAAGCTGTCGAAACAATGCAGCTGAAAAAATCCACCCGTCCACCTACCCACCCATACATACAGTACCTAGCATAAGTCAGTACACCCCATATTAAAAGTATTACTCAATATCTAGATGAACCAAAGTACAACTTCCAAAGTTTTGACAAAGCTGAGTTTTACATAACTTCTTATTTACCATGAGATGAAAATAAGGGTGATATGGCAACTAAAATTTAGCTTTGCTCCCAGAACTTTGATTGGGGTGTACTCATTTTTGCATCCTAATTTTGAATTGAAAAAAAAAAACAAAACAAAATTTTGTATGCAACTTAAAATATCTTGTTTGTAATCAATGGCCTACATTTGGGAGAGTATTTTATCTTACAGTCTGAAATAAAAAATGTTGATTTTGAAAGGAAACTAAAGGTTTTCTGACAGCTCTGAAGAGGTTTACTCATTTATGCTGAGTACTGTACAAACATACATAAACCACCATTTAACCTCTTCTTTGTCATTTTACAGCCTTGCTTTTAATTTCACTTTAGCAGGGATTTATCATATGTATGTCCTTTAAAACATTATTTATGTTTATTTTGTAGGATTTTCATATTACTGTTGATTTTTCTATAGTTAGTGCTGATGCCAGTTATAAGAAAGCATGTTAGCTGATAGCTGGTATAGGCTTTAATGCTGACATCAATTGGTTGTTTTGTTTGCATTCAATAAAATAAAAGTTACAAATGAGGAACTAAACTGAAATGAACCTTTTCTTAAAGCAGATATAGTTTGGAAAACACTGGGCTAAGTAAGATTTTGCCACAAGTCACATATAATTTCATCATTCCATGCACATAACAATCTGGCATACATGGCTGGTAACATGTTTTAAAAGGGAGGTTTTCAGCTCATTTATACAATAGAAAAATACTGGGTTATGTTACAGACTTCAGAACATGACTAATCTTCATGACTAATGTCCAAACATGACTAATCAGAAGAATGTGACTCATAAATAAACAGGACATAATAATGCTGCTTCTTTCAGGACCTTCTTTTTGGTTGATTTTGGCGCTCCCTAAAGACGGGGCTGGACGTCCTATCCCTTTTCTGCCTGGCACAGCGGTTTTGCTCACCCTGGAAGGTACACTCACTCAGTTTGCAGCTGCTGCCTGAACCTCAGGACAGGATTTCGTTCCACTTCTTCCCGCCAGAGATGTTTAGGACCCAATAGTTCCTCAGGCTGCTCTCACATCTGGTGCCAATAAACTATCATTATTTCCTGAACAGCCATTTTTGACACAGTGTCAACAAGCAGAGGTGAAACTTGCACAAGCACTGCTTTTATTGTTTAAATGTACTCATCCTTATTTTTAGTGTTGTGTCATTCACGATTCGTTCAAAAAAACCAAAACTTTTAAGTGAACGTACTGAACCGAATCACTTCCTCAAGGGATTCATTTGTTTCTCACTTCAGTTGAGCTGAAGTGAGAAACAGTAGTGCCAGGCGAACGAGGGACCGCATGCACCAACACCTGAATCACTTGGTGAACGAATCACGCATTGAACGACACTCCCTGGAATCATTTTTTTGTCAGACAAAACTACCTTTTTTTTTTTTTTTTACTGCTAAATTGCCACCACAACAACTTGCATACAATAGGACACAACATGTAACAAGTAGTGCATTAAACCTGCTGCATCCTATCACTGCAGCGGTTTGCGAGGGAACGGTGCATTCTTCTAAACATTCGGTGAACTAATCACTCACTGAGCCGAATTTACCGAGCAGACCTGATAAGGAGCAGACTGTAGGACAGTAAACTTAAAACATCATGACTCATAAACAAGTTCATTTTTAGCAGCATAGCCAAACACTCTTGTCTCCCAGTCCTAGAAACTGAATAATAATAATAACAATAACTTATTTTTATATGGGCCTTTCAAGTAACCCAAGGTCGCTTTACAAAAGGGCTAGGGGAGAGAGGAGGGGAGGGGGTAGAAGTGGGGGAGGTTAAGGACTGAACTGTTCAGCTGTGTCTCAGTTCAGGTGGTCGGAGTTAGTGGTGGGCAAAACCGGTCATTTCAGTGAACCGGATCATTCCGGGTCGGTCAGTAAAAAGACCCGTTCTTTTCGTTCTTTTCGGTCATTTGCGTATTAATAGTTGTCTCTCTGCCTCTGGCTGCAGCAGCAGCTGTGTGCCTTTGTGTGTGTGTGACTGTCCCGCTCGCTCCAGCTCGGCTGTCGGGCCTCGTGCGGCGGCCACTCAACTCGGTCTTTCAGTCAACTCGTTCATCTGTCTGGATCTTTCGTTCACTCGGTCTCTCGTTTAACTTGTTCACCGTCTGGGTCTTTCGTTCACTCGGTCTTTCAGTCAACTCGTTCACCGTCTGGGTCTTTCGTTCACTCGGTCTTTCGTTTAACTCGTTCATCCGTCTGGATCTTTCGTTCACTCGGTCTTTCGTTCAACTCGTTCATCGGTCTGGGTCTGTCGTTCAACTCGGTCTTTCGTTCACTCGGTCTTTCGTTCGACTCGTTCATCCGTCTGGATCTTTCGTTCACTCGGTCTTTCGTTCAACTCGGTCTTTCGTTCATTTGACCCGTTCTTTCAGTCAACTAGGTCTTTCGTTCATTTGACCCGTTCTTTCAGTCAACTCGGTCATTCCGGTCTTTCAGTCAGCTCAGTAGTACTGCTGCTGCTTCTCTAAGCCCCACCCACACACAGAACGAGGCACGACGATAGGATAAGCCAGGCAAGCAGTCCCTCTTCAGCCAATCAAAAGAACTGAACGGTTTGAACGGGTCATTTGGAGGGGGAGAACTAGTTCATTTCGTTCATCAAAAAGAACTAGTTCTTTTGATCCGTTCGTTCAAGACCGACACACCACTAGTCGGAGTCACAGGCTACTCCCGTGAAGCGCAACATGATTCGGTGATTTGGTGAACGAGTCTTTTGAACGAATCTTTTTAGATGTACTGAATTTTAGTGATTCAGTACATCTAAAAGAACTGCCGTGCCTATCACTACTTATTATAAGTGGTTTGGATCAACAAGAATTAGGAATTTTTCTCAGCCTGATAATGAAGTATATGTTAAGTCAATGTAAAGAGGTGATTAGATGCTCCAACTACTCTGGCAGCGCGAATGATGCGTATTGGGTGGAAGCTGAATATGTCTCAACTTGAGTGGATATTCGCGTTGCGGTATAATCAGCACGAAGGTTGCCGGCTGATGTATGAAAACTGACAGTTGTTCACTAGTATCTAAAATGGAGGACAAACTGATCGTGTCGATCTGTGGGTGCCCTGATTTAGATGATACTTTTTCTTTTAATTACCGAAACGGGAATAAAAAGGAGCTTGTCTGGAGGCAAGTGAGTGAGGAGGTCAGATTACCTGGTACATTGTAAAAAATACCTTCGTCGATCACTTCGTCTATCAACCTTTGATCCCGCTGGTTGAATTGGAAGGAATTACCGTTGAAATTACAGTTGATGCGCGAATGAAGCAGGTAAATACAATTCATTCATGCGTCTAGATTCGCGCGAATTAAGCGAGTAGATGACTTGAGTCATGCTTGGTGTGAGTGCCCCATGAGGAAGTCAGGAGTTTTTTCTTTTTAAATCAGAGGAGAATAACTGATCAATTATGATGTTTAAGGAAACTACAGGTAACTCAAAGGTCAGGTAAAAGTTTTGA